GACAAGATGGGAGCCCCCTCGCATAAATTTAATCCTGATGTCTACGAAATGACCCACCTAAGACTTGGTCAGCGATTTAAAGATTTTCGATGCACTAGTACACTAATTCAATGCACTACTCTACGGTATCTGGAAGCTCAACCGTGGAAGATTTTCCCTTCGTAAACGTTTGATACATGTTTCATGCTCGTCAGAAAGAGAACCAAAGAATTCTGATCTGAGAAGGGGTAATTCAAATTTGAAACAGTCCCAAGAAAAACATAGCCTAAGAAATACAACAAAACCACTGGATGAAATGACAATCCTTATACAATGTAGAATTTCTTTGTGGACTACAGCAGTTCTTACAGCAATTCCTAATTGATCAAAACTACTACCCATTGTCGATGTCCTCTGTCAAGCCAAGCTATAGACAATTTCTTTATGTACAAGTACTGTTATTTGTTATTGAACAAGCTGTAAACTTGTCTGCTTGCTAGACCCCCCAAAATATGTGACCCTCGTCCATAAGTTTCAGTCACGAACCAAATAATCTGGAAAATTAAATGAAAAAAACATCTTTAATAAACCCTGACTTTAAATGAAACGAAGAAAACTTTAACGAGAAAAGCCTCAAAGCAATCAAAAGCAAGATAAGTAATGACTTAGGCCAAAAAATATAGATGTAAAACTTTTCATTAAGAGTGAAGTGGAGTGGTATTAGGAATAGTGGCATTAGCTAATAGGTGCACAAGATGTTTATGCTTTAAAAAAAATGCTTTCTCAGCACATTAACACTTAAAAAAAATGCTGTATCCATATAGTGTAAATATGTTAGAAATTCAGACACAGCAATTTTTGTTTTTTGTGGAAAGGTAAGAAACAGCTAAACAATCATGTTGAGGAGTACATCATATGCAGAGGTTAATGTAAAATTTTCAGCTGTTCTGATCATTTGCCATGGGTGATGATTGCTACATAGCCCTTTTGATACAGAACAACTGTTCAATAACAGCATGCATTGTACAACTGATGTACTTTTTTGAGTTAAACATTGATACATAATTCATAACTTGACTGATACTTACATGACCATACACAGCATCATTACAATATTCCATAAACCAATAAAAATTCTGAAGTATCGAAGATTGATGATAAAGTCCTTCAATTTTTCACCTGCAATCAGAATACAATAAACAAGATCATATGAATGATACACATTGAGTGAAAGGTTATTGAGATAATGTAATGTGCTGGCAGCTTCCTCCAGGTTTAACTCTGTGGTCAACCATTTGTTTGCAATAATTGGAGGCAGTTTTGCTGACCCAGGCAGCACTATCTCACATGAATCTCAGTATACTGGAAAATAATTGCTCTACCAGTAGTAGCTTTCATCAATATATTTAATATTACTGTCATATATATCTAAACACCCTATACTTTAACCTTTCATATGGATTAGATGGACAAGGCAGTTGGCCTCTTTAAAATCCTTACTGACATTTTTTGCATCATTGTACTTAAACACTGGAACTACCAGAAAAATATGGTAAACATATCTTGAAATCAAAGATAAAATGCTTCTTAATCTGAATTACCAAGTGAAGGTTCTTCATTCTCTTCTCCAAATGAATCTGTGGGGTTCCTTTTTTTACTGTGTGAGTAAAAAATACCAGTTGATTAAAGCTAGGAATTATGTGGGTTTTGATTATTTCCTGCATCATGCACATTATGAAGTACATGGGATCATGTCTATAGTGAAATAAATCAAATATACCTTTAAAGACCAAAAATTATTTTTAGAACTGCTTGGCAATATCTAGCAAACAATGAATACTCTTATAAAGTTTGCTCTCATAGAGGTTTTCTGAGGGAGCTGGGTCAATATTCTTGAGGTATAATTTTGCAAGAGTTGAGAACACAGTGGTTTCATAGTATGCTCAACTTTGAATATTTCATTAACTACATAGTACTTGGAATCATGTGATATTTCTAAACAAACATCAGAAACACTTGGGAAGTCTGAAAGAACCTTTCAGATAAATTTCTGAAAGTTTCTTTCACCCTGCAGTTCTAAATGAACATCAAATACACTTGGGAAGTTTGAAAGACCCTTTTAGTAATATTCCTGCAAAAATTGCCACCCTGCAGTTCTAACTAGACATCAGATACACTTGGGAAGTTTGAAACAACATTAGGGTTAGAATTTCTGCAGTAATTTCCACCCTGCCATGCATTTACCCACAGCATAATTTTACATGTGAACTTGTGTCTCTGTCCTTTTCCTTATTTCTGACCCAGCATTAATGCAGTTTGAGGAATGTTTGTGTTCCTGTTGGCTTAGATATCCTAACATCTGCCTTTTTTGAGACTTCTAACCAATTTTTCACCTTCATCTTTGGTAGGGAATGCAAGCTTAGACATAAATGTTTATCTGTATTTATTACATGAGCCATAAGAATAACCAGACATTTTGCTTCCCTTTTCCTTTGTAGAGATTCATAGAAGAGGCATTTTTGGAGCAAGTACACATTACAGGGCCACCAAGGTCCAACTTGTCAGCATACTTTGAAGATTGAGGCAGAACACAAACGGATGTATCGTGAATCAACGATATATAGATAAGTGGCCCTTTATTCTGTGATTTCACTGCATTTTCAACAGACAATTTTATTATCTGGTTTTACATTGAAGAAATGTAAAATGGTTTCCATGTTTACATAGCCTGATGTAAACACGCAGGAGGTTGGGAGAACACGAGATAAGCGTAGGAAACCACGATGCAAAGAGGAGTGGTTTCCAGCTTATTGAGTGTTCTCCCAACCTCCCAAGTGTTTACATAAGGCTATGTAAACACGGAAACCATTTTACATTTCTTTTATAAAATAACTAATGAAAGAGGAACGAAAACCGTGTTTACATACGCTCATGAAAAATGGTTTTATGGCCAATCAGAGCGCGCGTACTATTTGAATTATTTTATAATTAATTATTATTGATTGTACTCACAGTTTAAAGTTCAGAACTGCACAGGCATTAATCAGCAAGGTGCTGCAAAGTTAAACAAACGGGAATGATAATTAGAACATGATTGTTCAACTTGGTAAACTGCGTGACAATTTTATTTAAATCAATAAATATAACTCTTAACTATCCAAAGTCGTATTCACAAATTAAACATTCGTGGAAGTCCTCAAGGTGTTAGTGCTCAAATCTTTAGTGGTAATAAACATTTTGAGAAGTTTTTCCCACCAAAATCAGGAATAAATAATCCACATCTATAGCGATGAACCGTACATTCATCCGCATTGATCTTCAGTAACCTTGGACGCAACTTCTCATTACGTGTCATCTCACTTTTGGTTTTCCTTTGACACCAGTTAACCCAACAAATATCATCATGAGCTCCCGTGTAATTCTAAAAAAATCTTTTCCATGTGATGAGGAAGATCTACATACCCAGCAACAAGAATATCTGAAAGAAAAGCCATAATAACTCAGTAACAGGGATATTTTCAAGCAGCTCAAGAGTTGTTTTGTTGATGTTTGGCCAGGTTACACAAAATGCCTGGCTACCAAGTTGAGTAGTCCTCAATCTTCTACCGGTCGTTTTCGGTAGATGGGCAGATGGTGCGGTTACTGCTGACCTATTACTAAAATTTACAGTCACATTTGCTTTACCTCTACAAATGCCTGTATTTGGCGTAAATTTTATAGTTTTTAGATTTAATTGCGAGACAAAACTTGAGATAACAAAGCAGTGACGACGCGAAACTTTCCTGCAAAGTTTGTGAACTAAGATCTAACACTTCAGCTGGAGTTAAGAGTTAAGTTTAGTTTCATGAAATAATGAATGGTCCAGCCTTCCAAAGTTGGTTCGGTGTCGTGACCTTAGCTAAGAGTTTTACTAACTTTGAGAAAAACGGTTATTATTTTCGTAATCGAAAGATATATCGGTCTTAGGAGTGGCTTCAAGATGAACCCCGACATTTTTAATACAGGCATGCGCTCTAACGGAACATTAATAAACAATCGAGGTTTTGCAAAAAGTTAGTTGGAGACTTACTTGACGTTTATGGAACGTTGCTCTTTCCACCTCGGCCAACGGTTTACACTGGCTATTGGATACGCCAAAGGGTGATTACTTAGGCGTCTAGTTGGGTTAGGAATGAGGAAGGAGATTTACCAACAACGATTGACTGAATAAACATTATCACCTACCTTATAATATCCGCATTTGGTTGTTTTTGTTGGTGGAACTACCGATTGTAAGTCACTGCCATTGAAAACAGATTGATAGTGATCAAAAATTTATTAAGTCAAAGAACCTTAGGGTTTTACTTGCCCAATAACAGTAAGACAATAGACCAGAAAAAGCTAAAATGCAAAACAAAATGAATAAACATGACACCACGCCTCTCAGTTGCCGGAGTTTAAACCTTCGGGTAACCAGGAGTTATCAGAACCTCATGTTACAGAGAGCACAATTTTAAAGCTTTGACCGGCAAGTGGCCCCGAAAATATGCGCAAAACATTTTCTGTTTAGAATTTTTCTCTTCCTTCATAACCTCCTCTTATTGTCTCGTAAAATTGTCTCTTGAGCCTCTTTCGTCTCTCATTTGAAACAGCCTACAGTAGGTTAAAATTAAACGCCTTGTAGCTGTGTACTTTTTATTTTATTTTATTTCTCGTTTAATGTTTTTTTTTCTTTAGCTTTTGGAGTTGATAACAATAATTACTTTAATGTAATATGTTATTCAGTACCGATCAATTCACTTGTCTGTACAATGTAGCTGTAATTGTGAAACCCCACCAATAAGTTTTCTAATTTATGTTATTTGTTCGCACCTGTAGTATTGTAGTATTATAGGTAGTGTTTATGTTGTATTTTATGTAGCTGTAGCTTGTAAGTAATGTCCACTTCGTAGTGTACATAATTTAAATGTATTACAAAATAAAATTTAAAAAAATAATAATAAAAGTTACCGTGCATAATATTATATTACATAGATCTTCAGTCAAAGTTTGTTGCTCTCTTCAGCCGATACATTCTCTTTTTCTTTTTGTTCAAACAGGGAGCCGAGTCTCCTAATGTTAGCATAGGACGACACAAATTCAGAGGGAGCCCTGGGGAGACACTGTTGGCAGCTTTCTATGCTCGTCTTACGACTCTGATCTGAAGTGATACTCAAGCTTCTTAAAGGCAAAGTGGACAAGCTGCTGTGGCGTCTTCTAAACACTTCATTCAAACCAGGTCCTTTTCTTATAACCAGACGCCGCAGAATCACAGCAATGGTCCTGCGCAGGTCGGTGTTTCGGTGAGAGTACAAGAATGGATTAATGGCACTTGAACTGTAATGCATCCATTTAACAAAGTGCAGTAGGCGAGAGAAAATGATCGGCTTCGGGAGAGCTTTAGGATCAAACGTGGCCAGCATTGTCAAGGTGAAAAGTGGAAGCCATGCTATGATGAACAACAACGTTATGAGAGCGATGGTCCCACACAGTTTCATCTACAGCAAGAAAATGGATAAACTTTGGTAAAGTTTTCCATCAGTGTACCGTAAAAGTTGCATTTATTTTTCGTCACTTTTACACTATGTACCCAGCCCTTTTCTCTCTCTCCACCCTTCTCCAACTCCCCCCGCCCTTCTCCATTTCTGCCCTTTCTCATCTTTTCTCAGAAGAAAGCGATTATACAAACCTTACCTCCTTATCTAAAGAAGACGTTAGTGTCTGATTTTGGCTCTGTAATTTTTTCCCTTTCATAGCAACCACAAAAATGCTGCCGTAAGCAGTGATAATGATCAACACTGGAATGAAGAAACAAGCACTTGCTGTAAGAATGGTGTATGGCACCTGCCAGTCCGTTCCATACTGCAAAGGCTGTAGTGAAGACAGAACAGCAGAGAAAACCCAAATTGAGGCTACTGCAATGTACAAGGTTTTCTGTTGAAGACGGCGATGCTGAAATGGTCTCAGGATGGCGTGGGATCTTTCTATGCCAATAGCAGTTAGCTGAAGAATGGATGCGCCTCCGATAAATATATCAGCAATTATGTAAAGTTGATAAATATGCACATTGAACGGCTCGCCACGATGATTCCACAGAGTAATACACATCCAAATGGGCACAGAAACTAACCCAATCAGAAGGTCAGCCAGCGCCAGTCCTATTATCAGGGTGTGTGTGAGAGCTCTGCGTAGCCATTTGTTTAACACGTAGGCTGAAACAACAAGGCTGTTACCACAAAGGATAGTTATCACAAGAATGCCATAACACGCCAACGAGAGGTATACCTCGGGTGAAGAGCGTCTCGGTTGTATATCTGCGGATGACGGATTGACCGGCTGCAACGTGGTCACGTTGCTGTCGAGTCTTGGGGAGTATGTGCTGGGAAATAACATCAAAATATTGTAACAATTACAGCCTCGTCGTGCTGTACAATATGCGCCTGTCTACAGTCTCGTAGCTTCGTGCGCTGTTTCTCCTTCAGTTATTTTATCATCAAGTTTGAAACATTTCTGTGGACAAAATAAATAAAAAATAAATGTGATGCTGATTTCCGATTGCTTATCGTAACTGGGCTGCTTGACCGTGATCAGTTACATAACGTAATGTTGCTTCTCCTGCTATTAAGTATTGATTCTGAAACGAATTTTTAGGAAAATTAATTTTTTCTCTATTTTTATATCCTATCGTTTCCTGTGCCAACATTACACTAGGTGGTGATTTTTCCGTTAGGGACAGAGCGGAGGAGGAGGAGAAACGCCCCCATTCCCCCCCTCCCCTCTCCCACCACCATCGATGGGACATTGAACTTTCTGCTGCAATTTGATATGCTCTTTATGGGAATCATTCACTGCAGCAGATTACTAGAATGCTTCTTGTTTCTATGCAAGAACGGATGGGATTTTTACCCAGTTCCTCTAATCATTCCTGATAGGCTCAACAAAATTGATTAATTCCATGTAATAATTAAATTTTTTATGGAGATTAAATCGTTCATCCATAGCATTGTGCTTTCCCTTTTAAATTAGATTTTGTTCAGTATTATCAAACATCATTACTCAAACCCCAAGTTTGAAATGGCAACAACAACAACAACAACAACAATTTATTCGTACCCAAATATGATACAATAATAATAAACAGAATATATCAATAAAAGATGTAGAGGAGTACTAGCTGCCCCAAATAACCATAAGGGCTAGAAGAAAAGGGCAGCTATACTTAGGTAATTTATCTAACACAATGATTTAGGTCAGATATAACATACACAAACTCACACAGACACAGACATAGGCAAGGAGTTAAACTTCTATAACGACAGATTTTTAACTAAATGTCGACAACTATTCCATTCACTGGTACGAAGCACAGCTTGCGTCCACGATCAATATCGGTCACAGCCATTCTTATTTACATCGCCAGGACAGACGGTATTCTTGGAAGTAAAAGTCTGTTAAACTCGATTATTTTATGTACCGTTGCCTCATAAAAAGTAACTGGTGTAGAATCAATTATTTCTTGTGATTCAAGAAAAAGGAAACGAGCTCAATTATCAACATTTTGAAAATGAAGTCAAACTTGCAATTAATATTTTCTTATCCACATCGTTTTTATTTTTAAAAATTCAATTTGGAATACACATCCGAACGCAGTTTAATGTCACACGAGGATAACTGATCTATCTGTGTTATGAACCATATAACTCAGAAAGCAACATCGTACACGGACTTATAAAGAGTACCAACATTTACGATGGGTGCGAACAATCATATCTAAGTAGTTTTTCTTTCAACCATCTGTAAACACCTTACTTAGCTTTGTGATTGAACAATAAATCCACATTTAGGTCTTCCATGGTTTTTTACCTTCAGCCAGAAACACAAAATACACAGTCGTAGGTGGGAGGTACAAACCTTTGTAATGTATTCGAAAAAGTACGAAAAAATCAATTTCACGAAACAGAAATGTTTACCTTTTCGAGACGACGAAGATTTCTTACGGGAAGGTTTTGGCCTTTATGCCCACTCTCCATATGTTTATCCCGTTGCTATCGTGCACATAACATCCGTCCGGAGGTGCATGACAAGCTTTTCCAGTGCGAAGCAATCACTTGATTGCGTCTTTTCATGCAGCCCTTTGTCTTGATAAATGTATTCATATTTAAGCTCAAAACACTTCCACCCATCACTGCATTTATCTTAAAAAAATTACCGGTTAGCGCACGTTCTCAAATCCCGACGGTAATTGCCATTTGGATCTTCGATTCTTTTTTCATCTATCTCTATCTTTACTCACCAATGTTTTGATTTGACCGGCCGAATACCTCCTCTTTCAACGCAATTGAAAGTGTCGACGCATTACAGAGACTGAAAGGTTTTCAGTGATACAAAAATAATCCTCTACACATCTGGATTAAGTGAGCAATTAAAGTTAAAGTCCTAAGTCTTGATAAAATGTTTGGAATCTCTTGATTAAAATTAAACCCTAACCATATCAAGTGAAGGCAGTACTACTAATTTTCATCACATATTGACCTATTCTGTTTATTGAGATGTCGGCATGTGTACAAAATAGGATGGCTGAACTTCAGGTGAGCATATGAAAGAATTAGTTAATTACAACAATTAAAAGGATTTTACAGCTGCTCATTTTTAAGTTCTACAGCTTAATTGCAGCCAGGTATCGAATTACTAATCAGACCTGCAAGAAACTTCCAGGAAGCTCAAACTGCGCACGAAGCATAACGATTGAAGTTATATAATGTTTGATTTCAGCCTTTGCTCCTCTTTGGCGTGAAAGGTGAGGAAAACATGATCTTCACATCGCCAGCGACCACTTAGTATTAATCTATTCTTACCAAAGAATTTTGGAACCCCTTGCGGTAAATATTTTTGTTCTGTCAGCTACAAGTCAGCAAGTGAACTCTCTTTGAATTCTAGTAAATTATATTGCATTACACACGATATGGAAAGATTCATGTTTATTGAATTTAAAAACAACGTTGGATAGTTCGATAAACGTAAAATTATTTACAAATTGCAAACATTAGGTATCAAACTTATAATGATTTTCCTCATAAAGTGATGGCAGAATATTCACTTATTGCTGATATTTCATTCAGATGCCAAGCTAAGTTCTTCAATGTCACTTTTCTCCATGCGAAATAGCCTCCAATCCGGCATGCTTTTCGCTCCCAGTTTTCTGTAAAATCCCATAGTTCTTTCCGAGGAAGGTGAAACCCATTGCATTCTTTGACAGTCACACGACTTGGCAATCTGGTAGAAATAAAACCCTATTATAGTGGTGTTTTTTAGAGCTAGTTTTCTTGCTTACCAATAAAAGAAGAAAACACGAAAATAACATGGCATGCTCGGAAGCGCCGCTTTTGGTGTGTATTCCATCAAAACATTGCTGTTTGTTTGTTTGTTGTCATTGGAATTAAGTTACCTTCGCTATCGCTGCCATTAGTGAACTTCCTATCCCTTGACCTAATATGCAAAACAGAAACATTGATTTCGGTGATTAGTAAGTAAATAATCAACTCAGTTTCAAGTCTAATATTGTTTCCAACCAAATTAGATAAAAGAAATTAAATTACTATGAGATGAGATTGCTATCTTGTTACTATATTATCATGATTATTTTTGTGCTTTTTACACGGAGTAATCGTTAGCATCGTCTTAAAGCTGCTTTTTCAGGCAGAAGTCACACGGTGAGCTCCATCAGCGAGACATCAACTTACCTCGAGCATTGGGAGTGACAAAAAGATCTTCCACGTATAAAACAGGACCCTCCCATGTAGAGTAAGTGAAGTAGTAAATGGCAACTCCTAAAGCCTCTTTGTTCTTTTTTGGCGCCTCCAGGTTTTGTGTTGGAGTATGATCATTTAACTCTGATAGCAAATCAAACGTTACTGCTATTAGTTCATTTAGTCATAATGTTAATCATCTGAGTTCCCTTCTCTACTTTCCCCTTAGAGGATTTGAACTTTGGACTTTCGGATTTTGTGGGTCACCGCTCTATGTGCTGCCATTGAAACACGGTGATCTTTGTTCCACCTTTTTGACAAAACCAGTAACATTCTCGTTTGCTGGACGGCCATGCCCAAAATGTATTCTATTTTTGTGAGCCATTAACTTTCGTAAAGTTCCACATCAACCTCGCTGTACAAACGTCAACAAATACCAGTCAAGGAAATAGTTTCTCAGTATTCCCTTGTTCGGGTAACAGATAAGAAGAAAGGAAAATGACCCAGTACTGTACCTTCGATATTTTCTACTCTCTCTTCAGCAATAACACAGTGAAACAAAGGGTGTTTGCCAAATCCGTCACGAAGAAGCTCTATAGTAAAACACACGTTTAGTAACAAGTAAACTCAATTAATCTAAAAAGTATATGCAGCTGTAATTGCACTCGAAAATTGTGTAAATCAGAAGCGAAAGAGATTGACGACCTCTATCCTAAACTTGATTTTATTCAGTGCAGTTAAATTTAGTCAATCGCACTTCTAATTTTATTCAATGAAACATGGTAAAGCTCTCTATCACGTGGTACACTAGAGCCATGCCTCCTTGACAGTGCAGAGAATTATATAGTGTGTTTACGTCCATCTTCTTTTCGGTGTTTTATAAATGCATCTTATACCCTTTTCTCCGATCTTCAGCTCGTCTCTCTTGCCCAAGTAATCCGCAAGATCCTGCATTAGAACAAGGTTAATTAGACTAGTTTCCCGAATGTTTATAATCGTAGTCTTTTGTATTTGCCGAATCATGCAACAAGCATTTTTTCTTTTTCTTTTTTTCAAAATCCATCGGCTCTGAGGTAAATATTAGTCTCGGCCGATGGTAATATTAACCTAAGTCCGATTTTTGCGACACAAATTTTTACTGTTTCTGGGAGTTACTCGATCCGTCACTTTATAGTGATTTTTCTGACATTTCCATGATTCAAACTTCAATCATTTATTTTAGAACTGCAGATAAATTAGTGAGGTTGTATTCACCATAATTATAATTAAACGTCGATTCATTTTTAAAACACGTAAGATTGGATCACTGGCAAGGTAACCTATATTTTGTAACGAAAATAAAAAAGTGTTGATATTTTTAGGTGCATCTCTACGTAAAGAAAAATCCTGAACAACTGTGTAACACAATTGTTCAGAAGGAGCTCAACCCATTGCTAACTCGAGTTGACGAATTTTTGTACTTTTAAATTTTCATCGTCAAACGTTCGTGAAATAAAGTTCACCCGGTCGCCACACGTTTCGTTGATTACTCGAAAACCCAATTAAAGAGAATATCTTAAACGAGCAGCAGGAACCCCTGACCTTGTCCCTGCTCATTGATATGATGAAACTGTGTTCATTGTACCTGAATCATCTTTGCAATGGAAGGTACGTCCTGTCTATTTGCTTCTCGAACTCCGTAATGTGACTTGAAGATTATAAAATGAGAATTTAACAACGGATTGTTGAGAGGTTGGCAGGCTTTGTTCTCCATCAGTTATTTTGTTCTTTCACTTAAGCTACGTGCAGCGAATGTTCTCTTCTATAGTAAGAGCTCTACAAGGTTCGTGGTGATATTCTGAAAAAGAAGGAGTGAGTTTTTTTGTATGGTGCAAACATATGTGACGAAGTTTGCTCGTCAATTTCCGTTGTATTGTGTTGATTTTGCTCGGCTCTATTCGTGTCAGGCCGAAGACTTATGTGCGCATTTTCGAATCAGTTCGGAGAAAATTCTCCGATGAGTCGATACCGCCGACCAGAAGACTTCCTGCCTCACTAGTTCATAAAGTATGAAAAGGCACCTTTCGTCAGATAAAAAAAAAAAATGTTGGAGTTCATGTTTATAACTATGAACGCCCAGGAGGAAGTCGCGGATATTTCTGGGTCAACTGTTATATTTCTAACTCGTATATTTGCCGTCGTTTTGCCAAAATCTTAGACGACAGGACCTCTCTGTCAATAAAGCTAACTTACTATAAACAGGATGAGGTTTAAATCCTCATATTGGACTCAGGACAAATATTGAACATCTTTGTTTACTAACAGATTAAATTCATAAAATTAGACCAACACAGAATGATATGAGTTCATTAGATTTTTTGTTATTTTATGAAATCACTGATGACAATATTTAGACAAGTAACGGAATTACACTCAGAAAAATATTTGCTCTTCCCGCTCACCTTTAATGACGTCATTAAGTCACATGACCGATTTCTTGACGTGTTATAACAGAGCTCTATTGTGGCCAGTGCACTTATCACACCCTAGCTACCATACAAGGCACCAGAATGTCCCTTGCGACACTCCTCTCAATGATCTGTGCGATTGTTTTTCTTCCACAACAAGCCAACGGTACGTTTCTTTTCCCACAAAACGGACTTTTTTACTAACGGGTAGACCCATGTTAGGGTATTCGGCTATAAGCCTGTAGCTTAACAAACTTTCTACGAAATTCATATAAAAACACGTTTACTCTGCCGCACATTCAAGCGGACTTAGACCCGAATTTTTTCAGGTCATTTTGTGTGACGAAGTTAATGTCTTGTGGCATCCAGTTTACGGAGGCATAGGGAACAAAAGTTAGATTGAATTGCGCGTCTGGAACATGAAAAAGCTGCGACTTTTCATAAGAGTAGAAGGCTACATGTGGTTTAATTAGGTGATCTTATCAAATCATGAAAACCTTACACTGTTACGGAGAAACACTAAAAAGCGAAAAAGTTATATTTTTTCGATATAGTTAACTCTGAAGGTAACGAAATCAAAATTGAGAACATCAAAGGTCGACCGAAGATGAAAAAGATGGTGAGATGACGAAATCCATTCAATTAAGCGCAGTTTAAATCGCAGTTTTTCTTTAAACTAAAAGACAATTTGAAAAAATGTACCATCTTAGGCCCTTTTCATTTCAGCATAGTTTTTGTTTCCTTTATTAGTACGAACACGAAACCTGAGATCCGAATTTATTGCGATGAAAATCCACTGGTCGTAAATTATGTGTGTACAGACGCAGTCAACATTTCACATTGAAAGACAATCTTGAGAGGTGTAGAATTTATTTCCTTTTGTAAGTGTCTACTCTGTAGAAACTTTATGAACTTTAGAAGTGCCTCATTCAACTTAAGTTTTTCTTTCCGGCCGTTAGCTGACTCTGTGTTTAACAAACGCAGAACTGTGTGGTTTCATACGAATTCACCGTGGTGCGGCCCCTCGCCTTAAACTTTCTAACTTAAAGTGAAAGATTGACTTTTTTCCATCGTGTTTGAGCAGATGTACGGCGATGTATAAACAGCTAAAAGAATGAAAAAGAGGCAATGCATGCTGCCGGTTGTGGTGGGAAATATTGCTTTCACTGTTTACCAAAATCTTTACCCACTCTTTATTGATAAAATTAAACGTTTCCCATGAGAGAAACTGATTATACTGGATGCTGAACGGAGTTTGGTTCTCTGAGTTCGTGTGATGAAAATATTCACTTTACTGTTTGATTCCGTCGATTTTTAGACATGACAGCACCGTCATAGAGTTTACAAAGATGCCACTAGTAACACTGATTTCCGCCAGAAGCCCATTACTTCTGTTTTCACCAAGTGCACGACCTCTGAAAAAGCTTTCCCGTTAGTGCCTACATTCTCAATTCCACTTGCGTGTCCTGATGTGCAATGATATTTCGTGTGTGGCTCAGGATTGTTAAGTGTGTTGTTTATAGCATGAAGGGACTGCCTCTCCCCCACACAGGACTGTAATCCTTTCCCATGTCTCCTCTCAAAATTAGACCATGTGACGTACTGTCAAACTAAGAGCAAAACTTCCGTTCGGTGTTTGTACTTAGATCACTCTGTCCATACAAAAATCGCTGAATCGACATCGATCGGTTCTCCCATTATATTCATTACCTAAAATTATGAAGTTTGATAGTATGCAGTGTAAGATCAACAGAGTTTTTTCTTCATCTGCCTGTTATTTCTAATTCCAAACAATTCTTCAAATATTGGAGACATACTTCATATGGTTATTGCAAGATTGAATTCTCCTCTGAATAATTAATATAACGACAACGCTTCTTTTTCGATGGTGAATTTAGAGTTTGCAGTTAGTTCCTTATTATTTCGGGCCTTTAAAGCTATGTTAATATTCTTTTCAATTTCATGTTTTGTTAAGTACACATTATTTGCTCAGTACAATTTTGCATAAGGATAAATTATCATTCACACAGAGAAAATTTATGTCCCAGATTATTTCACTCGATAACTTCCGGTCAGGTTCTCTTTACGCCAGTCCTTACCACTGACAAAACTGTCACGTAGACGATCAGATACCACGATGCACTGTTTGATGGTGTACAGAGCATGGATGTGTTTCTCTTCACATCGTTACTTTTGCTATATAGCATTGAATGGTTTACTTCACACAGCTGTGACTTCTTAAGTTCGCTTATGGTCTTCTCTGTAGGTTACCCTTCTGTCAGTGATGATAAATGTTGCAAGAGTATTGTGCACTCTTCATGCGTGATTTGCATTCAAATTTCTTTGATCCTTCGTAGATGACTTTCAGTTGTCACTGAGTAAAAAAATCAGCGTAAGATCTCTCATTTTATGTGTCACAATGTAAATGGACTCTGCTTTCCTTTTCCTGCAGGCCAGCAAATATGGCAGCAGATCAACTTATCCCCGGTCTGCTTTTTTGCCTCAGGACAAAAACCTGGCGATTTCCAGTATGTCGGTGATGGGAGGCTTGTTGCTGCAATAAAACTTGTTTATCGCAGCGGGCTTGTAAGATGTGAAAGGAACGCCGCCTATAATAGTCGCTGGGGTTGCTATCACCATAATGGTTACGTTAAGAACCCGCTAAATGTCGTGATAACAGATCGACAAGATAACATACTTTTTCCTCAGGAGAAGTTCATTAAAAATGCCGGCCTTTGGTACTATCTTCCATTCACTGACGCTCTTCATTCCAATGAACTTGTGTTCACCAACTATGAGAGCCCATTTTATCTCCCAAAGAATGCCATTATGAAAATCTGGTACGGAGAGGACTTGAGAAATTGGCGAAACCACGACAACGGTGGAAGGGTCTGTGTGGATGTGTACGGACACCTGCAGTAAATAGCAGAGCCTATTTAACTGACTTGATTAGCGCTTCAAATATCAAACTGTTAATTTAAAAAAATTTTAATTTAAACCTACTGTTGAATATAAATAATTCTACCGTGCGATACAAAGCAACGATTTCAATTTAAATGTAGTCAAAGCATGTGGTCAGAGTAAATAAAATTAATCACAAATCTTGCAGCAGACTATCATGAATGAAGTACAGCCGTACGGAGTTGTATGTTATATGAAGATGCTTACACCTCTAAATAAACACTGTGAAGCTATTTGCTATGGGCAAACAAACATGATTTAGAGAGCCACAAATAACACATAAGTACATGAAGGAAAAGTTCGAAATATCGCTCAGCACGACCGCTATTTCTGCCTCCTTTATAATAACCTTAAATTTTTACGTTACCGCAGAAAGTTATCTATTTGCGCACTTAACTCCTTTTCCCACCTGGTTAAAATGTCACTTTTTCTGGCCTTTTTTCCTTTATTATGCCCGCTAAACGATTCTTTTTTCGCATTTGCACCCGCAGCGATCAAAGATAACCCAATTGCTCTTTGGGCTAAGATCAATCAGATTCCTGTGTGTTTCCACGCGCAAGGGCGACGGCCTGGAATGTTTCATTACCTGGGTGAAGGCAAATTAGTTGGTGCAATTAAACTTGTCTTTGTACGAGGCTCTGTACGGTGCGCTAATGATCCTAAATTCAGCAGTCGATGGGGTTGTTACCGTCATCCCGATAACGTCAGGCATCCTCTGAACGTTGTAGTCACGGATGCAGACAACCATGTTATCTACCCCGCCGAGAAATACATCATGAACACAGGCCTGTGGTATTACTTGCCTTTCACAGACGCTAAGAGCTCTAATCAACTGGTGTACACCGACTATGCCAATCCCTTTTACCTCGAAAAGTACGCAACGATTAAGATTTGGTATGGAGAAGATTTAATGAAATATGATAATCATGATAATAGAGGCAGAGTTTGTGTGCATGTGTGGGCGCACCTCATGTAAAGAAAAAAAACTTTAATAAATCATTTTACAACTCTCTCGACTGTGACTCTTGGCAACAATGTACTAATTAATAGTAAGTAAGAATCTAGCCAATCAGATTAAAGGATTTGCTGTAAACCACAATGATGTCTGCACAAAATACACTTATTAGTTTCAATAATTACATTACTGTCTTAATTTACTTATTTATGCTTAGCATAAGTTTAGCTAGTGACTGCTTTAATTATTAAATATAATAAGCCTGTTAAAATATCAGGATTCTCTAAATTAAAGTACTTGTTAAAATGGAACCAAAGATAGTCGAGATAATTTTCTTCACTGCTTACAACCAATATCCTTTATTTAAGGACGCTGCCATAAAAAAAGAGAAAAGCACCTCTTAAAATATTTTAATTTCTAATTAATACAAGAATTTTTGTTTCCACACTATAACGGTCAGATGAGCTAAAAAACGTGTAACGTTTCAAAATTTAAAAATATCAACAATAGATTGCACAGTAGCATTCAGCTTTGATTAATTTCTGTCTGTTCTTTCACCATCCATTTCTTGTCCATAAACTTGGTGATTTCAGAATTAACTATTGGATGATCCAGACGGTCTTTCCACAACCTGTCAATCTGAATAGAAACAGATTACTCATGGTCACATTTAAACCACTGTAATGGTTGTTATCATTTAATTTGCAGCGATTTTGTTGTGGATGTGAAATCCAAAACTTTGGTACAAGATGTGACATTGATTTCACATAACACTGACCCACAAACACATTTTTCTCTACATACTTGAGACATTCTCTTTCAGTACTTGAAAAACAAGTGTGCAGCAACAAACAAAACATACATATATACGTAACAATACATATACAACAAACTGAAAAGGGTCACTTTGACAATAAGCATGGCAATAAGTTTATCAAACCTCATATTCTAAGACTGCCAACTTGATATGGATTTGGAATTGATATGGTTAATCACTTAATCAATTCTATATGAAATGTCATCATAAATGAGTTAGCAACTAACCAGTGGTTCTGTATTCCATCCAACTTCTTGAGCTGATGTTTGTGGGAATTTGAATTTCTTAACTGGTGTTTCATTGGACTTTTTGATGACCTCAAGGAAATTGTCTAAAGATACAAAAGATAACAGTGTCATGCCACAGTTCTATTGTGGTGTGTACCTAATAGAGATTTCCATTCAAGTTATTTCATGAGGTCCAATTTGACACTCCTACTGGCTCTTGTCTGGATTGTAAGCAAGTTTGTATAGCAAATTCAGTACTTTGCATGTTGTGAAGAACTGAAATTTAATCAAAAATGTTTAACTTAAAAACTTGTTTTGAATTCATATTTCTAAAGATGAAATGGCAAAAGTACTGTCCAAGAGTTTTTACACAGTGACATACAGTGTAATAATATTATTGCAAAAACAGCATGGTACATGTACTCTTCTATTTTCAATAGATATCCACCAGAAACTGATATATGTTCTACTCAAATAATGCAATGCCTAGCCTTGCAGGTCACTAATTTACTGTACCACAATGGTAAAATGTGTTCATGTTACCACCTATTCAGCTCTAATTTTCTCACCATCGTAAATTCTAAAGGAGATTAGTTTTGTGATTTATAATGTTACTATTTGCAAGTTGTTGAACTGTTTCAATTTATTCTGGTACGGTCGCATTTATCAAACTGTTGAAATTATGGTAAGTTTCTTAGCAGTGTGGCAGGAAATACAAAGTGGAATTGAAGTACCCTAATAATAATTTCAAATCCAGATATGAAGTTGCTTTAACATTCATTACGCTGCATACAATGATGGGTCTTCTCCAGCACAGTGAAAACCATGCTAAGGTCAGTGGGTTTATGGTCAATTCACCTCCATAACCAACTCACCACTACCAAACTCCCCACCACTGAGAGTCAAATCTCTACTGGTGACCATTTGACTCAGGTGTTATGTTTAGCCTCCCTTTTGAAACTTACATTAAATGGAAGCTAACTTTTAGTAGTGTATTGCGAACATAGAAGCCCAAACAAATACAGCCAAAGGAACTCACACTTATTGTGTAGCGTCTTAATTATGCATTCTCTACTTTTGGGCTCTGCAGGACACAGTTTTCATAAGACAGTCAAGTGACTTAATCTAAAGGAAGTACTTTGAAAAGAAGTGAATTCAAAGCCCATTTCAGGTAATTTGAGTGCTTGTTAACTCATCAATGGTTGCCAAACAATTGGGGAAATTTAAACAGCCAAAATGTTTGTTTTTCATTTTGGAATATACCTTTTGGGGTGTGCTCCTTCATCAAAAAGTCTTAAACAGTGCTCAGAAATCCAAAGAAAGAGCTATTAACAATAACACTTTGTTCTGTAATGATATTGATCGAATAATTTGAAAAATGCTGCTTTCGTAAGGAAAATCACTGACATACTACTTATCATATTAATTAATTCAAAGTTTGATCTGTTTGCACTTCAGGGACTCCTAGAGGATGCCAAGTTGATTTCTGCGAGATTGTGCCGTGTTTGCACACACTTTTTACATCCAAACCAAAAAAATTAATAAACTTCAAGATCTAAGCTGTCATATAATACAACTTTCATTAGATATTATTACAAAATTCAGGTTAAAGGTTATATCTACATTCTTGTGCTTAAAACAAAGACTCCAAGTCAGGTTTCATACGACGGGCTACTCATAACGTCAAAGCAAAATCGCCAAAGGTGGCGATTTGACTCTTAGTGGTGGCGAATTGACCGGATACCGGTCAGTGTTTACCTGCTGCTCTTGTGGATGTGCATGTAAACAAAGCTTCTTACTTACCATCTTCTTCTCCATCCGCAGAATCGTGCACAGAATTCGGTTTTCCAGTGAGTGTATACACTAAATAAAAACAAAAAGTTTTTCAAGTTTAAAAAAAGTATCATCGTAAACTAGGGATCCAAGGAAAACAAATTACTAAATCGTACTCTTGATCAAATTGCTTACTTTTCTTAAACGGGTTAATGCTGTAGTTGGTGTATAATTTGTGATTTTTTTGCTCCTTCTTGATCGTTTCGCACAAAATAGCATTTTGGTGAACATAATTCACTTCAGCATTTCCTTTAGATCCCATTGTTCTGCTTGTGTTTGCCGTTTACTTCTCTCAGTCTTGACCCACAAACTCCACTAAATCCAAAATGGCGTAACATTAGTTTTTTGTTATCCGTAGTCATGGAAACTTAACTAGTTTTCAGCTTTACGCGGTGAGTGTTCACCGAGTACGACATACTCGTTGAAGAACTAAGACCAAAAAACTCTTAGCAGATGAGCTTTTTTCCCGGTATTGGCTTGCCACTGGCCTAAAAATGTCACATCCATAGACGAAAACTAGTTGCAGGGTCGTCTTCGCCCCAGCATTTTCTGACATCGTCACCTGCTGAAATCATTGTCAGCCGAAGGTCAATTGGTTTTAGAATTCCTGTGATTGGTGAAGTACTGTAGCTTGTGTACAGCTGTCCTGTACGTTTAGTGAGCCAATGGCCATCAGAAATTAATTTTCTCAATCTCTAGAAGTTTCCACGCAGCTTACTTTCACAATTTAGTTTTGATCTTATTGATCTTATATTCTTGTTTCAGTATACCTTTTTAATCGTATTAGTGTCGGTCTTTCAATCAGAAAATCACAATGCAATGATTGAGTTATTGTTTTGCTTAAACCTCAAAGTTATTGAAATGCTTTTTTTGCCGCACACCTGTCCCAAGAGGCCACTTACAAGTCATCAATAAGGACCATCTAGTTGTTAAGATCCTCATTGAAAAAGTTATAATGGGTGTCCAGAGTGTTATTCGTATCACGTACGCCATTGTAGGTAATACAGAGGACGCTGTTCTAATCTGCTGTAATATCCTTCTCTATGTAATTAGAAAGAATACACGATTTTGGTCGAGGGCAAAAACCAAACTTACCGTCTAACAGTAGCGTCAAATAGTATTTTTTCTCAGTCATCGAAAAGTTCTCTCGGGCAGCTCGAAAAAGTAAACAAAGGACAATTTTCCGCTCAATTGTTTGATTGTCAAGTTTACATCGAGTCATAGGATAGAGACGAAACTTAATGCTGAGAATGCCTAGTGCAGCGACCGAACCCAAGTCCACTTCATGGAAAGTTACAGCGCAAGTTGCTGAAGAGATGATCAAGTTAAAAAAGGGTGACCCTCGCGTTGCATTAGCACTTCGCAATGCAAAGATACATCGGCCAGCATTGTATATTTCTTCAAAAGCCTCTTTGACAAGTAGCGTAGATGGCACAACAAAAATGGCCGGTCCAGGGCATAATCAGAATTCTCAGATCAAGACAGTGCGATCCAAAAAAGTAAATAAGATTGACTGCAAGGGAGAAATGTCTTCTGAGGCGAAAAGAACTCGGAGGTCGGGAAACAAATCCCAAGAATTTTCTCGCGAACAAATTTCAAGTCCTTCTGGATCAAAATTCGATTTGAATTCGTACCAATTAGAGAAAAATACTACCACCGTTTACAACGAATGGGAACCTGACCTATCCTCTGAGAAAAGTGAGAATCAAAGCAGTAAACTGGTGACACTATCAACTGTCAATGTACAACCTTGGGAAAATGATTCAGTTCAAACAGCTAACGATAATAGGCAGCCATCCGGTCTAAAGGGTTTTATGGACAAGAAAGTCAGAAGAGCTGAAATCTCTCGTCTTGTTTCACTTCAACAGGATAGTAACGTGCGTAGATTGCATGAACAAATTAAAACATGTGCTGATGATGACTGTACAGTTCATCATACAAATAAAAAAATACACAGACCAGGAAGAAAAACATGTTCTCTCGCACTTCGTGAAGGTGAGCTCGATATCAGCAGACTTTCTGGAATACTTTTGGTAAGTTCAAAAATGCCATGGAATCCCTGTTCACCGTGCCGCCTTCCTCTTGTAAAAAAAAAGTATAACACTAATGGGATAAAACGCATGGATTTTCCAGTCTTCGAAAGAGGTCCCGTGATGTCCCTGATGAAAACGGATTGTCATCTTTGTACAGAATGTAGAAAAAAATATCAAAATCTACCAAGAGTATATGGCGCTGACAACGAATCGGAAAACCTGACCCGTCTTAAATACAGGTTGAAGCTAAAAGAACGCCAGCTCTTGGAAAAGAAAGACAATTTTGATAAACCTTCTGGACAAAGTGTGAAACAAGATAATTCGCCAAAAAGTTCTTCTCTTAGGCAAAAAGAAGATCTTAGTGCTAGCCAGCTTGAAGAATTAGCTTTACCAAAGTTGTACCTTTCACATCACTCTACTGCCACCGCAGTTTGTAAACAGAAACTGAGAACACCGAGGACACTGTCAAAGATTACTGATACTACCCTGAGTTTCGAAGAGCGTTCAAACCAACGGTACTACAAGGTGGTTAAAATTGAGAGAATCTCTGCTCAGGAACAACCTTTGAAAAATTTAACTAAAAAAGGATCATCCTCAACAAAGTTGTGTGATTTTTCAGGTGCTCTACCTCCCCTGACGAGTGATTTGCGTGTCTTGGCCTCCCCACTTCGTGGTTTTACTCCTCAGTATTGCAGTGACTTAGCAAAAAGTCCGATACTTTGGAGAGAGAATTCTGAACTGAAAAAAGCAAAACAGGAGGAAAATACCAAAACTGAGACGTAAGAGTTTACAGGCGAAAAAAAAGGAACACATGGATAATTAATTTTTCATAAATTTCCAATAAGACGGCAAGGACATTCAATATAGACAAGAGATTAATGTTATAATCTCTTTATCTAATTAATGAGTAATTATAGGTTGTTGTGCTTTTCAATAATAAATAAAACTTCGATTTCAGGACTCGTTTTAATGCTTTTATCAATCCTTGTTACAAAACAACAAAAAACAACAACAACAACAAATTCAAATCACAATTAAAAATTCAGGGTCAAAATCCTGCGAAGACCTCAAATCGAGGAAAATTTTCAAATTCTCTTATTTGTTTTTGATAAAACAGACAAACGGCAGACAGTCACATTTTTACATGACATGAGAAAGAAACATTTCACATGATTATGAAAGATCCAGTAAGAAATAGATAGGTAGAGAAGAAGGAATATGTGAGTTCAGACATCGAAAAGAATTTAAGGATAATTATAAATAAAACTTATTCTCTTATTAAACATTCAAAACGTCTTTTTGTTCATGGGAGGGGTTTGTGCGTTAGCCGACTTCTTCTTTACAAACTCTCTCGGCCCCCCCCTTCTTAGGTAGTAGCATTGAAGGCCTGGTAGCTAAGAAGGAGAAAATAAATCAACATGGTGAACGTATTGAGCAAGATCGCAGTGCGGTTGCCGGCTTTAAACTCTAAAGCTTCTGGAATTGCTGTTGCAGCAGTTGCTGCTGGCATTATTGTGCTGTGGAAGAAAAAGCTTGACGAGCTGAGTAGTAAAAGGTTGGATTATAGAATTGTACGAACAATTCAATCATGCGAACCATGGCTTGTTCGCCACTGAGATTTTTTGCACTTTGCACCGTCACGCAAACTGCACAGCGCGCTGGTGATTTGAAAGATAGCGATGCCTTTTTACTAGAATTAACTGGCTGAAGCTCGGGTAGCGGAGTACGTGTATGTTATTTGTTTTTTATCTTTTGTAACTTACCTAAAAAGTATTCCTTCAATTTGCAGAAAAGATGTGACTGGTGATTTGCATATTACTTTAGAGGAGGTAAATATTATACACTTAATTCATGTTCCCGAGGGAAACAGTTAGTTTTGTTTTCCAGAGAGTCCTGATCGGGAAACATCAGGACTCGAGGGAAAAAAAACTAACTAGTTTCCCGAGGGACCATACATCAAGTGCTTTGTTACATAATTATTTAGACTTTCCCTTAAACAATCATGGGGAAAAAACATGCTCTTGCATTCGGCGTGGTTGTGGGCAACAACTGTGCAATTGTATCCTGGTCGGGTTAAGAATCAACCAATCACAGTGCTCATTTTGTTGAGTGAAAGTCTTGGTATATAATGATCATTAGTGTTTTGATTTCCCTGCTAAGTAATTTGAGGCATTGATTAATTTTTTAATATATTTATGAAACTCGTGTAAGTTTACCCTTTTCTAATATTTTCAGGAGAAAAACAGAAAGAAAGGAAAGGCTGCTGTTGATGGTGTGTTTTTTAGGTAATAAAAGTTTATTTACTGTTCACCCTGCAAGAATTTAGAATGAAGAGATGCTCATGATCAATAACACATTACCAATAACACATTGTTTGTTTCCTGTTAAATTCTTTTGTGCTTAATGCCATAAGTGCTACATGCACAAGATCTTGCTTATGCTACATTAAAAGTCAGTCATGTGCATTAATTGGGTAAAAAACATCACATGTGATTAGTGTTGATTTTAATTTTATGTTACCTCTTTTAAAAGATGCTGATTTTTTCACCTTTTTGGAAAATAGGTTATTTTTTTGCCCACTGATAATGTTAGCCACTCTTCAAACTGGTTAGCAAAATGTGGTGTTATTCTCTACTCATTACGCAGGCAACTGCTCAAGATTTTAAAAATTATCATCCCTGGATGGCTTTCACCAGAGGTACTTAACACACATTAAGCTTTTTAAGATGTTTGAAGTATTGTATACTGATGTTTTCTGTTTTATTTGGTATGATGGCTTAAATACTGAATTCAACCAATTATGTGAGTTATAATCTATTGTCATTTTAATATGTTTCTGTTGCAACATTTGTTTTGGTCATTAAAGGAAGGAGAGAGTGAGTGGGCTGGGAATTTTTAACTTCCCAATCAAGAAAACCTGGTTTAAAAGTTTTTGTTTTTCAAAATAGAAATACAGTTGTAACTATTAAAACTTTGTAGTAGTCAGTCCTCAAGTAATATTATTCATTACATCTTTAGAGTGGTTACCTGTTACTTGTTGCTGTATCTCTAATAGCTCGGACATACTGTGATGTATGGATGATAAACAATGGGACATCGATTGAGAGGTATGTGTTCATATTGTTTAATGTTTACTGTTTGATTCTACTAATCATTGCACTTTGTATTTCAAATATCATCTCAAGTTTGTATTACTTTCATATGATATGTGGAATGCTGTGATTTGTCTGCACACTTCACCATAAGCCGTATGACATTACACATCACTATGTGCCATATGACATCACACAACATCATGTGCCATATGACATCACACATCAAACTGTACCAGATGACATCACACATCACACTGTGCCGTATGACATCACACATCACTGTGCTATATGACATCACACATCACTGTGCTGTATGACATCACACATCACACTGTGCTATATGACATCACACATCACTGTGCTATATGACATCACACATCACTGTGCTATATGACATCACACATCACTGTGCTATATGACATCACACATCACTCTGTCCAAAGTCATGTATCTGGTTTTAGTTGCTACATGTCGTGGACAATTTCATGAGTTCATGTACTCAACATGCAGACTTAATAAACTGTTTTATATTTTGTGATATATCAGGTCCATTATTGGCGGTGATTTTGGAGGATTTAAAGACAATCTCCTTGCACTGGTTTATGCAATGCCATTTGTAAGTAAATTCAAATACTTTTTTCAAAGTTTTAATCTTTAAAAATAAGGAAAAGTCTACATGAGTTGGATTTTTATGGGTGAGATCTCTGATATCATCACCTGATATAAAACACAATTACACCCTATGTTAAAGTTGATACATTATTGTGTTTTTATTCTTCACAGATATCTGTGATAAACCAACTCTTAAAGGTGCGTGTAAAATTTTGATATTGACTGAATCTTAGAAACTTGTATTGTATGGATCCAAAGGTTTTTGCCTTTCTGAAAGCAGATTTTGTTATTTTTACTTTGTATTAATTTTATACTCAAAAGTTTCTTCAGTTTCAATTGCAAAAGTCTTTGGAGTAATTTGTGCTCTGTTTTTCCTCATTCAGAGGTTTTATTAGGTTTGAGGCTAACATTACTTCTTGTTGTTTTTCATTACCTTTTCTAGTTTGGATTAAGTGAACTCAAGTTGAGGTTCCGCTCCAGATTAACTCTTCATCTCTTTGAAAAGTATCTAAGGTATTTAAATTGTGAACTCTGTTGTGGAACTGTTTTACTCTATTTTTGAAGTGTCAAGTAAAATGCTCTGGGAAAAAAGACCACAGGATAAAGTTTGATCTCACTGAAACTTTCTTTTCAGCTCTTTTACTTTCTATAAAATGAGCAACTTGGATAACCGCATTGCAAATGCAGATCAACTTCTAACTCAGGTGGGTGTGTAAAAAAAGATAACATGTGATTTGAGGAAGCACAGCACAGGTCAACTACAATACCTAACAGATACTGAAGGTTTATAAGTGGTTGATGCAAGTTTAGTATATCTAACTGTTACTGGATTGTCTCTTTTATGGTCAGAACAATGTAAAGGGATCAATGGTTTGATAGTTTGTCACCTACTTTTCCAGTTGGTGTATGTTTTGGTCTTAAGCTTCATATTTACTTGCTTGTCTTCTTATGAATGTGGTTTCAAGATTATCACTAGAATCTGTATTTTCTTTTTTCATTAAGGATGTGGATAAATTCTGCAACAGTCTTGCTGAACTGTACTCCAATATAAGTAAAGTGAGTAGTACAAAATACAGAGTTTTACACTGGGTTTCCCTATGCTTAGGGTCAGGATTCAGGATATATTGCACCAAAATATTATTTGTTCCTGGTAGTACATTTATTTACATTTAGTTCTGATTGGCAGCTGTATTTACCTGCTTTTTTATCCTTTTTGATTACAACTATTTACAGCCTATACTTGACATAGCCATATATGTACAAAGATTGGCTGGAGCTATTGGTATACAGGTTAGTATAACAGAACCATCTGCGAAACTTAATCAAATAGATTTATATGTCATTTTATTCAATGAATTTGTATTTTTCTAATGTTTACTTTATCTTATAATTGTCACCGTTTTAGGGGCCAGCCATAATGTTGGGATACTTAGCTTTCTCAGGACTTCTGTTAACAAGGTACTGCTAGGATGTACATAACTATACATTCTTCTCTTTTAAATGAACACTCTTTAATGGTCAGTGTGAAATTTTCCAATAGCTAACTATGACTCTGTGTCAAATTTATTTTTTAGTAGACATTATTCAATGTATCACACATTAAGGAACAGCAACTTTGCTGTTGACTTTGACATGGCATAAGACTTGAATAGAATAAGACTTGAACAGAATAATTTAGTTGAACATTCCATGTGATGATCCAGGCATGGGTAGTTGTGAAAAGGACACAGGTAGTTGCCATTTCATTAACCTGAACCAAAGCTATCACCAGAGTGGATTGTGGAGTTTAAAACCTGACCAATAATGGTTTGCTGACTTAAAAACATATTGGATGTTATGACTTTATAGAAATGGGTATATTAATTTAATAATTTGGATTGTTAAATGATTGTCATGCCTGTTTATGAAAATAAAAAATCTAGATTGCGACGGCCAGTTGGTAGAATGACAGCTGATGAACAACATCTTGAAGGGGAGTTCAGATATGTGAACTCAAGGCTCATAACTAACAGGTAAATACGATTATTGTACATAATTGGGAGACTAAAAATAAAATGACTCTTATGCCTTTTCTTTAATTAGGAGATGCTTACTCAGTCTACAAATGAATATAAATTTTATTTGAGAATGATAACGGAGAAAAGTGTTTTTTGTAATTTATGTGGTACCTCAGCATGTTACAGAGAAGGATGTGTAACCCTCTAGAGTAACTTTACATGACAAACTGCAAAAATTGCAGAATACAGCTGCTTGCATTCTGACATTTCAAGGACTAAGGGCAATACAAGCTACACCCTGAGGGACTCCGAGAACAAACTTAATGTTCAAATGACACCACATTGTGGAATAGCTGTCAATCCTTACAAGACTAGGTGTGTGGTATCCCTGGGGTTGTTGAAATGAGAAATCAACAAAACTCTCCAAAGAATAGCTGATGAATTGCTTGTGATTAAATTAAAGTTTAAAAAAAGATCCTGATTCAGCCACAGAGTGAGTAAGCTGTTTGGCTCAAGCAGGGTGACACATGGAAAGAGATCTGTATATTCCATCAGGTAATATTACATAACATATGGTTAGGTTAACTGTTTATTTTGACTTTAAACTTTAGTGAGGAAATTGCTTTCTACCAAGGAGGGAGAAGGGAAAAACTTACAATTGAAAGTACATTTCACAGGCTGGTAAGAAACTTAGATAATTGTAATAATAGTGAATGATTACACAGAATTCTTTATTTACATATTGTCATATTTTTATTTTTTCGTTTTTTGTACCACCATTTCTATCACTTGATAATCAAGGCCTTGTTACTTAGTTATTTGTCTCCACTTGCTGCAACAGGAATGAAAAGCACCACTGGATGATAGAGGAGATAAAAATCTGGCCTTTTGGCTTATTACATTGTTTTGTTTTTGTAGGTTGATCATCTGAGAAATTTCATTCAGTTTAGATCTAGTATGGGAATTATTGACAATATTATAGCAAAATGTAAGTATTTTACTGGTACAAGAATTGACTTTACCTTTAGATTCAAACACATTTACATGTAGTTCTTTTTCTTTTCATCTATGAGTAGGAGTCAGTTGGTCTGGTTGTGGACTTTGTGTTTTTTGTTTTACTAAAAGCTCTTATTTTCAAGAGAATCAACTCTCTACTGTCTTCCACTTGGCTAAAAGGAAATGGGAAAAATTCGTTACAAAGGATAGTTCCTTTCTGATTGTGTTTTTTTTCGGTGTGCTGATTGTAGATATAGCTACTGTTGTAGGATTCTCAGTTGTCAGTCGTCCTTTTCTGAGTGCATCAAGTACAAGGCACATCAACAGCACACACAGTGAGAGAATGGAGGTTTGTTCAATGCATTTCTAAGGATAGCTAGACACAGACAGACGAGCAGTGAGATAGGAAAAGGGTTAGGGGAACCTGTTGTAACCTGTGGAGAAACAGGCAGAAAGACGGGCATACACAGATAGAGGGAAAATATCAGACAGACGAACTGTGAGATTGACAAGGATGGATAGACAGACAACATATACAGACAGAAGAACTGAGAGACAGACCAAAAGACAGACTGACAGAAAGACTGACAGAAAGACAGACAGACAGACACAGACTGACAGACAGATAGACAGACAGACAGACACAGACTGACAGACAGATAGACAGACAGACCTGACAAACAGCATTAGTGTTCTTGTTAGCTAAATTTCTTTTTCAAATTGTGTCAGGACTACTACAGAAGTGGCAGGATGTTAGTGAAAATGGCAGAAGCTATTGGTCGCCTAGTGTTGGCGGGCAGAGAGTTAACTCGACTGGCAGGGTAAGTTGATGAACAAAAGCACTAATAAACTCACATACTACTTGCTTGGCTCTAGAATTCTCTTCCTTAAATTTGGGTAACTTGTTTGAAAAAAGGAGTAATTTAACTAAAACTTGGGTATCGATGTGTTTTTCTTCAGGTATACTTCCAGAGTTTCAGAGCTAATGACAGTGTTAAAAGACCTTAGTAAAGGAAAATATCAACGAACTATGATCAATCAGTCGAGTCCACAGGCAGAGGGAGACAGTGAACGGCAAGGTACAAACCACTGGAGCAATATGAATATAATACAAACGTAACACGATTATAATATAAATCATGTTGGGTGATATAAATGCAAGACCTGCGCATGTGAGTTGACGTGAGGCGAGTTTAAGGGCGTCCTTGTTTTTTTATGGTTGCGTTTTCTGCGGTTTCTACTGACGACGCGTACATAACCGATGGGAAAGTTTCGTACTGGAATCAGTGGGACTGGAGCATATAACAGTGTTGTCCTTGTGCCAGTGCGCTTGTCACGAAACATAAGCTCAAGAATATATAGGGCCCAAAACCAGAAAAAACTTTGATATGCTGTCTTGTACCTTGTTCAGTGCGTGTAGTTAGCTCTTACTTTATGGTGAGGAAAAATTAAGGGGATTAGGGAGAGCCATACAGATAACGTTGCCTGGTATGTAAGTTGAAAACTGGGAGAGAACAGTGCGAGAGCAGGTGCAAGTAACAATTTCCACAGGCTCGATAGAATGATTATCTTATGTTAAGTGCATGGTACAGTTCACAATTTAAGAGGCCGTCATAGGGTGTGGGTTTCATTTAAGTCAAAAACTGACAGAGTGAAGCAGTTGTTGTTGGTCTAAGGAAACGTTAATTAGTGAGTCGTCATCGTCATCATCATAGTATAGTGTATTGTAATTAGTGTTACTGTCGTTCTTGTTGTTCTTACCTTACCGTCAAGCTCACTTAAATTTGTTGACAGTTCCAATTTCGACAGATGGATTTACTGTTTCCCTTTTTCTTATTAGATAAGATTCCTAGGAGCTCTTTGGTTCCAAACCAAGGCGAAATAGTTGAAACTGATCATCTAATCAGGTTAGTTCTGTTACACTTTACAGCTTTAAAATCATGCTGTACGTTTGAATTTATTCTGTATGAAACCTGTCATTTAATATGATGGAAGCGAAAAGATGCAATTTTTTTTGTTACAGCACTGCACGTCTGCTGTGAATCAGCTTTATCAGATTAGTTTTGTTATAATTTTTAGTCAACGTTAAATGGTCTCGTTTTTCGTGGCTATGGGGGTTAATTGTTGCATAATGAAGTTATCAAAATAACAAGAACAAATATTTATTACCACTAATTACTGAATGAAAACAACAAAAAAACACACGAAAATGGTGCTATAGGGAACTGACTGTGTGTGTGACTCGACAAGTGAAACAGTCTTTCTTTTTTTAACAGATTTGAACATGTTCCTCTGGTTACACCCAATGGAGACATTCTAGTGAACGACCTTTCGTTTGAGGTGAGAACCGTCCCTCTAAGGTAAATATGTAACACTTGGCTTGGATGTAATAATTTACTGTCTGCACTCACTGATCGGAATCATTACGGTGATTTAACCAATCATGATACGGTAAACACCGTGCTTCTTTCGCTCCGTGGACCATGGAGGTTTTAGTGTTTTTTTAGTGATTTGTATTTGTAGTGATACTTATGGGTGACCGTAAAACAATTTCTCGTTAAGGTTTTGTTATGATGGCATATCTTGTACATGTAGCTACTCTATTTTTTCTCCACAGGTACGTTCGGGCATGAATGTGTTAGTTTGCGGGCCAAATGGATGTGGAAAAAGTTCCTTGTTCAGGATTTTGGGAGAGGTAACATTGTTAGAATACTGGATGTTAGTCAATAAACAAATGTTAATCAAGTAAACTTCTTTAGAGAAATTAACAATATTCATAACAATTTTATTTTAGAGCCCTTCTCTTCTGGCAAATTGGCATTTAATATCAAGCTCTTTTTAAGTAGCTCAGTATTGTTTACACTTGGTTTAATATTGAGGTGTTTTGTTTGATAGCTATGGCCGCTGTTTGGTGGTAAATTAGTAAAACCAAACAAGAGCAAGCTTTTCTATGTACCACAGGTTAGTGATGGTTAAACAGGGACAAGTTTTAAGATTTTTCGGGGTACAAAAGATATTCTATTTTCTACACTATTGCGATAGTTTGTTACTATTGTTATTGTTATTATTATTATTATTATTATTATTATTATTATTATCATTATTATTATTATTATTATTATTATTATTATTATTATTACTGAATAAGTTGTTAATCAGGTAACTTAAAAAAATGACTTTGTCTTCGGCGTGCGCACAATCGTTCCCAAATGTTATTTTTCAGCGTCCTTACATGGCCCTCGGAACGTTGCGGGATCAGGTGATTTATCCCGACACTGTGGAAGATTTGCACCGGAAAGGACTTACAGACCGAGACCTTGAGGATTATCTAAAACAGGTTCATGATTTATTAACTCATCAAGTTCCTATTGAAAGACGCAACTTCATTTTCACTCACAATAATAACCGCACATGTCACGGATCGAATGTTTAAGTTAGAAAATCAGATATCTCTCATATTGTTAGTTAACCTTCACTTTTTCCCACATTAATTCGTGAACTTGTGTTTCAGGTTCATCTTGGTAATATTCTTGAGCGGGAAGGAAGCTGGGACTCGATCCAGGTAAACTAATGAAGTGTCAATGACGTGTGAAGTGTATCTTGTAAATCATGTTCAATGTTCTTGCGGTAAAGAAGGAGAAGAGTGTCTTAATCTTTTTAATGAAGAAATATGTATGTTTTTTATTTCTCTAGGATTGGATGGATGTTCTGAGTGGTGGTGAGAAACAAAGGATGGCAGTAAGTATGCATTGTGTCTTGGTCACTTTCCTGTTTACCTTTGTGGTACTGAACGACAACATGAGCTAATGTTCTGATTTGTTTTAATTTGAAGAGTGGTGTCTATGATATTAACGGCCTCTTTTCTATACCGTTATTAGATGGCTCGTCTTTTCTACCACAAACCTCAGTTTGCTATTCTGGATGAATGCACTAGTGCAGTTAGTGTGGATGTGGAGGGTTTCATGTATACACGCTGTAGAGAGGTATGCCTTCAATCTAGTTAAAATTCTGGTCAGCAGACACCCGCCAATGGGAAGTTTTAAAATACAGGCTATTTTTTTGTCTTAGTCTCTAAAGTGGGCCCCTTAGACCGACGGAAGGTTCTACTGTATTTTTGATATTCTTGTCTTCTCCAGAACAATTTTGCATGTAGAATATTGTTGATGGTATTCGTGCCAGCAAGTGTTAAGGAATACTTCCTTTGATCATCAAGCCATAAATACATTGTTTTCTGCATCTAGGTTGGCATCACATTATTTACTGTCTCACATCGCAAGTCGTTGTGGAAATACCACGAGGTTTGTAATTATTTTGTTTTATATACTCCTTTGTTTATGAATTTTCAATCAGCATTGCTGCAATAGATTGCCTTCCGTCAGTTGTACCTTGTTCAAGGGCGGTTTCTTTTTGATACGTATACATCAATCTCACAATGCCCATTCCCCCACCTCCCCTTCCCCTCAACAAGATAAAAAGTGTTGGAAGCAGCGGAGTTCCGGATTTGTTCGAGTTACTTTCTCTATTGCTGAAACTGGTAAAACCTAAATGAGCTTTAAAAGGCAAAATCTGACCAATCGGTTTAAAGAAGTCAGACATTAACATTTGATAGACGTGAGTTACTCTCAGTCACGGTCTCCGCCGTCAGTCCGTAGCAGGACTCGATTCAACCTTCTCTGTTGCTATCAAGACAAGATAAGGGGGACAATGCTTGGAGAATAGACACTTCTCTTTCTAACCTGGTATTTTTTCTCTGTCTTTATCTTCAGTATGTTTTGTACATGGACGGCAGAGGCTCGTATGAGTACAAACCGATTGATTCTGCTACTACAGAGTTTGGTTCCTAAACATCCTACTCTGACCTCGATACACGCCACCCGTCGATCAACAACTACAACTGCACACTCAGAACACCGATCGATCCTTCAACTTCTATCCCACTTAGCACTCGCCAATCAATTAAACTGCCCTACCCAACAAGTCTCAACTGCCTCCTCTTTTCAGGTTTTGTCTTATTCTGTATTGTATGGTGGTTTTATTGACCTAGAACTTTTAATTCGTTGCAAACTTGGGTTATTATTTCAAGGAGATCATGACGTCACAATAACGCAAATATTCTGACTCTGGTGAAACTACCCTAACCAAGAAAAATACAAGTCACATGTCGTGTTTGTCTGCGAGTAGGCATGTGACCATATCGGTCAGCCTGAAAAGGCAGGGAAACATTCTGCCTCGCCTATCTGATAACTAAACAAGAGGTGTCAAATGGATCGAGTTTTTTAAAACAATAACCATGATTAAATTTTTGAACTTCGTAACACATTATAATGTTCAGTGGCGCTACGCAAAAGTGTGTTTTAAAAAGATTGCTTGAAAGTGTTACTTTTATTTGGTGGTCGGCCGATGATAGGTAAACTTCATCTTTTAATGATCGGGGAACAGATGCAAATGTTGCAAGTCGGTGGTATCTCTCTGTTTCTGTTTGGCACAGAATTGCACCTGCCACAAGCTGTGCGTTTTTGTTGCTAAATCTCGACTGAGAGTTTTTTCAGGAATTCCTGTCAGGAGCAGGGCCTGGGAGAATTCCTTTTATTCCATCTATATGTAACAGTCGTTATCCCTCGGGAAGGGAGTAGCTTATCAAAACTACAAAGGGGTGGGGAGGGTGGTGACTTTGATTTTTTTTTTTTTTTTTTTTTTTTAGTTGAGGCACGGTAGTTGCCGATGTAAATCTGAGGAATTTTCAAAACAGTTTAGAGAGATTCAGGGCTGTGCCGCCTTTTCGGTGGTGTAATATATTTTAAAATGTTGATCTGTCATCTTGTTTACAAACTAAACCAAACAAATTTGTTGTCAATGTTAATATTCTCAGCACTTTGTGTTATCTGGTGATTTTATGACTACTGCCTCGTCACACAAGTTAGGTTAGAAATTAAACATGGCGAACCCTGATATTGAGATGTAAGGGCTATTGTGTGTGCTTTATCTGTTAACAGTTTCTGTGGTTCTGAAGGCGACGTGAAAGTGTTACACAGCTTCATCTTGTACGGCTTTATTGCAAATCCTTGATAGGTTTGATCAGATAAATAGAGTGCCTCATTCGATAGTTGAATCTAACGATATAAGATATTTCAAACGGTTACTTGAATCCTATTTAATTAATTTGCCAAATACGGAATGAATTTTATAGCGAGGTGACTTGTTAAATTACGTTCTACATTATAGGTTAAGTTCAACTCTAATGTAAAGAGGGAGCCTCACGTGTAAGTCTCCATGGCTTCTTGAGTCTTCCTCGCCTTTCCCTTTTTCTATTTTCTATTTTTTATGTATTATCTATGCAAATTAACTTTGTTCCCCTTTTAATATGTATTAAAGGCAAATGATAAATACATGAAATAAAATAAAATCCCGTCACAGCTCAGTCAAAGAATCCTACGACCCATTTGGAAGTTGTATGGCTGATAATAATCTGGTGAAGGTGTGGTGTCGCTCCACTTTCTCTGATGCCAAGTAAATGATATGCGTATGATACTACGATACCCGATGGACTTAACTTCTTTCTTCGTTTATTCTTGTAGCACATGCAGATAGCAAGAGTGAAAATAAATGTAAACTTCGTTTTGTTTTGCTAAGGGAATCCGCATCAACGCCAGCTGTGTTTTTGGCCAAACATCTGCAAAGGGAACTGAAATAAAACATTCTGTTTATTGATGCCTTATCGATACAACAATTTCATTTTCGAGATCTTCGCAAACTTAGTCGTGCTCCTGCCTTAAAAATGCATTCTTAGGAGACACTTCTCATAATCGTTTTTAAAAACGTAGCGCATGGAACAATAAAGAACTGCCCTTGGATAATAATCGGGCCAGTAATTAACTTGTCGTGAAAATGCGTAAGCTTTCCAGAACATATCATTCTCGTTATTTATTAAAGCCTCGGTTAGTTTATAGATTCCATCGGCATCTATAGACTTATTTGCAAACAAGGGGTATTTCTTGCTGAATGTGTAATCCAACCGCCACACAGGAGTGGAGGACACTGAAAAAAAAAAGGTAAAGATACATTTAATCTTTTTAGACACAAACTGGGAAACGTTTGAAAGTGAAGAATAATGTAAAACTTCGTTTCAAATGGTGACACTAATTCTGAAGGCATTATATCGACGGATTTTCAATTTTTCGTTTGTTTAGTGGTCGCCGATGCCTATAATGTTACAACTCTCCACAACTCGGCATGATCGTTAACGCGTCCTTGTTTTGATTAGTTACGGAGCCACGCCCTTACCTTTGGTCGAGTCAAGGTCAATGTAGTATTGATTGTAGTCATAAAGAGACATTGATTGTTTATCTAATATCATCACACGGAAGGCTGGATTACTCTTGTAGTCTGGACTAAGAGAGGGAGCGATCAATGCAAAAGACTTCCTTGCGTCATTAGAGACAGAGTCAGAGTTTGATTCCAGAGTCTGAAGTCTGAAGTCGTCTTTGTGCACGTGACCAAATAGCTGACCTCCAATAAAAAATTTGAAAATCACAGGATCAGTAGTTACAATTTAACCCTTTATTCCAGTTAACTTCTGTGAAATTATGCTAAGCAGATCTTTTTCAGTTTTCGTCGCAAAAACGTAATTTGACTGCCATGACTAAAGGGGTGTCTTGATGTCCAGTATTGAAACACACATGCATACAACGAAAGTTTAGTGGAAGCCTAGTATTGAACAAAAATTCACTCCCCTCTTGTATGCTAATTGAAAGTAGGAGAGAATGCTTTTTTTGTTAGATTACTATCAATTTGTAAAATCTTCTCACCAGCTATCACTTTGTGATACCTTCCACCAACCAGATCCATATATCGTTTAGTAAAACTGGGCAACCAAAATGGCTCATGGTCGTCAACATCCACTCTAGAATTCAAAAAGCGATAGCACTGACAATACTGAATGATAAAACCCTTATAAAAATCCCGAGCATGAATGTTATCGAAGATTACTAACAGAACGAATCCAGACATTATTGCGCTCGACAATCGTTCATTTGATCAAGTGTGGTATGCTGAGGAAGGGAGTGGAGTTATAAAAGGGGTCTAATCATGGTTAAAGAAACGGCCAGCGGTTTTATGGAGAAGACAAAGCTAAATGTGCAAGTGGGGCTCTTTACTCAACCGCTTTATCGACAGACGCCGTTGTTCATCCAGGCAAGGAGGATTTAGTGATTAAAACAATTCTTGGATATCAGTGCTTGCTCATCAGTATCACGTTCATAACGCTTGATAACGGCAAACGTTCTTCATTAAAATCCTAAACAGAAATCACTCACCCTGGTGGAATGTGACTTGCTATCAGTACTCTCTTCCCTTGTCCTTCAGCAGACTCGAGTTGACTTTCTAACCACGACAACTGACTTAACGCAGTTTTACGAACTTGAAGATTGTCTTGGTTGCTTTTGTAGTGCCAGTATATGGTATTCAATACAATTAAAATCATTCTCCCATCTAAAGATCAAAGTTATTTGATCAGTTTGGTCACTGGTCGACGGAAAGGTATTAATTTATAGTCTTGCTGAAAAAATATGGCGCTTAGGCCTGCGCGGTGTTGGAAGACGTTCAGTTCGACCCAAAGAAAAATTATCTCTCTTCATAGGCTCAATGGATCGACAAAGAATTTTTTCTCCCCGCCAAATTAAACGCTACAAATATCTCATAACATTAGGGCAATAAGTTTCCTCGAATTTTAATGCTCAAAAATACCTGCAATGCTTGCATTGTAGTAACCGCCCTCAAGGAAGGTTTCTCTTAACGTGTTACTAAATGTAGATTTGCTTGCATCGCCTGCGCTGCCATCATAAATCATTAACGGTTCCCATGGAGACAAAACAGAGTTGTACCAATCACTGGTGTTCGGTAAAGTGAGTGGTACCAGATAATCATGTAAACCAATGACAGGAAACACAGGAATATCAGGAAAAACTGCATGTGTCTTATTCGCTGTCCTGATCATGGCTTCGAGAATGTGCTGTTCATCAACATCAACTTCATGTGCTGAGAAGTCTCCTACAAAGATAAAAAAGGAAGGGGAAAAAAGTAATGGACATTTTGGTGATTATTTGAAATTACATCTGTCACTGATCGACTGCAATAAAGCATAATTAGCTTGCGCAGCTGCATTCATCTCAGCGGTGTTCAGAAGTTCAATAATCTTTATTTTATCACTATGGCTATGGGCCAAACAAAAGCAACGGCTCGATTCTAACTTGAGGAGTTTTGATACCGACTTCCATTGAATGTACTGAATGACTATACTCAGGGTAACGCAAGTTAAAAAAAAAATCAATGATAGTTAATTTCATGACTATTTGAGCGACTCGGTGATTCTAAGGGAAACAACCTGCAAAGAGATAAAATGTGTTTTAATCCGCAACACCTCAAAAGCGTCAGGCAATTATTCAGAACCATTCAAAAGCCGTCAGGAACAAAATGTTCAAAACAAACGCGCAGTCTCTATTGTTTTACGCAAGTCTTCTAATTCAAAACAGAAAGACCTCGTAGTTTGTTGTTTTTGTGTATTTCTTTATTTTCGTGTTTGATGGTTTGTTATATAATATGTTTAACGACTACTTGGTACGAACCTTTTCCCTAAGCCTGATAAAGGTTCTGGAGTTCCTATTCATTATTTATGTAAATGATATTTCGGCAAACATTACATCAACCGTGAAAATCTACGCTGATGATACTAAAATCTATCGCAAGATCATGGAGCCTGATAAGGATATACCAGCCTTACAGCTGGACTTGAACAAATTAAGCGATTGGGCTAACAAGTGGCAGTTGCGCTTTAATCCTGAAAAATGTGAAGTTATGCGTGTAACGCACAGTAGAGACAGATCCAAGCCAAGTTATTCCCTTGGTACGCAACTAAAATCTGTCGACAGTGCCAAGGACCTAGGGGTCACAATAAACTACGATCTATCTTGGGGTAAACACGTTTCCTACATAGTAAACAAGGCGAACAAAGTGTTGGGTATAATTAGGCGATCACTTGGAAACGATAATCGCTATGCGTTTTCCTGCCTCTTTAAGTCGTTAGTAAGACCTATACTCGAATACGCTGTCCCCGTCTGGAGCCCCTACCAAAAAAAGGATATCGAATCCTCGGAAAAAGTCCAAAGAAGGACATCTCGGTTGGCATTAAAGCAAAAACGCGGAGAAATGAGCTATGAAGACCGCTGCCGCCTACTGAATTGGCAAACTTTGGAGAAACGAAGAGAGTTTTTATCTCTAATCCAGTGCTACAAGATAGTTCTGGGAATAGATAGTCTTCCTTTTTCGGACTTTTTTGAACTTACTAAATGTAATCGAACTAGAGCCAATCACGATTGTAAACTCTACGTAAAAATAGCTATCGTAAATTGCTACAAATTTTCTTTTTTTGTACGGATCGTTAATATGTGGAATAATTTGCCTAAAGATATTGTACACGCAGGATCATTGACTTTATTTCGTAACAGACTTAAGATTTACATGAATATTGATTGAGATGATGGTAAACAGTTTTTAATTATCTGTGTATAATGTTTTGGTCTTTTTATTCGGGGAATCTTTTGTATAGGGTTAACCGCTAGAATATCCCCTTTCGAGAGATACTTTTATAATTTTTTTTTTTCATTTTCCTTCTCTTGAATAAAGTATTGTCATTGTCATTGTCATGATGGACAAACCCGAATATATCCGCCTAGTAAGCGCTGCTTCCGTTGACAACACCCTAAATTTTCACACGTTGATCACAAACGACCGGCAAAAATGCGTGGACGACCACCTAAGCATTTTCGCCCTCTCTTTCAGAAAGAGAAAGAGTTGCAAGAACATTTACGTCAAATTTTGCCTGAAGAAATTGCCAATTCATTTTCTCCAAAGAGTTCCAGGCTCACTCATCTTTATGGCTTACCTAAGACTCACAAAGCCACGCTGGGATGAGGTCTATTTTATCAGCAACCGGAACCTACAATTACAATCTGGCTTTATGGCTTGAAGAAAAGCTGAAACCACTTTCCATAAATTAGTATACAATCACTGACACCAAAGCCTTTGCTGATGAGATTCGTACTCGTTCTATGAATAAAGACATATTGGTCTCTTATGACGTCACAGCTCTCTTCACTTATGTGCCTTTAGATGAGACTATCAACATCGTGGTCAACAAAGCCTTCACAGATGATTGGTTCAACAAAACCAATGGCCTTAATCTGCAAAAGGATCAGCTTACTGAACTACTCAAAATTGCCACAACCAATCAGCTTTTTCAGTTTAATGGTCAACTTAACCCTAACCCTAAATTGCGCTCTACTTTCAGTCGTCTTGAAAACCCTATGGGCCTTACTGATTCCGCTATTAATAATTTAATTTTTAGAAATGCTTCGGCAAGCACAGCGGAAAGAAACGCCGATGATAGAGGCACAGTAAGAATTAGTCTTCCATTCAAAGATCAAGTGGCCCCTGATGCGGTTCGGAAGCAGTTAGGCGATCGTAGCCGTAAGATTCTCCAAACATTGCAGCCTGTTTTTGTGAGCAAGAAATTGGGGCAAGATCTTAAACCTAAAGAAATGAAGCCGTCAATTGCGAATCGGCAATGCGTTGTTTACCGTTTCTCATATGATCTGTGCGATGCAGATTATGTCGGGTACACAGCCCGACACCTTCATCAACGCATTGCTGCGCACAAATATTCGACAATCGGTTGACATTTTGTGGAAGCTCACGGTAGCAACCACCTCTTGAAAGAAAACCAAGTTAGAGTTTTAAGAAAGTACCAAGGAAAATATGATTGTTTTGTCTTTGAAATGCTGTTCACCAAGAATCTCAAGCCAAATTTAAATATCCAGGCGGACCCCATACGTGCACTACTATTGTTCTTTTCTAATGGTTTAGCTTTTTATCACCCATTGTTATTTTGGTGTATTTATAGAGAGTGCAACTTGTAAATATATTTTTTGACTTTCAATTGATAAGGACGTTTAGCCAACTTCGAAACGTCGTCGTTTTTTATAAATCCTAAAATGTTTTTTAAGAAATATTTTTTCTCAATTTTTTATAGTTAAATGTTTTTCTATATCACTTCTTCTTCGATACGTTTTTGCATAATTTTGATGACAAATATGAAATAAAAAAATATCATGGGACTTACCTGAGATCAGTATGAAATTCAGCTTTGTGTCTTCTGTAGCGTTCTTTATCGCTTCTAAGCTGCTTTCCAGCAACAATAGTGGAGTGTCACACCCAATTCTTCCCAAAGGAGCTTTAAACTCAGCTGTTTTGATGGATCCGTTTGCTGCGCGACACATGTCACGCTTTGGAATGGAGCTGTTGTACTTCAGATCTAAGTTGACATCTGTGAGATGTATAAAATGGACCAAGCTCTGTTGAGTTGTAAATTTCTCCTCAGATACTGAAGTTCCTTGTTTGTAATCCGAGTCACAGTCAGGACAATGAAGACAAAGTACAAATGTGAGAATCAACATCAACGATAGAACAACGCAAAGACTTCCCAGAGATATTAGCAAGACGAATACAATGAGTCTTTTCCTTTTCCGATTGTTCTCGGAATCGTTTGGAGACGATATTTCTAACTGTTCAGTCATTTCAATCGTCTGAAAGACATCCGAGGTAGTGTTGCTTCGTCACTGAAACAATGTGGGAGTGACAGTTGAAGAGATAACCATAACAAGTCATTGGTAATGTAATTTGTCTCCAAATAAACTGAGGGTGTTAAATATTGATATTTTTTCATTTGTATGACATCACTTGTAATGTATCCTATTGGCTCTGGTTGTTTTGTGTTACAAAAAGATCGATTCAATAATGGGCGAGAACGGTGTTGTTTAGACTGGCAGAGAAGAACTTCTCTGTTAGCGGGTTAAATCCAAAATAAAGTTTTCAAGCTAGAATCATCTATTCATTTCTTGAAACGAGCAAGTGCAAAGGAAGTCCCGGATTTATCAGATGATCAGATAGGGTTCCCAAAAGCAGATACCATAGTTACAGACAGGACATGTCTCAACACGGAAGCGTTCCTTTGACGAGTACGCCACAGAAAAATCCTTTAGTTGTCATGTGCTTAGGACAAAGACAAAAAGACTGTCCTAAGGTCACAAGGATTAACTAGCAGCACTCCAACTTTGGATGACACCCTTTTAAACTGCTTCAACAGTTTTCACCATAGCTCTACCTATACCCTCTGTTTTTGCCTACATATACCACGTGATCTAAAGCGATCACAGAAACTGCATCTTCTCCAAATCGCTCTCCAAACCGCAGAGTTCTGAAAACGATGTTTCTCTTTGTCACGTTGGGAGAATAGATGCGTGGTATTTGAGGACGAGAACGTCACAGGGGTAGGACGCCGTACATGATAATCTCTCGCATGCCAATAACTCGAAAATTGCGCATGCGTGAAACTTTCACAAAATGCTTCAAATGCAGAATAAAGGGGCAAAAGGAAAATATTATTCTTTCGCAAGATGGAGGAAATGTTTACAATGACGCTTGGACGTAAATGTCATCACTAAGCTAACAAAAGGCGTATCTTGACAACTGATGTTACTTTACGTAAAGTGGAATTTGCCGATATCACCGTGGTTTTTTTTATGACGAAAAAACCAGTAGAGATGAGATAAGTGAGACGTTTTGAAATAACTTCACAGCGCATAGTATTTAACGGGATAAGAATCGTGGAGGAAACCAAAGAAATAGTTTTTTTAGCGAAAGTGGAAGCTGTAATTTGACCTGTCAGCAATATTATTAATTGATACTGCAGGATGATTGTTCTGTGTTAATATTAATTTTCTTTTTTTCACAGAGATGTGGATTATTTGAGACCGAATTCATGAAAATTTAATGATTCGAAGTGTTTTCAATTTTGATAATTACAAAGGGGCGAACACCTTTGGAAAGGAGTTGGATTGTAAATTAATTAACAAATATAGTCCTGATGGCTGATGTTCTTGACGGCTGTTTCCAGCGCATCTTACTTCACCATACAGCCATTAGATTTCGTGCGTCGTGTCCGTATTTGACGTTAAATTATTCTAGCAATTCTTCGTTTATCTTATTTATTATTTACGCAGCAGCAGGTGGGATTAGGTAATAAATGAGATAAGGTTTGGTGTTTGTTGGCTCTTATCAGTTTAAGTTTTTTGTGTCGTATGGAAATTTGAAGATGAAAAGTATTCCCGTGTAAGCGAGTGCTCCTCAAATATCAAAACTTGGTTCGATTTTGTGCAAAACTATTAAAAAAAAATACCATGGACATCATTGTCCTTCTTCTGGACATGGTATTAATGACATTCTGCAGATTGGAGTCAAAAACTGCAAAGTGCGACGGAAAATTTGAACTGAGTGGACTTAACCATGGCCACTTGGAGCAAGGAATTAAAAACCATGCCATAGTGGGACACAGTTTTAAAAATTTCACGTTGCCAAAAATTTATGATTGTCATATCCAGTGTTTTGACGAGAAATGTAAGTGCCAAGCATTTCAAATATCTGGGGATCGCTGTGAGCTGTTGGATGAAGATAGATATTCAACTCCTGATGAGTTCATATATACTCCTGGATACGCTTACTTTGATATGAGCAGGGAATATATTCACCAGGTAAGGGTGATATGTCTACTGGATACAAATATTTCGCTCATTCGAAATGCTGGTTTGTCTCACTTCTACTTTTTCTGACGGCTTTCGAAAACGACGTGAGTGTCGACTTCTTGTTGGAAAAAAGTTTTCTTTTATTTTTTGCCCATAAAAAGGGTTTAGGACACATGTTTCAAAAATAGTTTAGTTGTTCTCCAATTCTCTCTTTTTACGTCGCCACAAGCCAAAAATGATTTTTGGCTAGACCGTCCCAGTGAACAGCAATCGAAAATGTAAATTTCAAAGATTTTGTCCAGCGCGCAGCGACTGCAACAATGCGGCTCACGGAATTCTATCTTGCTACAAGCTACAAGATGTATTCAATGTCTAATCATGTGTCAAGTTTTCAAGCTCGTTCTATAACGATTGAAGTTTACGATTAAAGCTCCAACATGCAAATTGAAGAGGATCTTGTTGTTTAACAAAGGACAATTTTGCGCAGTTTTGAGGGATCTAGTTGGTAAGGTAACGTCAAACCCTTAATAATTAAATTGCTAGGGTTTATGCATCGTAGTGAGTAGCAGTGTGTTAACTTCAACACCAGTTTCTGCTCATTTTACAGCCAAATAATCTATGATATGTGTATTGTAGGTAACTTCAGACAGCGCATATCCAGACTCACACTGCAGTAATCAATGCTGTAGTGATAGTGTGTGTCTTAATGGGGCCACGTGCACCGAACTCTGTCAGGACGCCAAACACAAGTTTAAATGTTCATGTGCACCAAGATATGTCGGGAAATTTTGCCAGAAGCGAAGAACTTCTTGCAAAGAGCAGCTTTTAATGGACAAGAAGTCATCGTCGCAAGCTTACTGGCTGTTTGATCCGACAAGCAACTCTTGGTACGAAACCTTTTGCGATTTTACCACTGAAAATGGTTTTGTTTGGACTCTTATTGAATCGTTCAGCCTGGTTAATAACCAAAATTTCGCGGATAAATCATTCTATAAAGATTATCCTGTCATTGAGAACGATTTTAACTGGAATAAGTTCCGTTTGTCTTTGAATCGGATGGAGTCAATTGCTAACCAGTCCTCTCACGTGCGTGCAACATGCAACTTTAACACTGATGGTCTGAACTTCACTGATTACTTGAGAGCCAAACTGACTGATATCGATGTGATGCGGAAGAAATTCGACGATTGCAGGAATTACGAATACATTAACGTCCGTGGTTACGGTTGCCATGACTGCACTGCTGTGTTTGTTCAGCAGGATATGTGGCATGCACACGTGGACTCGTATCATGGAGCAAGGTGTCAGTTGAACGCATCAGGAGCAATAAAGGACCCAGGGGGGGAGGATGACTTTGGTTGGTACCAAACAGTAAACCCCATTCATAGGTGCTCTTCAAATAACAACTCCACCACACAATGGTGGTTCGGAGAACACTAAGATTATTCTAGTAAGCAGTAAGGGACCTAGGGATATAAATACTAATTGAGAAAAGGATATTTGTTCGAATTCTTAAATAAAACCGTTTTCGTATATGCTATAGAGAAGGTAAAATTTGGAAATCAAGGCAAACTGATGTTAGCGAAGCCAAGCACAGTTTTACACTGGGTGGTGATTTGTTACCACAGACCTGAAACGATCGGTGGCGCTAGCCAGTTTGCGCGCTCGCACATACGCATCGTTTGATTAAGAAAGATGTGCATTTATAATTTTATTCTTACGATTACGAAAATTGCAAGAATCTTTATCCTCCTTAAGTGTCAAATTTATATCAAATTATGTTCAATTTATACTATTCCCTTTTAGTTTTCATAGTAACACTTGAATATAATTTGATGAATGTGCTAATATATACATCTTGTTACTTGTTAATATCGTGATTATAAAATGTCATAACATAGCTGCCATCTGTGATGTTTATGATTATGACGAGTGTTCTGCAGTTGTGCCACAAGTTGCTACCATCTCAATCCTAAAGTTAATTGTAGCCTATAAATTTAACCCTTGGTAACAACTAACTTTTGAAAATTGTTTCTTTTTAAAGTAATTTTGTTTTTAATGTTTCATTAGAGTCCAGTTGAACAACTCTATGTGCCCTATTTTTTAGCAGTAACTATCATTTCGTGCACAAGATAATCAGTTTTGTTATTATCTAAAAGCTAAGCAATTATCCATCAGTTTATAGCCACGAAATGTTTTCAAAGGAGTTTAGAAAAGCATCCGATATGTAAGATACATAAAAAAAAACAAACAAACAAACAAAAAGCAAGTAATATAATTGTGCAATTTTTGTAGAATTAAACGATGTTAGTATTTACCACACGAGAGAAAAATGCTCTTCGTGAACGCTGATTGGTTAGTTCGGAAGTGACTAGCGAGTACAATTCACTTCCTCTTTGGTGAATATTTGTTAACTACTGTGTGTTAAATGCCCTGACAAAAAATAAAAAATTTAAAAAAACTTGACTTGCTTTTTAAAATTAACATCAGGATGATTTTATTCCTTTTCTGTTTCCATGGGGCCCAGTAATAACCCGAAAATTTTTTTGCGTTTCCACTCTGATAAAATGTTTTGAATTCTTCATTACGCCGAAATAACTGGGGAACCAAAAACATAACCAAGACTTTTCCATGTTAAACATCTGATAAAAGATTCAAACTGATATTTAAACAAGTTTAAGTTTCTTTGAAACAAAAATGGAATCACGTACGAATAATATCTTTTTGTATTGAAATTGTCCAATTTAAACGCAGCTGTTGCGTTTGAAATTTATTCTGAATTAAGTCGTACAGGAACCAATTACATGTGAGTACGTATGATGGCGCAGGTTAACTTAGCGCGCTCACCATTATTTAGAGACCAGAGGAACTTCGCCATTCAATTTAGCCTGGAGATTTGTACGGCGAACTTTATCAGTAATTCAAGAAACTTAGAGGTAGGAATCTCCCTTTCATCAGTTACATGGTCATCATTTCTTCAGTTAACTTATAAAAAAAAGGATTTTGTGCAGGTGTTAATACTTATTTGCTTCCTCACCAATCAGTCCTTATTGTTACTACATACTTTATACCTTTGCATAATTGTGTGCTCTTGTCTTGTCGGAACCGCGAACGGCTACCCTTTTAGCTCTCTGATATTTCCTCATAGATCTCTACCGACCACTTGCAATATTTGGTATTAATAAAAACTGGATCAAAATTATTCGATTTTTAGCCTTTTGATTGGCTGAACGGAGCAGTGCTAGGAACTTGCAACCTAGCTCTGAGCTCATAACCTAGCTCCAAAAAATATGCCTAGCCAATGAATTCGTCAGCGAAGTAAGAAAAAAAAACCTATGTGAGCAATCCGTGAAGCAATGACATAAAGACAATTTGCAAAATGTTTTGTATTTACGTTGCGATAACATTTGCCACACGCGAAAGTTGATCGTTTAACTGACACAAAAGCTTGTTGGTAGAATTATAATAATTTTTTGTGTGCGTTTTGTATCAACAGGCTTACAGGCGAATGTGAAAGCGATCCTCGAAGTTATGAATACTACTTAAGTAGTAGTGAAAATTAGACCTGAAAAAATTTAGGCCCCTTCAGGATTTGAACCAATCAACTTTGCGATACCGGTGCAGTGCTCTACCGACTGAGCTAACGAGCCAACTCGAATATGAGATCATTGATAAAAACAAAACAAAACAAAACAAAACAAAAAAAACTCGGCCTTACGCACCTCTTTGGTTATTTTATATCATTTCATATTATTATTAATATCCAAATTTAAACAATTTGACCTCGTGGTTATGACCGAGCCTCTGCAGTTGAGAGGCGTGGACGATATCATAAACCCGTCTTACTGCGTGGAAGTCAACCTGGACTCATCAGTCCAGGGTGAGGGTTCGCTGTCTGTGACCTCAAATCAAACTCGCGCTGTGCGCTCGCTCGATTTTGAAATCGCTCGTATGCTTTCAGACCAAATTTAACTCCACTCAGTTCAGTTACCATTATCTATCAGAAACAACATCAAATTCACCATTCTAGATGAAAGACCCTTAGTATTTGGAATTCTCGTGGATCAAATTACGACCTATGCAACTCCACAGGGGCTAGAGCTGTAATTTTGAAACTTCAATGGATCATTTTCTATCTAATTTTCTATCTATCTAATGATCTATTTACTTAATAATCTATCTCTCCATCCATCCATACATCTATCTATCTCTATATTTCTAGCTCTCTATCTAACAATCTGTCTGTCTGTCTGTCCATCTATCTATCTATCTATAGATCTAATAATCTATTTAGTTGTCTATCTGTTTATCTATCCATCCACATGTTCTATCTATCCATCTATGGATTTATCTATCTATCTATCTATCCAATAATCTATATGTCTATCTGACAATCTATTTATCTATCCATCTATCTAATAGTCTATCTAACTATTACTCTAAACATCTATTTTTTCAGATTATAGGAGTTAATAATGACTGCTGGTCCCTCAGCTGTAGTCCTGCTGATTTCTGCCTTGACTGTGTTGCCAGTAGGGTCTCTGAAGTTCTTTCACGTGTCTGATGTCCATCTTGATCCATTCTACAATAAGGCTGCGGATGTGAGCACGTATTGCCAGGGATCTGGCTCAACAGCAGATTATGAGGCACCTTATGGTAGGGTCGGTTGTGACTCACCGTTAGCTCTGTGGAAAATTGCTCTATTAGGAATGAAGGAGGAAGGACAAAGTGCTGAGTTTATGATGCTCTCTGGTATGAAGCTAACATGTTTTTGTAAATTGTCAATCTGTTGACCATCAGTCCCTCAAGAAGCACTCTTCTATTCAATGGCTCTTCTATTCTTGCCCACTTTTCAGCTTCTTCATGTTAATTATATTTAGATTGCATGAAGATTGCTTATTTTCTTTCCGTAGGAGATTCGTCTGCCCATGGTCTAACAGATGATCATGGTTCACCAAAAGTCTTAAAAGCCATGTCCATGGTGGCAAGTGAAGCCCACAAAGTGTTTCCAGACATTCCAATTTTTCCTGCAATTGGCAACAATGACCTCCCTGGACATTATATTCTACCAAACAATAGTGATTGGTACAAAACAGTCTTGTCTTACTGGGCCCCACTCATTTTGTGCTCACATTGTCCCAGGAGCGTGGAAAAGCCTACAACAATGGAGGAGTTGGCAAAAACATTTCTAGAGGGCGGTTACTATAAAGTCAACATTGCAGGTGAGATCCTTGCTGGCATTTCTGTAAACAAAGCATAGTAAAAGAGGGATGGGTATCTAGAAAAGACTTGAGCAGCCTGGAAAAACATCATTGGAAGAAAATTAAAAGAAACAAAACGGAATCCAAACCAGATATGGTTCCGAATCCCACGTGAAAAGAAAAATCTTAGATAAACTGACAAGAACAATTGGGTTCAAACGCTTACATATCATGATGTCACTTGGCATATGTACCATTGAATTACAGGTGGAAAAATGATTTTACTTGTGCTGAATACCATGTACTGGAATAACAACTGGTACACGAATGATCTTGTTAAACAAATTGCTGAAACTCAAATGCAGCGGTTCAAAGACCAACTTCAACTCGCCAAAGACCAAAAGAAAAGAGTCCTTATCATGAGCCACATCCCACCTGGGTAATTTTTGTTACCATAACCTTCTTTATCAGAGCCACCTTTTAAATCAAATTAACAAACTGAAAACGTTTCTTTTGATTGTCTCAGAGGCGACCCATATGATGGTTCCTACTTCTGGCATAAACAATATTTAATACCTTATGCAAGTCTGACAGCCGGACAATTCCATGATGTAGTGGCAGGTAACACTCGTATTCAGCAAAGTTATGGGCATTGAATGAGGGAAATTATGTGCTGCTGTAAGGAATTCCATTTGTAATAGTTTTTTTTTGTTCTCTCTCGTAGAATTTGCACATCCTGTGTGGAAGTTTGATTCCACATTTAGCAGAAAGTATCCATCAAAACACAAGTTAATCGATGCAGACAGAATCGATGAGCTGAACCATAAGCTGATCAGCCAAACTGAAGGCAGATATTGGAATGAATACATGCCTTCAACAACCTCCCACTACCAGCTGGGTTCATACGATCGGTTTGCCCTCTATTGTGTCATGAGATATGTCTCTGAAGACGATTTTCAGAAATGCCATGAGAAATTCAAAGTATCTGGTGGCTAGTTAAATAATTATAACAAAATATGTTATGAGGTATTCAATGTAACATCATATCCTGGAGTATATGAATAAAATGCATGTCTAAAATACTTTTGTATTTGCCATCCTTCATACACCCTGCTACTAATCCATTGAAAGTATAAATCAATCAAATATCCCTAACTCCCTTCACAAGTTTCAGATGAGCCTTCCACACATAAGAATATCATCTTGGAAATTAATATTTCTACATTTTTGATTGGCATAGTAACAGTTTTATAAGTTGTATTTTGATGATAAAATTTACTGCAAATGTCCTATAAGGCAAGCCAAACTTTCACTTGAGTATTAAATTTAGTCTTGCTTCGTTTGATCAATAGATATTTACAATTTTGGTAGCAATTCTTTTATTATAAAGTACATATAATGCCCTCTTTTGTGCTCAATAGCCTTGTCCTTTTTATCTAATTACATCAAATTTCCTCAGCCTTGGCTGTCATGTTTGCTTGTGCCTTTGCCTTTGTGAAACATCCTCAAGACACGATCTATCATCAATACTGCAATCAGGGAACCCAACAACAAGCCAGTAAGGACATCACTCCAGTGATGCTTGTAGTCACTAACGCGGGACAGCCCACACAGAACAGCCAACTGAGCAATCAACAGCTGGAGGGAAAACTTCAGAAACCTGCTATGGGGGAAATTGATCATGATTTCCATATACAGAATTGTAAATGTCACGGCATATGCTGCAAATATGAGAAAAAAAGCCAAGTTTAGAATGATAGCACAATCCTTTCTGTCAGGGACTCTTCATACAAGTGCAGCTGGGTGCAACAAAGCAGATTGACATGGTTGGTTTTCAGATAGAAACTTCCAACGCAAACAAAAGAAAAAAAATTGATATAAAACTATGCCTTTGATTTTGGATTAGAATGTAGCTTATGGTGTTAGGTATTATTGGTTGCTGTGCAGTGTTGTTGAAGAGAACTTTTTCATATACTACTGCTTATTCTTACAGTTCATCACATTTGACCTTCAGCTGATTAAATTTGACCACTAAAGGCAAATGGAATTATTACCTGAGAATGAAGCGTGGCCTGATGGAAATGACAAGCGTCCTTCTCTAAGCAAACCTGGGTCACCTGTGCACACATCGTCCGTGATGTATGTGTGACTGCAGTTCAAAAATACAGAAGATGGAGCTTGGCAGATTGACAGAAAATGAGGTCTTAATCGTCCGACTGTGTATTTTCCGATATCAGTGACAAAAATAGTGACAAGCCCTCCAAAGGCAAAAGAAACCAAGAGGTTGATTAGATTAATATGGTTCGGCTTGAGCTTCAGCCATTTAAAGGGGACATATTCACTGTATTCTGAAGATCTTTTATGTCGTCGCTGGCTACACAGCTCTTTGACACAGATCACCAGATAAGCAAGAGCAAAGCCAACGGAATAGAGCACCGAAGATGGGACAGTACTTTCTTTGTATGGCTTGTTAATACTATCATCATCACAATAAAACCCTCTGTGATATGGAACGGCAACTAGTTTGAATAAAAGACAAACCAACCCGACAACTAGCAAACAAGTGAAGTCCACTATGAGCCAAGCCAGACGGGGCTTCTCTGGTTTAAATGGTTCTAGATCAGGCGATGAGTCGTCAACTGTTAGTTCCACAGAGAATCTACACTCATCTGTAGGCTGAGCTTTGTTTTCCATGTCGCTAAATGTTTTTAAATACCATCTGTTGATACTGGTACCCAATATATTGTTCAAAATATTGTTTTCGTTATATGTACTAGGCCAGGTTACCAAGATCGCCTAGGGACCAGGCTTTCGCCCAGCCACGAAGACTGTAGTATCGTATATTAGTGCAGTTTGGTTGCAAACCTTGGATTGTTATTTAAAAATGCCCACCACCCCCAAATTTGACGAACCATGGATGGACGAACTCGATGGACATAACTGTGTGAGTAGAGCTATTAGTTTTGGAGCAAGAGGAGCGTTTGTAGGTAAGTGCACTGAGTTTGTAAATGTTATTGTGATTCCAAGTAATCAGGCTTCACGCCAGAAACTAGAACGGTGGAAGACTTTGGCACACTTTATGTGAATCCCAGGAAGTTCTTCTTTAATCTGTGTCGAGCGAGTATGTTCCCTTTCTTCAAATAAATGTAATCTATTTGAAAATAAATATGTTTGAAGTGTACAAAGCTGGTGGAACATAGAATAGCTAGTCAATGAGACTTTGACCCACACAGTGATTTGTTAACCCATTTCTTTGTTTACCATAATGTCTTAGTATTATTATTACCGTTATTGCTATTATTATTATTATTATTATCATCACTATTATTATTATTATCGTTGTTTTTGTTGCTGTAGCTGTAATTGTTATCATTGTTATAATATGGAAAGCGATGGTCATTCCTATGTATTGATTTTGTTACCCATCACTAACAAACCCATTCTAAGAGAAATGAATTAAGGGCTAAATCTTTCAAGAAACTGTGTTGCAGCTTCAGTGGGAGAGTGTAACAGGATAATTTAGGGTAATTTAGCTACTGTATAGAGTTTAAAAGCTGAAGTTTTAACAGTTAGCCTTTCGTCATAAGGGCTAACACTTGAAATGTCAGCTTTTAAACTCTCTATGGTGAGCATGACCAGGATGAGGTTGGGAAGTCAAGCAAATGAAAATGTACAATGTAACGGGGCTTTCATATTCAGCAAATAGACCCTTTTGACTTTGGTTCTCTCTCTGGCATTCCAATCTTTCTCAATTTTTCTGATTGATTGAACCTCATGTAAGAGACCTAGGTCAGTTAAATACAGGAGAGTTTACAGAGATGGCCTGGGCAGGCATGGATTCATTGGGTTCAAAGGTTGAAAAATAGAGTATGAGAGGAAAATATAATCTCAACACAGAATTCATTTACACAGTGACTTCATGCCATTTTAAATTGCCATAGGTGTCCAAAAAAAACTATACAGGAATAGGAAACAAAGAGCATCAGGAAACATGAGAAGAAAGCATCAGGAAACACAAGGACAGAAGCCAAATTCTGTACAATATAAGAACTTTGATTCATCCTTGATGATTTTGAGGATGTGCCAAAGCTTGGAATTTTTAAAGATTTTCACATCAATTTTACAGTAATTAAGGCCTCATTTGAACTTTTTAAAATTTTTATTTTGTAATTCTAGTATTTATAATTACTTAATTCATTGTGTTAGGTACTTCCATTTTGATTTTTACCTAGGGTAAAATGGTTCAAGATTCTCTTCTGAAAATTTCAATCATTCTTACTTCAGTAAAAGTTTGGTTAGACATGTTATGTATTTATACAGGCAGGCTATTTTAAAGTTTGACTAGAGTAGGTTTGTTGAAGCTTTCATATCATTGCTTGTCTATGTTGCTATGTCAATATGCAAACTTTCCTCTCATTTCCATGACCTTGGTTGATTTTATTTAACATTTCAGGTGGTATCTATGGTGCTGCTTGGTCTGCACTGAGAATCCCAGATCCTCATCCCACTCCACTTATCCTGCAGTCCTTTATTTTGATGAAGAATAACTCAATCCTTGTTGGTTTGTGATTTTATTACATAGTTCTTTACTAAATTTTGAACTTCAGTTGCTGGTTAGTTAATGAACAGAGGGTCTTATCCTTTAATTAAAAAAAATGGCCTGTGAAGATTCTCAAGGATCCAGTGGCTATTTTTGGCTATCAAAAATGATTGGTTTATAACTATGGTGAAGAGCCTCACTTGTCATGATATTTTAGGTGGTGCAGCAAGTTTGTTTGCTTTAACAACATGCACAGCAGCTTCAATGAGAGAAAAAGATGACCATTTTAACTGGGCCTTGGGAGGTGCTGCAAGTGGAGTTCTGATTGGATTTAGCAGTAAGTTTCTCTAATTATTATCTTTTTTATCTACCATTTATCTGATGACATGTTACTATAGGGCTTTTGAGAAGGTTTTCTGTCTAAAAGACATGATAATTGCTCTGCTACTGTTCTAATGCTTTGGTTGTGAGTTTGAAATGAGGAATTTTTTAACAAAATCCATTGGGCCCTCTCAGGTTCACAATTTTACCATCAGGCAGAGGCAACATCATTTGTTGTTTCTTTTTATGTACAGAGAGCAGTTGGGGGTTGGGCTGTGGTCTGGCAACAGCATTTGCCGCTGCTGGAGCTTTAGCCAAGTACTCTGGTGTGTACAAACATCCTCTGCGTACTGACAGAGTCTATGTGTGATGCACGTTGAGGCTCATAAGATACATTACCTTGGCCACAAGTTTTGAATGTTAATTGTGAATAAAAACTTTACAATTGATCCTAAATAACATCTAGCTGTTTAGAACATTAACCTGCAGCTAAAATGGTGAGCCATTTTTGGTGGGATTATGTGCAGTCTACTGTGAGAAGACAGATAAACGAAAGTTGTTAAGCGCCGAAGTTTCTTAGGAATAAAAGATTATTTGGCTGTTTTATGTATATGCTTGTTATACACTATCGAATAAAATAACCATCGGTATTGACGCGAAATTCACTTCAGATCAAGCACTGCAATGTGGATTCTCTTCCCAAATCTTCGACTGAAGAGCTTTCCTTGTTGAAACTGTAAGGAGGTATTTTCAGTGGGAAGTATTCGACTATGTTACGTTATTAACTACCTGTTGAATTAAGATACACGTCTCTTGGCAACAATATCACCTTCCAGTGCCAACCAGCTTACTAACTAAGTATGCATTTAAAAGCAATTAGTAACCTGTATTTGGTTGGGATCTTGAATATTTTACTTGACAACATGAAGTCTTAAATTTTTATCGGGAAAAGCGTCCAAAAGTCAACATTTTATTGCATTGAAATGATGAAACACTCACAGTAGACCATCACAATTTCGAAACCCAAATCCATAAAATTTAAAAGCGGTATTTAAAGTTAATGAAAAGTACACAAACCGAACTACTCATCTGGAACAGTAACTGTGAAAAAAAATTGTCCTAATAGGTGATAATTGCAACACTTAATTACGTCTACAAAACGATCTCGTGCAACGAAATATTGCAGAATACGCAGATCATGTCTCGGTCATTTGCTGATAATAGTGTGTTACAACAGAATTTCATCTCCCGTGTTCCAAGAAAAATTATTACGCTAAAATTATGGAGACCTTCCATTAAGTTTAACCGGAGTCGCTTTTTATTGCCGCGGGCGAAACTGAGCGTAGACTGGTACCTGCTAAACTTTCCATTACTGGTGTTTGGCCTAATTGAACATAATTGGCTTATGAGGTCACGCTTCGAAAAATTTGTCAGGGAATCTGTGATATTCTCCTCATGAAACCCAACAGGATATCTTTAAAGGGAATTTGTCAATGCTCACTGCTTTTACGAGTTTTTTGTGGTTGCAAGATTCCCTCTCCACTCATTTGAATCCTCAGTGTACCCAGATTTCATGTAAAATGGCCTCTTTTGTATCAGTTATTGTTGGACTTATAATCATGGCGTGCGCTTTTGCTGGGTTAATTGTGGCTGCTGACGAATGTACCAGACACCCAAGAGCTCTTTGATGCAAATTTATTTTTCGAAGCGTGGTTCCACGAGTGGAACATTTGACAAAGAAGACAGACGAACCTAAACTGATATACACTTTACTTGAGAGGGGACATCAAACAAACTGTCCAGGGTTAAGTCCCAACCACTTACATCACAAACCCGACGGTGGACACGATTCATTCAACAGCTTCCTTCAGAGAAGACTTGACTTACTCTATTTACCACGACCGCTTCTGATTGCCGGATGGAACCCATTCACTCAGCTTTACCAATTAGAATTGACATTGCTAAATTTAATGACAGGCTTTTAATATGGCAGGGAATTTACCACCAGGGATAGGGGAACTGTCGTTTGAAAATAACAAAGGGGGGGGGGAGGGTGAGGAGAGGGTAGAAATCATATTTTATTTTCACTCAGAATTCTATGTACGTGTATAAAACTGCTCTAGTTTTAGCACCAAGTTATCCTTAAAGGTTACACGCGAAGATTCCGTAAATGCAGCTCTGTCCTTCTGTTTGGTAGAGGTCAATTATTTAAAAGTACTTTGTGGTATTAGCTTGTCTGATGTGTTAATTATGTAGCCCTCGTATGTGAAAATTGTTCAGCCCACTTTCAAATAACTCCTTAAGGGAGTCGATCTCCGACGATCATTTTTTCTCATTTGCATATGATAGTTTCCCCCGCATTTGCCTGCAACGACACATGTTTGAGGCCAGAATTCACACTCTGCGTGTGCTTTTGAAACAATTTGATTTTTAGTCGATTTTAAAAGTTGAATAGAACCTAGAGAGTGTGAATAAAACAATTTCTTGATCTCCATGACTTTATTTTCTTATTGCAAATTAATCCATCTAACATCCGTGAATTTGAGTCACTCGAGCTAAGAATGATGCAGTTGAAAAGAATACTGAGTTCAGAAATAAGATAATAATGACCATGCATCCGATCCAACAATCACTCCAGCCGCCATCACAAATATTTAAACATCGACCTTCCCACAGAATCAGTTTGGGCTCGATTTCCGCCGTTTTTTCCCCTTAAGTCCAGTCTTCGATCTCCATTTTCCAAAAAGTAGCGTGAAATCGAGCCTCATTATAAAAGCTTCCTAGCTCTTTCTTTATTTTGTATGTTTTGTTTTGTCTTCACTCATCACTCGGTAAAACGTCGTGGTATCTTGACCAAAAAATGATGTCGGTAGAGAACAGTTCGCGTATCACTTTATTTTTTACAAATTTTATTTTCCCCGGTGTTTGGAGTCTCTAGGGGATAGCTAGAAAATATTACTGGTCAAATGGAAGGCATTCCTTTTTCCTTTTAAAAAGAGTATTTCTTCAAACTCTCTACAGCTAGTTTACGGAACAATCTTTGTGGTAATCACATAGTTCAAATTCCTCTTCGAGTGAAACGAGCTCTTAAATAAAGTCTAGATTAGAAATGAATACAAACAAAAGACTAACTAAAAGAACAACTATGTTGCAGGAAGTGTCAGAATTATTTGTAACAAAACCATCGAATGACCTAATTGTGTCCGAACCTGAATCTCATAGAAAATGAATATCTTTTCTCGAATCGCTTACGCTCGTTACATCAGTAATCACTTTATGTTACTCAAGTCATTCAATCAACTGCGTTTCTTGTTAGAGCTTGGATTTCATCGCTCCCATCATCTTTTCAAATTTCATTGCCATCATCATGTCTCCCTTAATTTTCAGTTTTCCTCCCATGAACGCCTGAGTTGGATTCATCTGACCCTTAAACATCTTAACAAAATCGTCCGAGCCTAGGGTCATTGTACAGTTTGCTTTACCTCCTGGACAAGATCCTTTACCAGCAGATCCTGTGGATAAATGATAAAAGTAGCATTTACCTCGTAACCAGGGTCTCTCTTTCAATCCCTCGCTTGCTCCGGTGAGAGATCCTGGAGACGAGGTTAACGATGTCTGGACCTTGCCGTGGAATAAGCAAGATAACAAATAAAGGAACAGTAAAGAACAGTATTGATCTTTCCATAAATACATTAAGATTACCGAGGAAAATAATGGGACCCTTAAAAAAAAGGGCAAAAAAGGTAAGAACAAGAGTTAAGAGAGGATTTCATGTTTTTTTCGAATTAAAACAAAATCAAGCGCGTCGAAAAGAACGTAGAATTCTGACATGAATACGGAAGAAATTTGCTTTACTTTCGCAAACTAGGGGCGTTAAATGTTTTCTCCGAGAAAAATAGCGTTTTCTGAAGAGCAGCATGATTAAACAAATATGGGGAGAAGACCAATATGGCGTGACGTTCCCGGCGAGCCCCTCGATATTTGCATTCGCACGAAAAGTGCCTTCCTCATAAAATATCACATATTATTGTCCGAACTTTGGTCGAACCATCTTTTCTTAAGGGTTGTTTACCTGCATCATTTTGGAGATCAATATACCACACTCCTTCTTCTTTTCCTGTTAAATGAAACTCGAACACTCCCCTCACTTCATTAACAAGTTGATTGTTACATAAGCTCTTTATGATATCGAAAATTCCATCCACTCCTTCCGCACTATTTCCTTGTGGAACAGTATCTGCGGTCTTCTGAGCCTCCATAATTTTTTTAGCATCCGAACCATCAACGTCCAAGAAGAAGTCTGGTAACAGTTTGCCTCCTGTAAATGTGATGAAAGGAGGGTAATAGTCACACAAGCAAGACTAGGGTGTATTGCGTGACACGATATAAAAAGAAATCGTCTACCTATGAACCTCAACTCGCATGACGATTTCAAAACGACTTTACGGCCGATTTTTTCCCTATCTTTTAGCTTATGGCTGCCTTAGTCTATCTTTGTCTTCCCTTCAAATCAAATAAATGGGTTACTTTCCACTATTGTATTAAGAACACAAAGCATCAAACCAATTAGTCAGTAAACATGGTTCAGGAAAATTCTTCAAAGTAAACATCCCTCCTTTCTTTAAGTTTATCTTTCCCAATACCCAACCTAAATCCAGTAACCCTGTCCTCTCAACTACTCATACCTGGCACACAGGCATAAGGTTCAAAATCTGTGACTCCCACTTCTATGAGTACATCTTCATCAACAAGAAACTCTCCAGTCCTGGCTCGACTATCCCTTGTTAGGACAACATAGGCAGCATCAGCCATGATCTGATCAGTGCGACAGGAAGCAAGAGCTTCTTTACCACCCAGCATCTCCATAGCAGCTGTAGCTATAGCTAATGAATCAAGGGAATACTTCTTTAAGCAGAAGAACATACAGTATAATAAAAAATAAATTCTGAAATAAAAATACAACTTTCAGAAAGCAATGAAATGAGTGTTGTTTTGTTACACTATAGTTACTGTATGTCATGATGGCTCTGAAAGCCACTCTTGAGAAATATTTTTTAACGAAAAATTGATCAAGTTAGGTTTGTAGTTTTGTGTTTACCTGTTTTAGGCCACAGTGCATTAACTGAAATCCCATCATCCTTGAATTCTTGTGCCATGCCCAGGACACACATGGACATGCCATATTTAGCCATTGTATAAGCTTAGAACAAAACAGATAGCAACTAAGGAATCAATATGAAAAATCGCCAAATTCCACAAGCACTAAATATATCAATTTAATCTAAACAAATAAAATTATTACAGGTCTAAATTTTTTTCCTGATTTTTTTCAGGCCTTATTTTCACTACTGCTCAAGTAATGTTTATTACTGCAAAGATCAGTTTCATATTCACAAAATTATTTATGTCCAATGAAAAATTAATTCCTTATGGTAGAGTTCAGCTCAAAAGGTATATGTTAAAAGGTTAGTTACAATTGACACATATCTTGTTGAAAGATAAAGCACCTGGTAAATTGCTTGTCCTTTTTAGCAGTATGTTATCACTTGTTACTTGCTGTTTTATTTTGTTCAACCAACACCAACCATCAGATTACTAAAGACTGCATCAGTCAAGACATTTGTCTCCACCTGTATTACAAAGTGTCTGTTCTCATGACACTTGTCGTGAGTGTAAGATGGAAGTTTTTCTAGGTCTGAGTTTACAATGAGTACCCACAGAAGAGGGGTAACCACCAAGATTTCAAACCACAGTTTGTTAACTCTGGTTCAAATTCCTTTTTGAATGAAGGTATAAGAAACAAGTCAGATCTGACCACAGTGATCATCATCTGGATGGTGTTCCAAATTATAATTAGAAAGTCTCTCTAATTCAATTTATTACAAAGTTGGTGTGCTGTGTAAAAGTGTAAGCAACATTGACAGTGGGAGATAAATTATGAACTAACCTACGTGACCTTTGAACCAATGAGGATTCATGTTCAGAGGGGGACTGATGTTTAAGATGTGTGAATTCTTTCCAATCTTTAAATATGGTAGACAGGCTTGAGAGCTGTCAACACATTCCAAATAATAAAAAATTAAAGGTATAATCAGATAATAATAACAAGTATTGGAACATATTTACAAGGTGTCTAAGCTCTAAGAAAATAAAATAACCCATGATATCGGAAATAACTGTCCAAATTCAAAACTTGTAGATATATGTATCAATATCTCTATGTATATACAAAAAAGCAGATAAGCTCAAAGGTAAAGACACACTGGTAAATTTCAAAAAGAAAAGAAATAAAGGAATGTTATTACCACATTTATTCATGATATATGACATTGAATATTGAATGAAGTTTTACTTCAGAACCTTTCATGACTTAAAAGAATTTGGAAATGCTCAGAGGTTGAATCAAAAATATTATAAATTGAAATGAATTTTTCTTCTATTCTAATTTCTGAACAAAGAAATTTTAAATTTGAGTCAACTTTAAAAAATTTAACCAATAAATTGTAAAATATACAACAATAGATGGAAGTATGTTCAATAACCATGAAAGTTGATATATGCTAACTGGAGAGACTCACCACAGATATGTCCCCCGTGCATTAATGCTGTTCATAAGGTCATACCTGTAGATAGGTGTGATAAACATTTCATAAAAATAAATATTTTCCCTCCAAATGATTTAAAGATTGATTTTCATAATAATACTTCTTTGTTACCAAAAAATTTTACTGAGAGTAGAGGTAGTATTATTCATTCCTTGGGTTTGGAAATTGGAACCACTCATGACAGACTCTAAAAAGTTTAAACACAAAAACTTGGCTCTTACTTGGTGTATAAGACAATAGAATTCCATCACAACTGGGAACAAGAAAACAATGAAAACAATAGTGTGATTTAAACTGTGTCTTCTACACCAAGTAAGAGCAAAAAAGTTCAACACCTTAAAACCATAGTCTACAGTGGCAAAGGGCATAAGATGGCCATGAGCTGACTATAAAATCCATTTATTTTATAAAGCAGTAATATCTTTCATGCTCCAATCCTTTTTTAAAAATAAAAGATGCTCTCACTTTTTCATTGGTGTTTCCAAAGTCCCTGTCAAGCTTATTGCACTAGCATTGTTGACAAGTATGTCAATCCCACCAAATGTCTTTACAGCCTCTTGTACTGCACTATTGACCGCATTTTCATCACGAATATCCACTGCACAGGGAAGGCACTTTCCTCCTGCCTCTTCGACTGTAATTAAATACATCAACACAATAACTGTTACACCAGTTGGCTTGGGTCGTTGCCCAGTGGGGGAGGAGAGGGGATGGGGGGGGGGCTTAGGGTGTTGTTAACAATTCAGTTGTTGCTTGATTTGAAGATCCAAACTTAAAGATAATTTTACCTTTCGAAGCTTAAAGAAGAGAAAATACAATCAAAAAAGGTAAAACCTGAGCCAAGCCGTTCACAAATTACTACCAGGGGCTGCATGTAGTGTGGCAAATATGCCTGCATCCTCACTTCTCGTGCGTTTCAAACAATGCCCTCGAGGCACGCGAACCCCCATGTGTAAATGAACAAGGCAAATATATTTGACTTTACCTTCTTTTGCTGCAGTGTATATCGTTCCAGGCAGTTTTGGATGAGGTTCGGTAGTTTTAGCGGCGATAACAATGTTTGCTCCATCTTTGGCCGCTTTCAGCGCAATGGCTTTTCCAATTCCACGGCTGGCACCGGTAATAAATATAGTTTTACCGGCTAGTTTCCTAAAGGGAAATCGATTTTAAAGATACTTTGGTTATAAAACAGAAACTTTAGCTGATTTTCCTAAAGAGTTGGAAGAAAGACTGAAAATAGACAAAACTCTACCCCGTGTTCAGCATTTTTCTGCTAAATACAACACCACGAGAGGAGTCCACAATACTGTTGGTCAGCGCATAAGTGAATGTAAAGATAGGGGTTGATTCTCACGTTAGAACAGAGCGATCGATCACCATTGATATCCATTGTAATAGTGAAGGATGATATTCAGGGTGTTACTAGGTGAAGTGAGTTATCTTAAGTATGGATTGACAAACTCAAAAATAGAGAGGACAGAACTATTAATTGTTGGCTCTATAAACACATGAGCAACTCTGAACTGTGGTTGTTTCATCATCTTTCCAGTCACAAACTCAGACTCCCTGGCGATGATTAATCTGTCAATCAAAAAGTCACGAGTTAAAAACAAACTTTTTCCAAAAATAACTCAAGATCTGTGTCGGTGACGTAATCAAACAATCGGACATTGAATTATCAGGAACAAGTCAGAAATTTCAATACTAGAAACAATGTTATCTGTTTTCTGTTGAAATGCATTTAAAAACCCGGATATCCATAGGAAAGGGGAAGGATATTTTTAATCAAACACGAGGGATATCGATATCCAAACACCGAGAAAGGGGAAGGATTTGATATTTTCAAACCATTAATAATTCTTGGAGAAAATCAAAGCAAAAGTTCACCAGATTTTATGATAATTCACATATTTTCAAGGTTGATCAGCATGAATTATTAATGAGTTTGAGAAGTGAATTTCAAACATAAATAACAACAACTGAATTAATTCTAGGTCACTCCTAGCTTTCCAAGAAAATATCAAAATACTGAATATCAACACAATTTATGTCTGTTTATTTGATCAAGTATTGAAGGTAATACCACAGGACAATATTACAAATACTGACAACAGCAACCCTAGGCTCTTCTTCAAATAATGACATCTGGTAAAAAGAACTCTGAATATGTACACTTTGATCCAAATGATGGAAGAATGAATGAGTAACACAAACAACAGCGATGTAACTTTGTCATAACCATGACATTTTTACCTACATATCTCACTTTACTGTGGACAAAATTACCCAGTATCTTTAGATGTACTTGATTAAAATTTATTTACTTTGTTCAGGATTTCAAATATACAGTTTGGGGTAACCTTAGATGAAAACACCCTGTACCCTTATATGAAACTTTTAGATAAAGATTTCTGCCAGAAACTTTGGTGATTGGTAATGTGACAATTCCTTCCTTACTTACTTTCCTCTGTGAATATATAGGAAACTAATACATGTGAACTGTGGTTTAATGAAGAAATGAATGAAAGCAATCTTTGCAGCAGTAAACACTACTTAAGTGGTGGTGAAAATAGGGCATGAAAAAAATTCAAGGCCTGTGCAGATCGTAGTTCATTCAGTAGTGTTCATCACTGCAAAGATTGCTTTCATTCATTACTTTCCTCTCTCCTTAATGCAGCTTATTAACTATGAGTTACTCCTCAAGAAAATATTTAAATATGTTCCTCTTCATCTTTAGAAAAAAGTCCTTAATTCTATAAACACAATTTAACAGTAATGATGATACCAATACTAACATGCCAATACTTAATAATAATAATAATAATAATAGAGGTGATGATAACAATCAATATAATTACTATTATTGTTATTATTTTTACTTTGAACAAGACTAAATTCTTCTCAAAAAGAGTAATGTTCATAATTTGGATTTCATCTTTTGTAGGAGCTGATTCTCGAGTTTCATAAATTTATGCATGCTTCCTGTAAGCTGGAGTTTTCCTCCCAAATACGCTTGTGCTGGATTAAGTTCGCCAGTGAACAACTTCACAAAATCCTCTGAGTCTAACATTACTGTACTGTTCACCTCATCTCCTGAAAAAGAACCTCTTCCAACCTCACCTGTTAATGGAAAACAAAGAATAAGTGAATAAGAATTAGACTGGAAGAGCAAATTTTTGCTTTTGTTTCTGCTTCCTATAAAACTCAAGGAAATAGATTAAAAAAGGAGTCAGCTTTTGTCCAGATCTTGTTGAACCATCAACTCTCAGTTGTCAGAGCTTGTCTGCCTTGTAGGTGACAGGTAATTGCCTGTACTAAGGTTTTGTCATTTTGGATCATTTGGTGGTCAGAGAATAAACCCATGAGTTACTCTTGTTTGATCATTTAACTAATTAAAAGTATCCTTCATTACTCCCTAGTTTTTTTTTTTTACATCTGTTTGAGAATTTTCTTGTTTGTTTGTAAATGTCTCACTCATTCATTTCTTTACTTCCTTTTGTTGGTTTATCACTTCATTCTTTCAACATAACTTGTTAACTCTTATTTTCAAAACTGTTTTTTTTTTCGGAAGCAATTTTTTTGTCACTTGCCCAGTCCCCTCTTTCATTAAACACAATGGAGTAAATTCAAGTGTTTACCTGTACCACTCTTAAGATCAAGATACCACACTCCAGCTTCCTTTCCTGTTAAATGAAACTCAAAGACTGCATTCACTTTCTGAACAAGATTTTCATCCAAAAAATTTTTAACAGCATCAAAAATGTCTACTACCCCTCTCACTTGACTCCTGTGAGAGGAAGTTTCCCTGGTATCCTTGGAGGAGTTTCTTTGCAGCGTGGGGGAATAACCATCAATAAAACTATCTGGCACTGGTGCACCAGCTGTAAAGAGAGTAAGGAATGTTATTGACCAATACTTTTCATAGAATCAACCAATGACTTCATCTGAACAGGATGAAAGTCCATTGTAGCACACTCAACACCCCTTCTCTTTGTCAGGTTTCTGACTGACTGTATGCTGATCCCTTTCTATGGTCCTGGGTGGAGAGACGCTTGCGAAGAGTTAACATTCTGACCCAAAAACACAACGCAATGACCCTGAGACTATGACAGAGACCGGTTTATCTGTCATTCAGAGAGCTCACCATGAGGATATGGCTTCTCAAGATATTAACTGCACACAAGAGGGAGGTTAAGATTTTAACAGAAATTCATGAGGTTACCTGGAATATAAGAATACTGTTCAAAGTCAGTGATTCCTGCCTCCTTTAGAACATCTTCATCATAAAGAAACTCCCCTGTCCTTGTTTTACTGTCTCTTGTCAACATGATATATGCAGCATCAGCAAAAAACTTGTCTATTCGACAGTAGGCTAAGCCTTGTTTCCCTGCAGTAACCATGACAGCAACAGTGGCAATACCTGTTTAATGGAGTAACCTTTAATTTGTTTGGTAGTAATACTCAGGTGTACTGACTTACAGCTGTAAGCTAAATATTTTCTTTTGAGGGTAAATTTTAATGTGTGCACTTTAACATTTCAGACAAGGAACTGAACAGTAAAATCAGATAATCAAACCTTTTTTAGGCCACAGTGCATTTACTGCAATCCCATCATCCTTGAATTCTTGAGACATCCCAAGGACACATAATGACATTCCATACTTAGACAATGAATATGCTATAAAAATCATTCATGGAGTATCATAACTACAACAAAGATAAATTCAGCAAGAATTTTACAATACAAGTAGTAGCCTTAAAATAATTGTGAATAAGTTATGGTAGATAAAGAAACAAATCATAAAAGAAATATTTATTGTTTGGATAACAAGCCTTCCATCTCATAAGACCAGCCATCAGATTACCAAAGATAACATCAAACAACAATTGTTGCCGTTCCCACCTGCAACACAAAATGCTGTTCTCCAGACACTTGTGTTAGGTGTGGTGGAAGTTTTTTGGGTCTGATTTTAGGATGGGTTATCCACAGGAGAGAGTTATCACCAAGATTTCAAAGATTTCAAACCGGGCAATGGATTGAAACCTCTGGTTTAAATTCCTTCTTAAATGAAGGTGGTTAATTATGTTAGAGCTGACACAGTTTGCACCATATGGCTGAAGATGATACAGTTCAGTTGAATGGTACAAAAAAACCAACAAAAAGGCTGTCTACTTTTTTAGTCAAACCCAATATTTTTGGAGAAGCAATAAAGACCTTCAAGCTTAAATATGTCAGCAAAATAAATTAGAAAACACACAATTGCAAATTCTTACCAACATGTTCTTTGAACCAGGCATGTCTGATATTTAAAGGTGGTGTCACATTTAAAATGTGAGGATTCTCTGCATTCTTTAAATATGGAATGCAGGCTTTGGAACTAACAAAATAAATGCAATAACATTTTTAGAGTTTTTTCCGCAAAACATTTTGGCCTTGATGTACATCAAAAGTCAGTGACAAGAAAACTGATTTAAATTAAGTGTTTAACTTGTCAACACTTACCACAAGAATGTCCCTCTTACATTGACATTATTCATCAGATCATATCTATAGAGAGTAAGTTACATAGGATTGGTCACAAGTGGAAAAAAACTAAGGAAAAACTTTCAAAATGGTAGTTAACAAGTGTTCATTCAATAAAAATAGACTACATTCAGAGTATCATTAACATGAACTTAAATCTCCAAAAGCTATTTCTCTTAAACCAAAATTTAAGACAATTTGCGATGGAAATACTTGTAAATTGAACAAGGCCTCACTTTTTCATTGGTGTTTCCAAAGTCCCTGTCAAGCTTATTGCACTAGCATTGTTAACAAGTATGTCAATACCACCAAATGTCTTTACAGCCTCTTGTACTGCACTATTGACGGCGTTTTCATCACGAATATCTACTGCACAGGGAAGACATTTTCCTCCTGCCTCTTCAACTGCAGCAAGAAATAATGTTTGGATAACATACCAATATCATGAAAACTTTTTTAAGGGTTTATCAAAGATGATCTTAGAAATCAGCGCTGAATTAATGTCACCACGGCTACAGTTCGAGGAAGTAATGCGTATTTTATTGAGTACATACAAAATCAAGGAGCCAGACATCTGCAAAATTATGATCGTGACATCTGTTTGTATCACACCACTTGAAGTCACGCATTTCATTAATTCTGTCACGATTGTCTCAGATAAAAATTACAGTCTTGCAGCAACAACGAAAACAAAAGGATCACCTTCTTTTGCTGCAGTGTATATCGTTCCAGGTAGTTTCGGATGAGGTTCGGTGGTTTTAGCGGCGATAACAATGTTTGCTCCATCTTGAGCTGCCTTCAGCGCAATGGCTTTTCCAATGCCACGGCTCGCGCCGGTGATAAATAATGTTTTACCAGCTAATTTTCTGCCAAATGTAGGATGAAAACAGTACAGATATCATAATGAACAGAAAAAAAAATCAAAACAGGAAATCGTCCGATCTAACGAAGGCAGATTAGCAAGTTTTTTTACGTGGAGCAAACCTTACCCAGTATTATTCAACATCTTTCCCAGTTTTGAGCCTTCGAAGGGTACAACCTGCGGTTGGCTTTAGAAAAGAAGCCTCGTTTCACTTTGTCATTTGGCGCCATAATTTCATGATGGCGTTTGAACATGAATGGAATCAGCGCAAGAGGAGGAAATGTGTTGCCAATAACGATCTTTCGAATAAGAAATACAAGAAAAAGGCAGAATCAAGAGAACTTACTCTTCAAGATATTTCTAGTCTTAGTGATGAGATTCACCATCTAGAGGAGGAAATATTTAAAAGAGATTCTTTATGTGCAGATACCTACACACTGGAATCTCTGGCAATGATCGAAACAAAACTCTTGAATGCTGACTTGCCTTCTTCATCCAAAGAAAATAACACTGATGGAAAAGAAAAAGAAATTGATGTAATAAACGAGAGGCTTCGTTCTTTGGAAAAGTTGACAGGTTTAATATTTATTGAAAATAGCACCGAGATGCTTTCAAAGACAGAAGCCACAATGGTTTTACTTCGGAGAATGTTAGGAACTTGTCTTAGAATTCCCTTTACAGTGGAATTCGAAGTTAAAGAAGAGGAAAATGTGAATAGTCTGCTGAGCTCAAAAGGTAAAATTGAGTCAATCGTGCATGTTGTGGTTAAATTTTACCTTACAATCGGTTCTATTTTTGTGTTCAAAAATGTAAAATAACAGTTTGAGACAAAGGGAATATTCCACGTAGGAAAAATTAAACCAAAATTATTTGTCCGTCGTAGGCAGTATTCTTGGAAGACATCATAAACCTTAACTTGATGAGGACACTGCAAGATAATAGTTTGAACCCTGAGCAGTATGATTTGTTGTGGTTCAAAGTCTTTTTGGTGTCTAATTTTTTAAACCAGTTTGATTTTTATTTTCATCTGTTTCCCTTTTTAATAATTGTCCAAAAGATAAAGGAACATTAAAATCAAACTGATTTGAATAGTAAATGGCTGAGAAAAGCTTTTGACCATACTCAGGCAATGACTGTACAATTGATGTTGGTCCTGAAAAGGAAGAACTCAGTCAAAGTTGAGGTTCTGTGATAAATATTCTCAAATTATTTGTCCTCACTGTATAAATTTAGGATTAATACTAATTTTGTTGGTCTTTGCTCCATACTATAGTTGTAATTTTAGTATCTTTTTTTAATCCAAAGATGCTGAGTGTATAGAAGACAGGGTTGTTGAATTAACCAGACTCCAAGTTAGTGTCACAGATCATCTAGCAGAACAGGAACTTGCTCAATTTCTTGAAAAAGTGCAAGAGGACAAGTCTTTGCAGCCATTTTTTTTTGGACTTATTCAGTATGCTGAAGGGCATAGCAATAGGCAAAGGACATTTGGTCATTTTAAAATGAAGTACCCTGAAATTGTCCACTTGACAAATACATCCACTGCAAGTCAGTTTATGAAATTGTACAACAGGAACAAACCTGGACTTGTTTTTACAATATGCTGGAGACTTGTTATTGGTGAATCTGGACATGTCACATCAGATATTCAGATCCATGCCTCAGCACCAATGAAACACACTGACCAAAGGGACAAATATTCTTTGCTTAGAAGTGTTCCAAAACAGTTTCACAAAGTGATGCCTATTATTGGAATAGAACAGGCCATCGAACTTGTGGTTGGATTGGTGTGTGGATAGCGATAATTTATTAGTTGTATATTATACTGAATTTCTCTGAGTTTGTTCTTTTAGAGAGCTGAGAAAGTCTTTTCATCTTATAACTGTATTTCTATCTCGTAAAATAGGTTGTCACATAGAAAAATTCCAGCAGCTTCAAATATCCAGCATCAGTTATAGGGAGACTAATTCTTAAGAACATAGAGGCATTGTAGCTAATGTTTGGGGTCAGTGGTAAAGGTTCTATCTGTAAGAATCTCTTTTTGAGATACAGTTGAACATCTCCTAGCACACAATTTTGGATGACAGACTCCTGTTGGTAGAAACTTAGTTCTGGCCTATATAACTCTTGCATCTTACTGGTGCAAAACCTCCAGGGGATAGAGAGGGTCTGCTTTCTGGAGGTTTGGTGGTAGTGAACTTGGCAACAAAAACCAGCAAACAAAAGTAACTTTTAACAAGTGAACATTTACTTTGAACAATAATTCAACAATTTGAGAGGGGAAAATAAACAGATCAATTAATTTTTACACTTTAAAGAAGCTAACTCTGAATTACTGAACAAAGTGTAGAAGGTTACAGTCTGATAATTATTCAGAGAATAATTTATGTTTTTTTAGGAATGAATTATTCCCAGTGTTATTATTTAATGCATACATTGTATCTGGTTGGTTTTTTACCACAAAGGAGAGTACAGAATTTGCCATGGCAATAATTTTATTAGTGGTATCAATCTTTCTCATTAAATTCTCAGACTTATTAATTAATAGAACCTGCGGTAGAGATGAATCATGCTTTTAACATCATGTCTGTATTTAAATATATATTATGCTCTGTGTAGATATCTTGAAGCAGTGAAACCCAGACATTAGTAATTTGCATCACTTGTCTCACATCATGGAGTATATTTAATATATTAATTTGAAATATCTGATTCACTGTTTAATTGTATTGCCCTAAAAAACCCAGTGGAATTGTTGGTAAGAAAGGTGTTCTGTATTTCTTCACTTGTTTAATGTTCATCCATTCTACAGACAACACACCCCACCCCACCCCTGCCCCCAACCCCCTGAATTCAGATGTCAGTAATTCACTATTCCAACAGAGGATGCTTGATTTTCCCATTTCCCAGACTGCCAGTGTAACTTAAGATTAAGAACAACAGTCAGACCTTTATTAACACATCAAAATATTTGGATGAATGCAGAAATATAGTGCATTGATTTTTTAAGGAGATCCCTTCCAGTGCAAGAGGTTTTTTGTGCTGTGAGCAGTACCTTCCTCTACTCTGAGGCTATACGTTCTGCTCTCACTTATCCGTTGGATAGCGATTTATCCGTTGGAAAGCGTTATCCGCCCTTTATACAACTGGGTCCAAATGTGTAGAAAATTAAGTATGGTTCAGTTACTAATATTTTGGTGACACTAAGCGAAGTGATGATCGTCGATTATTTTGGCTACGTGCCTCATCCTTTTGATCTCGACTTTCCCCAAGCGTTCAAACTCGTCTGACTTTAGTAGGTTTAAAGCCAAAATATAACATTGTAATCGACTGAGCCATTTTGGGATGTGAATCATACTGACATTATAGTCACGAGAGTTTGTAAGAACTCACTGTAGTTGTGATAAGCTTGGTATTGGTCCTTGATTGAAATGAAATTAACAAATAAATTCCATGTTGCCCAGTGTCTGTTCAGTAATTGATCACAAGTACAGCAAAGTGCGTTACTGATCTTCTTACCCTATTTTGGTCTCATCTCTGTTCGATTAATGTACAGACATGCGGCAACACGGAATCTTTTTTTCTTTATTTCATGACAAACCGAAATACTCCGTTCAATATATATACTAGAATAAGACTCACACGAATGAATTAGAAGAGTTTAAATCGAACTACTAGAGATGGAAAGAAAAGAGAAGCAAAAAGGGTAATAAATATTCTTTTTCAAGCTCAAATAAAGAATCTCAATAAAGATCTGTTTATCTTGTTTAAACCTTGATTGTGAAGTACTCTTAAAATTATAGCATTTTGAAAACATTTCTCTCTCTAAAAGGTTAGGTTGAGATCTTAAAAAAAATTGAGCATTAAATTTACATTTAAATTATTAATTTTCACTGTTGAAATCCTTTTTTCGTGACTTTCGTGATAATATTTATTGCCAGCTGGTTCGAATGCATGTTTTGTTTTATCTCTTTCATCTCTCCTACAAAGCGGAGACAATAACCAGCAAAAATGAATTTCTCGAATTAATTGCTTATTTTTGGTCAAAATGCTGAAGTCATTCAAATTCAAATTCCAACTGAGTTTATTTAAACTAAAAAATAAACTGAGTTGTTATTGACTTTCAGCCCACCACTTATATTCTTTACCAAGAAGATAAACAGTGGGTCGACGGGAATAAATATTCCGTAACTTCTTATCTCAGTAGTAAATACGGAAACTTATAAGTGAAAAACATCTGCAGGCGCAAGCGTCTCCCATAGCATTTATTTTCTACCAAACGTTCTTTTGTGTGGTCAGTCTCTTAAAGGTTTCCCTATTTGATTCATCAGGGCGGAGTGCCGTAGACTGCAAGAGAAAATATCAATTTTCTAATAACATTTGTTCAGTGCCGAACAACTGTTTTAAATGGAAGGAAACAACAAGGTAAGGATGTCATTTTGCTCTCAGTCCGCCTTTCTCAGTTGATAGCACTATTTTCTCACATGTTCCATCTTCTATTTCAATTTTTCATTTTTTGTCACCGCTGTTTTTTTCAAAAATCTTTTTTCGAGCCTCTTCTATTTTATTTAAAAACCATGAAGACGCTAAGTCCAATATCTGTAGATCACAAGAGCAAACAATGAACCTTTTGTTTGTTTTACTTTGTCAAACCGTTGTAACTGTTGAACCGTTGGATCGAACTTTTGTTCTCTTCTGCATCGACTTTTGTCTCCGCTTTCTCTCCTAGGAGGTTTTTTTAGGGGTTACAATTACGGAGATGTAATTTTGAGGCTAAGAAATAATAATCGCATGTAGTTATTTCTCTCAATTTTAAAATTTCCTCTTTGTTGATTTTCTTGCTAGTGTCAGACAAACAGCCTTTGTGGAAGTCAAGTAAACCAAACATCCGGGAGCTTGAACAATACTGTGTCTAACACATCTTCTACTCATATTTATGATTTGTCGCAGATACATATTTCTGTGTTTATATTTTTGGCATTCGTCGGGCTGCTGATTGTCCTCGCTAACTCCACGGTAATCGTCCTCTATGAAAGAAAGACGTTTTTGAAAACCAAAACAAACCTTTGTCTGGTCTGTTTGGCTGTTTCAGACATGCTCACTGGCTCAGTTGCCGTTCCCATGGTGATATCGTGCAATATGATGGTTGAGTCGGTAACAAAGATGAAGATATGTACCGCTATGGACTTATCGTCCAGGTTTATATCCATCTCTACCGTATTGCATCTGCTTTTGGTGACTATCGAGAGATATTGTATGATAACTCACGCCATTCATTATCCGTACATTATCACAAAGTTTCGGCTGGTCACTGTTCTTGTATTCCTTTGGTTTTTCTCGCTGGGAGCCTCGCTCATTCAAATTTCATGGATTCCTTTGGATTTCAGCCCAAGCAATGATTTTGTTAAAAAATTAGACACTAAATATTCTTTATCTGTGTTTTTTGGAATAGTTGTGCCAAGTTTGCTGATAATGGGTGTGGCTCTAACCTGCATTTTCTTAGTTTTGCGGCGTCAACTGATTTCTATTAAGGCAGTGAACAGTTACAAAACTAGAGCTTACCGTAGAAAAGCGATCCCTCTGGAGGGCAAAGCAGTCATTATATTTGGGATAATGATTTTAACTTTCATAATTTGTTGGTTTCCGTATTTTCTTCACGGCTTGATGCAAGATTTGAAACTTGACGTTCTTCCTCTGCCTCACTGGGTACAAGTTTTGCTTATGTTTTTTCGATTTGGTTCATCAGTGGTGAATCCGATTATTTATACTTTCTTTAAAGAAGATTTCAAAAGAGCTTTAAAGAGGTCTACAGGCTTTGCCAGCTCACGCCGCCGAAGTAATTTGACAACATTTGATTTTACACCAGTTTGATGTCCTGAGGAACTTTGTGTTGAATCATTGCGTATACATTCAGTTGAGGATGTTCATGAATCGTGAAAGTACGCTACAACTTAGACTTGGTCAGAGATATAAAAAAATTGAGACCCATAGATAATCAGGGATGAAAGGCAATATAATCACTGAAACATTAAAGATAACTAATGACGAGCACAAGTAGTTCTAATAAGTCTGAGCATGCTAACCAAACTGGTCCATACAAAAGGGAATTTCCATTCGTTTTTCGCAGGAGCTTCTGGCTCAATTCCATCAGCTTGATTTCTTTTATGTTTATGAATCCTCTACATTCGGTATTGAGCTCGATAGCAAGAGATACGTGTCTGTGCTTCATCCTAAACGGCCATTTCTTGTGCCGTATTTTAATTATACCTTCTATTTTAACAATAATTCCTAAAGAATTTGAGGCACTTTCTGCCCCATCCCACCCTCCCTCCCCCTTCCCCCCACCTCTACAAGAAAATAAAGGGAGTTGAAAACACCCATAGAACCAATCAACTTATTCCGTCGAGTACCATTTCATAATCTGATCAGTGGCAAAAAAAAGAGAGAGAGACTGGAAAATTAACCTTTTGAGCTGATGACGTCACTATAACTCATTGATTCAGCTTCTTGATGCAAATCAAGTGCAAATCAAACTGCAATAACCTGGTAATAGCGGACGTTTTACGCGGTAAATCGTGACTGAAAAACTAAATCAGACTTTTTATATAACTGCCGAGCAGCGGTTGGTCCAATTCATGTTAATCTCTCTTTATAAAAGTCGCAGCAACTCTTTAAGTCTGTCTCTTAACCCTTTCGACAGCAACGTCAGCCAAGTCCGTGATTATTCACCGGAGTCCGAACCAGTTCATGATTCTTCGCCCAGTCCCTTCTTCGCTTCCTCTCAGTCGACGGTTCATCTCATTCAGAACTTGTAAATGTTCGTGTAGAATTCTTTCCATCTCTTTTGATCTTAACGAAATTAATAGACAAGATACACATTAAAAGATAAATGCATGAATGAACAAAATTGAATAAGGCAGTAAATGTATGAATGAATAAGAGGAGAAAGGAATACATGAATAAAGCCGGTAACTTACAAACACAACACATCGACGTAAATTATATTTTACTTCAGTTTAAACTAAGCAAAATTATTTATTCTGAATTCTTTCTTTAGGCTTAAGTTGGGTACATCAATTTTTGGTAAATAAACCATGATTACAGAAGCTTGCCTTTAAACAGCTTAGCGAATAAACTCCGTGTTGCTGCAGGTCTTTTCAGTAATAGATCACAGATGACGTCAAACGCAGTAAGAACAAAGAAGGTATCCCTGATGTTTTCAGTCACATAAGGCCAGAGACCGACCAAACCTAGTTCCTTGTTCACTAACTTAACCATCTAGCTGAAATAAAGCCACAGACTGACCATACCTGATTTCTTGTTCATCAACTTTATCTTTCAGCTGAGATAAAGTCACAGACACGTGGTTACCCTGGTCATATTCATTTCCCTGGACTCGACCCAAATCACAGAAGAGCATCCACATCTAAAAATAACATCAAGTCTATCCTTATGACATTGAAACAAATACCTTAATTCCTTTAACTAATTAATAAGTTATGATATTGATTAATAATCTGAAAGCGATAGCCTTCCAAGTCTGGTAATGAACATTGCCATTATCACCTTTGTCCAGATTGTCTTTGGGTGGTTTGGATACTCAGCGTGTTCTTTCACGGTCAGACGGCGTAACAGCCATTTAGGAAGAGATTCTTCCAGCTCTAGAAGAAGTGCGACCTGAAATTAAGACAATTTTTATAGTTCATGGCTGAGTTATATCATGATAAGATAATTTTCAAGAAAATATAATGTTACGATCCCACCTGGATTTCGATATTTGAGACTGATAACTCGCAAAATTAAAGGTAACACTGAGTATCATAATTACTTTCGATTCCTGAAGCCCTCGATTTCTTGATATCCTCCATAACTAGATTTAAAACTTCCTTTTCTTCTGTGGTCGAACACAATCATTCAAAAGGCTTTATTTTGACAGCAGAACTCAAATCGGCTTTCGTTTCCAAACTAATTTCTTCATCCTTTGATCTGTTCAGTAAATCACGAATTTGTGTCTGTCACTTAATTACAAATAAAAAAAGAACCAAGACAGTTTGTACCTGAACTCTATAACGATCCATAACAGCATTCTTCTGAATGTTGTCAATGTCACCCACAGCAAGACCAATCTGGAGAGAGTTTGAATTTCTCACTCGTAACAGGTTCACAATACATGGATCCGTTATTGCAAGATTTATGTGGTCTTATAATGGAACATTTTCCGCTCATTCTCTGCGAAGGCTATGTGTTTATTCATATATCTATATATATTTGTCACAACCTAAGTACTTCGCAAAAAGCTTTTATCAGAAAAACAGTGAGTTGTGGTGTATGTTTGCACGGAAGGTATTTTAAAGGTAGTAATGTCTTCCGTCAGGGTAACTAAATTTACACGTTTAGCTGATTCATTTCACACTTCCTTTTTCTAAAAATGGGTGCGTGACTTGTTAAATGTTATCTGAAAGGAAGCACCCTATTCGTCTATTTTTAAAATGTATAGAGAATTTTAAACTTGATACGTGTACTGTCGTATAGAAACTTTAAGGAACAACATGGACACAAGTTTGCCGTTCCATACCAACATGTTCATCAGAATGATTGGCATAACGAGCGCGAAAAGAATAAATATTCCAAAGTTAAGGAATGGAACGTCGACATCTTTGTTGATGTAGGTAGCTTCAAAGTTCAACTCTCCAAGCGTCATAATAAAAGTCTTCATCAGCGATTTGGGAAGAGATCCAAATAAATTCTGATTCTGGAAACAAATTAAGAATAAGGAAAATTAGTCGGGTAGGAAAATAATGGCTTGATGGAGACACATTTACTAATGAGCCAGAATGATATAGTGTGGCTTAATAACTTATGGAAAGCTACTTATAAGAATTGACTGGGGGTAAATCTGGTTAAAAAAAAACAAACTAACTAACAAACAAACAAACAAACTCGTGACGCTCGCAAATAGTTTGCACGTCCAATTGTGGTCGTCTTGATTTTGTTAATACGGGTAATAATGAACATTCAATGAATCTTTTTAAGATTCTTTAGTTTCCGCATACATGGTCGAAACGACTGAGTTTCTAAGTTCGCAATAAATGCATGTCAACGTAAGTCGAGTCAAAATCTTCCAGTAGTTCGCTCTTCAAGATACGTCAAAGACTAATGCTGCCCATGTAAGTTTTTGTTGTTTCCTTTGAAAGTATTAATTTTAAATTAAATGGTTTTGTAGCTTGATTTCTCCTCAAAAGCCGGCTATTAGGTGACTGTTTTCGACAGCTTTGCAGTTATAAGGTTTGAAGTTAAGGATTTGTGTCCATTAGGACCTTTAGAACAAACGTAATAAAAACCTCTACATTTGAATTCTCAGTATCTGTCTTTTCTCAATAATTTACCCTGAAATAAAAATGCCGAAGCAGTGGGTAGTGAAAAGAAAAGAACTAAAATATACGTACATTGCCCATGAGAATGTAGAATGAAATTCCGAACGCCAAAATAAAGAGAATAAAAAGAATGATAACCTAAAAAAAAAGAAAGGGAATATATTAAGAAATCACTTTGCAAATTGGACTTAAAATTGCTGATGAGAGGTAACATTCCTCAATCCAAAATCGCTACTTTGCAGTTTACCTTGAGTAACGTTTGTATCATAGTCATCAGCATAACCACAAACCTACCATACGTTGACAGCCTAAAAGGAAAAAAGAAAATAACATGGAAAATATTCGTTAATATTGTTTAGTTGACTGTTTTCTCACCTTACTTTTAATCTCAATAAAATATCTACATATAGAATATTTGTGGTCCAATTATTTTTTTTTAAAGATCAGCAAACGGCTGGGTGTGTAAGGTCTATTGAATTGTCTCCATTAGAAAACCCCTTGTCCCAATAAACAGCTTTTGAGCCTCCTCAGACCTTCCAGGTCCTAATACAAGATGATTGATGTCACTGATACGATTACGGGATATGAACATTTCTGACAAGGTTTACTACGTTATTTCAGTTTGCTTTGTTCATCCTTTACGTCTTGTGTCAAAAAGCCAATCAGTGTCTGATCGTTAATTGCGAAAACAAACAAAAACTGGCTCAGTTTTGACGATCTTCATGCACTACACACGATCTTCTCATATCTTTTGCCAGATAAGCAATCTATTATAAATACTACCGCTGACCTACGGAGGTAGAGCACCAAGTTGAGCCAACCAAGAAACAGACCCAATGCTACTGCATGCATCTGAAGAGGCGTCTTACACAAACAGCCAGGATTCTTGGAAATCAGGTAAACCAAGGCTAACAGGTTTATAGACCAATCCATGTAGCTGGATGCATCCCAGAAATATTTCAGTCGCTAGTTAGGGAATAATGAGAAAAAACGGAATATTTATTCACTGATGTTCGCCACTCTTCAAGCTGCTTCAGCCGACAAAAATAAAGTGTATTGTGGCGGTATTGTGACTTTACTCATAGATTACATGAGTCACTGCGAGGCTCAATGGCTAAATGACTAACTGAGTAACCGACTGACTGATTGACTGATTGACTGATTACGTGATTAACTGCCTGATTGACTGATTAAGTGACTGATTGACTGACCGGCCGGCTGACTGACTAACTGACTGACTAACTGACTGACTAACTGACTGACTGACTAATTGATTGACTAATTGACTTACTGATTGACTGGCTGACTGGGAGACTGATTGACTGATTAATTAACTGACTGACTGACTGATTGACTGATAGATTGACTTGCTGATTGACCGACTGGCTGGTTGAATGACTGCTGATTGACTGACCGGCTGATTGACTGATTGGCTGGTTAACTGACTGGCTGACTTACTGACCGCCTGATTGACTGACTGGCTGACAGACTGACTGCCCGATTGAGTGACTGACTGACTGGCTGGTTGACTAACTTACTGACTGACTGACCGACTGAGTTAGTGGCTGACTGACTGACTGGCTGATTTTCCGACTGGCCGACTGGCTTATTAACTGACTGACTGACTGACTAGCTGGTTGATTGACTGATTGAGAACAGCTCTCATGTTGATTACTTATCTCACCAGCCTGTACAACTGCAGGAGCTCTTTGATTATGGAGAACATGTTAAACGCCATCAAAATGGTCAAAGCAAAATAGGTGTCATTTCTTCCGCTCTAAAAAAAGAAAAAAGGTTATTGGCCAGCAGGGCTCTTTATTCAGTCCCAGGCAAACGCGAATTATGTTATGTTACTTACTTTTAACTACACTAAAAAAGTGCTACTGTATGGTGTAGCATGTCAAGCTTTCTGTGTGTTTAAAGCACCTTAATAACATTGCTTTAAAATTTGCTTTCACTGTTGAAACCTTTTAGGTTGAGAGTTAACGCAACTATTTGAAACTTTAAATCAAAATAACTCTGGAAACAGTGACCACAAAGCTTGATCACCTGGTTTTTGCATTCTGAATCACATTTATTGATCCATTCAGCTTTACTTTTTACCGCAAAATATGTCAGTACAAGTAAGAACAAAAGAAACGTGAAGAAATTCAACATGAACGTGACCCAACCAAACTTCTTCCTGCAAAAAATACGTAGATATGCTATTAATTCATTTTTTATATAAGTCGTTAAACAACAAATTTATGGCACTCATCAAAACATGTAGCAATTTTGTTCTCAGTCGTTTAATTGACATACAAGATGGCACAAATATTTTGAGTTATTCTCACCACTTCAGGCTCATTAAACTGTAACAAACCGGATGACCGATGCATTTCTCTCTCTTGTATTTCACCATCGTCTGAAACGAATAAACACCAGCAAGCTACTGTCAAACTTACCTTTTAATGTTTTTGCGTCTATTATAAAAGGTGATGAAGATACAACCGTCTTTGAAAACTCTTGTCTTTCGATTTCCTTTTAAGACGCACGGAGCTAAAAATATTTTTTTATTAACTCAACAGTATTAGTGAATAAATTGACAGCTTTCATCGTCCAGTACTTTTTTTCTTTCTTTGTTTTTTGTTCTGAATGTTAACACTATATTGTGATGAAAGGGAAATCAAAGACACGTAGGATTATCAAAGACTGAGGCAAACTTTCTATTTCTCCAGTAGAACCACAAAGTGTTTGCTGAGATTATCACAACAAACCTGAAATCCTTCAAACAGTCCAAGTCTCGTTAAGGATTTCCTTTCGAGAGCTAGTTTCATCATCGAAAGAAAATTATGGATTCCTTATCAGTTTTGTAGATAGATTTATTTCGTGGGAGCCCAGACAAATTTTCTTGGATAATTATTGATTTAGAGATGACAGTATAAGCCAGAATTAATGTATTGGAACATCGCAAATTAATCTCCTCACCCGCAAGTGGTTCAGGGAATGTTTTGTTTTATCCCCATTAGCATCCATTCCTTGGATTAATCTCAAGTCATAAGTTACCTGAGAAAAAGACGACACAATCTTTTTAAAATACATTTATAATTAAACAGCGATGGTAAAGTTCATAGTGAACTTTCACCACCCTTACCTTGTAATTGTAATCTGTAACCTGGCCTTCTTCCACGATGCAGTGATCTAAAAGACGCTGGGTACAAAGATAAGTCAGCACTGGTTGTCGACATGTTCAATCAAGAGGTTCTGTTGTCAGTGAAAGCGACTTCATTTGTACAAGGTCAATTTTCATCTTTGATTGAGATAATTCTTTTGGGAAAAATCCAAATTCGATGTTAATTGAAACTAAAACACCCGCTTATTCACTTGTGATAGAAACAGATTGAGGAAATACAATAGTGGACCATTACTATATTCGTTTAAGACGAACCTCCACTACTCTTGGCATTTTCTGTACCAGTGATTCTATTTGAGACTGTCTGTCACTTATGGTGGAATGAAGAGCTTCCTTCCATCTGCAGCGCAAATATGAAAGCTTGATAATAACGTAAAAAGAGATGTGGATAAAACAAGTAACAATGATATTAATGGAATAAAACTGGCAAAATCAACAGGCAAATGCACTAACGCGCAAAGAATAGGCTAGAAATAATATGACAATTTGTTGTGAGATGACGTTACTAGAAAGACTCTCACGTGATATGATATGACGTAGAATAACTTGTCGTGAGAAGTCGTGCCGTGGAATGACATGATGTGATACAATCAAATAACACGACTTGACTTGTTATGAGATGATGTTACTAGACAGACACTCACCTGGCATGATATAACATAGAATGACTTTTATGAGAAGTCGTGCCGTGGAATGACATGACGTGACAAAGCGTGACATGATATGACGTGGCGACAACTCAACGTGACGTTACCTCTTATGCTCTATCATCACCATGGCGACATTCTCTCTGCCGTGATCAATAGCGAGGTCTAGAGCGTTCTTATCTCGCGCGTTACTCATAAAGAGCAGCTCTTGAAAGGACATCAGGTACTGCACTATGTGCGCATGCCCGGCTATAGCGGCTAGATGTATAGCTGTATTCTGTGAGAGTGAATTCAAGGAAAGGCCAATTACGAAACATAACTTTGTGATTTTAGATAAATAGCTTATGTACTTGATAAGCGGAATTGCTTCTGTTACAAATTTCACTATACCTCATTTCGGTCCCAGGAGTTAAGACAATCTGGGTGAAACTTTATCACGAGCTCAACGCATTTTAGTGAGCCTTGTGTTGCAGCCAGGTGTAGTGGCGAGCGTTGGTTGATGTCCCTGTCATACGAAACATAAAACTAAAATTAATTTTTTCTTCTAAGGTGTATTTCAACCCTTTTTCAAACATGTTAAATGTTCTGGTCATTCTGATAGTCGCACAAGTCCTTAAGTCCCTTGGCAAGGTTGGGAAGCAGGAGACAGATATGGACCAAAAGAAAACACCTCATCTTACATTTTGTGGCAAAACTATATACAACGAGGAAAAAACTTCTTTCTTGGACCCAGTTCCCCACCTTTGTATTGCAGAGTCTGTTACTAGGACAGCAGTAGCAGCATGATGTCCTTCCATGCAGGCCAGATGTAAAGCGGTTCTCTTCTGGTTGTTTTCAGCATTGATGAGGCGTTCGTTTCTGTTTTCTAACAACTTTCCGGTAATGTCAGAAAATCCATACCTTAAAAAAATTGGAATAGCTAAAGTACTCACAACGAATTTTCAAGACTTCAATAATTTCTCTTATCACTCAACTGCCCAACACAGACATTTGAAAATTATTTACCTTGCAGCCAGGTGCAGTGCTGTATCCAGGGAGTCAGATACGACCTCTGTTACAACCATGTCGTAGGAAATAAGTAAAGAGACATCCTGCATAGAAACAGAGTTCTATGTTATTTCACGTGATCTACTCATTAACCAAATGTGTTACCGCTGCTCTAGGTTTGTGTCTGAAAATTTCCTTATCCATGCACGTTTTCCCTAAACTTACATGACAAAATGAATGACTTCATAGCTCAAGAGAGGGCTTAAAAACTGGTGGAAGTGAATTAAAAAAATATTCCCATCAAGGAAAAACCACTTAATACCTGTAGGCTTCCACTCTGAACTGCATAATGAATTGGAGCAAATCCATGGACATCTTTCTCTTTTATAAGCTGTTTTGAGATAGGCACCTGTCAAAAGAATAGCTCAGCTTAATTACGTGCCAATGCAAGCATATTTCTCTTGAGATATGATTCAGACGATGATATTGACCTTCAAGAGAGCCTCCAGAGTCATGTTGTGACCGATGGCGAGGTGTAACACCGACCGAAGATTAAAATCCTTTACAGTGACGTCAGCAGAAAATTCCAGCAAAACTTGGACAGATTCCAGTCCACCCACAGCCGAAGCCAACGACAAGGGTGTCCTGCATTTAGCATCTCGGGGATTTACTGGAAAATCCTGAAATTCCATATATGGAAAAACATTGAACACATTTTTAGTACAGTACTCTCTCTTCTCGTTGGTACCAATCGCAAGAGTTTGAAATACATGGAGACGTTGAGACGCCACTGAAAGACAAAAATTTATGGACTAATGGCAAAGACCATGGCGGTTTATGGACAGGACTGAACGACCCACGGACCAACAGACGGACTGACTCAAGAGACTAACAATTTGCCGACCGAAAAGATAGCAAAGTTCTGAAAAGATACCTTTTCTAGCAGAAACTTTACAACTTTCGCGTGATTATTTCCAGCAGCCCTAAAAGAGTAATCAGAAACTAATTGTTGTCATTTCACCAAACCACGGAATATGTATTTCATATTAGTAGCATACCTATGCCAGTTTCTCTTATCAGTTAAAATCTTGCATTCAATAACCTAAGTATTTGAGCTTGTTTTGTGAAGTAATTTCTTAAGTATGGTTATTCTCACGAACCGAGACACTCACAACTTACAAAGTTTACACAGTGAAAAACTTTTAGAAGTCTTTTCATAGGCAGATACTTATTTACAGCAAGTTTGCCAAATGTCTCTTTGGTTTCCACATATATACCGACGAAGTTTAACAAATATTAATCCTCTCTTCTTATATTGAACACGTTGTGATCACCCGGTGAGGAATCGAACACACTCAGCAAATTAAGTGAAGTCCAGCACCCTTGCCTCCAACTATATTTAACTGGGTTTACATTTTTATATTTCAAATAATTTCATTATGGGGAATATTTGCCGAACATAGAAAACTGACCTGTGCAGTGGAGACATTCCTTGATTGTCTTTGGGAATACAGCCCAAAGCCTCCTTGTCTTGTTCATAAAAACGTTTCACCACATCAAGGTTCCCTAACGCACATGCGCAATGAAACGGTGTACTGCCATCTTTACTCTGAAATACGTCATTTACAAAATTTAGAGGGGATATGAATTTCATAGTTAGTGCCAGTGCTTAAATTTAACGTGAAATCACTTATGGAATGCAAATGAACGTCTTATTGAGAAATCACTTACCCTTGTCACGACCATTTTAGCTCCGTATGAAAGACACAAATCTACAGACTAATAATCAGTTTACTGGTCAGTTCACAAGAATTTTTACACCTCCCAGATAGGATGCTACATGTAGTCCATTGTTGATCACTTATGTACTACTTAAGTAATAACTTAGTTCTTAACAACTATCTTATTCGTTTCTCGAGTTGTGGAAATAATGCATACCTGGAAAACCGAGCTTTCTACAGCAAGATGGAGAAGACTGTTTCCGCTGTCATCCACATCGTAGATAAACGAGTCCATTTTCATGTTACGTTCATCAACTGTATAAGACAAACAAAACTCTTGTGTTATTCTGATTTTAGCTTCAGTGGCCATTAATTTGATTAAACAGCCTGCTGAGACCGCACCTTAATTATATGCTGACAGATTCACACAGACTACGATCAAACTTCGCAGTGCTATATCAATTTACCTTCAGAGGAATGACGAGTGCTTTTCGTGACGTTTAGGCGCCGACTGTAAGAATGGCACTATTCAGAATAATTACTGAAGAGTTTGGTCTAGATTTCAAAAGCGCATTTAAAATAATAGGAGAAAGAACGTGGCATGAACAACTGATGTTCTTACTGAGATCAAAGAGGCAAGCAGCAGCATCCTTGGAGCCTTTCAACACAGCAAGTGTTAGAGCGTTACCATGGTTACAATCCAGCTGGGCTCCATAATCAGCCTGGAAAGATAAAACACACGAGTTATATCTTTATTATTACATTATTATTTATCTTCATTGCATGCTCTTAGGCACCTTTTTCAATCAACCAGATGACCTATAATAACTTGATCTGTTGAGAACATTGGTGGTCACTGGCATAAGGCAAGTTGTTCATTGGGCCTTTGAATTTCTAAGGTTCTTTAAATTCTCGTCTTGAAATATTTTCCTGTGTTCTTATTGGCTATTGACATAAATTTTAGTTTGGTCTTAGGTTCGATGCACGCCATAGGTTGGCTTATTTCTCTTGGTCATCAGTAACCTCAGCCCAGTCTTAATGTAGGTCAAAGGTTAGATGTCATCATTGAACTTTTTACTCACAAGTAGTTTGCACAACTTTGCGTGATCTGACTGAGCTGCAAGCTGCAACGGAGAAAGACCACCACTGCCAATTTTATTTACATCAGCTTGGGAACCGGAATTAAGCAACAACTGAGGAGGAACAAAAAACAACTGTTAGTACATTAGTGAAACTGCAAAGCTCTGTGCTGGTTGTACAGCAGATACAAGGATAAAAATTGTCAAACAAAGCATGAATATCTTTTTTCACCATCTTGTTCCCAGGTAAAGAACGTTTGAAGCTCTTGACTGGGTAATAAAATGGATAAAATGTAAGTGACTCTCATAGCTGCGAAAGGACCTTAGGCAAACCTTCACTATGTCTTCGTTGCCAGTTTGTATGGCGGAGTGCAGTGTTGTGTTCCCCATGTTGTCTTCTCTTTTAGCTTCAGCTCCCATCTGGATCAGCAGCTCTACGACAGCGAGGCTACCAGCCAGTACCCCGCACATCAGGGGAGTGTTACCAAGGTGATCTGGCTTATGAATATCTGAGGAGTTAATAAATCGGACAAGCAAATGCTTCACTTATTCACCACCACCTACATAGTACAACAGTCAAGCTGAAATCTTACCAACGCCATTGTTGATCAATCGCTGGACTTCTCTGAGATCTCCAGCGAGAGCTGCTAAGTGTATTGACTTGCCGACTGTAAAATTTCGGTGCTGAAATAAGATCGAAGTTGCTCAAATGAGGCCTCAAGGGTATTCCATGGAGTTTAGTATGTAAAAAAAAAACTTGCAAATCTTCGGTTTTTGGAAACAAAAAGGGCGGTGGATGCTCGTGATTTAATCTTACGAAGCAAGTGGTTCACTCTCGCCAAAGCTTATTTCAGCCTGTGAAGGTGATTTTTCCGTCATGTCAACATTTCTTTAGGCTTCTTAGGTGTAGATAGGAACTGCATTACTACTGCATTATCGTGTCTACAAGCTAAGGAAAGAGAATTCTTTTTTAAAGTAAAGAAGATTCGTAAACTTACGATCCTGCGATAGGTGTCTCCTAGACTGGATGGTCGGTGGGTTATAGTTTTTGAGACAGGCAGGCGTGCTGCGTCCAGATTCAGGCTTTCCGACATTGAGAAGGCGCTCCCAAAGAATTCGTGATCTAACTCCAATGATCCTTCTTCTGACGACATAAACGTCATACGCCATCTTGGAAATGATGGGCTCTCTAACCCACTTTCATGCCTTTGAACATCTGAATTCCTCGTCAATTCATATTTCTGTTTTGCTTCTTTGGGTTTATCTTCAAATTAAGAGGGAAATTATGAATAGCTAATTTGATGGCTTTTAAATGGTTTGAACCCGGGGGTTGTTTCGACAACCTGAGCGGAAGTCAGGTTGTCGAAAACGTCAGTCACCACTACCGACAACAGTCCTTCTCAGGACTACGCTCACCCGGACGATCAAACTACACTATTACATAGATGGCATATGTTCTATTGTTAACAGCTCCTGGTTTACGTGTAGTTAAATGAGATAGAACGCTCCAGAAGTTTATAGAATGCAAGCCAGTTTATCTAGGAGATGTATTAGCATATGAAGTAGCACATTTTGCTGCTAATCAACTGTATTTTAACCTCACGAACTAAAAAAGAGCGGTTCGGCGGTCAAATTAAAGGAACATTAACGTCATGTTTTAATCAGCTTAAAATGAGTTTAATCAGCTTAAAATGAGTTTGATCAGCTTGCATGAATGGTGAGCCTGTGTACAAAGACTAAAACCAAAACGATTTGTTATTTCGATCGGCTCGTACAATCTTTCATTAAAAAAGAGAACATTTTATCGTAAAGCAGAACACCAGAAACTAGAATTTGATCATTTGAATTTTGGTAAGGTTTCACTGAATACTTAGGCAATATTCTATTTATCAAGTCTTGTGTTTGATGGTACTTTTGAAACCGATGGCTCTCGTTTTTGATTTTGTAAACATCAACTCATCTTCACCTGTTTTGAGAAACATGAATACGAGGATAATATGCCTTTACCTGTCTTTATTGAAAAATAAAATGAAATGAAACTCTCTCGATATTGAACCTTAAGACTGTATGTCAAAATGAAAGATTTATTAAAATGGTAAGTAACGATGAGATTGTAAGAGTTCAACTCAATTTTTTCAACGTGAAATCTCTATATCTACAGTTATTCTGTTTGTATGTTATGGGTTTTGTGACTAAAGAATAACAATTTTCCATTTACAAGGAGCATAAAGAGAAATAAAAAGGGTCATTTCTACTAACATTCAGGCTCATTAGAGGCATTATCCCTCCGTCTTTGGTTAACACATTAAAACGGAACTAATTCACTTGCTAAAAGGGGAATCACTCGCCAGCTTATCGCTCGCTCATGAAATCCTATTTTTCATCGGTGTTTATTTTTTTACACAACTGGACATGAATCTACAGAAGCCAATTTATACATTTATGAAAAAATATAATGAAGTGTAAATTTCTATTTCCCGATTAATTTCGATAAAAATGTTGTGAGGAGGTAGGCCTCCCACTAGCTTTTGTTCCTTTCATTTTTTTAGATTTTAGTATCCCGACTTAAGGGTATCCTGCAAACCATTGATGAATTTACGTTGTCAAAAGATTGTTATTATTTCCGTACCTTAGGTAATCCCACAGAGAAAAAATTGTGAAAAATTGTGTCTAAAGCATTCAGGCTTACAGCTAAGCATTAATAGTTAAAACTTGGTGAGGTTAACAAGAAACATTTTGGTTTCTGGTGTGAATAAGCAATAATTGAAAAAAAGCTTTTTATGCAACAAACCTTTTGATAAGAGGCCCCGCAATGCCTCAAAGCTGAAGCTCATCCTCTATCAGTTGCTGCTAAATGGAACAACGAAAATCATACGAGCGATCTAGTCAGGCCTGAGCCATATGTTTTAAATAGATAGAATTTCTAGCTGTCATTTTGACGTATTTCCCTAATTTGATTATCAAAGAACGAATCCCTCACGAGGCTGTTAGACATGTTGGCGATTTTAAAAAGCTTTAAGGTGAATTTATTTTTGACATCTATCAGAGAAGTTGTGTTGTTTATATTCGCGCACAATTTCTATGTGATATGAAATTACGTCTCTGCATGTTTAACACAAATATTTTAAAATAAAAAAATAGTGCTCATATGTTCACATAAACTGAAAAACTAAAAAAAATGCTTTCTGTCTGTGCATGTAGGCACCTTCCAAAACTAACATTAGGAACGGGGCTGGAAATAAACTTGAAATAAATATACAGCTACAATTCTGTATTTTCACGAGCGGCTGGCAAAGCGAGCCATGATGTAATCACCTCCTCTTAAAGCTGTAAACCAACCTTACCAGAGGACGGCTAATAATTCCTTCAGAAATGACTTACTTTTCGATAGTGTGTGCATTAGCGAAAAAGTAACAAGAGTTACATAGATAATTAATTGTTATTTTTCATTATTCGAGCCAGAAATTTTTGTTAAACACACAGATGTTCTGGTTGTTATTGAAGTTTCGTGAGCATCGCCATTTTAATTGGCTCAGTAAATGATAAATGAGCTCTGTTTACCCCAGTTTTCAAGTTTTCGTAAACTTTTGCTGATTCTAGGCAGCGGGAAATCTTCAGACGAAGAAGGAAGCCATGTAAATAGAGGCTTGTAAATGTAACCTAAATGGAATTGGTTTCTCGTTAAAACAACAACAACGATATCAGTGCTTGTCTGATGTGGCTGTATTAACGCAATGATTGTTTGGTAAGAATGGCAAATAAGTTCAAGCCACACATGGGGACGATGTTGGCGAAGCAAGCTAATCTCTTCCGAGAAACGCTGAAAAAATGAGCTGGCACCACACCAGTCATAAACAGCTGCAGCTGTTTACTTCTAAACAGCCTGCGGGAGGAATGAGTCCTGGTCAGCTAGTGCCAGTCTATCTCAAACTTCCCTTCCGAGCAGCCAGGGTAGGATGATGCAAGTTCGTTGTCGTAGGAAATAAGGATAATTCTAACCAATGTTATTTTGATACGTCTCCTTCGGTATATGTAGATATCCGACGTATATTTCGGTCTTGTCATTTACCGTCTCAACAACCAGTGGTCTCACGTTCGAAAACGAAGTAAATAGGTGTTTTGCTGAAAACTGATTTGGAAGCATTTGTGGCGTTGTAACGTACTTCCATAAGAGGGATGGAAGCCTTTAAGAATTGTACCATATTATTGATATTTATTGTGCTGGTCGGTAGTGTCTTAATTAGTGGAGGTAAGAAACGTGAACAATGATTTCTTAGTTGCCTTTAAGAGTAGCTCATGAGCTTGCAGATCTTGCGGATCACGTTTTAAATTGCAATGGTAGACGAGAAAATATAATTGTTAGAAAAAATTAGATATGGTAATTTGCACCTGCCACAAGGCGCCTTGTTCCTTCTTGCAAGTTGTTGGCCCAGTCTCAGTATGTTATTTTGAACAATGTCTTTGTCGAGCTTAGTAAAGAAAAAAAAGTAAAAAAATTTAGTTCTTAATTTCAGAATTCAAATTCAGCAGAAAATTTCTCTGTCGCCACATTGGTGGTTTCGCCAAAATCATAAATTCAAGTGCGGTTATTATGGGTTCTTCTGTAGCCAAAATCTGAATGCTGATTCCTATTTATTTCGTAGAGGGAGCAGTACTCTGAACTTGCACACTAATCTTAAAGAAAATCAGTTGACTTGGGTATTGAATGACATTGTGTGTTTTACAGCCTTAGGTTGGGGCAATAAAGACAAGATAAGATTAACAGATGTCAGTGTCATTACATTACATCCTGGAAAAATGACAAATTCCCGTCGTACCCACCCTGTTCCCCAGTTAAAGTGTGTTGGTGGCTCAGCAGGTTGTTCAGCTTTTACTCCAAGTGTTGTTCAGTGTTACAACCGAGGGTCTGATGGCTATGATGTTCAGGTAAATTGCGATAGGAATTTAATTTGCAGTCATAAAGATTATCTTAAAGAAAAATTTTCCTTTCATCATATAAGTTTTGTAAACTGTGATGCATTTTTGCAGTGGGAATGCAAGACAGACATGGACAGTCAGTATAAGTTTGGTGAAATTACAGTCAGCTGTGAAGGTTATGATTATCCTGATGACCCATACATTCTGAAAGGTTCCTGTGGGGTATGTACCCTAGTGCTGTATTGTTTTAACAAAGGGCTAACACTTTAAGAGACATTTAAAACTCTTTACAGTGACCAATTAATATTTTATGAACTCAGATGATTAACCAAACTATGTTGTGCATGTGAGGGTATCAGTTACACAAGCCTATTGGCTTCTTTGGACTATCTTGCCATATAATTGTTTTCTTATCATTATATACGTGTTAGTGTGGTGCAAGTTTTAAAAAAATATTATCAGTGGTAAGTTATTTGATATAAAACTCCCAATACCAAGTGAAGATCCAATATAAATGGGGACAGAGTGAGAAGGATGTCAATTTTTGTGAACTCATTCCTCAAGTAGTAAAGATGTTGAACATTGATCACAGACATAGGACTTAGGAATTAATTTATTTCATTGTGAAGGTTCAAGACTCAGATTTTCCAATTTGAAAGTTTGATTCCTTGCTAACTTGGTAAGGGAGATTTTGCAAAGTTCCTATGCGAAAATTGTCTGTCTTAATGTTAGGATCAGCTATGGCAGCTAGAAAGGGGCTAAATTTCCTAGCTTGATTGCTTGAGTCTAAAAAACATATTAGTTGCTTATGTTTTATTTGTACCATTTTCATGACAAATTTATGACATCTTTCTCTTTTGACAACCAGGCTAAAACTCTGTTATATGAGGGTTTTAAAAAAAAAGGCAGACCAGGATGGCATTATGCAAAACTGCACTGCAAAACTGTTACATTACAGAATTCACTTAAAACATTTAGTCAATGTTGTAGCTTAAATGATTTTTGGTTTATATTTCCTATTTCCTCTTACCTTTGCTTGTATTCATATGAAACTAATTACTAAAGGTATAAATTTATTTTACAGTTGGAATACACAATTGACATGGTCAGTAGTGGAAGTAATTATCACAATAATTATCATTCTGGACACAGAGACAACACTTACCACAACTACAACAGTCACAGTTACCGCTCCAGGTACATTGTTAAAATCTAGTGGAGTCATTAAAATGCTGACCATAAGGTTAGGGCCTGTTTGATAGTATGAAATAAGTACATGTTTATAGAGTTTTTAGTTTTGGTCCAGCAAAGAAAAAAAACTCATCCAGGCTTTTTGACAGTTTGTATTATTTTACAAGACACTGAAGTGCTAATCATTTCTTTCTTTTTGGTATTGTGCTTTTAATTAAATACAGAACCATTGTGTTTGTGTTGATTATTTTAAGTACTCAAGTACTGGTGTGTTGTCTGTAAATTAAACATATGCAACACTAGTTATTCTTCTATCATGTGGTAAGCTGTAAACAAATTTAAGTAGCATTGTTTTGCTTTCATGCAGTTACCTGTTTAAAAAAAAATGAAAAAAAAGCCACTTGAAAACTATGCACAAATCAATAGAAATCACAAGATGGAAAAAATAGCTTCTGCAATCGACCAACACAAAACAGCGGTGGATGTTTTCCTAGATCTTTCTATCTTCTTACATTGGAGAGCAAGCTTGATTGAATTGGACAAATTGTGAGCAGCAAGAAAAGTAGCTGCAGAGCCATGTCACTGATCTTCCTAGATCTTTTATGGTGCCTCAGATTCCAACCTTTCTGTAATACAGAATTTTTTAGACCAGTGTTTAGACCTTTTTGTAACAAAAAGCCAAATTCACAATCATGGTACCAGAACAGCCAGTAATTATCGAACGCATTTGTGCCGTACAAATCTCAAGCAATTTACAATTCTCTATCAAGGTCCTAAAATTTGGAACTCTCTTCCTGTTTCAATCACTCATTCATCAAACCTTCTTAGTTTTAAGACAAAAATGCAGAGTTTTTACTTAAATAATCACTGAATTGGCCTTAAGCTGTACATTCACAGCACTTTTTCTTTACTTTACTTATTAATGTAAGCAAGGTGGCTCTCCCATAAGCCCGGTGGCTTCCTGGGTCTCCTCACCTTCTAGCCATAACCACTGTAAATCAATTTTTTGTATTGTGTAAATAAGGCAAATAAAGATGATGATTTTTCTTTCTAGGCATTCTGGAGGTTGGCTTAGTACAATTATCACCTGGGGAGTCATTGCCTGGATTGTATATTACATCTACCAGCGTTTTACACACAGCCAATCACAGCAGTATCCTATATTTATTACTTGTAATTTATGTGTAATTGGCCACATGCTGAGGTCTGTATTATAACACCCAACATTTTCACCTTCCAGTGGTTCCACAATTACCCAAAGTTTTCTCTATCTAGTAATCACACAAGTTTCTTCTCTCAGTCTTCTATTTAATATGATGAAGTGATGGTATTGTACAGTTTCTTGCTTAAGAACTAAAGAGAATATTCTTTAGGACATTTTTAGTACTATCTATTTTCATAAAGTTCTCCTTAACAAGAAATATTTTAGGAATAATTCAACTGGTGGTCGTAATCAATTTTCCAGTCCCCCACCTCCTGGATTTCGACCTGAGTATACACCAAGTAAGTATTTATGCATCCCCCCCCCCAAAAAAAAAAAAAAAAAAAAAATAGAAAAGAAAAGGTAATTGAATGATAACAATAACAAAAAAAACTAAAAAAAAACAAGAAGAAAGTAAGGAAAAGAAGACTTCTCAAAGTAGACTTTACCTTTTTAAGTAATAATGGACAAAGTTAGTGGTTTACCAGCCTTAAATAAATGTGAACTATCAGTTTTTATACATTTGACAAAAGGAGGTTCAGGTACTCCCCCCCCTCCCCCTCAGCCACACCTTAAAAGACTGTGCTTTTTTTGCTGCTATTAGGAGGCCACACTACACATTCCAACAGCTGGACAGGAAATGCAGCAGGAACTGATGGTTGGCCGGGATTTTGGTCAGGTGATCACAATGATATCAAAACCTCTTAACCAGGTTTCCTTTATTTATTGATGGACTATTATCGACTATAAACTGAGCTTGTAGGAGACATGGATATAGCAGAAGTTCAGAAAACACATTCTTTTGATCGTAAAGAAGTGTTCATCAAGGTGTAGTCTTGAAATGGTGAAGAAAGTGATTTATGAACCAGCTATTCTTGAGTTTCAAAATTTTGTTGAAATCAACAAGAACTGAGACTTTTTCTCGTCCGTGGATCAGGATACATGTATCGCTTCTATTGTTGTTATTAGGTCTTCAAGTTGATTGAGAAGATAAATTATAACATTTTTCCTTATTTGCTGATGCAATGTAGGTGCTGCCACCGGAGGACTTTTGGGATATCTGTTTGGAGGCTCAGGGTAAGAGCTTAAAAAACGCTTAAATGATAAAGAGAGTAATAAGCATGTGCATCTTTTAAACGTAGATAACAACTGGAAAGAGAGTTTTTATAACCTTGGGGGCTTGCGACAAACCTTTTGACCGTGGAAATGCGATAAAAGATGCCTTTCAGTTGATTGACTTACGTGGAAAGCGCGCCAGAAGTAATTGCATTTTCCTTCCAATTGCTAGTTTTCTTGCAAAAACGGCTTTGATGAAGTTCGCTTATGGTAACGCAACTGAGATCGGTAACGACAGCGTACTGTATATCTAACCAAAATACCATACATAAGAATAACGATAACGGTAAAAGTAACAATAACGATAACAGTGACGTTAACGATAAGATAACGATAACGATAACAGTAATGAAAACAGAAACAGTGTTGATAACAGTTGTGATTGGTTGACGACCAAATGATAATGGTGATGATAGAAATCACCATCTAGAAAAGTATTGTTGTTTGCGGTCATATTAACGTTATGAGTGACGATGATATAGACAACTTTTTTTATCATTACTGTACAAACCGTCACAATCTTTTCTATGGTCACCATGATTACTGGTGTAATGTGCCATCCTAATTTTTTTCTCATAAACAGCCGTCGCAATACTTACTATGATCACTATGATCACTATGGTCCGAGATACCATCAGCGAGGACCTGGGTATGGTTTTGGTGGAGGATCGGGCTGGTTTGGGTCCAACAACAGCTGGTCTTCAGGACGCTCCTCAGGTTGGACCTCAGGCAACAATTACAGAGGAAGCTCCTCTCCAAGCTCTCGGACCTCCTCAGGTGAGCGTGAGCTGAACTAAACCCCTGCTGTGTTTCAGACTATTTATTTTGACTTGCAACTTGCCGAGAAACAGACAATGTAAAGAGTTTCTGTGAATTGTGGTGGCAAACATTTTTTGATGCATTGAGTACTGAGTCGTCATCATAAATATAAATTTTCTTTTGGATTCGTCATCGTAACGTGACAGTAAGTCCTGTTCTGTTGTACTGAATGTACCACAGAATTCCCTTTGTTAAGATTTTCAGCTCTGTTCTCTGGGAGAAATCCTCTGTAGGGATTAAAAGATATGATTGGTCAGTGAGCCACCCATAAGAGGTGGACCGACCACTTTTTGGTGTGTCACACTGACAATACCACGACGTAGAATAAATATTGTGTGAAAAATACCGTAATTTATTGGGGTCAATTTCCTTTGCAGGGTTCGGTGGAACGAAACGTCGCTAAAAACTGATCAAAAGAAAACCGTTGATACCTCATGCACATTTATATTAAAGGCTGTTCACTTCCTGACAGTAACAGGAAACCTTTCGAGGAGGGGAAGGGAGATATTGATCAGCATTGCACATTAGAGCCCAGCTTTCTCTGTCTAAAGGCTTCAGTTGTTTTATTAGTTCAATAGGTAACCTATCGTTGTTTAGGTCACAACTGGCAGCAGCTAATTTTTACGGCCTAATATTAACACTTTCATATAATAGTTAGTGATTTAGGGTTACTTTCATAGTCGTTTACAATAGCCAACATCCTCGCAAAGAAAACGTCTTCTTTTTCTACTTAGTTGAGCCTTAAAAACCATTATCAGGTTACTATGGGCAACGGTAAATTATCCGTCGTATTTTGTTTATTTAAGCACTAAATTTGGTTTTACTCTAAATTTGAAACAAGTGTCACGTACATAAGCAACGTAAGTAGGCTTCCTCTAAGAAGCCTTCTTCTGGTAAATAAAAGTTTTTCTAAAATTAAAAGAATGACAGAGTCCCTTTTATTGATTTTCCCCTCTATTACTAAACCTAACAATATTCCGTTCCCAATTATTCTACTTTAAAGAGAGATTGTGCTGTTCTTCCAAAAAAGTGGTCAGCTCATCATCAGTGACTCTTTTGCTACAACCTTCTAGCCGAACTTAGGCTCGATGGCCAACTAATGAAGCTCCTACCAGCACCCGGAAATCTTCTCTTTTAGCGTGGTAATTAAAAAAAAAAAGAATTTTGTTCCTAAGCTCAGTTATTTTGCGGCTCCTCTTTATTGCTGAGTTTTAAATGCATGAATATTGATACAGGAGCATTTTGCTGATGAGCTTTCTGCTAACTGCCAGGACCATGAATGAAACCGAGTTTTCTTGCTCATTATCAAAATTCTATTGTCTCGATATTTAAAGGAGATTTTCTTGGCCCACAAAATAGTTGTGGCTTTGAAACTCGCACAAAAGAACACGGCTTATTGCCCTCTATTTATCGAACTAATAATCCTTCCGCAAATCGTCTTTGTTGGCGAGATATATAGGCATAGATATTAGAACAAAAGAATTCTGTCAATGAGCTTTGGGCAAACTGTCAGGACAATGAGCCAAACCGAGTTATTGAAACCCATCAACAAAATTCTATTGTTTCAATATTCAAGGGAATTTTCTCGGTCAAAAAGAGAGGTGTCGCTTTGAAATTCATACAGAACACACAGCTAATCACCTTCTTTCTAACTATCTCAGCTTATTACCCTCTCTTTAACGAACTAACAATACTTCCGCAAATTGTCTTTATTGCCGAGATATATACGCATGAATATTGAAACAATTTTGTTAATGAGTTTAGGTAAACTATCCGGCAATCTATTTCGTTAAGCTATGTTACTGAGCTAAACCAACTTTTTTAGCTCATTAACAAAATTCTATTGTTTCAATATTCAAGGGAATTTTCTCGGTCAAAAAGAGAGGTGTCGCTTTGAAATTCATACAGAACACACAGCTAATCACCTTCTTTCTAACTATCTCAGCTTATTACCCTCTCTTTAACGAACTAACAATACTTCCGCAAATTGTCTTTATTGCCGAGATATATACGCATGAATATTGAAACAATTTTGTTAATGAGTTTAGGTAAACTATCCGGCAATCTATTTCGTTAAGCTATGTTACTGAGCTAAACCAACTTTTTTAGCTCATTAACAAAATTCTATTGTTTCAATATTCAGAGGGGATTCTCTTAGTCAAAAAAAGAGGTGTGGCCTCGAAACTCATATAGAATTTACAGCTGATAACCCTCTTTCTAACGAAGTAATAATTCTTCCGCAAATCCTCTTATTTGCCGAGATATATACGCATGAATATCAAAACAAAAGCATTTTGTTAATATACCTTTGGCAAACTGTCAGAAGCACAAGCTAAACATAGGTTTTTAGCTCATTTTCAAAGATTCTAATTGCAATATTCAGAGGGGATTTTTTCGGCTCAAGAAAGAGGCGTGCCTTTGGAACTCATACTAAATACACAGCTAATTACCCTCTTTCTAACGAACAAGTAATTCTTCCGTAGGTCTCTTTATTGCCGTGAAATATACGCATGGAAATTGAAACAGAAGAATTGTGTTCATGAGCTCTCCGTAAACTGTCAGGAAAACGAGCGAAGCCGAGTTTTGTCACTCATTAAAAAAATTCTACTGTTTCAATATTCAGAGGGGATTTTCTCGGCCCAAATAAGAAGGTGTAGCTTTGAAACTCATACAGAATACACAGCTAATCACCCTCTCTCTAACCAATTTATAATTGTTCGGCAAATCCTCTTTATTGCCGAGATATTTAATCATGAATATTGAAACAAAAGAATTTTGTTAATAAGCTTTCTGCAAACTGTCAGGATTACAAACTAAAACAGGGTCTTCAGCTCATTAACACAATTCTATTGTTTTAATATTCAGTATATATATTGAATAGCTTAAAATATATATTTAATAATTAAATTAATAATTAAATAATTAATATATTTAATAATTGTTCCTCAGCCTTTCAAACAATTTTATAATTGTTCTGCAAACTCCCTTTATGTAAGAGATACATACGCATGAATATTGAAACGAAAGAATGTTGTTAATGAGCTTTCTGCAAACTGTCAGGAAAACAAGTTAAAGAGAGGTTTTTAGCTCATTCAAAAAACTCGATTGTTTCTATATTCAGAGGGGATTTTCTCCGCCAACGAAAAAGGTGTGGCTTGGAAACTCACACAAAAACACACAACCTGATGCCATCTCTCTTAAAAAATAATCATTCTTTTGCAAACCTTCTTTATTGTCGAGATATTAATCATGAATAGTTAAACAAAAGAATTTTGTTAATGAGCTTTCTGCAAACTGTCAGGATTACAAACTAAAACGGGGTCTTTAGCTCATTAACAAAATTCTATTGTTTTAATATTCAGAGGGGATTTTCTTGGCCCCAAAAAAGGGTGTGGCTTGGAAACTCACACAAAATACACAACCAAATGCCATCTCTTTTACAAACTTATAATTCTTTCCCAAATCGTCTTCATTGCCGAGATATATACGCATGAATATTGGAAAAAAAGAATTTTGTGAATGATCTTTTGGTAAACTGTCAGGACGACGAGCTAAACCGAGACTTTTAGCTCATTAAGAAAGTTCTATTGTTTCAACATTCAGAGGGGATTTCTCGGCTCAAACAGGAGATGTGGCTTTTAAACTCATACAGAATACACAGCTAATCACTATGTTTCTAACCGATTAATAATTGTTCCACAAATCCTCTTTATTGCCAAGATATTTAATCATGAATATTGAAACAAAAGATTTTTGTTAATGAGCTTTCTGGAAACTGTCAGGATTACAAACTCAAATGGGGTCTTTTGCTCATTTACCAAATTCTATTGTTTTAATATTCAGAGGGGGTTTTCTCGGCCCAAGAAAGAGGTGTGGCTTGGAAACTCACACAAAATACACAGCCAAATGCCATCTCTCCAAAAAACTAATAATTCTTTCGCAAATCTTTTTTATTGTCGCGATATATACGCAAGAATATTGAAACAAAAGAATTTTGATAATGAGCTTTTGGCAAACAGTTAGGACCACGAGCTAAACCGAGATGTTAAGCTCATTAACAAAATTCGATTGTTTCAATATTCAGAGGGGATTTTCTCCGCTCAAAAAAGAGGTGTGGCTTCGAAACTCATACAGAATACACAGCTAATCATCCTCTTTCAAACAATTTTATAATTGTTCTGCAAATTCTCTTTATTGCCGAGATATACGCGCATGAATATTGAAACAAAAGAATGTTGTTAATGAGTTTTCTGCAAACTGTTAGAACAACAAGCTAGAGCGAGGTTTTTAGCTCATAAACAAAATTCTATATTCAGAGGGGATTTTCTTGGGCCCAAGAAAAAGGTGCGGCTTCGAAACTCACAAAAAACACAGCCATGTGCCATCTCTCTAAAAAACTAATAATTCTTTCGCAAACCTTTATTGCCGATATATATACGCATGAATTTGAAACAAAGGAATTTTGTTAATGAGCTTTCCGCAAACTGTCAGGACAACAAGCTTAAGTGAGGTATTTTGCTCATTAACGAATTTCTATTGTTTAATACTCAGAGGGGATTTTCTCGGCCCAAGGGAAAGGTGTGGCTTGGAATTTGCATAAAACACACAGCCAATGACCATCTCTCTCTAACAAACTAGTAAATCTTAAGCAAATCCTCTTTATTGCCGAGATATATACGCATGAATATTGAAACAAAACAATTTTGTCAATGAACTTTCGGTAAATGTCAGGGCAATAAGTTAATGTGAGGTTTTAAGCTCATTAACAAAATTATATCATTTCAATATTCAGAGGGGATTTACTTGGCCTGAGGAAGAGGTGTGGCTTTGAAACTTATACAAAACATACAGATAAACGCCATCTTTCTGACGAACTAGTAATTCTCAAAAAAATCCTCTTTATTGCCGAGAGATTATTGAAACAAAAGCTTATTGACCCATTTCAACTTTTCCAATACCCAGAGGGAATTTTTTCCGGTCCATAAAAGAGATGTTGCTTTGAAACCTGCATACAACTGAGAACCAGTCAAGTTCTTTCTTTTTAATATTAATACCTTTTTAATCAGATATAATCATAAGAATACTGTAACAGTAAGATTTTGTTGATGAGCATTTTGAGTCCAGGACCTAACCCTTGTTTTCTAACTTATTGACACTATTCTACCATTTCAATATTCTGAGTGGCCTATTGAAGGTGTTCGTGCAGGAAATCAGTCTTCAGGGCATTTCTTTAAAGTTAACAAGTCTTGCACAGGTGCACAATGAAAACTTTAATCCTGCATTAATTCTCTAAAGTCCATTTGGATCTTCAACATCTGTAAAAAAACTTGGTGCTTTTTGTCGTAAAACCTGAAATGAGACAAACAAGGAACACAAGTTTTAGGAGCGTGAAGCATTTCTCTGTTTCTTTATCGTTTGGAATGTTTCATGGCAGAGCCTATTTCCTCAACCATACACCATGTCTAAGCTGAGTGTTTGGTTGTCAAGCCCTCAAGTAGGAAAGAAGATTGAGATCATTTTGTTGTGACTCAAACCATTGTTCTTTTCCAGGTGAATTTCCCTGTTTTTCAAACTAATTTGTTCCTCTCCCTACATTTCAAAACAATTCAATTCAACGTCTCCCCATCTAGACTTGATCTTATATCACATAGTTATCCATAAGTCAATCTATTCCATGCATGCGTTCCTTCCCTATTTCGTTCATTCATAATAAGCTAAAGGATGGTGAGGATCTCTTAACCTGATATGCAGCTCGGTTGTTTTCATTTTTCTTGCTCCTCTAACTATGTCATACTCAAGTGCCACCAAAATATTCCCACAGAGAGTAGAGTTACTTTTTCCTTACTCTTTCAAATTTTCTTGTGGCTTTACAACTCTTCCTGCAGCATTCATGCTTTTCATAGCTTCCTTTAGACAAAAGCAAAATAATAAATAAGATGACCTGATGAATGGGATATGTACCAAACCCTCTCTGGGTTTCAGGGTACAATTAAATCCTTCCCACTTGATTTTCCTTTTGATTGACTGATGTGAAACCAAAACAAAAGTAATCAAAACAGGAATCAGAGCGAAGGAAAACCTACAAGAAACCAAGAAGAACTCAAAGTAAAACAGAAAACTCCTTGAAGACTGAGAAAATTTGAGGGACTTAGCTACATTTGTTTTCAGTTACTGCATATATCTTCTGTAAAGAGAGTAGTTTGTTTTATGACCTGTAGACAGTCTAAGTGTGTCATAAAGTATTTTGAAATGTTATTTCATGTTAGTATAGTGTAAATGAATTATACATCAATGTAACTCGATGTCGTTCTGGCACAAAGCTCAAACCAAAATTGTTCCATCTACAACTTACACTGGTTAGAAAAAAATTAGATTTAATTTTGGTTGGGCAAGAGAGCTTTGTCCTCTTTCAAACATCACTGTCCAAAATATGACATACTACCGTCAGGTGAATAGTGAGGAATGCTCAGGCACCCACCTGGATTGAAGAAAAATCCCCTGATGCGCATGCTCCAAGAATTGCTGCGCCAACAAGCACTGATTCACTCTCACGCGGTAAAATACAAGGAAAACCTACAAGTCAAATAACAAAATGACTCTATTTTAAGTTATAACTCTATTAATGACTAAATTGATGCAAAAAGATGAGAATTAATTTTTCCTTAATATCACCTAGCTCAGATCACAACCAGAAGCATTACCTCTTGACTCTATTGAAGTGTAGTAGATCAGAAAATATACAAGAATGAACATACCTGTCACATCAGCATGTGTTTGGATGAACAATTCATTCTTACTGAGGCCACCACAGAGGAACAGAGTGTCAATAGAATGTCCTGCTTTGTTCAAACATTCCACAATATGGCGAGTTCCATGCTGGTGGGAACAAACAACAGGAAAGCAGCAGTTTACTACATTGCATTGTGATAAACAAGTACTATATAATTTCTGCATAAATGGAGATAGAGGAAAGGGTGAATTTTTCTATCAATAACTCTTTCTATCCAAAAGGTCAGTAGGACAACATGTTGTCGAAAACCTCCCAGGGAAGATAACTTCCAGAGGAACTGAATGTTTACTGTTGTTGAAGTTTTTGTTGCCTCAACTGTTTCAGTGTCTGTTTGAAATTAAATACTACCACAATGAAGAACAGGTCTATTAAAGGAAAAGAAAATGACAATGACAACTACTATGACAAACAATACTGAATCATTCTCCGTACAGTTGATTGGAAATTGTGCTAATGTTGTTCATACTTACTGCAAGGGCCTGAAGTGCAGCGAGATACAAAACAGCCAGGTTGTCTAGATCAGTAGTGAGAGTTAAACCGCAAATCTACTTGAAAGAACAGATGTACTGAGTAAATACTGACACGACAGGGCTGTGTTTAGTACTATCAAAATTTGTTTAAAAAAATGACACCAGATGAAAGGATAGTAAGTAACATTTAACAAACATTCAGGTCCAGAGTCAGAAAGGAAAGAAGCAAGAGAGGAATCAGAACAAATTTTTAAGGTAATAAAGTATTATTGAATTCTAATAACTCAAATGTTCTAAGAACTACTGAGGTGTTAAGAGTAAAAGTTTTAAAAACAATGACCAGAGGGAAACAGAATTATATTTGATTTTGACAACAGGTTCAACCTAATGACGCAATATTCACACAAAAGCAGACTATAAGTGAGAGGGACCAGGAACAGCTAAAACTCAAGCAATATAAGAAAGTCTTTATCTATACCATTCCTGTCATTTTGGGATCTCCTATGGGTGATCTGTTTCCATGGAAATCTGGAAGCAGGTGAAAGTCGCGTGACAACAATGCCAAGTTATCAAGCTGACGCTTCTCTGCCAAGGTGGTCACATGTCTGTTAAGTTCCTCATACAGGGAACAATTGCTGAGAGAGTGAAAAGAAAAGAATATGAATGGAAGGTTATTGAATTTCTGGGTGAAATTTTTTTATTATTATACAAGGAAGAAATGCTGTCTCAATCTTTAAAGTGACCAGAGCTAAGATTGTTCCAAAATGCAAAAATAATAACAGGCTAACATGCTTATATAATTACATCAAGACTTTGTGTAGCAATGCAGGAGTTATGAGACAGGATAACTCCAAGTAAAAAATAAAAAATAAAACAAACCTCTTCTCAGCTATTTCTTTCAGCTCTGTGTAAGCCACATGTGTCTCAATAAGATGATCAATCTACCACAATTAAGACTCATATCAGTACAGCTAGACTAATTTCAGCCAGCCTTGCAAAAACAATACAAACAAGTTTACCCTTAGTTGTGTTTCTGTGTTTTTTTCAAAGAAATATTTACAGAATGGGTATAAAATGATATACTGCAGCTCTAACCAGTTTCCCAGTCACACTTTGGCCTCCTTCATTCAACCACAGGCCTGGTACCATAGCAGAGAAGTATGGGCCCCAGACCCCTGGCACAAACACTGGCTTTTCATTAATCTGCAACACAAAAATATTAAGTCAATAAAAATTGATAAAATACAATTCAAACTTAAATTAAACTGGTATTCAATGACTAAGTATACTGACTGCTGATTACAGTAGCTGCAGACAGACTGGATGACTACCAAGTGACTGTCTCACTGACTGATGAAATACACATTTATTTAAAAAAACTAATGGACTAGGTGACTGACATGAGAATGACTAATTACTGGCTGACTGACTGACATCTGTCTGACTCACCAACTGATTAATACAAGGAAGAATAAACTTACTTAGACTGACCGACTGATTGACTGACTGACTGACTGACTGACCCACCACCACATAAACTGACTTATGACAGACTGGCTGACTTGTGGATGAGAGACCAAATGACAGCTCAACTAACTGATTGTGCAAGATGACAATTTATCAACTTACAGCCATGTGACATGATGATGTTCCACAAATGACAGCCAGACGTGAAGTCAATGGTTTATCATCCGTAAGAAGTGAACCTAGATAAGCTCCAATGACACCTTGAGAAGAAATATTGAAATTCAAATTGGCAGTAAGTACATTGCTAGAGAAACAATGACACTTATCATCAAAAGCAAAACTCTTACCCAAGCCCCCAGCATGTGCATCAATGAGTGAAGTACCCACAGGCATTCCTTCCCATAATCCTAGTTCTGCTGCAGCATTTTTTGTCAAACCTTTACCAACAGGTTCCCCGGGGCTACCAACTTTTACCCCTCAAAAAAAGTAGGAAAAAAAATAAATAACTGGTCAGGCTCACAGGATACTAGAGAGAAAGCAAATTTAATAGTTGTCATAACTTTTCATATATTTTATTATTAAATTCCAATGCAGGACAAATCAAAAGAAATAGTTTTCATAAAATTAATTCAAAGACAAAAACTAAAAATAAAAAAAACATATCAATGCTGTAGCTCTACCCAGTTTGGAATATTTAGTGTTTACAAGATCTTCGAGTCCAACTGCTTCCAAAAATGAGTCAATCCATCCACTTGTTGAACCTGCCATGAAAAATTAAGTTGATTGAGACATATTTTTCATCAATAATGTTGCCATCAGCATTAGCATAATGTCACCTATTAGAGTCTGGCCACAAATCAACTTTTTTAAGCATCCTGAGCACAAAATTTTTTCCCTAAAGGAGTAATTCCTCAACATTCTGTAGATTGATTCATAGCAGAGCTTGCAGAGCATAGCCCCATAATTATACAAAATAATAGTAACCCATCAAGCCGAAAAAATTTGGATGTACGACTGTACAAGGTGCTACTTTTAACATGTGTGGTCAATTGTACTGTGGGCATGCCAACATCATGGCTTTGTCCAGTAGTCCAGTGGTCAGTGCACTGGGCTCCGAGTTGGATGACCTGGGTTCTAGTCCTGGCCAGGGCAAGATGTTGTGCCCTTAAGACGTGCAGGAAAAAAAATGTGAGCTCCACTTTTAGGCTTGGCTAAATCTATATATTATCAGTTCTGTAATGGGCATCTGAAAGAATTCACTCCATGAGTCAGCCAGTCTGTCATAAGTCAGTATCTGAGCATCTGTACACCTACCCCTCCCAACCCAACATTCAACTGATAACAAGTAAGGATAAATTTTGGCTTAGGGGAGGGGTAGATGGGCAGTTGCTTGGATACTGACATTGATTCAGAATGTTCAGGTCACTCCACTTTTCTTTTGAGGTTGTGAGTCAAGTCTAAGTGGATCAATTCTCTTCATTAATTTGAATTTTAAATTTAATGATTGAAATAAAATTTCTGAATGACAAAAATGTCACTTACCCTCCAGTATTTGAGATCCGTGTCCCATGTAATTAAATTTACACACAAGAGAGCACATGGACCTAACAAAATATGTTTGTTGTTTTTGAAAAGAGTGATTTTTCATTACCAGCAGGCAAAGTACACAGTCATCATAATTACTTTGGTGAGTTACCCAAACACTGACTGTCAAGTAATTATTTGTTAGATAATCCATTACTTATAACTTTCTGATTTTTTAAACAAAAAAACTGCAGTGTCATACCTGTTAACTGTTTAACTCCCACAAGTGATTCCCATGTAACTTCCCCCTACAATATCTATATACTATCCAGCAAACAGGTCATGAGAATAATCAAATATATCAGGTAGAAGTTGCCATCTTGATCTAACACCAAATTATCACTACAAATTTACAAGGGAATGTGTTGCAGCTAAAGGGGAGAATTTACAATCAGATCTTGGGAGTTAAATGGTTAACAGAAAAATATATTGTGTATAACACAAACATCTAATGGAACCATAACAATGATCTACATATATACATGCATATATATATAAAACCCCTTCTCAAAAACATTGCAACATTTAAAATATGTATTAAATATAGATATCTTTTGTTCTCTTATCAAAAAATGTAGATTTTTGATGAGAAAATAAAAGGTAGAAACTACATATATTTAATATACATTTGCAAATTTGGAACATTTTCAAAAATGGGTATATATACACACAAAATATATATATATAACATATAATATATCTAATTTATAACATAATACATAATTTATAAAATAATATAATTTAATATAATAATATAATTTACATATCATTATATGATATATATATATTTATTATTTACTCTGATATTCAAGTATGAATGATTACTGCCACTTTTCTTTCAACCTGAGACCAGAAAAATTGCAAGAGATTTAAAATAATATCTCTAACATATGAAAAGCACCATTGTTTTCCAGCTTTCTTGTCCATTTTTATCTAACTTTATGTTAACTGTTACAAATAAGGATCTATGTATCACTTACCTTGTTTCATCACCAGTTGCCCTGTAAGTGAGAAACTCAGGTAATTCTAAAAAGAGAGCACATTTATCCCAACAGTCTGTTGGTAAATTTTCCTTTAGCCACAGCATTTTTGGAATCTCCATTTCTGGTGAGGTAGCTCCACCGACATACTTTAACACTTTATGTTTTGTATCATTGATTCTTTTAGCCTGTTCCATGGCACGGTGATCCAGCCACATTAAAATATTTCTGTGAGGTTCTTTGGAAGGACTGCAAGTGACAGGACCTCCTGAAGAATCTAAAGTCACCAGGGAACATGTTGCATCAAAACCTATCCCTTTCACCATTCTCTTGTCAGTAAGACTGGCACCAACCTCCTGCAAAAAAGGTATAGAATGATGGTACACGAATAGTAAACTTCAGTATACCCCATTCAATTTGCCTCTTACTATTCTCCAACAGTTAGAGCTAACTTTTCAATCACTTTGCCATATCGCCTTCAATCGCAAAAGTCAGTGAAATGTTTGATCAGAATCACGACAATCATAAAATGATTACCTCTCTGTCTATTTGCCTGTCCTCCCATCTGTCTGCCTGCCTGTGAGTAAATGATCACAAATGCAAAGCCTACGAGAAATTTGATCCTGATTCAAATACCCCTTAGTGGGTTGATTAGTTCGAGAGATAGATAGATAGAGTATTAGATAGACTACATAGGACAGAGCTGCAGGAGGGCACATCCTGTCCTTTACTACCCTCCACTGTCTTCCTCTAACCTTATCCTACGCGATGATAAAAAGATACCTCTCCCCTTCCCTCCTGCAGTGATTATCGTGGTGTGTTTGCGAAAAAACTTCCAAAGGATCACAAACGCAAAACAAAAATTTGGAAAATACCTTAACAACTAAGCATACATTTCTCCATACATCCTCTGATGACTGCTCGTAGTAATCAGTTAGAGGCTGCCAGATTTGCAATGGCTTCGTCGCAGATGAAACGATTCTTCCATCGTGGGTAATCAGAGCAGCACGGACGCTAGCTGTTCCAACGTCCACACCTATATAATAGGATTCCATCATTTTTTGTTACGTATAAAGCTTATGATAGGGGGTACAGTACACCCTGACAGCTTTTTAGCCATCATCGAAAGATCGCCATATTGGACGAGTAGGGTCTGGTGAAAAGACAACCTTTCCGTCTGACATTTTCTCCCTCACCCGTCCCCCCGGCCTGACTTTGGCTAGTTCAGAGAAATTCCCAGCGGGGAGGGAAGACAAACTTCAGCTGTAAATCCTATCACAATTTCGTTTTATGTTGAAACTCTTGAAATTCTCTCTTCTTTTTTCAGCCCTCTCTGTGATTTAGTCACTTTAGCAACGAGCTCAAGTCAGGGTCTGGGAGCGAAATATTCTAATAATCTCAAGACAGCCAGCTAAAAATTGTTATCAAACTAGTCATTAGCTGAACGAACAGTTTTTGAGAAAGTGGTAGATTATATAGAGACTTACCCTCGCTTTCTCCCAAAAAGGATTCCTCAACTAAGCGTGGACTCTCGCGTGTGACTCGTACGAGCTCTTTACTATTGACACGCGCGTTCTTAGGACTCAGGGGGCACGTGATGATCTACCTTTTCCCACTCATTTTGTTCATCTTTTGCTGTTGCTGTGGTTTGTGTTGGCCAAACGGGATCTGTTTCAGGGTGTGTTCAGAATAGGGCAAGAAAGGTTAAATTGTATGCCCTGCTGGAATAGGATTATCTGGCCAGCATTAATGTTTTCATCGTTGAAGGGAAAAGTGTGGCTTCTTTTATTAAGAGGTAAACAATCTTAATAAAGATCATAAGTTCATCAATGATCTGTACCGTTATGATATTTCCATGTCTTTCAACCGGAAGATTTGTCAATTTTCATTACTGCTACAGTTTTTTTAAAGTACTCCCAAGTGCTTACTGGTAAGTTTGGAAAACACAAAAAACTTAGTTATCACTTGTTATCTTACAACATAGACAAAAAAGAGACAAATCTAGCAGAAGGACGTTTTTAGTTCTTCCTGTAAAGAACTAGTCGTATTCACACATAATTTGATAGATTGGGTAAATACTAAAAGAGATAGATTGTTGCGTGAGGGCCAAGAGTTTTTCCCTTTTACGATTAAGACAATAGAGTTGTGCCTCGATATTTTCACTGACTTTTTCTCTTGACCAACAGCACAAATGTGATAAGACGTTCCTATATCGGCTGAGTTAATTCAACTTCCCGTAATCAGAGTACTCCACCACTGGCGCCATTTATGTTGACCTTGACGGTGTGGATGGTAATTGGTATAAAAAATTGCTCTACCCTTTCCATCCTAACATAAGCATTCATATTCTCTACACCTCCCTCTTCTCATGTTCCTTTAATACTGACGTGGAGAATTTTTTGGCAATTAAGAGCTTCAAAATTGGAGATAATTTCCTTTATTCTTGTGACCTTTACGTCTGATTAAAGGGTGATATTGAAATGGGAAATTAATTAAATTAGAAGCCAGTCACACTTAGGGTTTCAGGGTTAAGGTACCTTATTGAACGCAGTTGGACTATGATTTTACGAACGGTCTAGGTAGAAACTTTCTATAATCGTTTTTTTTAAATAGAGTGTCAAAAAATCTGACCGTGAGAGCTGACATAGACAACATGATGACATCGTATTTACTGCAGATGGCTAAATTGTAGAAATACCATTTTTAGGACTCCAACCGCAAGGAAGCTTCGAATTTGACATCTGAAGTAATTTTTAATTTACGAACACTGCTTGAATTTACCCCACAGAGCGTTAATTGAATTAAGGTCGCCATGTCATGATAATGACTGTTCTGTGCAAATCGACATATAATGTGTATAGAAACAATCGTATGCTTGAAGTATGTTTTCAAAATAAATTTTCTTTTTTTTACCGAAAATCCTGAATAATAACATAACAAAAAATGCCGACAATATCGGTAAAAACATTTGATGAGGTTAAACTGAAATATTGAGGATTTTAGCGTGCGAGTTAAAAATGATATAGTTTTTTTCGAATAAAGTTCCTATTACATGTAACACGTTTTATATGGAGATGAAATTGATTTGAGATTTAAAAACATTTTTTTTCTTCAACATCGTTTCTGTATTTCCTTTTTACAATGTGTAAACACTCTTTATTTGTAAGCAATTTCAAGTGACTGTAATATTGACAGCGTGACTAGTAAAACTATATTTGTCACGCGGTAAATACCTATCAGATATCACTCACCGACACTTTTATAACAAATCTCAGTGACTCATTTTCGGTCAGTCGAATGAATTGTCGTAGAGGATGGTGGAAATGTTTATCTGTACCTCTAACTGGTGAGAATACCACAGTAATTTTAGGCATACACTCGCTAATAGCACAATAATAGTGTTCTTGCGTTACGTTAGCTAATCTGATTAATTCCGTCAGGTAAGTCAAAAGGTTATCGTTAATGATATCAATGACGCTGCAGAGGGCATAGAAAATCATGCAATCATTACAATCTTTTAGCGGAAACGCGCCCAGAACCTGTTGGTTAACGTCGAAGCAGGGTTGATTTGTCTGTTGAAAGGTAAGCTTTCGTACAGTCTCAGTAGTTTGTTTATGTACAACTTGAAGTTGGTAACGAAATGTATATTATGTTACAACTATGTTGCCACTCCAATGGGTTTCTGATCGATTCTGCGTACAATAAGTGGAACGTAGTTTACACACTTTTGGGTTCGATAGTTGACTGGTTTCGCAGAGATTAAGTTTGTAGGACCATTCTGAATTTCTTTCGTTATATGTTCTTCGTATGTTCTCTTGTATGAATTGGCAAGTCGAGGTTTTCTTTCTTGCGATTGTAAGCCTTCTGAACACATTTAAAGGCCCGTTTAAACGGTTTCAACATTTGCTTCAACTTGCATTCAACACTCTGTTGAACCAAATGTTCGGTGCGTTTGAACAGGTCGTCCAGTATTGCTGAAAACGTAAAAAATGTTGAAAGCTTGTTGAAAGCGTGTTGAATCAAGTTTGAATCGGTTTAAACTTTCATTCAACATCGATGCAACTTTTCCTTTGTTCTCGAAAATGTTGAATGGCCCGTTTAAACGGTTTCAACATTTACCCAACGTCCGTTCAACTTTTGTTGAACGAGTGTTTGTCAAATGTTGAAACCGTTTAAATGGGCCTTAACGAATGATCATGTCTCTAGTCACCTATACCTACGACAGGTTCTTAGCAATGAGTAGTGATGTCTTGTTTAAGTTCAGACCCGTTCCGAACAGAAAAGTCTTATTTTCAACAGTGTGTCGCTACCTCTATTGATTATAAAAATTTTTCCGTTCACGTAGCGTTAGGAACGACGGAATTCCACTGCATGTGTGCGAGGTCGGGTTTCCGGAAGGCGTCGCTTTTTCCGCAGACGTTGAATGCACGCACGTTCACCACATAAAAAAGTTTTTACTTTGAATACTTAAATTAGATTTAGATTACGATGAAATTGAGGGATTTTCTCCTGAACAACCAAATTGTCTTACGGTAAATTTTTCCGGAAGGTACTCCATTGCCCCGTAGGAAAGGTTTCAAGGTATGATTTTGACAAGTATCTGTGAGACTTGTTCCGAATGAGACTAAGAGACAGTTAAATTTCATCAGATCAAGGTCCTCTTTCTGTACTTTGTTCCAGCATCCTGCCTTAAAAATTGTTTACAATGTTATTTTTTTTTTGGCATTGAGAAAAATCTAAATGGTATACTTTAAAAATTTTACAGGAGTTTCATGTAGCCTGTTGTCATGGCAGTGAGTTACACTCGGAACAATTTGTCTAATTCCAGTCTCACCAGCATAGAGGCTCGTGATTTGGATGAGCGTAAAAGATGGCAGAAGAAGACAATCAAAGCAAGAATCCTAATTGGAGTTTTAACTGTTATCTGCAGTATACTTATCGTGATATTAATTGTAACCTATGAGAGTGGTCATAAAAATACAGAATGCACAGAAAAGCAGAATGGAAAAGCTGTCAATAACAACATTATTAAGTTTGTCCACATTTCGGATATACATTATGATCCTTTTTATGACAAGAATACACCCCAAAGATCTTTTTGCCGCCCACAACTTGCAAATAGTACATCGAATTACACAGCACAATATGGAAGGATTGGCTGTGATTCACCAATTGATCTTGTGGAAAATTCCTTGGATGCCATGCAGAATGTAAGCAAGATAGAGAATGTTAGCTTCATTTTGTTGACAGGTGGGTAACAATGTTAAAAAGAAAAAGATAAAGATAAAAGATAAGAAATAAAGATTTGATTGAGTCTTAATTTTATATATGTCACCAAGAGAATGAGACTATCATTGATATCCTCCAAATATTCCAATCAAAAAATGCGTTTTCTTTACTTTTTTGTTTCTGTGAGATTATGCCAGGATATTTCTATTAAACATAAAAATTATCAAGATGTTAGAGAAAACTTGTTCCAATTATTTTTTGCAGTTTTCTCTTTGGGATGAGATAATTCTTTTGGCAATTTCCCAGTCCCAGTCTCCCTTTAATCCTCTATATTTCTACCCTCTGTGTGCATAATGGTGCACCCTGTAATGCAATGAAACTTTGAAGTATATCTAGTCTTAGCTATTTAAGTCATTAGTTAAAAATAGTGGATTAATCAAACAAGTCTGGCTCCTTATCTTGTTTATTCAGGTGACTTGTCAGGTCATGGCATGTGGACATCTTATGCTGGTCCACATAAAGTTTTGGACAACATTGCTGAAGTTAGTAACAAGGCACATTCAAGATTTCCAGATATTCCCATCTTCCCAGTGGTTGGGAATAATGATCTGCCAGGACATTATGTTTTACCAAACTCCAGTGACTGGTATAAAGAGCTTTTGACTTCTTGGGCTCCATTGATTTTGTGCTCCTCATGCCCCAATGATATGACAAAGCCAACTACAAGGACTGTTTTAGAAGAGAGTTTTTTAAAGGGAGGATACTACAATGCCAGCATTGCAGGTGATTTTTTACCTTTTTTTTGTCAAGTGTTATTCACCACTCACCTCTGACCTTTAGCCCCCTAGCCTCATGATCCCCCTCTCCCCTCCCCCCTGACCACTTCAACCTTATTATAGACAAGCTGATAATGTCTGGGGTAGGAGATACTTTCTGTAATAGACCTATGAGGAGGTGCTCTGTTGTTGGTCAGATTCCATGGAGTAGTGTTAGTAAAACTAGTTTAATCAGTGTCCATGAAAGTGTCTATTTGTTGATCCATAATGTTACTTTAAGAGTAAAAGTCTCTTAGATCCTAGCCGAGAAAGAAAAAAAAAGAAAAACAGACATAAGGGTGGAGCCATCAACCCTGGAACAAGGCATAACAATTTGAAAAAAAAATTGTCCTAAGTATTCCCAACCCTTCCTCTGAAGGTGGTACTTAAAGAAGTGGACACCTAGGAATTTGACCTCCCTTTAATTTCAAATATGTTATCAAAATCTTAGTAGAACTAGCTGTTCACAATCTTATATATAGAGTAGGTGCTAAATGAGATATAATTTTTAGCCCTCATTTGCTTCTTTTAAGGTGGCAAGATTGTGTTATTAGTCTTAAACAGCCTTTACTGGTCTGTAGAAGTGAATCACAATCCAGAAATCCTTCAAAAGGCTGTCGAGCAGTTAACATGGCTGGAAACCCAGTTAGAAATTGCGGCAATGAGAGGAAAAAAGGTGATACTGGTATCTCACATTCCTGCAGGGTATGTTGAGTATTGTACCAGAGCTTTAACTTGTGTTTTTGAGATTGTAAGATGTTGTTTTATGGTATTCAATTATTTAAAGTGGTAGGTAAATTATAGAAAATGAGTATTTCCCCTGCTTTGTGGGAGCATTTTTTTTTAACTTCATTGCTAGGTTGCTTCCCCTCCGCCCTCCCCCTTGGGAGGGAAGTGAGAGGCAAAGGGGGAGACCCAACTCTAGATCTGCTACTTACAGGTAATCAAATCCTAAAAGTATTCAGTAAAGTCGCCAATCCCAGCTTTTCTTTTAGCAATCCCAGCTTTTCTTTTAGCAATCCCAGCTTTTCTTTTAGCAATCCCTCCGGGGGTTCCTGTGGTTTTTCCCGGCAGACACGATGCAATAATCATTGAAATTCGCTTTCAAAGGTTGTGCCGCGCTGTAAAAGGCTACGACGCGTTTTCTTTCATAACGTCAAGCTCTGTTATGCCTCCCTGTGTAACATTTATGTAGTCTTAACTATAAGATTCTTGTCAAATATGTTTTTGTGTCTATTTTTGTTAGAATTGATACTTACGACGGAAAATCCTACTGGTTCAGTAACTACACAAATACATATGTGAGCCTTGTGGCCAAAAAGTACAGTTATTTAGTGACTGGTAAGTGTTTTATTTCAAGTTTTTAAATTCTTCTCAAAACCAGCCCCATTCTGTTTGTTTTACTTGATAACGAATGATCATACCCCTATCACTATCCCTCTTTTTGATTTTCTCTTGTCCCTATATTGTTTGTATACCCTGGCAAACTGTTATTTCGAGGCAATTTCTCTTCTCGATGCAACTCTTTTAAGCTAACGTAAGGTTAATCAAATGGAATTGAGATGTGATTATTTGCCCTGCCGAACGCGGTGGTTGAATTGTCAGCGCACTGACCTCCAGGTCGAGAGGGCGGGGTCATGGCGCTTTTTCGATGTCCTTAGATGGGGCAATTTACTCTCATTGTCCTCCCTTTACACAGTTATAGAAATTAATGCCCTTACGATTTGATATTTTTTAGCCTTCCTGAGGCAATAAACATGATTACCTATTCTTTTTTTAGCCCAGTTCTTTGCTCATACACACAAAGACGATTTCCGTCTTCAGCTGTCTATGACAGAAACCGGTGACACTCAGCAAGAAGTACCGAAGTCGTTTGTGCTTCTTGCACCCGCTATATCTCCTGTCTACCATAACAACCCAGCATTTAGAGTAGTGTCGCTAGAAACAGACCAACTTGTCCTGCTGGATTACACACAGTACTACATGGACTTAGTCATGGCTACAGGTGAGGAATACCAATGCAGCCTTTTTCCCGGTTGGGGGGAGTAGAGAGTTTGCATTTAAGAGCCACAGTAGTATTTTAATCGCTCAAAATTTTCGAAGAATATAAACAAAAATATGAACTTCTATGAAAGGAAAAATATCTCACTCTGTTAAATACGGAGATTTTAAAGAAGTATCAAGCTGCCCACGCTATACAACAAACGTCTACAGGTATTGCAGTGCTTGTGTAGAAAGTCAAGAACAGTTAATAACTAGTCAGCATTTCTGCCCTTGTGGATTGTAAAAATTTCACACTCGCTTTGGAACGGTGATTTTGGAGTACCACGTTTTAATAATACACACTATGGCTACCATACCATCCGATTTGTAGTGCTGTTCTTAAGGTCAAAACTTACTAAAGATCAAAGAGATTCACCTCCTTCAGCTGATTTTTTTAAAGAAAATTAGAAAAATAAACCTATCAAACTATTTTACTAATGAAGTACTACTACTTTTGAAGGATGTACAGTTACATGTAATTTTTAACTGGTTTTATTTCAGAATTCTCAAATCCGATTTGGCAACTGGACTACACTTTTAGTCAGAAGTACCCATCAGAAAATAAGTTTCTCGACGCCAACAGAATCTTTGAACTGAATGAAGAACTTATAAACCAAACTAGTAATAAGTTCTGGAAGGGATACGTATTCTCGCGCGAGACAAACTACCAGCCGGAGCCGTATTCAAGATTTCAACTTTTCTGTGGAATGCGCCATGTTTACAAAGAGGATTTCAACAGATGTAGTGAACAGTATAATGTCCCTGGTGGCTAGGGAAATTTAATGATGTTAAAAATGTTAGGGCATTTTTAAGATAATTTATAATTCCATTGATTTTTCTTTACTTCCCTCTGAAATTGGTAAAGAAAACTAGCGCCATCCTCTCAACCAATCAGATGCAAAATTAATCGCGACTCGGCCAATTGCATCTTCCCGCGCTCCGGAAATTGGCTTGATTTTACATCGAGTTCTCATTGGCTCACTCTCATTTTCGCGCGCTCTGTGAAGTTTGCTTTTTTCTTTTTTTTAACTCGCTAAGCGCTCATTGTGGCATTCCCCCTTGCCCTGATTGGCCTTTGTGATTATTTTGTCCTTATTCTAGATGCCCTCAGATGTTCATCAATCCCAGCTTCTTTTTATATTTTCGCTCGAGAGGGAGATAGGGTAAGGCTTCAAGATCATGAGTACTTGTTTTTGGAAATGTTTCTTACTAATATGAGTAAAAAGACCGCCATGGAAGGAAGTGACTGTAGTGCTTTTTTTGACTGGAGCTGATCTCAATTCGCAAAGAGAGCACACACTGTTTTTCTTCCAGAACAAAGTTGAGATTTTTTAGTCGTAAATTCCGGGAAACTTCGAAAGACGGATTTCTCTAGTTTACTACTCAGTGTTTGAATTATAAAAAAAGATACCGTTACGAAATGAAATTAAACCAACTTTGCAAATAAAATGTACATATTCAAATACTAACTTTCTAAGTAGAATTGTGAGATGAAACTTTCCCTTTTAAATTGTCCAGTGAAGGATGTTTTTAATAAATGAGTTAAACTTACCGCAAACAAGCAGGTGTTTTGTAATCTCCGTTCTCTTTGCATTTTTCGACCTGTTTATCATTGTTGCTCTCGTCATTCAAACTCCTTCGGTGCACGAGGCAAATGATTGCGTGCACACTCCAAATATCGTACTGGTCAGGAAACTGACTTCGTAAACACCTACAACCCCTGCTCACTTGGGAGTGTCCAAAAAGCAATTTCTCTTTACGAAATCGATATATTGTCGAGCAGAAAAGTAATGAAAAGAAAGAAATAATATCAACTGAGGTATACGGTTGGGTTCAACACCAAATTCTCTAAACTAACATTAAAGATGTATGCCAAGCAGAAGTGAGAATTAATCTTCAGATCTTGGGAGTGAGGAGAAACTGTTTGGGAACTGTCAAAAGAAACAGAAATTAGCGTGTAATTAATGTAAACTAGACTTCTTAGTGAGGTCCTCAATGTCTAGTTACATATTTTCAAACATTCTGGCACCATCGAAGGAAAGGTTGAAGTAACGCCAAATCTAGTAAGCACAGGTTAGAAAGAAAAGTTCTCGAGTGCTATCAACTGCAACTTAAATCAGGCAATTGCAGAATAACATGGAAAAGTTTGATTGATATGTGACATTACATTTCAAACAAATCTCTGTATGAAAATCGCCGCCCACTTGAAAACACAAACTAATTCTCCCGACTTGGAATCAAATTTCCCCCAAAAAATATTACGCACTATGTGTGTTGGTTAAGCGTTTTATTCGTTCAACGATAAGCTGCATTAATAGCTTTTCCGATTTTTTAATCTGCCGGTTTTCTTTTTCTATATTAATTAAAAATAAAACTAGTTTAGGTAAAATGTGCTACACCAAAAAAAAAAAAAAAAAAAGCTTGGAAAAGCTCGGGGAAAGGACCTATCTACCTTTTTCATAAATTAAATTCAGTGGGGTCCTTTTTTTTAATTAAACTGCGGTGTTTATTAAATGGTATTTAAAACTCTGTGTTGGATCAAATTCCAACCGGCGCAAAAGTTTCCCTGAAATCAGGATTTATTTCAATTCAGACAGCCAATATTGTGTGCTTTTCGGCGACTTTTAGAAAATACAGCGTCAGATTTATATTGGCCACGGATACAAACTTTTCATATTAAAACGAGTTATTATCGGCAGTCATCAATGTGGCCTCTTGAATTCGATGAGTCTCCATTGGTTGACAATGAAGACAGGATTCAACCAACGATACTGAAATGGAGATCACAGGGAGCCGAATTCTGTAAAGTGCGCACGAAAAATCAGGAACACTCTTAACAAGCGCGTAAATAAGAGCGAGAAAAGAAAACACTACTGTTATTTGCCGAAACCAGAAGGCATTATCAAGCATTGCAAGTGCACTTTTTTCCTGATCGAAAAGCCGAGGTAAGTTTTATATTTGACTTGGTTTTCACTGCAGAGATCGAATAGCGATTCCAGTCAAAGACAGACGAGACTTGATTTTATAGTGTGAAAAAGGTTTCGCGGCGATATATTTTCTAATCATGGGAAGGGCCGGACAGGAAAAAATTTGGCTCGAGGTCATAACGTACAGACCGAGCACAGAAAAGTCAAGTAATCTCCCGTTTAGCCGCACCAAACTCAGTCAATAAGTATGTGACCGTCTTCCTCTCTTCTTTTAGCTTGCATCTCGCGCGGCTGCACCACTTTTTCCAGCCCTGCTCACGCTATCGCTTACGGCCCTCATACACGGATTTCCGCCTGCTTTTTCCCAATAAAAGCGTTAAAAGGCCTGCATGTATCATATTATAAAATTTGTTACATCATGCAATCAACTATCATCATTGTTACATTTTCTGTCAGTTGATAAACTCAATATGTGGTTCTGGGTGTTTGGATGGTTCCTTGTTCTGACATCAGTGATTGGCAATGGACTCATAATTTATCTCGTCATCACGAAACCTCGCCTCCATACCCCTGGTAATAATTTCATCGTATCGCTGGCCGTTGCCGATCTCTGCGCATCTCTAGCGTTCTTTCCACCCCAGTTTTGCGCTAAATTCATCTACACTATTGACCTCAGCCATGCAGGTCTCTTTTTCAAAGTCAGCTTCGCCTTCCTGTACTGTTCCAACACAAATCTTTTCGCTATGGCACTCGATCGCTTTCTTGCTATTGCAAAGCCTTTTCGGTATATCTATTTAATCACGGAGAAAACTACCTGGTCCGTGATCGTTGCGGCTTGGATTTCCCCGTTTTTGCTCTTCTTCTTTCCTGCCGTCTTCACTCACAACAACAATCCAAAGTACACCATGCTCGTGGAAATCTCCCGAATTATTATCTTCCAAATCCTGCCCTTTGTTTTCTTTGTCACTGTGACGTTCCATCTACTTCGCGTCGCCCAGAAGGTCAACAGCCAGATCGGTATAATGACCACTCAGGTCCGGTACAACCATGCCACGGGTGCAGTCAACAACAGGCCACCTGCCCTGTCCAATGTACACTTCAGGGGTTCGACTGCTTTGATTATCATGGTGATGACCGCCTATAATGTCACATACATCGGCTGGAATTATCACTGTCTGTGTCATCTCATCGGTGTTTGTCAGTCTACCAAGACGCTGAATCACATAGTTTCTATTGCACTGATCGCCAACACTGCTGTCAATCCAGTCCTCTACTCTTTTCTTAAGAAGGACATTCAGAGGGAATTTTCTAGGTTGTTCTCAGGGAAGGTGCTGAATCCCACTGAAATCGTTGGAAAGAGGCACGAGTCTTCTAGACCAACCACAATCACAGGAAGGTAATCAACCAAGGCAATCCACGATTGTTTTCGACACTCAATCAAAAATTGCTCTGTTATTTATCTCTTCGATCCTTTTTAGCTTTTAACCCTGGCCTTAACCCTTGTACCCAAGCAAAATACTGCGTCAAGAGTTAAATCCAATGAAAGTTGTTTTTTCTCTGCAGCACTAAATAAAATAAAAATAAGAGTTGATGAATAAGGATTATGGTTATATTTATTCCCACTGGAGAGGAAATCAATTTTCAATAGGCTGAACCAAGTTCATGTCCATAGAGCAACTTCATCAGTGTGGAGCAGTGTTCGCCGGTGTGGAGCAGTGTTCGCTAGTGTAGAGCAGTATTCGCCAGTGTTGGGCAGTTTTCCCCAGTGTGGAACAGTGTCTCGTCATATCCCTTAAAAATATTTTTGTAATGGCTCTCCCAAGACTTGCTCAATTTCCGAGATGAGGTGCTGACATTGTTGTTCCACCTCAAAGCATTCATCTGCAAAATTACAAAAAAGTAAGGTAGGACCTTTACAAAATACTTCTAGCAAATTTTACAGTAAAAGGGAGGCTGCCAAATAACCCATGTGGCTTACAGGCACTCGATGAAAGTAAAGGCACCGGAACAGTGAAAACAAACAGCGCAGCTTCGCTGCTCAAAGCTTCGTAGCGCACAGAAAACCGCTGGCTACGCAAGCTAACAATCTAGTGCGTAACTTGTAACGATGGGTTACACAATGATTTGTCACGTCCATTAAGTTTTGTTCTCTTACCTTCCATAAGCTCTGCTAAGAATGGAATTGACTCTGGTAAAAGCACCATAAACTCCTCTCCGAGTCTTGTGTGGAATCCCTCGAGAACTTTGAGGGCTGCAAAACGAACCTGGAGTAAAAAAAATGGCGAACAATTAGGTATTATTAAAACTGGGTAATTAAGTATTATCAACTGAGTTGATGACTTGAAGTGGTAAATTATCTTATTCAAACTGACTGACTGACTGACAGACTGTATGAATAAAAAACTGACTGAATGACTGCCAGACTGTATGAATAAAAACTGACTGACTGACTGCCAGACTGTATGAATAAAAACTGACTGCCTGCCTGCCTGCCAGACTGTATGAATAAAAAACTGACCGACTGACTGCCAGACTGTACGAATAAAAAACCGACTGACTGACTAACTGACTGACTAACTGCCAGACTGTATGAATAAAAACTGACTGACTGACTGACTGACTGCCAGACTATATGAATAAAAAACTGACTGACTCACTAACTGGTAGACTGACCAATTGCCCGACTGAAAAACCTCACTAATGTGCTGAGTTGACTTACCGATAAAAAAAAGTCGCCGTTGAATTAATCGACTGACCTCACGGGCAGTTTGACAGACAGACCAATCGACCTAATGACTGACTTAACGATTGACTAACACTTAAACCCAACACCCATTGACTGACCTTCGGCTTGACTGACTTAATGGTGCATCAATGTCAAGAAATCCACACTTACTGTTGCGGAGCTGTGTCGAGTCTTCAGTAATACTTGATAGTTCAGCGGTTTCCACTGCGCATCACTCCCAGAGGCTACGGCAAACTGCGCGAGGCATTGGGCCAAGTGCTTCGTAAGCCGCTCTCTGAAGGTATCTTCTCCTCCCAACAGGTTTTCAATCTGTTTAAAAAAACCAGTGTACAAAAAAATTGTACAAAATTAACTACAAGAGATTACATACGAAACATTCAAAATCACCGTCTCCTGCATAAGCTATCTTAAGAATCAGAACAATTTTTTTTGTCGTAACATAACGCTGTCAAGTCACGCAAACATTACCTGGTCTACAAGAGGCTGCATCAAACACTGGAAACGATCGCTGTCCAAGAATCCGTGTGTGTCATACATGAAGCATTTGTGCAAACAATCCAACATGTAGTTCAACAGGAGGCAAGTTTTATGCATGTTTCTGTTTGGAGACTCGTCCGGAAAAATGTTCTCTTCTAGAGTTCGAATATAAACAAAAAAAGGATACATTTTGATTCCTAAGAAACTAAGAAAGCAGCCATCACAGCTAATTTTCGAAAATATCTGTTTCATGTAAGGAGTGCTATTTAACTACAAAGTAGGACAAGGGAATTCCCATTAGTGAAGTAAAAACCAAAGTTATCGCAGCCAGCAAACAAAATAAACGTTAACATCGCAACGAGTCAAAAAGGATTAAACGTAAAACAAGCTAACAGCTTTGAGCGCGGGAAAACGCGCGTGGCCAAGTCGCAGTTAGTTTTTGTTTAGTATCTGATTTGTTGAGAGGTTAGCGCAGGTTCTCTCAACGTACCAAAGTTCAATCAATGAAATGCCGGATTATTTCCGATACTAAATTCAAATTTGCCCTTCAAAAGGATGCTTACCAGTTTTGGAGATGTTTGCGGCATCCAGCAAAGAAGCACAGTTCTTCATAATGTAACCCGCAAACAGCACAAACAATCCTTTCAGTTTATTAGCCACGCTGAAGATAAACAAACGTGGACAGTTAAATTTAGATACTCTCTTTTACTTTGAAGTTCATTCTATTACGAAGAGAGCATGCAGGGCCGAAGTTTTGGAAGCAAACACAGAGAAAGACTAAGGGGTAAAGGATGTAGCTTTCTAAAGAAACTGTGGTGCTGCGTCAGTGGGGGATTATATAAAGATAATTTTGACTTATCAACTGAGTTGATAATGCAAATTGGTCACCGTAATGATTCTCGGAAGCTGACATTTCAAGCGTTTGCCGTTCGCCTGAAGAGATTCATCACCTATTTGTCCAATTCGCCCCTTGACAAACCAAAACATTCATCTCTACAATAGTATTGCAACGCCTTTTCCTCACCTGTCGCAAAGACGATAGAAAATAATCAACCTCTCCTTACTGGACGAAGGCCTGGTCGCCCAATCTATCAACTGTAAGAAACGTGCGTTCGTGTAAGACCTAAAACTGACATCTCAAGAAACATCAAGCTATATTTGAATTCCACCAATCGCAATATTTATTGGAATATAACTTATTTCACGATTTCAACAAGAATAATAGAAGAAAGGAAGTTTTCAACAAACGGACTCTGTTTGACACCACATTTGATTTGACACCACATCCAAAAACAGACAAACAAAGAAATGTTTGGCTGTCAGTTAAGTCATTTTGTTTAAAGATCTCGAGGGTGAGGACTATAGATCAGTGTCTGACGTACCCTTAAAAACGTCGGTCTAAAAGAAGCCTCGGACATCTTGACCACGAGACACAAAAATGCCTCGATCACACTACGCTCTGTTTTGTCCACGAGATCATCGTCGTCCTGGAACGAACCAATTTAAGAGAAACACATTTACTCGAGAAGAAAATTCTAAAAATTCTAAAAGTGGGACGACTGACCCGAGATAACAGCGACATAATTGTGCAGAGAGAATGTAGGGGAAGGGTGGGGGGTGGGGGGTGGGGAGACGAAGCACAAAAAAATACTTATTTATTTATTTGATCGCTTTCACCATGATCACACGGCTAAAATGCTAAAATGCTAAGAAAAAGAAAGACATTTGAAGAGGTCACAAGAGCGAGAGACGAAGGTGCGGGACACACAACAGAGCGAGAATCCAAATTAAGTGTGCCCTTAAAAAAAAAATTAACAAATACTACCTAGGTAAATATTAAACATCGTAAGAAGTATAAAAATCTTATTTCCAAAAAACGATAACAACGAATCGCTACCGAGCCTACCTCCTGGTTGTGGTGAGTTCTGAAATCCAACGCTTCTAAGAACAGCGTAAAGAGATTGGAATGGTAGGTTTTAATATCCTCCTTTTTCATGGCTTTCACACATTCTGCCAGGACATCCATCAGCACAAAAACACGTTCCTAAAAAGATAACAACAAAACAGGTTATCACGAACGATTGCCGACAATGTTCGCTTTGGCACCAGAAACAAAGTGGGATTTTAAACCAATCAGAGAAGGGCACGAGCACCCGAGAACTACAAAATTAAGGAGAATATTAAGGTGGCTTTCGATGTAAATTAGATCACAGTTTGATAAGAGGCTGTAATGTTCCTGAGGTAACTGATTCCAACGGGAAAACATTAAAATTGACGATCATGATTGGAGATCTGAATGATAACATAAAGATAAACTACAAAAAACTTAGTCAAAAAATTATCAACCTTGTGTTTGTTGACAATACTGTTGTAGCAATCAGACACTGCCGATATCAGCACTCGGGGTGCAATATTACAAGCCAGTTCTTTCCTACAAAGGAAAAGAAAGTAAGAGAGGAGGAAGGCTTAGCAACACACTTCAACGAAATCTGTGTGAGTCAAATGCACTACACTGGGTCAGTGAAAACGTAGGGTGGACGTTTGTCAAGTCTACTCATCACAAAAGATACCTGAGCAAGACTACACGATCCTTTAACTGTACATCCACAGTCGACTGCTTTGTAACCTCTTCCTTTTCTTGCTGGACCTCTGTAACCTCTCCTCCAGTAAGAGATGGTTGCGTCACCTTCAAAAAAGTTAAACTACCCAGTTTGACATGAACTACATGAAAATCACTCCAGTCTATACAGCCTCAAGGTTGGAAGCTTGAGGAATATCACCTTGGGATTATCACCCGTTATTCCTCAGTTTCAGGTGGGCCATTGGCGGTCACGTGACGCGTTTGAACCAATCGCACGCGGGCAAAAATAATTGATATATCTTACAGAAGAGAGTACCAGCGGGAAAAAACCTACCATAATCAGAATATCCACTAAATGAGGACTAAGAAAATGTGGAAGTGCTTCTGTGGCTTTGTACAAAGCTGTTATACCACACAGAGTCAACAGGCTGTTCCTGGAATAGAGAAATAGAAAGGGAAATAATTAAAACATTTGGCTTAACTTGTCAATTAAATCCTCTCAGTGCCAGGAGAACCAGCATAAAAATCAGTGTGTAGCAGAGAGCTACTATTCATACATCACAGATGGCTTAAAGAAAGATGTTACTGGTCTTGTTACGACCGTGGACCAAAAAAAATCTGCCATTTCAACAAACAGCGCGAAGTCATCACCAAAGCTAAGATTTCATCGGACGCATGCTATTTTTTTTATCTACCTCAGTGTCAAATGAATTAAACATCTTTACAGATATCTTATTAATAGTGAAGTCTTTACCTCTCTTTTTGATTTCTTTTGAGCAGTTTCAGTACAGAAGGCATCAGCTTTGGCAAGAAGGGAATGCAGTGCGTTTTGAGTCCACCGAGCACTTCTGCTGCACAGAGCAACGCGCTTGAAGCGACCTTGAGGTCAAAGAAATAAGGAAATCTTTAATTTTCAATAACTAAAGAAAAGCTGACCACAGGGCCGGGGCCAAACAGAACGAAAGAAAATATTATTCGGAGCCAATGAGAAATAAAGTAAACCAAGCGAAGTGTCTAGACATTGGATCAAGATTTGAACCCTGGACGGGATATTAGCGAGATGATTTATTCTTATAGCCCCTCCCTACACCACTGAGTGTATGTCAGTGCTGGAAAACTGTAGGGAAACTCGACAAACTGCTAGGGAGGGGAAGGAGGGTGAACAGCCTTCCGTACATTTGGCATCCCATTGGAAAGGGGGTTATTATATTCTCTCAATTCTTTGGTAGGCATAGAAAAACGCCGCGTTTTGATTCTCAAACACGACCCACTGCAACTGAGACTGTATTACCGACAAATGCTGAAATGCGTCAGCAAGGAGAACGAGAATGTAGACATGGGTAACTTACCTGAGGGTTGGAATCTTTGCAAGAAAACACATCAATTGCCACAGTCATCACCTACATCGGGACGAAATGTAATATCTCAAAAGTGTTAACTTGGGGGGGGGAGGGCAGGGGTTCAATTCATTCACAAATGTAAAAGAAAATAAGTTTCAGTACCTCTTTAAATTCGTCAGGGTGTTCCTTGGCCAGCAATCGAGTGAGAAGCTTCAAGCTGTACAAAGCTGTCTGCCTGTTAATGACGGACCCCTCACTCTCCCCAGTACCTCCCGATATGGCGAGGAGTTCGGTTACTAAGTTCAGTAACGCCTTAATCTTCAAATACGAAAATAGTACCAAGAATTATAATTAGAACCTACATTCTTGTTTACGTTTTACTAACATGTCAAGTCGATGCTCTCTTAACAGACAATTAAAACAACAATATTACTCTCACACAACTCCACAGAGGGGAACACGGTTTAAACTCTAGATATCGTGGGTGAAATGACATTGGTACACTAGCACAAGTCCGCGCCCGAGGACCCTGCTTGGGTACGATATGTCCAGGGTAAAAACAAAGTGATACACAGAGTCGAGTCCATACCCGGGGCATCCCCTGAGTTTGCTTTATCCGGGGATACATTACACTGATGGGATGATACAGCTCCACCATGAGGAACACGACTTTCGTGGGAGATATATCAAGCGAAAAAATCACGCATATACATAAGCACAACTACCTACAGGAAGATCCAGCCTACGGATTCAGAATATTGGGACTACACTGTAAGTTGTGCATTCTTATTGTACGTGTACCTGCTCGTCAGAATGAACTCCAACGTTATTGCTTAGTTTGCAGTTCAGTAACTCCATAGCTTTACGCTTCACTGTTCCATTGCTGCTATGGAGAAGTTTTTCAATGACATCGAAAAACACCGAGGCAGGTAAAAGGAGATTTACCTTGAGGAAAGAGAACAGGATATTTAATCATATTCTGAGTAATGGTTCTTTTAAAGGAGAGCAGACAGTTTTTCGTATTTTATTACCTTGTCTATAATTTCATAAGTTTTATGCAGCAAAGCTTTCCAAAACTTTCCAGTCACATCAGTAGCTGCCTGATCACCATGTTGCGCCGTTTTAGTCATGAAGTTTAATGTATCCTGTAATAGTCTGCAGAAACAATAAAAAATAAAACAAGAAAAATAAATATACTACGAAATTTAGTCACTTTTAGAGTTGTTTCAATAGAGTGTGGCAAGTTTCCCCACTGCCTATAGTGAAGATGTCAAAAAGGAATTTCTTTTTTTAATCGACACTGACCTTAAAACCCATTTTATTAAAGGAAAGAGCTACATGTATCTGTTTAAAGAATATAATGTCCACAGTGAAACAAGGACACATAAACAAAGTTTACCTTAGAAAGGGAGAATCCAACATTTCTTCCTCAACATGGACCTGTACTCCGTCAAATGAAAGATAAACAAAGGAAATAAAACACTGTTTTTGCTGACAGAAACAAAAGTGAGAAATTTTACCGCAATTGCCAATTTGCAATTGTAATCAAAAATGTTTTTGGATTTGTGTGCTTTAAAACAGTTTAACTTTATACGTTTGAATTCAGGAGTAACAGTTGACAGTATTGTCTAATGGTCAAGATAGGTGTTGAAAAGAACTGTTGTCAGTGGTTATTTACCTTGCTTACAAACTCGTCACTGTCGAGCAAGGAAGAAATAAGACTGATTGATGTGTATTTGAATTGCCTGAGGTGTTTCGCTGAGTGAGTGTCCACATCAAACAGAGGCGTAACAGCGAGGAATACACGGGCACTTCTTCTAGCCATCCTGGGCTTTTGACGAACTGTGGAGGAAATATCGAGAAGAAAAGAAATTTTTAAAGGAAAATCTTTTGATGACTAATTATCACATCGACGAGTTCACTGATTACTTATAGGAAAAGCGTCTTTACACACACAACGAAAGGAAGAACGATCGAAAGAACGAACAAACTAAGGAAAGAACGAACAAACTAAGGAAAGAACGAACAAACTAACGAACGTACGAACAAACGAACGAACGTACGAACAAACTAACGAACGTACGAACAAACTAAGGGAAGAACGAACAAACTAACGAACGTACGAACAAACTAACGAACGTACGAACAAACTAACGAACGTACGAACAAACTAAGGGAAGAACGAACAAACTAACGAACGTACGAACAAACTAAGGGAAGAACGAACAAACTAACGAACGGACAGACTGACGAATGAACAAAAGAAATGACGAACAGACGAAGGTCCAAAGTGATGAATGGACAAAAAAGAAACTCAAACAAGGAATAATAAACAAACGAACCAATGTACGTTCAGGAGCCATCAAGTGTCAGAAAGGACTCAACTCGTGTGATTTTTTTTCTCAAGAGGAAAACTCCTTCAAACACGGGGAATACACATTTCATCATTCACTAAGATGGCACCTGATTTAAACACTTTCATGTCCTGGTACAAACGAACATAACTAAGTTAACATCATAATCATTTGGTCATTTGGTAGTATACCTTCAGGTTTTTCCAACGGCAACTGATCAATGAACTGCAGGAGTTTCAACATGGCCTCTACCTACAAACAATAATGTTCTAGCATCACGTCAAGACTAATGAACACTTTTTTGTTTCTACTTTCAACAGTGAATAAACAGCTAAAAAAAAAAATAACAAAAAAGAAAAAAAAACCATACAATTTTTCCGCTTCTCAATTTTTTCCACCAAATACTGACAAAACACCTTAATTACGACCAGAACCTCCCAGATACGTTGTCGTTTCCAGATTTTGTTATACCTCGGGTCAATTCTTTAACAGACAAGGTTTCACGCTTCTTCACGCTGCTCATATTACAAGATATATTTTTTTTAACGCCGTGGTTTTGCAAGATACCTTAGTCCTGATTCACACTCGTATAACTAATTTCTACACCGCATGTCTTAAAACTTACTGTACCTGAACATTAACGTGGAAGCAATGGCAGAGACTGAGACAAAAGTCTGCTCCGAGAGGCTTTTTGGCAACAGACGTCTGAAACACAAGAAATAAATCATGTCAGAGATACCTACTTTTACGTATATTTTAATCTATTCTTTACTTTCCCCTTTGTCTGCAGAAATAATATTTAGAGCAATAGCATTAATGTCAGTATCTGGGCAACGGCGCACCTACCCCTCCCCTAACCCAACATTACCCTAACTTGTTCTCGGTTGACTGTTGGTGGGTTAGGGGAGGAGTAGGTGCGCAGTCATCCAGATACCGATTGATCCTAGTGATACAAAAACAAGTAAAGGTATGTACATGTTAGGAACAACTCTCGTCTTGAACCGAAGCACAGCGGGACAACGTTTGAGTAAACTTCATTTGTGTAGTGTGTGATGTTGTGATTTTCCATTAAGGCGAAGGACGGGGAAGAATGGGAGTCGAAAGAGACTCTTTTCGCAATCTAACAAGTACCTGTTTATCATCAGACGTGTTTGGGGCGTGCACAACATGCTTCTCCAGTAAGAGAATGATCACTGTGTGAAGGAACTGTGTTGAACCAACAGTGCCGATGAGATGAGCAAACAAGGGAAGCTGGCGGTGCTCTGGAATGTGAGGCGAGGCATCCACAAATACTCTGATAAGCATCGCCACAATGTCATCCAGAGACGCCGAGTCCTTTTTGGTCAGCTGTGGTAACTGCTGCTTCTCACCCGCCTAAATGGATTGAGACGTGGATGAAGAAATCCTAAATGGGAGTGTTGAAACTAATCCAGGACTGGAATAGGTTTGCTATGCCTCGTTTTGTGATCCGTGTAGAAAACTTGCAGCATCCTTGACCCACACGCTTTTCAACCTCTGACCCACGCGCGTTTCTCCCTCTAACCCACGCGCTTTTCACCCTCTAACCCACGCGCTTTTCACCCTCTGACCCACGCGCGTTTAACCTTCTGACCAACGCACGTTCCACCCTCTGAACCATGCGCGTTACACCCTCTGACCCTCGTGGATTTTACCGCACTTCACTGGATTTCCTTATTTTAGATTTGAATCCCAAAATATTCTCTGTGACATTCACCTTTGTCTTACCTAGCCGTTGTAATTTGTTTCCGTTTTAGGACACTCGATTAAAAAGCTTTTACGAATTATACGTTTCTTACTCATATTTCTCTTCATACGCACAACTGAAAGTAAATGCAGTTCAAACAAACCACACATACCTGAATCAACGCAGGAATCACTGTGTCCAGTGTTTTAGTGATGACTTCAAAACTATAACTATCATCCTGGCGAACGACACTCGCGCCCATGAAAGTGAATATCGACATCACATTGTGCAAAACTTTTTCCTGAAAAAAAAAAGCCCCAAAGATCATACCAATCAGTCTGTTTTAATCACATTGTTGGTGGACGCGGAAGGCTGAGAGGGGGAGGGGTGGGGGGAAGGAGAGTTTTTCAGCTAGCATACAAATTTACATAATCACATGAAGTCTGCATAGAAGAAAGGCTTGAATAGATACCCCGCCGCAACTCCTCCTGGTTTCTGTAAGATGAAGGGCATAGGCGTGATTCAAATCTGCCGGGCTAGAAAGTTATTTTGCTTCTGGGTTACCCTTCCCTTCCCCGTCAGCATTTTTTTAAGGTCGTTCACCGACACTCATTTCTATTCTTTTGTGAATAGAGGAACTGTAAGAAAATGGTGCCTACAAAATGGCTTGGCCTGAATTGGAAACCACGAATTTTAAAAATCCAAAAACCGGAGTACCAACCATCAGGCCACCGAGTTTATGAAACACTTTCAATAAATTTACCGGAAAAAGCTTGGCTGAGGTTGCAAGCAGGAGTAAAGCCTGGGTATGAGTGCGCGGATTCTCTGATGACCTTATGCACTGGACTATCAACTCCACGTCAAACTGGTCTTCGGGAACGAGATCTGCCACAAAACAAAAGACAGTGAACTAACATCTCAGCTAGAAAATCCCTGGTAAACTCAAATTTCGGAATCAAAATATTCAGAACTCAGAGAATGGACTCCGTGTAACAGTTTTGTACAAAGGGCAGTGGTAAACTTCCTCACAAAAATTTTCAACGACCCTCAACGGAAATTGTGTTGGTTTTTACTCGCTGCGATTTAGATTGTGATCCAACCCATTAGATACTCAAATAATTTGGTTTCTTCAGCTGAGTTGTTAATGTGAATACCAACCGGCCACCGCGAAGAAAGATTCTAAAGTTGATGTTTCATCCTGAAGATGGGCTACCCCACGAAAACGTCTGCTTTAGAAACCTTCTACTGTAGGGGGGAGGCGGTTAATTCACAATTTTAACTTAGTTGATGAAACCAAAATTAATTATCTTGTAATTTCCCCACCGATGCAGCACCACAATGTCTTGAGAGACATTCCCCCCCCTCTTATTCATTAACCGTCAACACCTTTCAAATTTCCAAGCCAATGACTCCCAACAAAGTAAAATGACGGTGTTTCCTTACTTTCTTCTTAGGCAACTCCCAAATACACCTTGACATTACGTTATCGGGTTTAGTCCTAAAAAGTCAAAAGGACACCAAATCCTTGCTTAATACTCCTGAGGTAAATGACAAGTTCCCCTCATTTTATGAGTTCCTAACCCCCCCCCCTTCCAAACCGCTAGAGATGGCTTCTGTTACCTGCAATAGACGCGCTGCTGTTTGGAGACAGTTTCTGACAGATGTTGTTGATGAGAGAAAATACCAGCTGCATAATGTACTCTGAAGCTGTTTGACTGTGATCGAGTTCTACACACCTGAGGGGGAGACAAACAAACAAAAGAAACAAACAAAAAAAATTAAACAAAGTCTTGATGCCAACCTGAACATATATTAACTGTGTGATGGACAAAAAAACCTATTGTTAACATTAATCGACACACACATTGGACGTGAAACCTCCATGCAAAAGTTCAAAACAGCTGGTATTCAAGCTACATGAAGAGCAGAAGTTTTAGAAGTTTCCATCATTAAATAAGTCCAACGAAATGTGTGTGGTAGAGCAAGCTTTTACTTTCCGTTCACCATACAAAGGAGAGTCGTTTTCAAATTACATAACTTTAAAAGGTTTTTCCCTTCTTTTTCTCATCACAGTTCTGTACATGTACCTGGTCAGGGTCCCAAACAAGGTTGGTAGAAGTCGATGTGGTTCTTCAATGTTAATCTTACTCTGTAACAATTCAAGAACAACTGTCACTCTTTGAAGCTGCACTGCTCCTTCGTTCTCGTCATCTTGCTCACCCTTTCGCGCCCTGTCAAAAGAACATTTACCGTCTCCGTGAAAGAAAAAAAACTCATGCAACCGGCACAAGAAATTGTACAAACAGCACTAATGAATACTAATCAAAATAAATCAAACGCTCAGGAAACTAACTTCTTCACTTTCTTTTTCTTTGGTTCTTTATCAGTATTGGAATTCAGCTTACATAGCTCTTCAGTAATCAGATCTGCTGTCAGAGTAAGCTGCGAAGAAAGCAAAATCGGGTTAGTCACGACTTTACAAGGACAACTACGTGCACATGAATGAACGACAACCGCAGATTTTTATTTTATAACGCTTGCCATGAATCAGAATGCTCCTTTATTGAACGCCCGAGCTGCTAAACGACCACGAAATCAGAAGTGGCTGAGGTTCGAGTCTTGGCGGGGCATCAGATTTATAATTACGGGACGGTATCTCTCACTTTTGCAGAGAGCTTTAACAGTTTTTTCAACAGTGTACCTTCAACAGAGAATTCTTGGCAGCATTTCCTATAACAACATCCTTTGCTTCAAGCATCGTGTCCACAAAAATCTTCATCAGATGCTGCTTTACTCCTTCTGCTGGGATTGCTTGGAAAAATCTATTTGTAATCTGAAAGAAAGGTGCAAATTTGAGAGGAAATGTTTGAAATAAGACAAAGGCGTCCGGGAGCCAACATACACGTTTATCTAAATCTGACTGGGGTGTCCAAAAATGGAAAGACATGTCCAAAATCAGACAAATCTCCGAAAATCGAATAAAACCGTCCCAAATCAAACGGAACTGTTCGAAAACAGGCGAAGATGTCCGATACCAGGAGGAACCTTCCGATACCAGACGGAAGCTTCTGAAATGGGATGTGAAATGAAATGTGGAAAGTGTTTGAAACCAGACGGGAAACGTTAAAAATCGGACGAAACTATTCAAAATTGCACAGAAGTGTCCGAAATCGCCTGTTTCTCAGCTGTTTAGAGGGAAAAAAAATCACAGTTCCTGCTATCAAGGCTTCTGATGGATTAGATGCGACAAAACACTTCTTATACACTGCTTCCAAACAGGTCGCAAAGACTCATTTTATGACACTTACCTGGCCAATCATAGTCAACATTGGTGCTGGATGTCCAGGGCAGACCGCAGATCTCAGGTAGAGCACCCTCAACATCTCTTTCCAACATTTGGATTCCTCCTGCAGCAGTGTAGCAGTGTCCGGGGTGTACTTTTGTAAAATCAGTTGTAGCAGAATGCTCTCATCTTCATGTAAGAGGGCTTTGCTATCCTCGCACTTGTCTAATAGTTTTTCCACGAGCGGCAACAGGGTCTGAAGCATCTCCTGTGTAAAAACGACATTCCCCCGTTATAAAGTGCTGCCCACACTCTTGGTTTCTCCGCTCTGATCTTCCACCTCTGAGCGCAAGAAAACCTAGCGTTGAATTCGGCCAATTACTAGGTTCATAAGCAACTAGCGACCTGGATACTGCTAAGATCTACAAATTCAAAAGAGTCTAACAACACCAATTCTCAAGTAACATCTTTCTCCAAAGACAACCGTGTTAAAAATCTACCGTTTATTCTTCTTCGCATAAAAAATCGAGATGCTCAGTGTTTGTCTGTAGCCATCGGTTTCTTCATACCTGAGTAGTAATACTGCGTAACGATGACAGTATGGTACGTCTAACAAAAGAAGACGTTTCACTGGATGCTACATGTTGTAACAAGAAGTCCAGCGCGTTCTTAATGATCTTATTGTGCGATGACTTGGAGTGAGGCTTTCCGCGGGATACCGCTGGAGCAAAGAACTCACCAAGAACCCTGTCAATGAATAGTTCAAATAGTAAATGATTAGTCCTGCACAACGAGCAATAATTTTTCCCTTTTTTGGCGTTTTCACGCGAGGGATGGCACGCGCTATGTGCGAGCAAAGGTAGGTCACACGCGTGACTCGCCCTTGAGGCTCACGCGAAACTCGCTCTCGCCTCGCGCTATACTCGCTCTCGCCTCGCACTAGCTCGCGCCTCGCGCTATTCTCGCTTTCCACGCCATTTATTCGCTCTTTCCTTACACTTTCCTCCTCTCGCCTCAAGACAAGAAGTGACCCGTTCCAAAGGTAATAAAAAAATTTGGCAAATTTGAAATTCTTCTATAAGTGAAAAAAATTTTAAATAACATTATATTCTCACCTATGTAACTGTTCAGAATCTGCAGAAAGTTCTTCAGCACTGTCCTTCAAGACATCAATAAGTGCCGTCACTGGACAGGCTTGGACAGAAGATAGTTTGGACTTGATAATCTTTATACAAGCAACAGCTGACTTTCTTACAGCAGAGACTGGGCTGCACAGCGGCACCATAAGAGAAGGCACAACTGCAAAAGCAAGTATCGAGTTACACCTGTATACAAATGTACATTGATGACAAATGTATCACTCACAACCTGATAATTGGCAACTCAAATTTTTGTTTGGTTACCTGCAGCAAAAACACTATTGTACCTGAACATGTAGTCTTGGCCAGTTCCTTCACCGCTTTCCCGCTGATGGAGCCAAGGCATGCAGTAGCGATGTGAAGACACTGAACTTGCAGAAGAGCTAATCCACTCTCCCCTCCCTGGTGAAGATTTTTACACCATAAATGTCCTAAAAACTTTAGCAGGACTAGTTTTTCTGGTAAATGGCACTGGAAAACAATGTAACGGAAAATGACATTTAATTGAACAATGGATACTTATACTAAAACTTGTAACACATAAATGATAAATGTGTAAACAATTAACTCAACAATTTAAAATGCTTAATACAGTAGATTTCATGACTATAAGTAAACTAGAAAATAAAAAATAAAGTGAATTTAACTCTGGTAGCTACTTCAAAATGGATAAATCTCTAACATATATTATGTACACCTGAGTACGTAATTGACCTCTCTCTACATTGTCTTTTACCTGGAAGAGATCTTGAAGTAATTCTTTGAATAAATCTTGATGTGCTGTTGAAGTGCCACTTCCAAATGCTACAGCCTCAAACAGCATTGTCAGAAGCTAAGGAAAAGGAGAGGTAAGGACTTGTAAATTACAATTTTATTTTGGAAGGGTATCCTTATGCTTTATGTTCCATACCTTAGTATAAATGCCTTCTGGGTTAATACCATCTGCCTCTGGCCACCACTGTCCTACAAGTGACAAACAATGCACATGTATAACACAAGATGTAGGTTAATCATGTCTTTAGATTTCTGTACATTATGTGACAAGACGACATGTACAGAAAATTGGGGAAAGGGAGGAGGAACAAGTAATTGAATTCAAACTGCTCACCAACTATCAAAACTGTCCATAGTTTAACAATTAAATCACTGTTTGCATTGTTCAACAATACTTAACTTACATAATTTACTCCATAATTCAAAAGACATTTCTCACCACTTGAAGCACAAGGCATAGAAGGGATGTTCTTTATCAACATCTTACACAGCCACAGTGTAATGGCACCTCTGGAATGATTCAGGCGTTTATTGCTGTGTTTACCAAGAAATTTCACCAAACTTTTTAAGAGAGAAAATGGAACCACATGCCCTGAATTTGTGTCTTTGTTTCCTGACTCTTCATCCTAAAAATATATATATATAAAAAACCACCTTCCTAAGAAAACAATTGGCACTGTGTTCACATATAAACGATATAAAATCACTATTTCTGCACCCAGACAAGGTCTTCTGCATTTCATGTGAATGGTTGAAAAGTTCAGAGTAAAAGCTACATCCATCAGGTTTTCAGAAGAGAGCACAGGTTTGCAAAAACATTCTCAGATTGACTGTTTACCAAGTTTAGAGAAATAGTATAGTTGCTTTTTCATCAATTAAATCCCAAGAAAGCAAGAAAGTTTTCTCTTTTTACCACACTCCTTTATGCTTTCAAAAACCAAGTGAATATTGAGCATAATAAAATTAAGGATCTGGGGCAGAGGTCACTTAATTCAAAGACAGAGCATTGGAAAACTTCTCAGATTATTGCCTTAAACATTAAATGCCAGTCCAGTCCACAATACCTTGAGAGGCTCATAGTTTCCTGGCATTCTTGTCACTTTCCAAATATCAGGTAAGATATATTCTGTGATGACTTGGCACAACTTCATCTTACACTCTTCTGTTCCTGTAGCAATGACCCTACTGAGCAGACAATTCAGGAGTGGGTAGAAAAGACTTTCATCTGAAAGACTTTTGGCATATGCTATCATACTCTGAACCTGATTGAGAGAGAATCAAGAAGAAATGTAACAACTTTAAAATTAACTTTTAAAGGTGAATTCTTTACAATTACTGACTTCAAACATCTACAGTTACATACATGTATGCCCAGAGGTACAATGTAAGTTCTGATTCCAATTCTCATGAATGACTGTGCCAGTGACATTTACAATTTAACCCTAAGCAAAACAATAATTCTTGATATCAAGAATTACACATGTATGGAGGGGAGAAGAGTTGTTTTACCCACCATCTCCACACATTGTTCTTCATCTAACTTAACCAAGTTATCTCCAAGCCAACTGATCAGTAAACTGCTGGCCAAGGCAAGCTTATCAAGGTCAACAATCTTTGTGCAACTTTTCCACTCTGAAAGAGTTTTAGAGGATAAAGTACATTCACACTTGGATAACAAAATGTATCTCAGCTAATCATAATACAACTTATTGATACCTACAGATATAATTTGATACGTAAGCAATACAGATACATGTACAATCCCTTTTTGATAGGTGACACCAGTTTTGTAAGCACTGAAAGAAGATCACTTTGTTAGTTGCTGTAGTTGCTGAATGTTTGCATATAAATGTAAATGATGCATGCGTATCTACCTTTCTTTTGAACAAAATCTTCCATTCCAGTCAAAAGAGGATGCAGTGAAGCCAGCTCTGATTGGCTGACAATTAATGACAACTGAACTGCCATTTTGTGAGACTGACGATGGAGCAGTAGACGAGGCAATAAACCAAACATAACTTCTGCTACAAGTGATGGCACAGCACAGGTTACCCAGTCACCAACCAACAATAGAGAGGCTTCCTCTCGGACCTTGTCCCTACAGGACCAAAAAAATAATTATTACTGCATGTAAATCTAGCTTGATAGACTTATAAAAAATTAATGTTTCCTTTAATTTGCTCATCATAATGTCCATAAAATTGTGTTACACTCACCACTCCTCTGATTTCTTGTCCAGAAGTTTAAACATTTCTTTCAAAAACTGATCAATGGGAAGATTATCTACAAGCCCCTAATTACAAAATAATACCCATGATACATTATTAATATAATCACATATTTTTAGTGCATCTAAAGCAATGATAAATCACAAAAAAACTCAACTAATATTCTTTATCTTGAGAAAAATCATGGAATTTCACCTGTCCCAATTTAAGCACACAAGCCACCACAGATGGATCATCATCTTGAAGTCGTGAGAGTAATGAATCGCTAATGAACTGTTTGTCTTCAGACAAGCCCTGTCAAGCCAACATTCACCAGAGTTATATTTGTATAGAAACTTCACAGTCACACAAATTACTAAAAAAGTAATAAGCCATGCTTCCAACATTCCATCACAAGCATCAGAAATAATTGACAAGTGTAACCCTCCAAAAGAGAAGAAGCAAGGGGGGAAGCTACAAACAGGCTCAGGCTAATGTAACCCTCTAACTCAAACGACTGACCAAGACAGAATTTCTCCCTATAACATTCATACAATATCAAGCAGGCAAGCGATGAGAATAACAAAAAAATATCAATTACTAGTTGATCTAATACCAAATTCTTCAAACAAGAATTAAAAGAGTTGTCTTCCAGACAGTAAAGAGAATTACTACAGAGTTCTTGGGGGTGAAAGGGTCAAGGGCTGATCACAAATATAACAGCTGGATGATAACTGAAGAACAGTACCCCTTTATCTGCTAATAGTTCTCCTAGACGTTTGATTGCCATTTCCCGCACTTGGGCTTGAGGATGATGAAGACTCAAAACTAGTGTCGTGTTTGAATCAGGAATGACCTGCAGAGGGAAAAGTTAACATCCAGTTGAATACAAGTGTTATATTAATGTTCTGTCTTACACATACATATATTCCATCAGATATTCCATACATAATGGTCATCATTCTAAAAGGGGTACACAGACAATGTAACAGAATTTTTTTTAGATATTTCTTTGATCATCTTAATTACAGCTGGACAGCCAAAAAAAATTTTCATTTCATTTCTGTCATTCTAAAATTCACAAGAAACTATGTTGTCATTTATGACAAAGGGTCTCTGTGTACATTAGGTTTTAAGAAATGCTTGCTTTTAAAATATATCACCATCTCCATCCACCAGACTGTGATTCTCCATGTACACTCCATCATCAGAGTCATTCGATGGAGGGGGGAAACAGGGAAGTTATGTGCACCTATGGGGGGGGAAGCAGGGAAGTTACATGTGCTTGTAGGGGGGGTGGGGGAGTTACATGTACCTGTGATTTTACTCCTGTGAGTGCTAAGGACACCAGATCCATTGTCCAGAGGGAACCTTCCTCTGAAACAATGCCAGCATCCCCCTCAGTCATGTCCTCTGTGTTCTTGAGTGCCTGAAGATGTGCCTCGACAGCTCTCTCTAGTTCAGTAGGATATCTTGTAAAATAAACATAATTATACATTAAAAACAAAATCAACTTTAGTAACAGGAAAGAAAAGATCACCTGCAGAAACTTCTAAAGGAACTACATTTGCCCTGTTTCACCAAGCATACGAGACTTAATGTTGAGTCATATCCATTGGTAAATATGGGTTATTCAATTATGAGAAGTGACATTATGAGAACTTAATTAAAGCAAACTCTAAAATACCAGCACTTTTTGAGCAAATGTGACAAACACCAGTTCTGCCAGCTTTTCAGAACAGATATTTGGTCTCATTAATCAGCATCGGATGGATATAGCCAACTACAGTTTCACTTAAAGAAGAACTACAAGAAACAAGCAGGGTACACAACACAGAGTATGCCCTTAGTGCTTAAAGATATAAATGAATTTATTCAAAAACATAAAAGCCCTACACATATACAAATGTGCAGGCATCAAACCTAACCTTTTTTCCAAGGCCTGCACCAAATCTTTCACTTTTTCATTCAAGTTTCCAACTCTACCCTCATCTGCACCCAATGCTTTCCTGGCATCACAGTACTCCTCAAGAAGTGTTCTACAGGTAAGAATCAAGGAGAGTCATTAATTTACAATATTTAACAAAAAAATCAAGTAATTTGAGAAATGTGATTGTCTTTAGGAAGAGTGTCCATAAGAAGACTGCTCTCATAGACTGTGCCTGACATTTCCACCAACTGAACAGAAGTCATTAACAAAGTCAAGCACATGGAAGTTTCTTTCAGTCAAATGTTAGGTCTGTTTAGAGAAAACTGATTAGACTGAGTTTCACCAAGATTTTATTGGCTTGAAGCCTGCTAAATGTTGAGATCACATTCTTCCAGTGTCAGAAAGGTACTCAACTCATGTGATTTTTATTCTCAAGAGGAAAATTCCTTCAAACACGGGGAATACACATTTCATCACTCACTGGTCTGAAGTATCTTGAAATATATATGAAAAAAGTGCTATAATTGATGCTACATGCTAATGATCAGATGCATGGTCTCACAACCTGTTCCATAGCTTACTATAGCCTTGAAAGACTAGCAATTCCTAAACCTGATTGACAAGTAACTTTTCCTTACAATAGCAATATATTATCCAGCAAACAAGTACTGAGAATAAATCAAACTTATCAACTCCAGGGTGTTTATGTGATACATGATATAAACAAAATACAAAATTTAAAATTTTTGAAAAATATATAGTTTCCAAAGAAATATAAAGCAGCTAGAAGGGACAGTTTGAGATCAGACCTTAAGCCTTCCTCCAGATGAAGCAGAGGTTTTCATTCAAGCTGTGTTTTATTTGAATTATTTGTTTTTAACCCTCTGACAGTGCATCTATAATATCTGTACTACACACTGTTCAAAAAAGCATTAAAAACATCTGTATTTCTTACAATGAACAACTTATGGTGAATTCTGACCTGCCAATCATTGTGACCAGTGCTGGTTCAAAATCAACCTCTCTAAGTAATTCCCAGACAATCTCTAACAGGGCTCTTGTGTCACTCTCCTCTGATAACTCCTGTTTTATTCCATTGGATACAAGTTGTGGGACAAATGCTTCAAGTAATGGATTAATGCTATGAGTCACAGACAGATTGTGAAGAATATCTACCAGTCTTGGAAGCTTCAGAAGTGCTTTAAAAGACCTGTAACAAAATACATAGCAATACACAATTATAAATGAAAAATGAAAGATTTTAAGGATAAGGAGTGAAATATCTGCACATTAAGCAAAAGTAAGTCATTTTTATCATATGCTATATACATGTATCATAGACTAACCTCTTTGATAATTTCTTTAACCCCTGTGATTGACAAATGTAGGTAAGACAAGACAAACCTTCAGTGGCAAATCCTGGTTTAATGCTCTGCAATTTATTAAAAAACGAAGGGATTAATAATACTTGAGTTTGGGAGAGCTTATGAACCAATGACAAGTTAAAGTGGTCAACCAATGATGAGAAAAAGCTAGAGAAAGACAAGGGAAAGAGAGACACCACAGAAACATGGAGAGCTACAGACAGTACCTTCAAAGAATGGACTATCAAAATAAACTTGATTACTCCCTGTAACAAGACTTGAGGAAGAGTTTCAATTTGAGGACTACCCTGATTGATAATTGATTGGTTGTAAACATTTATGCAAACTCAAAAAATGACTTAAACTTCACCACATTGATAAGTTGCTAGTTTTATTTCAAGACTCAAAATTTTAGTCCCTGATGCTTTCATGACAGGTGATCTTGAATTTAGTCACGAGGGTCAACCTTGAAGGGACTTTCAACTCACCATTTACTGTTGTATTTTATTCATGGAAGATGCCCAAAATAACAGTAATTTATAATACCTTACATATGCTGTCAGATAGGGATTTCACCAATTCCTTCTCCATACTGCATCTAAAACACAACTGAGCTGTAATAATGTACGATGATGCTATCAGCTCTGAGAGCCCAGACTTAATAACAGCCAGTAAATGAGGCAATAACAGAGTCATAAATTTCTCTGTCACACTTGGCATCATATCCAAGACTCCAACAACAGTCGAGGTATAAAATGTAAACAAAACTCTTGAGCTTGATGGAGGGATTTCCAACTTTATACCTTCCATTACCATGTCACAAATGAGAGAGAAGAAGGCTGTATCAGTGATGCAGTGTTGTAAGAAAGCTGTCTTAGAAAGGGGAACTCCAGCTTTTTTAATCGGACTGAGCCAGTTCCATTTTGAGGAAGGATCTTTTATGGAAAGTAGCTGCAACACACGAGTGAACAAGTTTGTTTCGTGGTAAGGCAAAATACAAGTGACCAAACTATCAACATTGTGCACGTGGATTTGGAATCTTCGGATAAGCCATTCCAAAACCTTATGAGCTGGCTTTAGCAAGAAGTATGGCGATAAATATTGCAGAAACTTTGAAATATGCTTATCGAGCTTTTCGTTCACATCTTTTGTCTGTAAAGATCTCTCCAGAGACATTGAATTGTCGCCAAAAAGCGACTTTTCAAACATCTTAAAGGCAGGCTCGATAACTTTCAATTCTTCCAAGCCATTTAAACCGATAGAGAACACAGTTTCGTTGTCTATGTCAGCTGCCTCTTTCGAATCAAATAGCAGAGATGATTTTTTGCTGGCTTTAGCAGTGGCTGTTGAAGGCAAACTGCCCGGTATTTGCAGTTGCTGTAGTTGTTTTGCCAGGGACGTCATTTTAGTTTTCCACGTGCCAGAGATTAAAAGCGTGGAAAAGACTACAACTCTGAAGAGGCCTGGCTACAAGGCTTGCTGATTTTATGTGAGGGTGGAGAGGGAAGGTGGAAGATGACACTCTATAAACATTGTCAAATCTGATTGGTTGATATCTGTGAACTCTGTCCAATCACGTTAATCTATCCAAAAGCGCGCGTTATGAGCGTCCGCCGGCGTGAAGAAAAAAAATCTGAACATAAACAAAAGATGAGTTTAAATTACCACGAAGAGCTGAAAATGATATCTTATAACACGCAAAAAATGATGAAATAGAAGGAGATCGCCTCAAGATACAACTGAAAATGCCACGCTACCTGGGAATCGACTTCCTTGCGGATGTAAATACAGCATTTGTTCTAATCTTCATACAAACAACCACCCTTATCTGAATCTGTCGGTAAACCTACAGATATTTAAATATCAATTTCTATTGCATGGTTCTGTTGTTTTCTTTTGCAGGCATTACGACAGCGCAAAAACATGCTTTCCCAGATGCTTCTCACAATACCGAGCCATTTGGAGTATGTAGATACGTACACCCATAATGGAACAGCTACTGATAGGACACGACTTATTCCTCGACTGAAGGGTAAAGAAGAGATGTTTAATAATTCTTATGAAGCTATTTTAAGCGCTTCTTGGGTTTGTTTCAATCTATTTAAAATTTTGCCTGATTTTCCATTAATTATAAGCTATTCATACACAGATATGATTCCCTTCAAGTTGTCAAGTAGACAACCCATTGACTACCTGGTACAGATCACAGAAATCTCAGGCGACATCCAGCGGCCTGTGGCCTACAGCTCAGAGAAGACTGGGAAAGACATTGTCCCAAGCTCCAACCCAGACTCCCCTTTGGTATCCTTTGATATGTGGTCTGATCTTGAAGAGGAAATCGTGGATCAGGTCATCAGCTCATTAGCACCAGACAAAGAACAGTTTACACCAATCGATGAAAAGTCTGACGGTAAATTTGAATTGTTTGATCGTTGCAAGCGACAACATTAAAGCCTTAAAACTGAACATAAGGGCAAAAGTGTACGAGAATTCTAGTGAAAGTACAGATCAATAAAGAACAAGGTAAAGTGGCAAATGGGTTGTAAACTGGTGATCTCCGCGTAATAAGTCAAGTTACAAAAATTCCTTTGTCCCATACCAATATCTATCATTATCTCATAGATGACTCTATGAAACTAGAAGAAGTGGAATTCACAGACAACATCTATTCCATTCGCCAGAAGATTCCTGACATTAACGTCCTAGCTTCAAGGTTGAAAACCAAACTTGTTCAAGACCCTCTTTTGCTGGACAGCCATGGTAATCCCTTAGAAGAGAAGAGCCTTTTGAGGTTAGTAGTTTGATTTTCCAACAGCAACGTCTTTTAGCTAATAATGTTTTATACAATATGTATGACGCGCGTTTAACTAGCCCCCGAAAGTCTCCAATTTCATCTGGTAACGTCTGCATGAGGTCACTAGACGCTGTTGGTGCAATTTCTAGTTTGGTCGAGAAATCATCACACACTATTTTTTATGAATTTTAACTACCCATATATCCCTTTTTTTCCTGTAAACTCACAGATCGGAAATTCAGGCGTCTTTCAGGGGAAAAAATGCCAAAGGACAAGGACAGGAGGACAAGGAAATGTTTTCAAAGATACATTGTGGTGACAATGTGAATGAGGTATGGAAAGCTTGTAAAAGTGGAGCACACAAAAGACACTAAACATTACAGAGAAATCCTAAGCAAATTTTTAACTCAGGGAATGAGGTGAGAGGTTCTGTCAAGATGGTTCAGTAGCTGTGGTATTGTTGCGCTGTTAACATACCGCCTGAATGTCTTTTCACATAGAATGAGGATGAAATCGAAGACGTTTTCAGTCCAGAAATCACATCAAAAGATGCATTCTGCGTGAAAGAGACACTCAGATTGCTTGATCTACATGAAAAGAACGAGCTTGTAGGTAAGTTTGGTCCTTTTTTCCATTGCTTTATTGTTAAAAAATTTGGGAAATTGAATCATACTTCTGGCCGGGTTCCCACTTGTTTGCCATTCAGTTCCTCTTGTACCGTTAAAAATGACCTTCGGCTCGTGATTAGACGGTTACAGCTCTATTGTATGCACTGGTTTGTCCACGGGGAGAACATGTGTGTAGCATGCAAGCAAGCCTCTAACGTTTGTTCATGATACTTGCATTTTAGGGGAGAAACCTGAGCTGCTGTTACAGCAACCCACTCACACAGGTGTTGAAACTCTCACAGGTTCTGAGGAGAGCAGAGAATTAAAGACAAATGATTTTGTGAAATTAAATGAAGGTAATTTCCAGTTAGTAAGTAGGAGAGTTTACTAATATACAGATGAATACGTTGACTTGTTTTGCTTGTTTTTCTGATCAAACATTAGCATCATATTTTCAGAAGTCTTGTTTCATCAAACTTACGTTAACCAATGCACCCGTTAGTGAAGCACATTTTCTCCAATAAACCATTCTCTCTCGAATCATTTTTGAGTGAAGTGTTGTGGCAAAATACCGGCAGTATGCGTCGGAGTTACTGAATCAACCAGCAAGAAAATTAAAAAGATACAATATTGTCAGTACTCCTTTTTGTATCAATTCCAAAGCTTATAGAGTTAGGGTGAAAACAATTATTCCATCATGAGTTTATCTAGAATTATATCTTCTTTGTGCAATGATATTAAAAACTTTCAATATTTAGGAGATCAAACCAACGCTTGCGTTGTCTTGGAGGATCAGCAGTTACTGGAATCTCCATCTCATCTACCAACTGTCGCGGAGAATCACAGCAGCAAGAAGTTTATTAGTAGTTTGCAACCTTTTAAATTATCTACTGAGATAACTAGGTACGCTCCAAGAGATAAGATTTTTCTTTGAATCTGTAGCGAATCCTCGCATTAATAACTTCATATCTTCCCTTAGATCGTTCCTAGCATCAATATGCATTTTCTTAACGGAATGCCAGAATCTTATCATCTCGTCTAAACCGGAAAAGAAATCATCTGTATCGGTGGGGAGCGATGACGAGAAAAATAATCTGAGACGTCGGTTTCGCAATAGAATCTCAGACAGAAGGAGAACTACTCCCAAAATTCTTAAAACTAGTTAGTTTGTGATTAATATATTACTTAATTAACTGTTTGAATAATTTTCCTGAATCTTTGATGTCAATTTCTTCAGCCCACCGCTGTCACCCAACAAGGTCAAGCAGTGTGTACAAAACATATGGGAAAATGAAAAGTTTCTCTTCAGTGAACACTTAGCAATGGTGCTTCCTGGTACGTATGCTCAGAAAATCTATCAGGTTAGTCAACTGAATAATTCTGCAAGAGTGGTTTAGTTCGTGTCAGTTTACGCATTATGGTTTAGGAAAACATTTTGTAGCCGACCTGTAACGTGAAGTGATTTTCTTTATGTGTGTGGCCTTTTGTCCTATTTTCAGTCACCTAAAGAATATGGATTACCTTACGGTTGCTCTAAGGATCAACACAATATTTTAACAAGCCAAAATTAACCTTTTATTAATAAACTTCCGTTTCTTTTCTTTTTTTTCTGAATAACTTTGCACCCAAAAAAGACCTTAATTTGTCCTTGCTGGTCACACTCACAGAACCAAAACAAGTGCTGTTTTCAAGTCAATACCAAAAATGAACTTTGTAATAGAGGATATTGAGCATTATTCTCTGTTCATTAAATGGAAATGAGTTTTAACAAAACGTAAAACACTAAAACACTTCGTGTTTCTTTAAGTACCAACTACTTCATCCAGGAGGAGAAAGGATCATTCGACGACTTTGATACAGGAGGCAATGAAGAAGTTGACCCTTTCACAAGAATTGTTGGATGGAAAGGTGGAGTTAGGCATACCGTGGAACCCGCTCGCTGTGTCGATAAGACAAATGGAGAATTGCCAAAAATATGTACAGTCTGTTTCGTCGTGGAGTGATGAAAGGCAATCACAAAGTGAAATATCTCCTCACCGAAAGGAAACTCCAAGGGAAACCTTTAGTAAAAATAACATTTACGGTGAGATAAAATCTTTGCAAAGTCATGATTAAACTGCGGGGAAACAATAATTTCTGCTTGTTACTTCTTTTCTTCATCATTTATTTGCCTTTTTTCCTTTGTCCAGATGAGGTACAAGATGGAAGTTTGTCGCGAGACTTACAGCCGTTTTCAGGGGGAAAGCCGAAGGAACAACAATCGGGTACGTACTTACACAATAATAACATTGAACGACACAGCTATACTTTGATCGAAATGTCATTTAAATCTGATATCAAAGCTGATTCTCAAAATAGTATTTAGGAGAAGTCAATAAACGTCATAGTACCTATCGGAACGTAAAAACTTAGATTTATACATCTTTTCTTTTTTTGTGTTAAGGTAAGGATGGAGGAAAAACGCAGACATTGACTTCAAAACACGATATCCATGACACTTCGACCACACTTTCGACTTCATCAGATACCACAAAGAGATTCAATTCACGTTCGTCAAACACCAGCAAGTTTGTGACAGAAATTGGAGATACCTCGGGAGAGACAGACGAACGAGAATCACACTTCACGAAACGCAAAATGCTTCCGGCATTTAATCAATTTTGTGGTGGCATTGATGATTTCTTTTTACTTAGAGAAGGTCATAAGAATTCCTCAAAGTCACCCAGTTCTGGCCAATGTGCGCCAACAAGTAAGAATGGACTACCTCACTCTTTAATCTATCCTTTTGGGCTTATTGACCGTTTTTTTTTTATTAAAATCAAAATAGTTGCTTAACTTTGGGAAATTACATTCAACATCCTTAAAAAAAAAAAGAAAACAGTAAGTTAAGGAATCAAAGTTAAAAGAGAAATACATCATGTGTCAGTTTGAAAAGGGTGGCAATGCCTATGCCGAGGAGTGTCTTGGACATGTAACACATCACCAAATTGTTATAATTTTCAAAAATACACAAAAAACTTAAAACTCCTCATTTTAATACAAAGCATTTGAGTCCGATAAAATTTCACAAATTTGTTTTTCTACTTCTTGTCACGCCTGCCATCATGAACTCATTGAAATTACTGCTCTTTCTTTTCACTTAGGGACTTCTCCTGAATATCTATCTACGTTATCATTTGATCAGGAAATCCAGTAACAGTTTCTTTTTCTCTCTTTTAGAAAAAGTCGTAAAAGCGGTGAAAGTGCGTCCATCGGTGTTCACAACAGAGCAGACAGGATTTGACTCTGGTGTAACGCAAGACCTAACAGGCCATGAGTGTCATGCCCAGCAACATAGTAACTATCACCTACTGCAGCGTGACATACTTGTTGAATTGTCAGACGACTTCCAAGAAATTTTAGACGAGTTGATCGGGCATGTAAAGCCTCTTTTATCTAAGCTTCAGAGAGCTGGAGTTGTGCCACAGACTAAGACGCTTTCGAACTTAAATCCAGAGTATACAAGATTCGTTTTGAAGCAAACTCAAATGTCCCTTAATGAAGGAGAGCACAAAAGTGAAATTTATGGCATGTCTATATGCCTGCATGGGCTGGTGTCTTCTGTTGATATTCTTATGCATAGTGGTTTGGAAGCTGCAATAGGTGAGATTGACAATTTCTGTGACATTTTCACAGCTTGTATAACTAGTTTCTTCGCACATTTACCTAACTTTTTACAAAGAACATGATATGAAAAGCGCTATAGACTAAACATACAAATTCAAATTCAAATTTAAATGAGGCTATTGACAGTTCTGCCCGTTAAACTAGGAAATTTGGGTGATACATTAGCGGAAAATGGAACTAAAAACAGGGTTTCGAAGGGTTTATGTTTATTAAAACAGTGATATGTTTTCTTTACTTTTTTCCAGCTTACTTCAGCTCAATAAATGAAAAGTATAGCAGTTTAATAGGGGGAGCTCTGGAATCAACGCGGAGATACCTCTTCGAAACACGTTTCGCGTTTGAACAGCAGAAAATAATTCACCCAAAGCTTTCAAAGCTGCTAACCATCGTAGCAAAGTGGAGTAAAGATCAAGAAGCCTGCAGCGCAAACGCTGCTATCATCGTTTACACTTTCCACGAAAAGTTAACCAAAGAAATTACAGAGACATTGTCAGGTTTACACGGAGTTCAGACCAGGTTATTTAACAAGGACACAGAAATCAATGCTTTGCAGGAAGAAAATGGACAACTGGTAATCTATGTTGTGAATGGCTTAGCAGCAAGCGAGGATTTCCCGTGGGCAAGTTTTGACTTTGTGCTGGACTACAACCTGAGTGGAACAGTAACAAGGGTGGAACTTTCTCGCAGCCCAAGACTTAAATCTCATGTAATCTTGAAAACGATTTCAAAAGTTTCAATGGGAAATCATTTAAGTGAGGCCGAAGGTTAGAACCTGAATTTCACTTTTAAAGGAGTTGTTGATGTTGTGATACAATCAAAGTTAGGTCCAGACCAATTGATTTTCATTTTGTTTCTCCTATTTTAATGTAGTTTTGTAGGAAATATTGCTACAAAATACGCAGCATACAAATGATGCAAATATACAATATCATCATATTTTCCACTGAGGCATGTTCGATATCAACCTTGAAAAGGAGGAATTTATAAGCTTATTAGAAATGTACGTATATACATGTAAGCTATCGAGGATGAGTTTCATGACAAGTTTTGTTGGTTAATATCGAATCCTCAAGGCTGCTTTGGAGTTGATCCTGGTTTCTGTAGCATGAAGCAGCCAGGATTATTGCTATCGTCAAAAGTAACTCCCAGCTATGTATTAACTTTTCTTGTGAGCTGGCTGATCCCTTGTGTCCCCCCGTGGGTATTGAGTGTCCGTTTGAGTGTGAAGTGTCTTACCGAAGGATACAACATGTTGGCTGGAACTTGGGTTTGGACTTCTCCACCAAGACCCCAACGCCCTAACAGTTAGTTTGCTGAGAAGCTCCTTGCAGTGAAAGTTGTCAATTCTGCTACCATCTCCTTAAGACATTTTCTCTTTTCCGCTTTTCCTTTAATGAACTTTCCTTATTTATGCCAAGTCTCATATCTAACTCAAGCTGTAAACTATGTGTATGCATCAAAGGATAACGACATTTATTATGTGCTGAATGCCAGTCTCATAACCAGTGTAAAGGACCTCACGTGATTCTCTATCATTTCTCTCTCAGACATTAGTGACGCCAGCTTGTTAAGCGACCAAGATCAGTACATTTTCATCGGCAGTGAAAAATTTACACATAATAAAGATCTCCTGCATCTCCTCGAAACTTGCCACAATGTCATGATCTATGAAAGACGAAGAAGTAAGACAAAGTCTGACGATTCTCTGAACAAAGTGCTTCTACAGCCAGACGTGATGATTGACGAGAGAACCTGCATTCATCTCCAGCATTTGTCCTCTCTAACAGATGAGAACGAATATAAAGGATTGAGAGATGTGGTGCTGTCACTGTCCCTTAAATGCCACAAGTGTCATATTATCATGTATTCTAACAAACAGCCAGAGTACGTATCCAAAACAAAAATAATATTTTGGTGATGACCCTGCAAGATGTATCCGGTAGATTTTGGGATAAGGTTAGGGTTATTCAGTGCTAACTTATTACAAACTCTTGTTTTTATTCAGCCATGCCTTTACAGGAGAAGTTCTTCGCCACTTATCCCTTCTGTTTGCCAGCTGTGCACATTTTCAAAAGAATGAGTTTGAAGTGGAGATCCTGTACTCCTTTACTATGAAAGAAACTGCTCGTCTCATCAGACAGATAGGTGACAAAGCTAGGGCACAGTCTCCAGTGTGGAACAAGATGGAATGGCCAAAAAGGAAATGGTTAACAAACGAAGCAAGTGCGGTGAGATAAATTGGCTTCACTCACTTCGTGTCTAGAAAACATCGCAAAATATTTTTTGTGACATAGAGAGATCTGTTTATGTCCTCAAGACTAATTAGGTGTTGTTTTGTTTGAAGCATGAAGAGTTCCTGGTGTCACTTCCGTGTATGAATTCATTCAGGTAATCAAAGCGAGATAACTTGTCTAACGGTAATGATCTACATAAAAATCAATTCAACAAAAGATTTTGTTATAGATATTAAAAAAGAAACATTACCGTCACAACACTTAATACTTTGAATTTTATGTCTGTCAGTTCACTTTAACTACAACACCCGACAAGGTGCACAGTACACTGATTAGCGTTAAAGGTTTCCTTTATAACTCATTTATTATTTACTCAGCGCACAAGTGATGCTAACCGCTGCCCCACTAGCTGAGCTGTTGAAAATGTCACCTGAGGAATTGAAAGAAACCTGTCCTTGGATTCCGCCGAAAACTCTCTCAGTATGCGGAATTAAGTTTGTATATGAGTGTTAGTAAAGTTGTACATACTACTGCGCTAATAGTATTGAATGAGGAACTTTGATTGATTCAATATCATCGTGTCACAACTTATGCGATGATGTCACTGAGAGAGAGCTTGAGAAACTTGACTGATCTTCATAACCACGCCTGAGATTTTGATCCTCAAATCAGTAAGATAATGCTGAAGCGAGCTAAAGAAGAACGCGTAAACTCATTCATCCTTGTGTATCAAATCATTCGTTTATCAGTTTGGACCTCCCCATGTGAAATTTTCTCAGGTCCTTTTGGTGACATCCTTTATCGTGTTTGTTTTCAAAGACTTCAACTAATGTGATGTGATAAAAAAACGTATATTATAGGGTCGGATGCTTAGTAATGTAACCTTTGCACTATTTATAGCTACTCCAATGACAATGTTATGTACCACTTAAAAGTATCTACTTGGCTTTCTTCTAGGAATTTTACAAGTCTGTGAACTGGTGTTCTGAGTTAGACCCTGATATGCCAGTCTTTTCAATAGCGCAGCCGTCACTTCAAACTTCCTCACAAAGCTGCTTTGCTGTAGAATCCTCGCCACATCAAATGTCCTTGGCTGCCTCAGAGTCCAATTCTACCCCTAATAGCATGGTTGCTACAAGAAATGCCTTGGTGGAATCCACTGACTACAGGCTTAATGATCCACCGTCACTTTGGGTAAACATTCAACAAACGCGAGAAACCACGAGAGACCCTGTGACTGATAGGGTTTATCATACTTACTCTCAAGATAAACCAGTAACTGATGACTGGTCTGCTGGCGCCTTTGGAGATCGCTTGAATTCTTTTCTCGGCGTTTCTCAAAGAGACGAGGCTGAACATCACTGCCCTCCATTCCCAGATATTCCTGATACACATGATAGCAAATGGAGACCCTTGATAGCGAGAAATACATCTTCAAAGTCATGGAAGGACAACGTTGAATCAGATTTGAGGCGATGCATCACAGAGAAAAAGGTAACCATCATGTCAAAAGGGAGATAAATATTCCATATGTGTATTATTCCGTGCTTAGTTTTCAACCAGCTTATTTGTTTTGCGACAAGAAGCAAAAAATGAGAGACATGACGAATAGAGGGATATAGAGCTAGGAGGATGAAAGGAGAGTTCTATTAATGATGGAGGGAGGAGGAAGGCAAGTAAAGGTGATGGCCTGCCTTCCAATCAATGGGTGTCCTTGAACTTAACCACTCAATTTCCCCGGCCCTTTCACCCTTTGTTACATGTTGTGTGCCATCTCACCTGTTATCTCTCCTTTGTCTTAAGGTACCGTACATCAGGTATGATCACCAAGTAACGTCCAACTATCCAGTTAAGAGTCATTATTTTTCTGAATTTCCCGGTTCCTGTCGATCAAGACCCGAAGAAATAAGCCATTTAAGGGATGAAAATGAAGACTACTTGACGCATGACGAAGACATCGACGTGACTGGTCGCTCAGCGATGTCTTTAAACTTTCCAATAGCAAGAGGATCTACGACACACTCTTCGAGAGAACAGAATGACCACTTTGACTCGTCTTGGGACAGAAACGTCTGCGGTCGAAGGTGCCAGAACCCCAGAGATTACCGTACTCATCAGATACCGCAAGCACGTGTACTGGATAAAGATCATTCAAGCAAACGCGTGAGGTAAGAGCAGCTATGGTAAACATAACGTTTATTTTGTTTTCTGTGTGTTTCTGGCCTAATTTTTACTTTAGACTGTGTCAACATAGTCCTAGGCTAAACATCTTCGGAGCAATAACGATTATATTATGACGCGCCTTCTGTTTCAAAACATTCTTAAAAAAGAAGAAGTAAAGAGATTACTGTAAGTACTGGTCTAGGCTTGTGCCCTCGTATGACTGCCAAAATTTCTTTGCCGCAAAGACCTGGAGACGAGATTGAAACGTATTCAATTGAATGTTCGCAGGCAAGCTGTGCGAGTATTAGACCTTGGAAACGAGGCTACCCGTGCTGTTCCAACTAAAGTGGGAATAGCTCAGCCACAAAGGAGAGTTTATGGCTCATCTGATTATCCTCAAGTGTCTGTATCGAGTACATCAAGTCAAGCGCTAAGAGAAAATACTGTCGCTAGTAAACACAAACGAGTTAGTCTAGGTATTGAAAGATCTACTAACTCTGCGTCAAAAGGTGCACAACAGGTAAGTATTTCCTGTCACCTCTATGGTGATATACACAGAGCTTGTTTTAAAGGTCGCTTTCCACTAAGTTGGTTAAAAAACAAAGCCGTTTTTTTCCCTGAGTGAATAAATATACCAACAAGTTCTCTGTTATCGTGCATTTACAGCAGAAATGACACAAAACCGTTGAAAATGTTATATATTACAATAGCTAGGAGAAAGGAGGGAGTCTGTATAATTTGTCACTAAAATCTCGTAACCCCACAGAGCACTACTTATTCAAAAGTTTACTTGTCGGGTAAACCCTGTGTAAACTTATTTACCTCTGATCGTGGCAAAGAGAGCGAAATGGCATGTTTGCAAAGAAAAGTAACCAACAGATAAACATTTCATTTTCATGACAGCTACGAGGAGGGGAACACGCGGTAACAGCAAAACGGCCGTCCCTAGACGGTGAGTTACTATCTTTCATACAACTTCACAACATGAGGGTAGCATTGGGACGTAAGCTAAAAGAGTACCAAAAAACGTGACGAGAGCTTATACGTGATAAGCAGTAACGGGGGCGCGATCTTTCCCCTATTCACTCCACCAGCGCTTTTCTAATCTTAATGGAAGGGGAATCACTCGAAGAACAAGGGAACCTAAATGTGGTATTACCAGGGGCATTAAAAGATCTAGTTCAAAATGATGTGAAGAATAACTTGTGTTTATTGAATCTATCAGATCCTGATGAATGGTCTGTCTTCCCTTCGTACCTGTCCTCAAAACGGCGTAAGCTGACCTACCAAAAGATCCCAGGTGTAGAAAGCGGTCAAACTAAGCTTGTGTTCAAGTACGACAAGTAGTTTGGATCATTCTTCAAAAAACGTTTAGTGTGCTATTAGTCCACATTTTGTTCATAAATCCCTCAAGACCTATGGCTTTGAAACAAACCTGAGCGAAAAAAGAGATCTTGCTGTCACTTGACAGCATTAAACAAAGCAGTCACTAGAGATAATGTCGTTGATGACAGGGAGCCTTTTTGTCAATATTGGAAACATTGCACACGAGTTTAATACCCACTTATTGCATCATTAAAGTTATATTTGTAACTGGGTCCTTGAGTGTCTTAAAGCGTTGGTAAAAAGAAATTTTCAACGTCCTAACTTTAGATCCTATAAGCATCATGAGCTTTCGGCTGTATCATCAGTCGGCAAAGAATTATCCGTAGGTGGAGGGTGAGACAACACTCTGTCAATCAAACCAAACTCTTTAGCTTCATCAGGTGACATAAACTTGTCCCGTTCCAGCGCTTTTTCTGATGTACAAAAATTGGAAACGAATAAGCCATCAATAAATGCGTGAACAAGTGATTAATTCAGTGTTTGGCATTGTGGGTGTCCGAGATAGACCAGGATTGGTTTTATTTTGCTTCCCTACGTTCTCTGATTGGTCAAAAAACTTGTGATCCTCTCGACTTATCATATGCAAAACTTAAATCCATCACGATTTTGTCACTCTCACTCCTTGTCTATGTTATGATCAATGCAACAAATGTAGCAATTTGAAGCAAATAGCTTATAACATGTTTTCAAAATCTTACCTATTTCATCAAGAGGCTGACCCGTGTGTTTAACATAGATCTTATTTAGGAGTGTCTTGAGCTTAAGAATTTCCTCTGCTTGAATGGCTATATCTGTGGCTTGGCCCTAAAAAAATAATGAAAAATTTACAATGGACATCTTTGCATAGTCATGCAGTCAGAGCACCCTTAACTTTGCTTAGTACTTATCTCAAGTTCACACACATCTTTCATTTACATGCAAAATAATTACCTCTACCTTGTTTAAGGCCACAAAAACTAAGTCAAATTGAAGTTCAAAGGATGTTGATGTTTCTCAAACATTTGAGTGACTACTTTCAAGGGTCTATCAACAAAAAGTGACAACAACAACATACCCGTGCTCCTCCATGTGGTTGATGCACCATAACCCTAGCATGTGGTAAAGCATGTCTCAAACCTGGGCTTCCTGCAGTTAAAAGCAGGGAACCCATGCTGCAAGCTTGCCCCATACACCATGTGGAGATAGGAGGTTGAATATACTGGAGAAGGAAATATCGGTACATTATGAGACTTTCTTACTTTCACTGATGAAGAACACTTAAGATGAGGTTCCCTTCAGTAATCCTTTCAATACTTCAGAATTACTGCACCCTTGCAGATGCCCATTTCATTCTTCTGTATAGAAACTCTTACAATGCCATAAAACTCCATGAACATCTTTGATAAGCAGTAACTTTCAGAAAACCTGCTCTCTCTTCCCCCCCCCCAAATTTAAACAAAAAGGAGTTCACACCTCTACCAAAACTCTGGGCTATGATTTTGTACAGAATAAACAAACAAATGTGATACAATTGCTTAAAAATTGTAACAAGCATACCTGCATTGTGTCATAGATGGCTAATCCTGCTGTAACTGACCCACCTGACAAGAACACAAAATAATTAAGTTTCACATGTAAACCTGACCTAAAACATCCAGAACACAATATATCACACAGGTGGGTAAGTGGTTAGTGCTCTAGACTCTGGATTAAAATGTCCAAGTTTGTATTGAAATGCTACACAAGACACTTTATTCTCACAGCACCTTTCTCCACCCAGGAGTATAAATGTGAGACTGCAAAATTTCAGAGGAAGCTGACAAAGTTAGAGAGGCTAACCTCTCACTTACTCTTAATTCCTTTAGGAGGCTGAGATCAGGATAACTTCTTTTTAACTTAGAAGGTGACTTTTTTTGCTAAACCCTAAATATCAAATTAAATGTATTAACACCATGGCTTTGAACACAATATATGACAACTTTCCTTGTTATCCTGATTTTCCCATGGATAGTTTTTTCCCAACATCACAACAGTAATTAGCAACAGAATGTTTAAAAGTGCATTTAATTTTAATTAAATCACCTGGACTGTTGATGTACATATGAACAGGAGTTCTATCATTCTCAGACTGTAGAAATAATAGCTGAGCCACAACAAGACTTGACAACTCATCTGATATCTAAAAAACAACAACAGAAAAAAAAAACCATTTGAAAAAGGTTCTGAATCAGGGATTAAAAATACATCAGGTTTGTTGGCAAGGCAGAGAAACTAGAGAACACAGGGATCCCAACAAAAAACCCTCAGAGAAGAGAGGAAAACCAACAAAACATTCAACCACATGAAATACTACGTACAGGAACTAAAGTGGGGTGACAGCATTGAGAGATGAGTGCTGCAGCAACTGCATCATCTCCACTGCCCCTTGATAACCAGCCAGCATCAGTTTCTTGTAGGATGTTATGTCCAAATTCCTTAATATGGCACCACAAACGATTGTTGTCCGAATGCAAAAAACTTTATTATTATTTCTTGGCACATTGCACACTATTATACTGGACTGGCCCACAAAAATGTGAGCTAATCACATGTGATTTTATGCATTTAGTTAGTTTCTTATAATAATGACAAATTTTACTACAAGGCTGTCTCTCTAAGAGGCAAACAAAGTGAATCCTGCATTCTGACTGGTTGACAATCTATCCCTTCACAAAAGGCTTCAGGTCAAAAATTGTTCAAATGATAAGTCCTTGTTCAGTCAAACTAGACACACAATTTTATAGTTTTTTTTTTCCTCATTCTCCTATCTGATTCTTGTGCTACTTAATTAAGAACAATGAATTCTACTTTGAATAAGCTGCGTTTTCAACTCTCTTTTCCTTCAAAAACTACCACAACTTAGAGTAATCACTTGCATATCTGGTTACATTTTAAAATTTAAACATCGTCACTTACAGGACCCATAACACACACTATTCGCTCTTTCAGAAGACGGGAAAATATGTCATAGGCTCTTTCACCTCTTCCCTGAAAAACATCAAGATAAATCTTTCATTAATCAGAAAACAGGAAGAGAAGGTTCTGAGCACGTATCAAAGTTGAAATACTTTAAGAAATATAAATGCTCCGGCTCTGTAGTTCCATACCGTTTGTTCGATCACCATAGGAATCAAGAACTGTCTCCTGCAAGACGTATGTATCCCTCGCGATATCCTAGAAATTACCTAAACAGGAAAATATACGGTGTATCAAATAAAAGGGTAACTTGTGACGAAAAAGTTTCAATGGTACTCTTACGTAAAGTCCTTGTCGAGCAGCCATGTTGAATTTGGATTGTAGCCGCAGGTCATAGTCACTGCAGACACTGAGTATGATGTCATCCCCAGTATATCTCAATTTTAGTTGAAAAACTGACCAGTTCCAGGCTGTCGGTGCATTTCATCACCTTGTGGGATACCGAAGAAAGTTTCTTTATCTACAATGTTTACAGGAGATATAGATATCCACACTGTCTACTTTAATACAGTTATTGCTACTGCCTGCTGTGGATAAAGCTACCTACCTCTTGTTTCTACTGTTGACACAGTAAATAGTTATATATCTGCTGAAGATAGTGCAGACAGTTGTATCTTGTAGATAATGTAGATAGTTTTTTTTCCTGCTTTTCTCAGTGTAGGGAGTGGAGTGAAGAAGACATAAAGCATTTGGTTGTGGTCGAACATAAATAAAGTGTAACTGACCTATCTAACGAAGTGATTTAGTTTGAAGCGTTTACCAAATGCTCAGTCAATGGACATGAGCGGGGAAGCGGATAGGAGACAAACAGTGGTTGTGGTTGTCAGGGAAACGCCTAAAAGAGTGACAACCCTCCTGCCTCTAATTATATTTTTTTTTACTGACCTTCATTTGAAAAGCGCGAAATGAGCCTGTGCTCCCTCCCCAAAGGGTGAAGGGAAGACTGCATCCGAGAAAATAGCTGAAATTGAGTGTAAAAAATCACTCGCGGTATGTTATACCTCTCACTTGAAGGTTTTTGGAAATCTATAGGTAGCTCTCTCGAAATAAATGTTAGTCAAATATTAAGTGTTACCCGATTTTTCAGTCAAAATATGCGCAGATTTAAAATCTGAAATTATTGAAAACGAATAGAATGATTGAAGACATTTTCATAATCTATTCCTTTTTTGAATCATTTTCAAGCTCTCTTTAAGCTCAAGTCATCTGTTTTCAGTATAACTGAGCGGTGAATTTTCATGAAAAGCTACCGAATAGGGTGAATTCGCAGAACCTGTTCGTTATATGCAAATGAGTTTGTCACTAAATGCTAAATTCAAATAGATCTACACTGCCGGATTTTCCCCGTGTAAATTCCTAGTCAACAGACATTACAAAGCGTAATGATTGCTTAGGGTTAGAAAAACTTTTGCTTATTTTCTGTACGTAACTTTCCATTTAATTTGCTTCTTTTTAGCAAATAATGAGGCTTCTTAAAGTGCTCAATGCTGCGCGTCTTAGATCCTTTATCCTCCAAAAATAAATCAGAGGATTTAAAGAGCTATTGGCAAAAACGATTGTTACTAAAACTGAATACTCTACAACATCGATGGACTTGTGTCCTCTGCGAGTGAGTTTTTTTAGTTCCACACATAAATAAGGAAGGTAGCATAACACGAACAGTTTTAAAATCATTAGAGACGTAAAAGTCTTTGCTTTGTACTTAAGCAAATCAAAAGCATTTTGTTCTTGGTTAATGGGTTGTCTCGTTTGTATCTGCCGTTGATGTCGACGAATAATTTTCCAAATTGTCTTATAGCTGTAACAAATCACTAAAGTACAACACAGTGCTCCTGCGACAGACAGTACGGCAAGGATTGAATACCTTCCCACAGCGAACCAGATGATTAACGAAATCAAAATCTGGAATACCCAAAGCTGAATTACAACAGAAGCCACTCTTTTTGAAGTCACTAGTTCCTGGTAACGTAAAGGCCAATGAATAGCGACAGCTCTCTCTATGCTCAAGTAAGTTAACGTTCCCAAAGATAATGCTGTGAAGAGATACGCCAGAAACATTTGAATTTCAAAAACTACACAAAAGGTGGCGACAAGACGAGTATTCATTAGATAAACTAGCATAGGTTGGAGTAACAAACCCACGCAGAGATCGGCCATAGCTAAAGATGCAACCAGTATATTTGACACGGAATGTAGAGAAAACGTCTTCCACAACGAAAAGAGGATAAAAAAATTGGCAACAACAGCAACCGGCGACAGTAGTCCGTTTATAATACTGATTCCGATAACAAAATTACGGTAGTTGTGCTCATAAAGTATGGTAGAGTTTGTTTGTACAGTTGCTCCGAGTACCACACACAAGCTGGAAGCGTTGGTCATTTTCTTTTTGACGATTTCAGTCTTCAGAAACTTCACAACATCTCATCTTCTCGGCTCTCAAATAAATATACATCTGTGGTAGTTGTTAGTCTTAGGAATTAAAACGCTTTCAACGTCAATTTCGTTTTTAGTGCGGGAACCTCACTCAAAACATTACTTGAGTGGAGTTAAGAATTGAAAATCATGGTTTCGGGGCGACGAAATGACTTTTGAAGATTGTAATTCTATTTATTGACAGACATTGTCTCTTAAATAAACAGGATTTCCGTAACAAATACTTTGTTAGCGTTTTGTTGCTGAAACTGTTTTGTCGGTTATTTTTAAATGGGGAAACGCTGTTTTCTCGAAATAAATGCCAATCAAGTATAAAGTGTTAGCCGATTTTTCTGTCAAAAGATGCGCGAATTTAAAATCTGAAAATATTGAAAACGAAAAGAATGATCGAATAAATTTTCAGAATCTATTCCTTTTTCGAATCCTTTTTAAGCTCTCCTTACGCTCATGATAAAGCCATCTGTTTTCAGTTTTTTTTTAATTTAAAGCTACAGAATATATATATGTAATTGACACGGTAATCAATGAAATGAAATCCCCGTAAGCCAAATCAATTTTTTTGCTTGATGAAAATTGGAATTACTATTATCTTAAAGCTGCAGGGAGTGGTCGTAGTTTAAGAACACAACCTTGTCTCAGAAATAGTTACTTGAGAATAAAAGATAAAATAATGCTGATGCATGTTTACTCGGGACGAAATAAATATTGAATTATTTAAGAAAACAGAAAAATAACTTTGCCCTCTCAGACCCTAAGCAAATTATATGCATAAAATATGACTTTTATCCCCAAGTGAAAGAACCAATCCTTGGGTATGTGTAATGATATTGTTCTAATTGCCTTGAATGACGTTTACTTAAATATTGTCCTTGCAAGAAAATGCCATTTCCGTGCTTGAAACTACTTGTGAAGCCAAGTGGAAGTCTCTTTTTCGGAAATGGCTCTTTCAGCTTCTTTTTACATTGTCACGGTTATTACAAATCTTCAGAGACTTCTAGGGTCAGGACGAGAAAAGACATGTTTCATTTTATTCAACTCTTCGTGAGGTTTGGGGGGTTGGGGGCGGAAGGGTTGAAGGAAAAAAATGGATTTGATGACGTCATAAAACTCATTGTCTACGCAAGAGGAGAGTAATATTCCTTCAAACCTGTTTCGAAAATTTATGATTACGTGTGTGTTTTCTATAGTGTCGACGGAAGTCGCAAACGTGTACATTTTGCGTCTTTTTAGTATGCAGGAGCCTGTTGATATCGGCAGGCTCACGCTACGCCAGGTTCCCCAGGAATTTGTTTGGTGTACTTACTCACAGCAAATATCAGAGGTCTGACTCTTTTTTTTTTTTTTTTTATTTCATTTTATTTTTACACACAATTGGCACCGTACAGCAATTTCACCGCGTGCACTTTTCCCAGTTAAAAATTCTTTCCCAAACATAACCCTGTAGAGAAAATAAAGTGACATGAATAAATAAGAGAAGCGTTTCCCACGGACTTTGATTCGTTCATTAACTCTCAGTGGAATTCAATAAGCCACAATAAGGGAGTAAAACAATTATTTGCATTTTAATCGCGATCAAAACAAAAGTTCTCGTGACATAAACAATTGACATTTGTCAATCATGGACCGCGCAAATCTGTTCAATACTCTAATTACGTGTCACCTCTGATCATCATTAGTGACCAAAGTCGCCTAAATCAGACGAGAAAAGCATTTAAAACCGTCCTTTGTGATACTTTATTCCAAAGAATATGCTTCAATCGGTAGCGGAATTTGTCTTGCAATATTCACCGCAGTCGAGTCCACAGACGTTCTCATCTCTCGTATTGGTGACTGCTGCAATCTTCTGCATTGTGAGCGTCTTACTAAGCCTTGTTCGGCAAAGGAAACTTGCTGTTAAGTCAGTCGATGGAGTACCGGGACCGGATGGTCACTGGCTGAAGGGACATCTTGATTACGTAAGTTCTAAACAAGCTGAGTCAGGTTGTGGGCCGAAATGATATCTTGTGGCGATGTCACGAACCCGGTCCATTACTCACTGTAGCGTATGATGAACTTCGTTCGATTCCTTTTTAAATTAAAATATTATCCAAATCTGTCAGGATTTATTTCGTTGGCCCTTTTATCAGACAAGGCTATAGCGAACGAAAGCTCAAGTACCTGAAAATTTACGGTTTGACTTCTTACAACAAAACTAAACAAACTGAAGTTACAATGATTCAGCGTGAACAAGCTGAGGCTCATTTTTAAACTGTTACGTTATGAGCTAACGTTGCGTGACGAGCGAAGACGGTTGTAAGACCTATCGCGCAACAGGCTCCCTTTTATTTGCGTGACGAGGTAGGCGAAGACCGCTAAGGGAACTAACCTCAAGGGATGAACTTATCTTAACATGCGACAAATTGATTTATGCATGTCTGCTTCTTTAAGGGTACGCTAATCAAGCTGATTGATTTCATGACACTTGCCTGTCAATGTCATCTGTAGGCACGATTTGACGGAGCTGGACTTCAATTCCACGAGAAATGCGCTGAAGAATTCAAAACTTGTTACCGCCTGTGGTTTGGCCCACTCAAGCCACTAGTAGTCCTATGTCACCCGGAAACAGTCAAAGTCATTCAGTCCAGTAATGCACCCAAAGAAAAACTTGTGTACAACCTTGTCAGACCATTCATTGGTGAGTTGCAACTTCATCATCATCGTCATCACTTTTATTGTCATCATCATTATCGAGTAAATGAAAACTACGCTACCTAGATAGATGGAGATCTCTAATCAGGTGATAGACCTAATTATACCTTGGGGCTAGTCTAATCTTTCTAACTGCTGACTGAAGCAACAAGTGTGAAGATAAAGCTGTAAAATGTCGTGTATGCTTGTAGGAGATGGCTTGGTAACTTCATATGGAGACAAGTGGTTTCGAATGAGAAGACTCCTCACTCCGGCTTTCCACTTTGAGATTCTAAAGCCGTACGTTCAAGTTTTCCAGGAATCTACCGATGTCCTTCTGGTAAGGAACTGAAGCATTCACACGTGATTTTAAGGAGAAATGTTTACTTTATAACCAGCGGAAAAGTCCCCCCTCCCCCCGGCGGAAAAATGCTTCTTTCCAACTTAAAGTTTCGATAAGAAAGGTTAACATTGTATTCGACATTTTCGATTTGGCAGGAAGGTTGGATCAGGGGAATTAGAATACGAACAGTCCCTCCTTTTCGGGGAAGTCCGTTGCGCAATTAAAAGAAAGAAAACAGAAATATAATCGAAAAAAAAATAATAATAATGATGATAACTGATACTAGCCCGCTGCGCCTCACTCCAAGAGTTCCACGCGGCGCGCTACCATAAATTTCATTTGTTTTCGTTGCTTCTTTCACTCGCGTGACGGACCTCGCCGAAAAGGAGCTAGTGGCTGTCCTCAATGTAAGGGAGAGGCGAACTCCAATACAATTTGGTAAGAAAAAAAGTTAAAGGTACCAATACCTGTGCTACTTATTGGTCAAATGGAAATTTCAAAAATGGCTTTTTCAGAAGCCTTTTACAGCAAATCATGATATTCTTCTTTCAGGAAAAATGGTCTTCTCAGCAGGGTGGGGAAGTGGAGTTGTTTCATCATGTTAGTCTGATGACATTAGACTCCGTTCTCAAATGTGCACTCAGCTACAGAACCAACTGCCAGACTCAAAAGTAAGAATTGAAGCTATGAGATATAGCAGACACATTTAGATAGCTAACCTGTATGTCAAAAAAAATTGTTTTCAAAGAATTAGATTAAGACCGCGTGATTTCTATAGGGTTGTGTTTGACGAGGGGGAAACCCGCGCTAGCTATTACGCATAGAGATCGAGAGCGACTGCTCTGATTGAGTTCGTATAAATCTAATAACTGTGGTCGTTCAAAACTTGACAACTGACCGGACTGCGATGTTTGTCATTGGACGGTAGACGATTCTTTCCAAATTTTCCTTGTCTACTCTACCAGTGCTGTACATCACTGTGAAAACCTTTGCTCAAGAGATACTTGAGAGTAGTCCAGGGATGTAAACAGCATTTTCCGGTAAAAGAGGGGAGGGGGAGGGGGGCTTTCCTTATCAGTATCTTAATACATTTGAAGTTATTTTAGGTTCTTCTATTATTATAAGTGATCACTTTCTCTTAACAAGGAAGAAGTAACATAAAGCTTAGGACTCCCTATTGCTTACACCCTTTACTCTAAGTAATATACCAGGTGATGTGTCGTTTGTTTCGTTTTTCGCATTTCAGAAAACAGGATCCTTACATTGTGGTTGTTTATGAAGCCTCAGGTCAGATTTTGGACAGACTGATGTAAGAAACATATTTAACTGGCATTGCATTGCATTGCATTGCATTACATCGCATTACATCGCATTGCATTGCTCTTGTTCCTTTCTTCAGTCTTCTTCCTCTTCCTCCCTCACCAAGTCTCTCCTTCCTCTTCTTTATGCCTCTTTCCTCTGGTCTTTTATCCCTGTTCTTCTCTCATCCTCATCCTCTCACTCCTCAGTGTTACACAAATCTATTTTTTCATGCCTATTCTACTTGTATACCGTTTTGTAGGAATCCCCTCATTCATAATGACACCATCTATAAGCTGACGCCTGACGGAAGAAGGTTCTTTAAGAACTGTGCATTTGTTCATGCAAAAGCAGATGGAATAATAAAAGCCAGGCGTAAAGCTCTACAGGATGACGTGAGTTTTGATAAGTTTATCGATTGTATTTGAAAACTTAGGCCGTATCAATGAACTTTTATTTGTTCTTACGTCAGGAGGAGAAAGAGAAACTCAGGAAAAAGAAGCATTTGGATTTCCTTGATATTCTACTGGAGGCAAAGGTAATTAAGAAGACTCAGCGCTGTTTGTTCAAAGCAGTACCTTTAAATTGATAAAAATAGATCGACGTCAGTATCTGAGCAACTGTGCCCTTGCGCCTCCCCTTCCCACAACATTAACAGTTGTTGGCTAAGGGGAGGGGTAGGTACGCAATTGCTCCGATTCTAACTTTGATCCATGAAAATCTACCCCACCCACCCTCTGTGTTCATTTTTTCGCACTACGACTCTTATCGAGCTTGGTGTTGTTTTTTCTCTCTATGATTCAGGACGAAAATGGAAGCAGCTTAACAGACGAAGAAATAGTCGGAGAAGTTGTGACATTCATGTTTGCAGGGCACGACACCACGGCAAGCGGTGTGTACAATAAGATCTCATTTCAAACGAAGACCTTAGTAAAAAACCTCCGGCAGCCTAGTACCTTTTGCCCTTGAAAGACAAAAGGTATTTATCCGGTCTACTTTATTTACCATTTTAGTTATTTCGTGGACTTTGTACAATTTGGCCAGATTCCCTGAGCACCAAAAGAAATGCCTGGAGGAGATTGAAGAAGTGTTTGGAAACAGTCATGAGATAGAGTGGTGAGGAACAGTTAATTTTCCTTCTGTAAAAGATATTTGGAGCTTATCATCTCTATACCCTATTTCAGGCCACTTGACGGCCCTGTGAGGGATGCCTTCTCTTAAAAGTTTTCGAATATCGACGTGTGTGTGGGAAATTGATGGTTTGGCTTGATTATCTTGTCATTTAGCCTCTACTGTGACATCATTATACTAATGGCGTAATGTGTGTTTTCACAGGAAGCAGCTCGGCAAACTGAAATATCTCCTCATGTGTATCAAGGAGAGTTGCCGGTTATTCGCCCCAGTCCCCATTATCAGTCGAACATTGGACAGGACCTATGAAATTGATGGCCATTTGGTGCCGGAAGGTACTGTGTGTATTGATCACAAACGTTCCTGACTTGTCAGAGGCATGCATTTGTCAATAGCCCTCATTCCAAGTTGTCACTCACTAACAGGGGGAAGGAGGTGGTTTTTTTCAGGTTTGGGAAGAGCATGGGGTCCTGTGTTTGCCTATTATTGATATTTGTGAATATGTCAAGTTGTTATATTTTTTGAACGGTTTATTAAAATTTATTTGTCCCTCAAAAAGTTGCTAAGAATGATGCAAACAGCCTGAGCGTTGTCAACATCGAGTGGTGTTGGGACCAGGCAGAAAACGTATGATTCCTTTCCCACTTCCCTCCCCCCCTCCAATGTTGTTCGCGTTATTTACCATATCCTTCAAGTTCTTAACTGTTCTTTATCCCAAAAGAAGGCAAAATGATAAAATAAATACTTCATATATATGCTCTGAAAAAACATTTCATTTTCGTCAGGTACTTGGGTGATGACCAACGTCTACGCTTTACATCTTAACCCACACGTGTGGAGAGACCCTAAGGTTTGTGTTTTTGAATTAGCTCCCTATCGACAGATTATCGTCAAAAAGTGATTGCTGGTAGATGTTCTTCAACAATTTTGCGCCGGATTATAAGTGACGCCAACAGAAATTAGAATTCTTCTTTCGGTATTTGGTGGAGAATTTTAACTTGAACATACACTTATCAAATATTCTTGTCACTTTTACTATAAATGTTAAATTCCTTTGGTTTCCGATTTAAAACAGAAGTTCGACCCACTGCGCTTCACGACTGAAAACGCTAAAGAAATGTCACCATATGCCTTCATACCGTTTTCGGCTGGTCCAAGGTAAATATCGGGACTGGTATGTGACTGATGTTGGTGTAATTTACTGGTATTGCATGGTTGGTGTGACGCTCCTGATTATGTTTTATTTAAAGCTTAATATCTAAGTTCTAATTCCGGAGTGCATTCTTCGGTTCCAGAATCGAGCTGAAACACGGGTTCACAAACTGGGGAACCATACTTGTGCCATTACCTTCCAGTCCTGAGAAACGTTTAATCAACGCACTGCAAGTTTTCCCACGCTTGCGTGTAGCATGTGTTTTCTTGCACTTAATATTGCATTACGTGTTTTCCCGCGCTTGACTGTGCGTTACACATTTTCCCGCGCCTAGCACTGCGTAGTACAATTTCCCGCGCTTAAACTGCGTTGCACATTTCCCGCACTTGACAATGCGTTTCAAGTTACCTAAATTCGACACTCAAGCACGCACAGTATTTTGCCGAGCTTTACTCTGAAATGATACAGTTTCTGGCCCTAAGCAAACTTTTTCTGTCACCCAGCCACATTTTTATCTCAGTGTTAATTATTCTCGTGTTAAACAGGAACTGCATTGGACAAAGCTTTGCCTTGACGGAAGTCAAACTGTCTTTGGCTATGATCATACGCAAGTTAGTGAAGTTTATATTTTTAGGAATAAACACTTAATTATTCTTAGTTTGCTTACTCGTCATTTCATGCTTTTGTCATTTGGCAAATATATTCAAGTATTTAAAGTATTTATATACTTTCTTTTCTTCTTTTTTTATTTCAATTTGTATGTATTGATACAATTTGCTTTTTTTTTCTATTATTTTTACAGGTTCAAGTTATCTGTCAGTCCTGACAATTACGTGCCAATCGAAGACATGATTCCTGAGCTAATTTTGCGAGCTAAGAATGGGATAAAAGTCAATATTGCCCCTCGAGCTTAAAGAAAACACACACACACACACACCACACTATAGCATTGGCTATAACTTACGATCATTAGATTTACTTGCAAGATTTCAACGAAAGGGTTCTTCATACAACTACTACATTTGCTGTCAAGTGTTCTATATAAACATGTTTCGCAAAACCGTTGCAAATAGTCAAATGAGTGCCGTAAATGCTGATTAAGGATATAGTAAGTAGATGTACAACGAGGTTTCACGCATTTTAAACCAAAATAAAATATCTCCATGGTCGAAAAAAAGGGTGACTGATTAATTGATTAATTTAAGATTGCGCGGTGGACTGGAAAGTTTTCTGAAGTTTTAAGATTTCATATGAAAGAGCTAAAAACAATTGCCTCATAAAAGCAGCTGAAAACGGTTTTCCTGATTATCCTGGAAGGGATATGGAATGCGTTCTCTTGGTTGGTGCCCTGACAATTGGCCACTTTTTCCTATAAAATGTTCTGTCTATTAATACTCTTCATCATTAGCTGAACTAATATTCAAGATAAAAGACTCCCTAGTACATGATCAGCGAACTGTTACGGGTGCAAAGAATGGAAGGTGCAGACGACATTGTCTTTCGCAGTTATTCCAGATATATACCGTAAATTGTAGCCACAACAAACAGGGAGCCATTTTGAAACGAGGCCGTTGCGCATCTATCAAATCTTTCATCCAACAGACAACGGCTGGTGATGCTCATTCCCTGACTTTGCTTCGATCCCAAATAAACCAAGCAAACAAACTTGAACCTGTTACAACCAAGCTCCGCTTTAACTTTATCTTTCAGTTCCTCACTCGCCTTCAACGCTAACTGTCGACATCTTTCTCGTTCGTATTTCATTCCATCGAATGTTCCATGCAAAATGTCCTCGGCCAGCTTACGGACTCTTTCGGAATTAAACGATGTGTCAGGCTTCATTTTAAATGAGTTTTCTAAACCCGGCGCGCTCAGTTTGAAGTTTTCTCCCTCCAATGAAAACAGAATAGAAGATCCTTGACTTGCTAAAGTCGACTGACGTTGATTGTTCCCTGTTTTCTTCAACACTCCTCGGAGTAGACCTGTCGAATATCCTTCCAAAGAAGCGCTATTAACAGAGCTTGTCATTACTTTAATTGATTAGACAGTCTCGACTCCTGTACTTGTACAGCTTAAGACTTCAAACTTCTCAAAGAATTAACTGTATTTGTTTTCTGGCGACATGGAGTGAGAAATTTCTGTTCGCATTTCTACAAAATCGTATACGAAAAGTTTACGTGACTAAACAGTTTTCTTTTACCATAACCGTTCAGCCTTTGCTCCGGTCTGTTTATCTTTTAATTGTCCGTAATTCACTTTAGAAGAAAAAACCTTAATACGATTGTCCGATCGTTTAACATCTATAATCGATTGGAATGAAGATTCTCCATACTAAACGCCTCACATTTTCTTTTAGGAAACTTAGGAGTCTTGAAGATTTGAATCTTATCGTTCGCTGATGATTTATCATAGATTTTTCTCAAGCTTAGTTCCTCTCAAACCATTAATGTTACCAGAAGAAATCATAATTTGATCGATATCGCGGTGTGTGTTCATCTATCCATTTTTCAGGATTAATATCTTCTTCAGAAAAAGCGTCATTAAGGAAGATTAGCCCCGACTTCCTAAATGCCTTTCTAAACAAAGCCATTAAGCTTTACTTCCGTTGAGACTAAAGAATTTGTTAACTTTTTCTACGTATATAAACCATAGACAAACTTAAGGCCTAATGTAAAGTCTGGTATCACTGTAATCCTTTGTATCTTAATTCCACCAAAACAAAACCACTCTAGAGAATGTTTGCAGTAACTATAGTTACCAATCGGAATTAATTCAACCGGGTCAAGGTCAAAGATGTTGTAGAAAATTGATCAGTGAAGAAAGGGGGAAAGCGCATGCGTGTTGTTCAAAGCACCCACAATATGGTTAACCAAAGTTACTGGTCAGGATCTTCGTTTCTGAGTGGGATCCAAGGTTTTACAGGCAGTTAATCATTGCAGTGAAAAGAGGTGGCAAAGTTCATTTTGATCACTGAAGCGGTCACGACGCAAATTCCCACTCCACTAGGAAGCAATGATAAATCTCGAGTTTGATTATTAAGATGAGTTTCACCTCAAATAGATGCGTTCATCCTCAAACAAACGCGTACTGACGGTTTCCGCTTAACTGTAGCGCAGATCACATTTCACTAAAAAGTAGATTGTCTTCTCACGTTCAAAGTGAAATGGCAGAATCTGATAGAATCACAAGAGACTTCCATGTACATTTTCACTAACAAGGGTCGTTGAAAGAACTCCAAATAATGTAATCTTAGTTGTCTTTTAATTCCGCGCTCGATGAAACTGTTTCCTTTATTCAGTGTTGGAAATAAATGTGACAGGAGCGACCAGGAGGGAGAGTGAAAACTGATTTTTTTTCCTCTAAGGGCGAAAAGATTACACTTTTCCCTTTTCTAACCCTATATCTGCTTTCTCTGATCCTGTCCCTCAGAACACAGTTTAAAAACAGTCTCCATTTTGTATTAGGAGTAAAAAGTGTCACGTATCACGTGATCGACGTCTTGTGTGTTCGTGTCAGCGGGTTTCCCTTTCAAGAACTTGATGCAATCACCAGAAAATTTCTTTATCTTTCTACAAATCTTCAACAACACGAGGGCTATCTCTTAACGACTATTCACAATTTCGTTGTACAAAGAGTTATCATTGTTTAATACAAGCAAAACATACTTTCTAGTCTTACAAGTTTAGCCAACAGTTAAAATAGTCATAACTCTGATCTTCACTATCATACTGAGTAGGCATTCTTTTAATGTTTTGGCAGTATCATTTCTGGCTTATAACTCAATCCCACTAAGAAGATATCAGTTGCAATTAGGTGAGGATCTATACTGTTGAAAAGGATTGTGTGACAATCAGGTGGGGAAATAGCATGACAATTGCTGGAATGGAGAGCTTTGAAGGCCAAAGAGATACTTTATGGGAGGTTCCACCTGAACAGGTGGTAGTCCAGTTATTAACAGAACCACTGCCAACTCCTCTTTCCCGATTTGATTAAAACAGGTTTCCCTAATATTTTTCTCAGTACTTTGGGAGGAGAGAGGCAAAGAAAAAAGTATGCTCATCAGTAAAACATTATGACATGATCTTAGCCAGTACTTTCCCTTTTTAATGCTCAATCAATGTTCTCCTACATAGTACAGACCCTCAATTAGAATGATATTCAGAAAGGAGGACAGGATACCAGCATACTTTTCCTTGTGTCTCTCTTTAGCAACTGCATTCCTTGAACAGATTTACTAACATCTAAGTGACCATTTTAAAACAGAAATGGAATCAGAGCTTTTCGATTTGCAGGATAATCAGGAAATTGCTCCTTATACCATCTGTGGTTATGCCTTGATCGTGGCACTAATGTTGCACTAGAAAACAAAAACCACACAGTACCTGCCACTGACCATGTTCCCAAAGCCCAGCCAAACCATTCAAGCATTTCTCCAAAATAGTTTGGACAAGAAATCTTGTGAAACAAACATCCATTAGGTATGGAATACCCAGAACTGCTGTTTGCCCTAAGCTTGCGAAGTGATAAGTCTGCATAGCGGTTAATGATATATCCTGTGATAAACATTACAACACCAATGATAAACCGTGGGTCTTTATAGTAGTCCGAGTCATAAGAAGCAGCACCTATCCAATCAGCATTAAGAAAACTGTAGAGAAGGTTAGGGAAAAGCCCTCCTAATGGTATACCCAAAGGGGTCTTTGGACTGCTGTACTTCATGATCCATGGGTGAATAATTCCTCGGTGTACATAATGACAAAGCCATAAACAGTAAAATGTTATATTGGTGTATTCTGTGTGAGTCCCATAAAGAAAAAATACAAGTGAAAACAGAAGTACACCAGGAATGGCATCTGATATTGTGTGTGCAAGTCTTTGATGAACCATTGGCCCAAATGATTGGTTAGATTTCTGGTGTCTTCCGTAAGGTGCTGGTTTTGTAGCTTGAACTATAAAAGTGATTACCGCCAAAAGAAAACCAAATGCACAGAGACCATAGTGAACCCAAAAGTGTGTTTTGTCGTCTTCAAAGGTCGTCCATGGTAATGCATTCAGCATTGTTCATATAAAACGCTTCAAAGTAATTTATAAAAGATCGTTAGCATGCCTTCTTTATTAAAGTCATACGCTTTCCCTCAAAGTTTCTTGGTATTTTTCCTTCAATTTATAGAAAACATCTGGTAGTTAGATCCTCTAAGCTAAAAATACCTAGTACCTGTTGCAATTTCAGTTCAGTGGAATGTTTATGCAAAATTTCCGCAATCACTGTTCGATCAATTGATCCCAAAACTTCATAGCATTTTTTCGACTTACGAATAAAAGAAGACAGCAAGGCACACCTGAAAAAGCCAGGTTAGTAGAGAAAGTAAAGCTATTCACCTCACCTTTAGGTGGCTTGAAGTATTAAGTTTTACCAAAATAAGATAGTGGTTCGATTATTGCTCAAACTAACTAGTACCCAAGCCACTAGTAAACAACAACCTACCTCGGTTGGGTGACTTGGGGTTCATTATGGATTATACAGCCATCTTTGAATCCGGCATACGTTCCACAACGCCCACAAGCTCAATTGGCTGACAAAATTTTTTTCTTTCACTTTTTTTCTGTGTTCAGTCAATTTAGTCACCATAAAAAAGTACGACAATCATCGCTTTATTCTATGTAAATAAACTACTTCTTCCAATATCACCTGGACCCCTCAGCTGGATTTGGTTGAAAACAAAGACAAATGTAACCCAATTTCTTACTCTAAGCTTCCCAATGGGCCAAAAGGCACAATTTGGGGGGGGGGGGGGCTATACAGAAAGGATATAAAAAAAAGCATGAAAGAACATTGTTGATATGCTTGGCTACCTTTATAGACTAAGGTAAAAAAAAATTCTAATCAGCAGGTTCTAAGTGGGGCAGTTCTGGCTCCTTTTAAACAAACATATTAATTTCAAGTTTATGGGAGTCAAATGGTTACTATCCTCAAAACCTTTTGCTGAAAGTTTTCAAACTTATCTTTAATGAAAGCTAAACTTGTCCAAGAAAGACAGTAGCAAACCTAGATCTAGTGCCTAGGCCTTTCTCCAGAGGTTAAGTAATTTTGCAGAGTGTCAAGTCATCCCTTTATTGTAGTTACCACTAAGTCCACAAACTTATTTAATGGAGGGTGTCATCCTTCTGATGGCAAATTTCTCTTTTAGTAACATTCAGGGAAACATTGAGCAATTCTGAGATAAACTGTGTATCATATCTTAAGAATTTAAGAGAAAAAGGAGCATATGGAATTTTAATTTTTTTGCTTTTTTATTGTTTCTACTACAACTGTTACACAATAGCAATCAAATTTTTTCTGAATAATATTGACTGATACTAACATCAGTTAGGTTCAATACAAAAAGGGAATCAAAGCCTTTCGATTCTTAGGATAATCAGCAAACTTCTTTGTATACCATTCATGGTTGTCTCTGGCTCTTGGTATGAAAGTGGCACTGGAAAACAACAACCAAACTACACCAGCTACAGACCATGTTGCTAATGCCCAGCCAAACCACTCAAGCATCTCACCAAAATAATTTGGACAGGAAATCAGGTCAAACAAGAATCCATGAGGTACATAGTATTTGGAACTATCTTCAGCTCTTAGTCTACGAAGTAACAAGTCTGCATAGCGGTTAATAAAATATCCTGCGACAAAAAACATGACACCCATGACAAAACATGGGTCTTTGTAGTAATATAAACCATAGTCTGCAGTACCGATCCAATCAGCATTAAGGAAACTGTACAGAAGGTTAGGAAACAGCGCCCCCAAGGATATACCCACAGGGGTCTTTGGACTACTGTATCGCATGATCCAGGGGTGGATAATTCCACGATGTAGGTAATGAGAGAGCCACATACAGTAAAATAACAAGTTGGTGGTTTCTTTCTTAATTCCATAGTGAAAAAATACAAGTGAAAACAGAAAGATCCCTGGGATAGCATCTGATACAGTGTGTGCAAGTCTTTGATGAACCAATGGGCCAAATGAATGGTTAGTTGTCTGATGTTTTCCATAAGGAGCTGGCTTAGCAGCCTGTGTTACATAGGTAATCACTGCCAGCAGAAAACCAAACGTGCAGAGACCATAGTGTGCCCAGAAGTGGGTTGTTCCATAATCAAACGCTTTCCATGATGGATTAAGACTCAGCATTGTTTGTACTGATGACCTGTCAAGTACAAAGTCATGGAAAACTTAATCTTACGTAATATATTGTTTAGCCACATTTTAAGTATCTAAAACACCCGACACAGCAATTTTGCTGGAAAAAAGCACAGGTTAACAAGCATTCATGCAAATTGTGAGTGAGTTACCTGAAACGTTCTTCAATGCAATAGGCTTCACCCTGCCCCGGCTGTTCCCGGCTACACTGATTGAGCTCAGGAAATCTGCCTCGTATGAGCCCGTCAGCAAAGTCAGCACACAATAAGTTTTCCAACGAGCATGCGTAATTATGTGCAGCGGGAAAGACAAAAGTTTTACGTATCAAAACATTTTGCTAAAATTTTGGAGGAAATCTGTTTGCAGAGCTGCTGATCGCTCCCGATTGCCTAGTTACACATGATTAGAAGTTTACTTTAACTCCTCTGACCTCTCAGGGCCGGTATTAAGTTAAGCAAACAAGGAAATAAACGAAGAACATTAAGCCAAAATGGCGGCTGCAAAGGTGAGATCGTTTTACAACACTTTTTTCGTAATATTAAACTTAATATTTTGTTGATCTCTGCATCTTGTTAAATCGTGCCGGATTTCGAATGTCTTAGCCCTGAGAGTGTGTATAATAGCATTTTGATTCTGCGACGTCCGCGAATTAGGAACGAAATTCACTTTATGTAAAAACATGCATATTTAGATAATTTAATTGAATGTTTGAACAGTTTTGACATCGATCACTCGATCGGCGTTCGTAGTAACTGGGAATGGTATCTTCAATGCGTTCCATCAAGATAATATTTGGTTTGGGAAAAATAAGCTTCCGGTGGCCTTCCATAATGACTTTAAACCATATTTTTTTCCTCACAGGCTGCTAGAAGAAATGCTCTCCTACATAATCTACATATTCCTAATGAACCATTTCAAGATCCGCTGATAGGAAGGTAAAATTCAGATCAGAATTATATTTAATCCATTTGACCTTCAAATGTCCAGAATTGATTTAATTGTAACTTCCCATTACAATTTAATCACAACACACAGCAAACAGGTGAAAAGAATATACAAACATATCAGCTGAAAGGTTTTATCTTAACCTCTTATACTGTAGGATCATACATGTATCTATATTCTCCATATTCCAATCTAACCAGACTTTCTCACAGGCTAAAAAACACTTGTGTCACAGTGCGAATAATGAGAGCTTATTCATAAACTAGTTTCTAAGTGGGTAATTTAGCATTATTAGCTCTTCAGCCCCTGAGAGTGATAAGTATCTAATTTCAACAGTACCATCCTTGGATCAAATTTTATGGTTGTGAGAGTAAAGGAAACTATCACAAACTCAACAAGTTCTTGATTATAAGAAAATTGTCCTTCTAGGCACCATAGGAAATGTATAGAGAACAGTATAGAGAACTTGCAGACTGATGTTAGGGTGTAAAGGATTAACTGAGTTGATAACATGAATTGGCCATCATAAAGAATTTCAAAGCTGACGTTTCAAGAATTAACTCTTTGTCTATTACTCTGAGGAAGGGCTAATGCTTCAAAGTCAGCTTTCAAACTCTTTATGGTGGCCAATTCACGTTATCAACTCAGCTGATAACACTAAATTACCTTGTTATACTCTCCCATGGATGCAACACCACACTTGCTTTAGTAACTTACCTACTTTATTCCTTAGTCTCAAACTGCATATGGAAATGTCTTTGCATTGCAATTACATGTTCATGAACAGAGTACATGTATTTTCTCGTTATCTTTGATGTTATTTCTTACAGACGAACTGGTGTTCCTCTGAATATTAAAGCCAGGAAAGATTCATTTGGTTTTGAAAACATTGATGACTATTTTCTATATTCAGGTGGGGCTACATTTGTCAATGGAGAATGTTTTTGTTTACTATGTAAAGAAGCTTTCAAATAGGAAGTGATTCAACACTTTTGAGATTAATTGAGTGGTTTATGAAGGGATCACAATGAAGTTTGTGTAACGTGTTTTTAATGCAATGAATATGTCCGATGCTTGTTTAGATCCAGAAGAAGAAGAAGTAGAAGAAGCCGTCGCTCCAAATACACAAGGACTGGATAAAGATCTTTTGAAGTATGTACACATACAGGGTGGCTTAAAATTTATGTTTTGGCTAAATTTTATTGATGGTTCATACTTTGATCATCCTTAATTTGTAATTACTATTTTTAAACATCAAAGGAGAGTTATGTTAGATATAGGATTGTATGGTGAATTCTTGCAGGGAAAATGCCAATTTCCATCCAGAGGAAGATGAAGATGTGTTTGAAAAATTTGCAGATGACCATCCACTGTCAGGTTTGTTTCTCCTTTTGCACATTTTGTTTGGAAGATTTTTTAATTTTAATCAGTGAATTTCATGACCCTTGTGTGAAATGCAGATCGGGTCCCTGCCCTCCCCTCCCTAACAGATTTCAGGTCCATGTTGGTAATACAACCTGGGTAGTGTGGTAACACATTGACCTTAGCAAGTCCTTAAACATGAATCTGATGATCCATAGTAATTCCCTCTACTGTCTGTGATACAATTCTTATGATGTTAGTTCAGAGAATTTGATATTGGATCTACCAATTATAATCCCCTAATTGACATTTTTCTTTATTCTCATCACTTGTCTGCTTGATGTTGTATTGATATTATAAGGCAAAATTCTTTCTTGGTCAATCATGGGAGTTCTATGGTCAAATGTATTGTGACTGTCTCAGGTGATGATGCTCAATTGAAAAAGTCATCTCCAGAAGAGGGGGATTCAGTGGATAGACTGAAACAGAATATTGGGTCTCCTAATAACACTGGAACTGCAATTAAAAACCCGGCCTCCAGAGAACCAACTCCACGGTTAAGAGGACCAATTAGTAAGAGGTAGGTTTCTGAATGGTGAAGGGGGGGAATCAATAAACTTAATTCAATAATGACATTTTCATTTGAAAGATCTCAACCTCTATGAGCGGCGGCAAATTTTCCTTTTGATTTAATAATTGAATTTGGCAAATAAGCTTCGTGTGTGCATTTTGTCACTTTTTGTAGGTTGTCATTCATAACTGGGCAATCACCAATTGAATTAAAAGACGATCAAGTACATGCTGGGTAATTCTCATCTAATTGTTTTTTTATTTTTATTGTTAGTTATTTTACTTTAGAAACACAACACATCACAAAGTTAAGGGCTTGCTGTGTTTCTACCCTGACCTGACAAGAAACAATTATTTGTGTCAAGAAAGGAGGTCTTCATGGTTTGGAAGAAAATTCAGATTAATGTACTTGTTTGATAATGGTGATGTACATTATATCACTTGGAAGTACTTTATTGCAAGTGCCTACTTGAAAATATCCAATCAGGTGTCAGAAAAAGTGAAAAAACTTAACTGAAACAGCAACAGTAATTATATATTTTATTTTTTTGGTTTGCTTGTGTGTCTTGAACTCAATTTTGATGAGTCAGTATGTACCAGACCTGTGCGAATCTCTTCAAGGTGATCATGGTTTTGCAAGTTTCACAGTACTTAAGGCAATTTGTGTTTTTCTTATTGTATCATTTCTTAGAGATTCATCGGATGACAAATGTGCAAAGACTAGTGGTGAGGAGGTTGGAGATAGTGACACTGAAATTGACGTTGTTAACGAGGATCCACAAATGGTAACAGAGGAAGCTGTCAATGAAACTTCTTACAAAAAAAAACCTAAATCATTGAAAAAGACCCCTGCAGTAAAAAAAAAGCACAGCATTGTGGCAGATGAAAGTGAAGATGAGGACATCATTGATGTAACAGGAACTGAAGAAGATACTTTTCTAACCATTGGGAATATATCTCGTGCAGCGAAGATCAACACAGCTGTCCATAAATCGCCGCTGCCTGCCCAGGCTGACAGTTTTGTCATGAGTGAGAGTTTTGTGTTGGAAGGAACAAAACACAAGTCTATGTCTCCAGAGTTTGGTTCTAGTTCAGACTGCCAGGACGAGCCAGCAACTAAAGGATATAAATCTCGAATACCTGTGTTAACAAAGGGATATCCAAGAAATAAGGCAGCACTAAAAAGGCCAGTCAAAGGAAAAAAGGCAAATGTGACGAGAGATCCAGAGAGTGTCATGGTTTCAGTGGTGGGACAAGGTGATGACGAGGAGGAAAGAACAGGCTTGACAGTTACTGAGAAAGAACAAGCGAGGCCACTGCAGGGGAAACGTACAAGAGGAGGGAAGACAAAGAATGTGGAAGAGCCCCATGAACTAAAGACAATAAAGGGAAGGGGAAGAAAAAATGTACCAAATATCACGCATCAGACAAGCAGGGTAACCAGGGGAAGCAAGCAGAAAAATGAAAATGGCAACGAAGACGATGAAGAAGTTGATAATCAAAAGGATGATGGTGGTTTTAAAAAGGCAGCAGTTCGAAAGGGAAAACCAACGAAGGAGAACAAGGGTAAAAAGAAGAAGGAGCAAATAGAAATTGTGGGAAAAGGAACCGAGCAACAAGATGGAGTGGATACAACACAACCCTGGGGAAGGAATATCAGAGGGCAGAGGAAAAGGGGGCAAGATGGCAAAGTTCATGAACAGAATGGAAAGGCAGAAGCACTGCAAGTGACAGTTGATGATGAGGACGATGAAAATTGTGAACGTGGAAACATGGATTTAGTGCGAACAGGGTTGGAGACCGAAGGAACTGGAAGAGACGAGGAATCGTCAGTGGTCCAAAGAAAGGAGATGACTAAGAAAAGTGGTACCGATCTGACTCAGGGTTTTGGAAATACTGGAGCAAGGAAGTCCAAAGGCATTGCTAGAGTTCAAAATTTGGAAGAAAGGGAGGAGGATGACGATATGTCTAAAAAAAAGAGAGGGAAACGAGGAAAAGGAAGAAGAAAAAATGAAGAAACTACTGCCAAAGAGGACAGTCGAGTCGTTGACATTGCAGCAGAGTTGGACGAAGCGCAAGATGATGACTTTGAGGAAAATACCAATGAGTTTGAGAAAACAAATGATGTTTCCGTGAGGAGGATGTCCAATGTGTCCAGTAATGTTTCTTCAAGCTCCGAGTCTTCAAAGAAGACGAGCAACGGTGTCGCGAGCAAGCGAAGGAAGGTGTCACGGGTATTACCACCATATGCAAGGAAACGAAGAGCAGGTAAAGCAAACAACTCGAAAGACTCCTCCAAGACGAGCAGTTACGACTCTACTGAACTAAGCGTGGACGCCAAAAAACAAAGATTGCAGGACGAAGCGAATGAAACGAGCACTGCAAAGGATTCCCCGAGAAAGGACACCAAAACAAATGCTGGTAAAACTAGTAGAAATAAACGAGATACGAGGAAATCCGGAGCAAAGAAGAACTCTTTAACAACAGACAACTTTAATGAAAGAGCTGATGTAAATGATTTATCGCAAGGAGTAGAAGACGACAACGGTTTGTTGGACGCTCCAGCTGAACCAGTAACAGCGTTGAAGTCAATTCTTAAATCTGGAGGCAGTGTGCGACGATCAACTAAAGGTAATTATACTATTATGTGGAACACTGTAGACTGTATCTTACATCATAGTTAGTGACTGAGTGAGTATGAACAAGCAACGTTGATTTTTCTAAACGTTGCTAGTCTTTTTAAAAGTACGGTCAACAGCAGCCTAAATTTTTCTTCCGCGATATTTACAAACACGGAGTCACTCTGTATTGTAAAATTTCTCCCGGTTTGTTCGTTTGTTTGTATGTCTATTACAGGTGCCAGGAAGCGTCAGATGACAATAGGGAAGTCACACTCGGGCGGTAGTGACGCCGATGACGAGAGCCTACAACCTGCCAAGCAGCCAAACAGAAAAAGTCTTTCTTCCGTCAGTTTTGCTTCAACCCCATTCGTTCGTGGATCACCGTCTGTGCCAGCAAACGTTTCCCCGATTAGTCTATCGTTTGCGTCTAAGAACAGCTCTTACAAATCCGCAGATGGGACATTTACCCCCGGAAGTGCTCGAACTGTCAGATCATCTGTGGGTTCTGCCAGTGGCTCCAGTGTTGGTGATAACTCTAAAGTTGATCCTGAAGAGGAGGTCACCATCACAAATGATACCATGCAACCAGAAGGTGAGTTAGGTCGAATTTTCTCATCGGGGCTGGTGCGTAACGAGCTGCACCCTCGGTGGAGAGATGTGTGTTCGAGCCCTGTCCCAGTCAGTTTGATATGTTCTCTCAGAGTGCTTCTCTCTTCCCAAGAGTGTAAAAGGAGACAGGCAAACTGCCACAGAACTTGATGAATTCTGTCCAGGTGGAATAACAATACTCCCAGTCGCTTCATGTTACGAAAAAAGGAAAAGCTCCAAACTGGCTAAGATAAATTTTATTTACGTATTGTTTTCGCAGTTTCTCCTAATGAACAGCATACTAGGAGAAGCAAACGCACCATCGTGCCGCCTCTTCAATACTGGAAAAACGAGCGAATAGATTATGAGCGACGAAAATCAGGTACCGTTAACTTAATTGAGAATCTTTTTTTAAATAAATTTTAGCTCCAGGTGTGTTGATAAAACTACATTAGCTCCTGTAGAGTGACGGACAGCAACCGCCGTCGAATCAAGTTCAGAGCCATCACAACCCGACCAATCACAAGATACTTTGGTTCAAATGAGCCTTATGATTGGTTGACTTGTTGTAACCTCATTTCTTTCCATTCCAACCAATCACAGGCCTGGGAAAAGGAAGGAAAGCCCTCATCCATAGTAACAAAAAGAAGCTAGTCGGGGTAACTGATGATGATTTGTTTTTCTTTGTTAGGTGGCTGGTGCATAAAGGGCATTATAAAAAATCCAACTCCAACACCAAAGTACAGGAAGAAGCGGAAACAAACAGTGAAACTTTCTGTTCAAAAACAAACCAACGGTGAATTTGTTGATTGTGTTATTTACCAGGAAAGAGTTCCTCCCTTCTAATATGTTTGCTGCCGTATATACGCACTCGATCTCTCCAGTGCTCTCCCCCGCTTGTTTCTCTCTTGTTTTGTTCCTGCCCCCCCCTCGCCTTTCTTCCTTGTCCCCATTACTCTTCCCATTTCTTGCTCTGTTCTTACCACCCTCAGGTCTCCCTTGTCACTCCTCCCCCCTACTCATACTTTTCCCTCCGCTCTCTCTTTTCCTTCGCCCCTCTCTCCCCCCATCCTTTTTCCTTTCATTCTCAAATAGCTTTTCCAAACATGTAACATCTTACTCACAGCTCTGCTCTTTATGTGTTAACAGTCTCTCTCGGTCTCCAATTTGGGTGGTGATTCTTATTCTCTGCGGTACAATGTCATCATTTTCGACAAACAAGGCTTTCCACTTTCCGTGAACCGATTTTTAGAAATGATGTATTTAGAACGTATAGTATGTTACATTACGGTATAACAGTCAAACAACGGTAAAGGAGTTTTTGATTTCACTTTGCAGCAAACTCTCTTGATTCTTCTGAGGAAGAACCGGACAATGTGAGTTCTACTTAAATGACCCTCTGTTATTTACTATAAATGCAGCTTGCTGACGGGTTCAGTGACTCAAATTTCCTTACAGTGTCTTACCAATTATTACCTCATATTGTGCGAAGCAGTTAAAGGACTGAAGGAGTTTTATATAAAACTTATTTTATTTATTTACACCAGGATTTGGAAGGATTCCAAGAGATCACAAACCCAAAAGGCACAGTGTTAAACTCAGATAACCACGAAGAAGTCTCTATGGGTACGTGTTTTATATTTCACTGCAAACTAATAAAGTAAAGCGTTGGACCGAGGTCAAGCACAAATCTTGGAGCTGGTGTTAAGTGTGCGGAATAGGACTGTTACTGGCGACACTGAATGAACTTATCAAAACATGAGCTACGGTTCACTTGACTCTGATGATAAGCTTTGCTCACGCCCGCCGATAACCTACATTTGCTTTTTTTCAGACATTTTCCATACCCCCGGTATGTTAAACTTCACGAATCCCACGGGAAAACCCGCACAGGAGAACGACCCTCTTGTTGTTCACAAATATATCTCACAGCCTCTGTTTGGAGGCGGTCAAGTGATATTGAGACCTGGAGCCGAAAAGGGAAAGCAGTTTGTACGACAAGATACAATGGTAAGCGTCATTTCCTTGTTATGTGAACAAACATGGTATCACAGTTATAGTCTAGGAGCAGGCCGTTGTTACTTTCGCAGTAGAACGTCCGTTTCTCTGCTTGCGGAAAGAATTATTGACGCGAGTCAGGGAGAGGTTTGCTGGGGGGGTCTGGCACTCTGAATAAAACTCATCTGGTGTGATTGTATATGAAAGAAAAGACTGACTGATAGGCTGAGGTGAACAAAAGAGCGGACGAGAGAACGAACGAAACAGAAGGAAAGATTGGGGTAATTTAGTATCATCAACTGAGTCGATAAACGTAAATTTGAAAAGAGTTTAAAAGCAGACGTTTTCAGAATTAGCCCTTCGTCAGAGCGGTTGACGAAGGGCTAATGCGACTGACTAAGGGCTGATACTCGAAACGTCAGCTTTTAAACTCTTTACGGTGGCCAGTTTTAAGTTTTATCATTGTTTTGCTATCACTTTTTTTTTTAAACTGTTGTAAGTATTCGTGAAACATTTAACTAACGCCTATGAACAATTTTTGGAAGGTTTTTTACATTATCAAGGGAAGAGTCAAGGTGACAGTTCACAAGTCTTCGGCAATACTTCACACAGGCTCAACATTCTATGTTCCTCAAGGTAAATATCTCTTTCATTTCTTCTCCTCTTAGGATTAAGATTCTGGTTAGACGAAATTTGTTCAAAAGATTGCTTACCGAATATATGCACTTTACAGTCGTCGCGGCCGTAGTAATTTCGTTGTAAAAAGTATACTACTGTACAACGAAGTTGACTTTAACACCTCTCTTTGTTTGTACCTGTGAAGGTTTTTTTGCACAACTTATTTCATGACTAAGAGACAAAGAACATAACAAGTTTCATGCGATATTAGAGAGATGAGTGTGAGAGCAGCTTCAAATTGTTCCTCTTCTCGAGCTTGTAGAAAATCGGTCCTTTCACCTCATTTACGCGTTAGTCAGTAAATCCACGTAGACTAGAGCTAAATAGAGTGCATGTCGATTGAGTGTCGTAAAATAAGTAAATACAGCTGTCAATCAAAGGAAAGCATTGCAGTAAGCCAATGGGAACCCAAAGTTAAAACAAGCTAACTGCCCCACGCGCGGAAAAACACGGGTGAGTATGTCGTGATTGGGTTTAGTGTTACACGTAATTGATTGAGAGGTCAGTACGTTCAGACCAATCATAGAGCGGTTACGAATGACTGCCAATACTCATTTGAAAATTTCTCTATCGCGTATTTAGCTGGAGATGTTTTTATTTATCTTTAACTGTTTCTTTTTCAGGAAATTCCTACAACATTGAGAACTTGAAGAAAACAAATGCTTACTTGCAGTTTGTGCAAATCAAGGGATAGTCAATGTTTACTTCTTGTGGGAGAAGGCAAAGCTGTTAAAAAAAAACTGTTTTTTGTTCTTTACCAGGAATCGTGTATATCGTAGATATCAGAGCCCGATTGCAAATTCAGCGTCTAGTAAATCATTTTGTAGTGAAATAGAGAAATGATTTTGTCTCTAAGAGGTTATCTACCTATTCTTGCAGCATGAAGAGATTTGATAGTCACCTTGCTGTAGGAAGGTTCCATTTCTATGGAATTTACTAAGCTTTAGCTTTAAGACGGCTTTTTGAGTTTTTATGGACGTCAGCTTCATCACGTTCTACATAAAAACAGAAAAAAAGTCTATTGAGAACTAAACCGCCTTGAAATCACATTAGGCCAGATTTTTCTGACGTGCAAGAGTGTATGGCTGTTTATTGTAGGAGGAAATTTTATTCCATTTTTTTTTTTTAATCCTAGTTCAATCCTGTGAAGTTTTTGAGCGTAAAGGCTGTCAATTTACCATTGATTTCACCGCTTGTCGTATTTGATTGGAACGAATCGGCTGCTTATCTTTGAAAAATATCTCTGTATATTTAATGTCGATTGTTTAGTCAGATCAATGAAAAACTGCAATTTTACTTTTACGCGCATTTGAGTTTTGGAGAATGTTGATGAAGCCCTGAAAGGCGAAACAATGTATCGCGTATTTACAGACTTAAGGCAAGCAGTGCGTGCAAAATGTATGAATTAAACGTTAGGCTTGTCCTTTGTGCGTCTCACTGTTTTCCTCTTCCTTCGTCAAGGCTTTATTAGCAGGGCTTAGGGAATAATGAGGGGGTAACTCAAGGAAAAAAAATTTGAAAAAGACGGGAATTTCAAAACTTTACGATTTTATAGGATTCCATCTCATTTTGGACGATTTGATCCGATTTTGAACAGCTCTGTTGGAATATGGACAGCTTTGTTCTATGTTGGACACTTATGTCCGATTCCTAACATTTACGTCCGATTTCGAATAGTCTCGTCTGATTTCGGACGTTTCATGGCCTGGTACATGACACCACTTACTGAAAAATTCCTCTAACCCAGTCTCTACGCCTCTCAATTTTGTTTTGGTTTGTCGCCTAGCAGAAATTCTGAAACGCGGGATTTCTGTTGGGTTAGGGTTCTTAGACATTAAGTTTTTTTATCTCCCGTTGCACAATGGCACAAGAGCGCACAATACCAGGATGTCCTTGGGCATTTGCCGACGACATGAGAGGAATCATTGATAAAAAGGAATTCAGGTTTGAGAGGCGAACTTGTTTTCGTTCGAATCATCAACTGTCACGCTACTAAATTCTAATCAGTTGTCAAACAACACGAACCTCTAAATCTTCTCCTTATTAGAGTTTTCGTTGTGGGAACCAAAAGAGTTGAAAGGAAAAAAATAGGACAAAATTTCCGCACAGCCCCATACTTCATTAGGCATCCATATACGAGGCTTTATTATTCAGTGTATCACCAACAAGAGGTGCATGCATAACGAGGTATGGGGCTGTGCGGAAATTTTTCCGTTGCAGTATTTGCGCTCAGTACTAGTGTACCATCTTTTCTTACCTCCACCATCCTGTACCTTTTAGTGTGTTTTAAGAATGTTCGTTTTTTCCTGTAATTGTTTTAATACGATCAGTCTCATAAAAGGAAAACTTAACACAGTTTTTAAGAATGACAAGGAGTGTTGTGAACCTTATGTAGATTTCCTATCCGAATTGATAACCTTGAAACAAGTTTCAATTTGCTTGACTACTTTTGCAGTGATGTGAAGTTTATTGTGGGGTCAAACAGAAAAGTGATCCGTGCAAACAAGTCAATTTTGATGGCAAGGTAATACTGTTCCATAGGTTATCCCTTAGTAGTCTTAATGTTTTAAAATAATCAATATTCTGTTTAGTTCCTAATGAATAAAGGGGGTAAGTTTGTAAAGAAACTGTGGTGCTGCATCTGTGGAGGGCATTACAAGAAAGTTTGGTTTAAAAACTGAGTTGATAATGTAAAATGGCCCCATAAAGTGTTTCCAAGGCTGATGTTTTGAATGTTACCCCTTGGTCTCAGGAAAATGTTCATCAATCTGCAATCAAAGAACTAACACTTGAAATGTTAGCTTTAGAAATATTAGGTACTTAAGCCAAGCATTATCCGAAAAAAAATTATACTTGGAACTTGATATGGGAATTGAACTTTTATCAGCGAGAGATAAGTGTGTGGTTGATCAATAGTCAATTTGGAACCCCTTACACTGAGTACCATTTTTCACATGGACAAGTATTGATCAATTGTTTGTTTTTTTGTATAAATGCATTTATTATGATTGTAGGTGTGAAGTTTTTAGAGCAATGCTATCAGATCAAAAAGACAATGTACGACCAAAAGCTGACCAGCAGGATGTACCCCTTGTACTGGCAGATGTTACTCCAGAAATCTTTATGTCATTGTTGGAATTTCTCTACACAAATACATGCACTCTGAATAACAGAAATGTGAGTTGAAATATCTTGCTACACATGTTACTGACACATCTCTATTGAAATTGAAGCAAGTGGATGATGAATACAATAGATGTGTTTAACTGATCAGCTGACTGATAAGTTTACTTATTGATCAAATACCTTACATGATATTCATTAACTGATAGACTGCTGTTTGCTTGATCATTGTTCTTTGCATGTTTGATCTATCAACTAGTTAATGGTACTTAATCATTTTTTTTTGTTTGTTTGTTGATTGGTTTTTTCAGGTGATGGAAGTTATGGGTTCAGCCATGGAGTACAATTTAGAACAACTCCAAAAGGTTTGTACATTATATTCTGATACTCATGCTGTGATGTGGTGTTTGGTACAAATTTTAGATGTAATTTTTCACCTGTTTCCAAAACTTCAATTAATCTTTGAGGTGCACAATTTTATGCCTAAGGGTGTGGAACAGCAGACTACATTCTGTGAAAGTGAAGAGAGTGAACTTGAGTGTGCCATATTTATTTGCAAATTATAAATTAATTTAATCAATATTGATCTTTGCTTTGTCAACTCGTAGATCTGTGAGCAGTTCATTGGTGAAACTCTTGCCATAGATACAGCATCAGAAGCAATGCAGGTTTGTTCTAGGTTTAATGGTTTTTGATTGGAATTAGTTATAATCACCTACAAATGAGTAAAGACGATCTTAAACCTTTTTCACAAATGTGGGACACAAATGTGGGACACAGATGAAGATCCCAATCCCCTGTAAGGATTTCAACCAAATCCAGTATTTCTATGCACCATTTTTTGTGTAAAAAAAAAAATTGGGGACAATTTATGATTTGAATGACAGATGAAGGAAAACCTGTATCTTCCATGAAAATTTCAAGGTTTTATGGTCAACTATCTACTGTGTCATGGTTATAGTTGACCAAATATTTATTTAGATTGCAGTCACCTATGGACAGGAGGAGTTAAGAGAGCGATGCTTAGATTTTATTGAAGAAAACACAGAGAATGTATTCAGAACAAAAGGATTCCATGAGCTGTCAGAGGAGGCATTGGCACTACTTCTACAAAGTGATAAACTGATGATGGATGAACTGGAAATTCTTTCAGCTGTGAGGGAATGGGCCACAGTGAACTCTGTAAGATATTTATCAATAGCTTATTGTCTGTGAATTTTATTGCTATGTCTGGGGTTAACCTTAAAGTGGTGTGAATGTGCACTTTATGTGACTAGGTTCAATTTGAAGCTTCAATATCCCCTCCCACGCACCCCCAGTCATTTGAATTTTGGAAGATTGGTTCATTCAAATTCCTGCCGCCCTTCCACCAGACCAAAATTGCCACCAAATGCCCCTACAAATGTTGTAGAATTTAGCATAGTCACTTATTAACTTATGTGCTGCTGTTGGGGTTTTTGTTAGTAAGCATCATTTTAAGGTTGAAAACTGTTTAACTGAGCCATTCACTCGTAAAACCAGACTCTTTATGTTTAAACTTCTTCATCATAACATATGTATTTTGCTGGAAAGACTTGACACTTCTGGTTCAATGCTCCACAAATGATGGTCAATTGCCAAGCAGGGGGAGATGTTGAAGCTTTGAATTGATTTGTGTATTATTCTGTTGTAATCTTGAGAAAGATTCTTTTACTCTTTACATTCACAGTGCCTCTCTCTCTCTGGGGGGGGGGGGGTGGGGCAGAGGGGTTGATGGGTATAAATAGAAACAGTCAGAGAAACCTGTCACAATCCTCTGAAGTTGGGGAGGAGGATGGTGATTTGGAAACTGTGATTAGCCTCCCATTGAGTGGAGCATTAGAAGTAGTATTCCTTTATCAGGGAGTAGTATTCCTTGGTGCTTAACCCTTCAGCCAACAAAAGTGACTGACTTCTAATTTCTCCATACATTATCACTCTTAAGTCAAATGTAAAGGTTATGAGAATAAAGAGAATGATCACCAAATTAAGAAGCTCCTTATATTGTCAAACAGCTGAAGAAGCTGTCTAATTATTGAATTTTCCTCTATACTATGTTACAGTGTTACTATGTTAAGCTTTGACAGAAGGGGCCATTATTCTATAGTGCAGAATTACTTTGTTACTGCTTACCATACTTTGAACAGGCCAGCTGGTCTGGGAGGCTTCATATTTAGTGTTAATGTCTGGGAAACTAAGATAAATATTTCTGGAATGTCTTTCCTTTTATTTCAAGGTGGTTCTTAGTAAGTCAGTTTCTGAAATAGCACAGAATGTAATCCAATATGTAAGGCTTGCCTTACTCACACCTGAAGAACTTAAACAGGTTGAACTAGACAACGAGAAGGATAGAATGATTCCGGTAAGTCTTGGTGAAAACATCCCTGTACTGAGCCAGTAAACCAGTGTACCTAATTGTTATTATGTGGTTCTGCACCAACTCAGTTGAACAGACCTCTCTGCCACCTCTTATTTGAAAAATATGTATTCAGCAGGGAGTTCTTCATTCAGAATGAAGAGAAAAGAAGTTCGAAATTATTGAGCCTTTTCCACGTCAATAGATTCTTGCGTATTCATTTTATAACGCGTAAAGCGTAGGCAAATGTTTTCATTTGCCTGTTAGTCCGTTTGCAGTACGTATAAAGTTCCTTCTTTTTTGCGTACGTATTCGGTCTGTACGTGCGTATGTGCGTGTGAACGCTAGATGATACGTATTTAATTTCCATAAACGCTTTCATGCGCGCAGCACACGCGGTTTCGTTATTAGAGTGCACTTGTTAGGCCGTGCGATCGTGCACGCAAGCATGCTTGCGAACGTGTGACTTTTCACGTTTTAATCAAGTTTTGCGTTTATTTCAGATCAAACAAATATCTGAAGCGTGGAAATATCACGCTCTGAGAAAATCACCCAAACACAGCGCTACTGTACCCAGACCACGACCGCGCCGAGGAACAAAACCACGGGAAATGTACACTGAGGCTCATTAACTTTAACAGCCGCGTAATACTGGGATTTGATGACTGGTAGTAATGCCCTGAATACAAGAACCATTGCAACTGAATTCATAAAATACAAGTATAAGTTTGCATTATATCTGCCAACCATTTTCTGAGTTATTATACTTTTTTGTGTTATTAAGAATATTTTTTTTCCTTCTACATTAAGGGGATACAAATTTTTGCGAGAAAAAAAAAACTTTATGAAGGTTTAGGAGTTGTATTTTTATACCATATCGCTTTTGTAGTCATTTTTCGTGTGCAAACTTTGCAAACAAAGTTTACTCTATAAATAATCTCTCTCGATGTCGGTATGTTTTCGCCTCATGAGCCAATATAATCATTACAATATCCATTCTGATATGATCCCCAAAAGGCAGCTCTTCAGCTGCTATGAAGTTCTACTCTGAGTTGCCAATATGTCACTGAAACTGATGTTGGTATTATAATTCGTTTTACGAAGAGAGAACTTAATTTTTTCCCATAAGAATTTCTCATGCAAATTTAGTTGTTTTCGTGGTGCCCCTGATTTTCATGCGGGATTAGATGAAAGAATCCACTTCATGCGCTTAATTCTTTCTTACTGTAGAGCTGGGTCTTTATATCGGAGCCGTTTTTGAAGCAACAAACAACTTGAAAAGTAATTTAATATACATTTTCCTGTTGCTATGATAACAATTTTATTTTTGTCGTTTATCAAGCTAAATTTAGATCGATGTTCTTGTCTGTGCTTGTCTGTCTTATGGTTTATTTCAATCCTATCAATTACCGACTAATGATTACCAAATGGAAAATTATTATCATTATCAGCTGAAACTTAAAATAGCTCTCCCTAAGAATTTAATTACTGAGTATTTCTCAAGAGCAATACAAAAGATACGATTTTTTTTTACATCGGGCTGCTAAAAGATCTGACGTTTGAAATTTAATAATTTATTTTCACAGACGTTTTTTTTTTCGTTTTGTTATTTAAGCACAAACAATTAAAGTGCCCTAATGGTTATGCGTGCTGTTGGTGCCACAAACGTTTTTAAAGCCATTGTGTACACAGGTCAGCAGTGATATTGCTGTAGAATATTTGTTTATAGTCGGACTGCTGGGAAACTAGACATTTCAGCTAATATTTTAAGCTGTTATTTTCTATTAACGTACTTCCAGACACAGGAAATAGAAAACGTAATGAAAACATCCTAAATACGTCCACTTATTGGATTAAAAATAATGTTATTAAATTCGCTCAAGTCTGTGCTGCTAAAAATCTTTGCGACGTAATGCAAATTTTTCGTAATTATGCGACTACAATACATACGCATGATTGGGCTGTTTTCAGTGGTCAAATACATATTGAAGGTGTGAAAACTTAATCCCGACGGAGTTGCTTAAGTGGAAAAAGCTATCGCATAGAAATACAGTCCTTGGGAAGTGTGGAAGCCAATACAAAGTACTGAAGAAGCCATTAAATGCCTAGGTGACGCACAAGGGTTTCTTCGTCATTGTAAAAGCAGGCTTTATTATTTGTTATTTGATCGATATGACCTTAAGGTGAAGTGTGCTATTGCTTCGTTTATTGTGCTGGATCCATGATGTGGGAGGCACGGACATTTACGCCACAACAGGTAAATTTATGGAGTAATAACGTGTCACCGATGTCAAACGACTTGAGCGAGATCGAATTCAGCTTTGATGAGTTCTCTGCTGGATCAACACCTAAAGCCTCAGATCCTGGTTCAAGCAACATGGCGCAAACTGCACTAAGAAATGTTACACAGAAAACATTGACTGCTGACATCATTGCAAAAATACAAGCCATAGACAATGAAAGTGACCTCTCAACGGATCAACAAGAATTAGAGAACACAAAGATTTTGCATCATGGGTTAGACACCGCTAGCGGACATGAAACTACCGATTTAAAGCGCCCCGCATCGGATGAAATGAACGGTGAAAATCACGTTGAAAATTCAGGCAGATGCATGGTTCGCGATGTAGTAATTATTAAGAATTCTACGTCGCCTTTGGGCTTCTTCATTCGACAAGGTGATGGTTCTTTTAGGAAGAATGGAATATTTGTATCACGCGTTGCACAGCGAAGTTTTGTTTATGTGAATGGGTTACTGGAGGTTGGCGATGAAATTATTTCAGTGAATGAAGTTGATATTGAAGGCTTTAGTTTAGACGATGTTGTACGAATGATTCAAATACCGCGCAAGCTGATTTTGACCATCAGAACAAGAGATTTGTTGACTGATCAAAATTCATATTCTGAAGAAATCAACGAATCCATAGCTACGAGCGAAAACTTTCACAACACAATGTCGAAAGGTTTTAAAATCAAAACTAAAGATTCCCGCTCAGAACCCAGCAACGACGGTAAACAAACTATTCAAACAGAAACAGCTAATGTTGAAATAGACAAAAATGCAAACCATAAGAAGAAAATTTCCAAGCTGCCATTTGGCGGAGATTCGTCGAATATTGAAGAACTTATTAAGGCAATTCGAGCACAAAATAATCGCTTAAAGTCTGCGAAGAAAAATTCTGAGCATCAAGAAGACGAAAGCAGACAATTTGCCGAAGATCACCGCAACCCGGTCGGTTCTCTTTTGAAACAAAGACACATAAATAGACCCGAAGCTCCGACGAGAAAACCGTCAGCTGATGCAATAATTTTATCAACAAGAACACCCCCACCGCTTGCAAGCCGCAAGTCAAGTACTTTAACGCCCGTTACATCTGTTAATTTGATTTTCGATGATCTCGACGATTTCGCAGTTCCTACCCTTGCTGCTAATAGCAGCATGTCCAACGAAGACTCTTTGAAGGTTTACACTTCGGAGCAGGTTCCCCGAAGCCCTACGGGTTCTCCCGAAGGGAGCCCGAAGGCAAGGCGAAGACTTCCGTCGGTGCCATCCGAAGTCGGACGGACAAGTCGATGTGATAGTGATAGTCGAAGTGAGAGCAGTTCTCCCACGTTAACGAAACCACTACTGAGTCTCCCTTCAGAGCCACGAAACCGTAGAATGCTACCAACTCCACCACCTTCTCCTGTTGCTTCACATAAAGATGCTTCAAATAGTCGGAATTCAAGTTCTTCTAACTTTGAGAGCCCTGAGGATGGAAAATCAGACAGAAATAGTTGGAGTGGATCCACGGATGGCGAAACCGCGGAGGAAAAATCTCCAACGCCATCTACGACTTCTACGCCATCTCCTTCACGTAAAGACTCCGTTTTGTCACTAAGCCAAATTTTTAGTGCGTTCGCCTTCAAAACACATTCAAACGGAGCTGAGACAGGGGAGAAAAACAAAGATGGCGCGAGACAAGAGGCTTATAAAACGCCAACTTCCCCACGCAGGCCAGCGCGAAAAAGTGAATCGCAGTGCCAGGATATTGTGGAACAGCAAAGGCACTCCATGCTTTTAAATTCCTTCGTTTCTAGTGGATTGCAAGTTCCTACCGGAACCAGACGGCTAGCGAGTCGATCATCACACCCGAATCTGAAACTTTTAAATCCTGTCCCAGAAGAAGGCGCGAAGTCCAAGCTTTCTATCGGATCAACTTCGACATCAGGTCACTTTAAGCTGTCTCCCTTTACCAGAAGGCGCGCCAGCCTTCAGTCTATGACTGATAAGAGTTTAACCAATCAGCTTGCCTCGCAAGATTTGACCGACAGCGACCAACTAAGGAGCGAGGTAGATGTCGGTTTTATGATATTCCCGGATGATTATAGTGGACATAATTTATTGTCGTCCCATGCGGTCTCTGGTATGGTCTCCTTACATCTAATCAAAGTCACCAACCTCCCTTTTGCAGATAAGAAACTACTGGAGAAGAAAAAGAAGGTATATTGTGCAGTCGAAGTTGATTTTGAGCGTAAAGCTTTCACGAGTTCTAAAAGAGCTTCGAAAAGCATAACATGGGATGAAGTCTTTGATGTAGAAGTTCAGCATGGTCGTGAAATCTGTCTGTCTTGTTTCACACCGGGTCGCGAATTTGACAAACCAGTGGCTAAAGTTTCCTTCAACCTGTCACCTTTTGTCCGATGCGGCCAGCAGCACAACACCGTGTTTCGTTTACATCCACAAGGCGCGATTCACCTCAAAATGGAATTCACAGAGATGAAGGCGTTGCTAAAACGAGCTCCTTCCGACAGAAGTTCGGGCGTGTTCGGCTTTCAACTCAACGTGACTTCGCGCAACGAGAGGGCAAGCGTTCCGTTAATCGTTCGCAAGTGTGTCGAAGAGATCGAGAAGCGCGGACTGACAAACGTCGGTCTCTATCGGATTTCCGGAAACGCTCGACGGAAGAAGCAATTACACGCGCAATTTGACGAAGACAGCACGAAAGTCGACCTGTCAGAAGAGAATTATCCTGATATCAATGTCATCGCCGGCATTCTGAAAGATTATCTTCGAGAACTTCCCGAGCCACTCATCACTGAATCTTTGTCCAAAATGCTGATTAAAGCTGCTAAAGAACATGTTCAAGATCAAGATTTAGCTGCACAGAAGCGTGTTCTTTCCAAGCTGCTTGTCCAGTTGCCACAACACAACAGAGAAACATTAGTGTATTTGTTGAATCATTTCTTGCACGTTATTGCTGAGAAGGAAACGAACAAAATGGACGCGCACAATCTATCAGTATGTTTCGGCCCCGTACTGTTATGTCCCCCAGCGAACCTTACAGAAAGTAAGGACTTGTTAGATCTCAAACTCCATAACAGAATTGTAGAATTCCTTTTGTTTCTTTGGAACAACACTGGTGGGATATCTGAATAGATTTTATTTTAGCCGGACCGTTGTTCCATTTTTTATATTTGTCGTTCTGCCCAAAGCAAGATACTCGCTCACAGAACACAATAATAAAAATGGCAGCTCTATCATTATATTGATCAAACAGTTTTATTAAACCTTCTCCAAGTCAGTTCGTTCAGTCTAGTCTAGAGTACAACTACGCCCCTCATTCGCTGTGAATTAGCGGTCAATTTCTGTAATTCCCCCCTACTCTTTACACTCCGTTGGCGACAAATGATCCTCGTCCAAAAAAACCATGTTATCCCCCTCAAAATCCTCCGAACGACCTCTCCCCCAACCGATAGGTGATAACTGGTACCTTGGCTTAAAGGAGATGCAGGAGGTTTTGACTTATTAACCATGAACAATTCAGGCTGAATTTTCCGAGTTTTTTTGTTTGAAATAGGAGTAAATCTTCATCCTAAACCATTGATTTTCATTTTTTCTTTTATTACTCCTATTTAATTTTTTTTCTGTCTTTTGAAAGAAATGTTCCCATGTTTTTCGTCACGGCCACAGGTATTCAGTCTGCTCGTCACCAGACTACTCTGCATCCTTGTTCGGTCTCAAGAGATGCGTGAAAGAGCATTTGGGGGAATCATGGCGGGGTTCTTGGACGAGTCTAAGGAATGTGAACGACTTACCGAAAATCTCCAACCTTCCCCCCTGTCATCAACTATTTATAACTTTGCCATGCTCAGTGTGTCGAGGTTAATTTCTTTCCTTTTTCATTACACGTCGGTATGTCAAAGCTCTCTGATGTTAATTACGTCCCCTCTTTGAAGACTTGAACGTCAACCAATGAACGTTATATTTTCCAATTAGACTCCAAAAAAAGGTTTCTCAATTATTATGATCAAGTCTTGCTGAATAATTTGTTCTTGGTATTCGAGGATAGTTTCAATCAACATCGCTTGTCCTTTAACAATTTCAGCAAAATAATATTTAGTCGGTTTAAGTTATATGTTTCATCCAGGTGAGTGCGAAAATCGTTTCCTTATCCTAATTCGTTTATTTGTTTATTCATACATTTGTAATTATTTTCTTTCTGATGCAAAATTTAGAGAATTTTCTTTGAGCTTGTGCAGTCAACAGCTGGTTGTAGTATGATTTTTCTTTCTGTGAGAGGACGATAAACGCATTGGTTAATTGTATTGAATAACGGGGGCAAGTTTCAAAGGAAACTGTGGTGCTGCGTCGGTGGGAGAGTAAAAGCCTTCGTCAACCGCTCTGACGAAGGGCTAACGCTCGAAACGTCAGCCTTTAAACTCTTTACGGTGGCCAATTTATGTTATCAATTCAATTGATAACACTAAGTTACCCTGTATTGATTGAAATAGCATTTCGTGATTTCGCTAAACTCTATTCATCGTGGAACGCCGGCTGTTTGAAATGGATCAGTTGGAAAACTAAACCAAAATTTTCAAATGTAGCTATTTTTGGACGTAACTGTTTGGCCTACCCTTTGAAAACGAAAATTTTTCTCTTATTAGTCAGCAAATTTAATTTAACAAATACTTGAATTAAATAAGAAAAATACTACGCCCTTTCGATCCCGAAGGAACAAAACTATAATCGGTACGTACGTGAAAACTCAGTGTCGCAAGTTCAGATAGGTTGTTCTTATTCGAGCAATTCTTACCCCAAATTAATGACGACTTGAGCACTATGATTGACAGTCTAAATCACTTACATAAATGTTCACTGATGGACATTGAGAGTTACTCAATTCATGGTTACCTCTTAGTGTTACCAGGAACAGTATTACTTTTTACTTTTATATTTCTGTGATGTATACATCTTATGGCTTAAAATTACGCAATTTTTTAATCGTGAAAGATAGCCTTAAGCTATTATTCTTGTCGTGACTTTTCTCAAAGATTTAAGAGCAGTGAAAATGTGATTAGTGTACGAGGTCGTAAAAACGATGGGAGGTCCCCTCATTTTCTCTCGTTAAGACTAGAGTGTAAGATTGGAGTTTATCAATATGACAACCTCAAGTAAAGTTCAGTTTTTTCGCTCTCGGAGCTCGTGCGCTGGATATTCCTAGAAGTTAACTGTGTTATTAGCACGTCTTAGAGATCAAGAGTCAATTAATTTGTGTGTCTTGGTTCACCAGGCCACCAATCTCCAACATACGTAGCTCTTACTTTTGCTTTCATGTTTTTATTCTCTCCGTTTCCTTTCCAGGCTGTATACTTGAATATATTTTAAACTATTATTTCATTATTTTCCTTATTAATAGAACACTGTGATGTCGAACTTGTCAGTCGCCTTTGCCATGCATTCAAATACAACGCTCCATGAAAACCATGGAAACAATTCCAGAGAAGAGCTGATTAATATCTTGAGCTTGTTTCAAAAGATATCACTAGCAGCACCGTACTTCATAATTGAGCCGCTTGCTTTGTTCCTGAATTTCTTGACTCTTTACATTTTACGAAAAAAAGAGGCGCAGTCATGCAGACGAATACGTCGAGTCAAAGGACACGAGCGAGTGATGGCTCGGCCACAATGCAGATCTTTTTATTTCTTACGACATTTGGTTTTCTCCGATTTGCTCACTTGCTTTGTGGCAATTCCATTTGACGCTCTGGAAATTTATCGCCTGGAATTTCGTCGCTCTCGGGAATACTGTGCTATCTCGAAGTATGTACGTTTCGTTGCGATCGGCAGCAGTTTTTATATTTTAGTCGTTATCAACTTTGAGCGGTTTTGGTCGGTAACATTCCCTTTTCGCCCCTTGGGACATAATATGATCTCTTACATGACCCGTGGTGCTTGGATAGCGGCGTTTATAATCAATATCCCCTCTCTTTTTTTGTATCGATCAAAAGTCGAGTTTATGTACAATGACGATCGATATTACGTAAGAGTTTGTGTCGCAGAACCTGGGCAAACTGGAAACTTTGCAAGGGGTTTTTTGGGTGTGACATTCTTGATACCAGCCTTGGCCATCGCTACCCTTTCGTTGAGTACGCTTTATCATATTCTAAAGATCCAAAGGAAAAACAATCAGAGAGGATCAAGCATGGAAAAATCACTGTCAGAATTAGAGGAATTGAAGGGATTGAGAAACATTGTACTCTCATCTTTTTACATAACTGTTGGATTTTGGTTGTGTTCAAGTCCTGTTGGTTTTTATTACTTAATAATCGCTGGTATTGGCCGTCCGGAATTTCCAACGTCATATCTGATCGGTCGTTCCATTGTTATCATTGCAAATCTTAGCGCCGTTGTAAATCCATTAGTTACCATTCTGTGTTTCCGTCCGATCAAGGAGGGTGCGAGGGAGTATTTAGGACTGGGAACTAAAAAGTGCTACAGGATAACGAACTTGGGCGCTCAGACAAAGGATGACAAAAACCATGTGGAACTTCTGGCCGTCACTGTTAGGAGTTCACTCCGGCACGTTAGATACATTCTGCAGAAGAGAGAGGCTGAAGAGAAGAATTTGCAACGTCTGGGAAAAGATACAAGCGAGCCAACCGTCATGACGACTGTTCCTCATTATGACAATACTTCTTAAAAAAACTGAACTAGGATTTGGATTGATAGTTATGGCCAGTGACTGCAAAGCACTAGTTGCTATCATAGATCAATTAACATTTCAACTCCAAGGAAAGTCTCCACACATCATCATTGTCCTTCAAGTTGCGTAACCGATGCACGTAGTCTGGCACTGTCTGGTACCAAATTTGAGTTGTCTCCAGTCTCACCCTCATCCGTTGTCTTCTGAGGTCTCGGTTCGATTCTCGAAACCGGCAATGTGCGGATATTTCTGCTGATTCTCCACTTTTTCTCTCTCCACAAAACCCTATATAACTGCACGTCACTTATTGTGCCTTCTAAGTCAACTCTTCAAATTCCAATTTGGCCGGAAACAGTGGACAAGGAGCCGACTTATGAACGTGCCTCTGTCTAATCCGAATTGATATTAATCTGATAAATCCATTAAGCTTTGAATTTTACCCCAAAATTACTGTTCACCAAGATGGGAAAAACAGTCTATCCTATGAACTATCACTGTTAGCGCTTAAACTGCATGGAAAAAGAAACTAAAGAAAGCCAGTTCAAGGTGAACTACTTGAGAACGAGGAATAGCCTCGCTCCAGTGAAGGTTTTTTTTTACCTTTTTTTTTCTCAGCGTGAAGGGAGGCAAAAATGAAATTAACATACACTATTTATGCTACATATGGCCACAGATAGCAGGTGCTCTCACTACGGCTGAGAAGTTTACATAATATAACAGCACTAGTTTCACTCTATAACGACAGGCCATTTGTCAGAGGTAGATTCAGAGCATGCCTACGCAATAAAGTATAACTTTCTTGCCAAAAATGACAGTGGGTTATTTTGGAAACAATCGGCTTCTTGAGGAGGACCCGTTGTTTATACAAACATTTTCAAGCGGAAATAAGTGGAGGACTTTTTTCCTCCTCTAGTCTGATTTTCTCCACAAAAATCTTACAGTTTGTGCATGTGTGTGGAAAGCTAATACATATCTTTCCTTCTTAATCGCGTAGATTAAATTGTTTATTTGTATATTCAAAAAGTTGAGGAATGTAACCAGTATTAGTGTTTATTAGGAAACAGTAAAAAACTTCCAGTCGATGTGAATCTGTGATCAACAGCACCTCAAAAACCGAATATCGAGTTGATGAAACATAATACGAGATAGAATTTTTTTTTGCAAAGTCTGGTTTTAAATCTGGCGAGAAGTACTGTATAAGTATTGTTCATAATACAGAGATTAGAAACGTCAGTGTTTATGGTTTATTTCTATGCCCTAATGGGGGCTCTATTGTGTTAGAACAGGTCGTCTCCCATGGCAACTCAATGCTTTGAGCTGTGATTGGTTGAAAACTGTAATGCAGTCGAACTGTAAAAGAATGGAGTAAGCGAGTTTGGTTGTAGATTTTTACGAAGATTTCTGTTCCTTTTTACTTGATTTAAACATCATGGCCGATGAAAGCGAGCTATCAAACGCAAGCGAGTTTATAAAAGGTACACCTCGGTTGTTTTTATCCGCTGCCAATATGGTTTACCGCCAAGGAATTGTCAGTCTTATCCAAGATGTCCCCTTCTTAATTTCTTACTAGATCGATTGTACTTCATCACTCTGCGAAACAAGCCCAGACATACTGAATCTGTTCATTACTTCTGTGTAGATGATGAATTGGTGTATGAGAAGTAAGTATGTTCTAATTTGGAAGCTTATTTGCCGTCAGCCTGCGTTCTAATTAGTCAATTTGTAAACTTGTCGTTCTGCAGTTTTTACGCCGACTTCGGACCCTTGAATCTTGCTATGCTGTATCGCTACTGTTGTAGGCTTTACAAGAAGCTTAAGGTAAGCAATCTGCTGTTTTAACTAATTTTTGTGGACGAAAACATGAATATTATATTTCAAATTGTTTTATAGACAAACTCATGCAGTTCGCTCGCAGTCATTCTTGATTTCTAGCGGACTTCCAGTGTCCATGAAAAATGAAGTAAAGACTTAACTCACATCCGTATTATTTTACGCTCGTAGTATTTATTAGAGACTTCAACGTCCGTTGTTTAGATGCAACTCCTTGTTTTTTCAAGTCGGTGATATTGATACTTTAGTTGGTATTTCGTTTATGGAGACTATCTAAGCGCTATCTATATGATCAAAACATCGTTGACGATGTTTTTTCCTTGTACGGGTCCCCGCGTTTGTTTGCTAAACGCTAAGCTTAACCTATTTGTATTTCAGCCGGTCGTAATGACTCGAAATTACTCCCTCCTCCTTCTCTGTACTTAAATATAAAGTTTGGATAATCAGAAAACCAGAGTTTGGGCACATCAGCTCTGAAAAGTTGTGGTTACTTGTTACAAACGTTCCCGTACGATAATTTAAGTCTGTGGTTTGGAATTTTGCCTCGTGTTCACGGTCTAATGCTAAAACAGACAAACAGAATTCGATATTGAGATACGTTTGCACTCAAAAATTCTTTCTCTTTATCTTCTCTATTGACACTCTCGAAACTCTTCTCATGCAATATGTCGAAGAAATAAACTGTGAATCCAATTAGAAACCTAGATCGTAAGTTATTACCTTGGGTAAAGTAAGTCGAAGTGCTCTAGTGTGACGCAATTAAGATTGGCTATGGAAAATTTACGTAGCATAGCTTACTCATGTCTCAGTTCTCTGCTCGTCTGTTGGGGCATCAGAAATTATATATATTAGCATCATATTTGAAAGAATAGGCTATCAGTGTTATCTTTTGATACTCCGGTTGAAATCTGATTTTTACTATTGATGAATTAACAATGATTATAGAGACTGAAACATCTATAATTTTGTTCACATGTAAAACGTGTATTCATGATTGATATGAACTAAATGAACTACATGAATTCCTATAGTCTGTATGAATATCTTCTTTCCTGCCCTTAATGTGTGCCTATCTAAATTGATCTGAAAACTTATTTTGAAAACTCATTTTTCCAATTATTCAAAATTAGATATCATTGGTTATAAATATTCCTTTTAACAGTGGTTTGAAAAATCATCTTGCCTTGTTGAAATAGAGCAGCTGTTTTTGTCTTTTGTTGTTTACTAGTCTCTGTTAAAAATATTCCTTTTTTTTGGCTTGTATCAAAATATTGTCAATTTATAAGTCAGTGGATATAGTAATTGAAAATTAACAGTTGTGTTATATTGAACTTTTTATTGTAAGAGGAGGTATTTTCATCATCATCACATGGTGTTATCAATTTCAGACCAACCTTTGTTATATTGTTGTGGTTTTTCTTTGGATTATGAGATAAAAGCTGAACTCTATGATACTATTGCTGGTCATTTTCTGATTAACTTTGATTGGAATAGAACAATCGTGTGCTTAGATATGTTAAGCTAGACATCTAAGATTTGGGCTTAAACAGGACTACAACTTTCGAGATTTGCAAAACTTAAGTGTGACTTTGTGGGCTTAGAAGACATTTCCTCAACTTATAAATTTCTTCTGCTGTTATATTGTAGTTTTAGTTGAAAATGAGGTAACTCAAATGATTGAATCTATATTTTTGTTTGAATTTTTAGTCTTTCTCTTTGGCAAAGAAAAAGATCGTTCACTATACCTCATTTGATAGCAGGAAGAGGGCAAATGCTGCATATTTAATTGCATCATATTCAGTAAGTATTATCACAGTTAATATTCATTTCACAACTTGTTGTTCTTTTGTTTTCAGTGTAGGACATAGGTTTGCTACTTTAGAGAACATCAGTTTGGGTTTTTTCCTTTACAAGAATAGCATCTTGTATTCTGCCAGGATCAGCAATGTTGAAACTTTAAAGTCAGTTATTTGATTAATAATGGTAATGGGACTGAGCGGAGTCCAATTTGGTCTGTGACCATAGGAGTGATTGACAAAATTGGATGAACGCAAAGCAGGAGTCTGAATCATTAATCACAACTATGATTACAGACCGAATTGGATGACACAAAGACCATTTACTAATTAATCAAAACCATGACAAAATTTGAAAAAGACACTAACTAGGTAACTCAACAAAATGTGTGATGACGTGGTGCACAAATGATGTGTACGGCCCACTTACACTAGTGTGATGTGTCAAAAACTTTAACTCAATTTGTTTTGCCACTTGGATCTTCAATTATTTACTGTAATAACTGGTGCATCTTGCTTTTTCATAGATAATCTACCTGAAGAGAAGTCCAGAAGAGTCTTATAGACCACTGATAAAAAATGGCTGCAACCCACCATTTCTTCCATTTAGGTGTGTATTATGTAAGGGTGATATGCATGAACTCATGAGGTACATCAGTTTGTGTTTCATCTAGTAAGTGTCTTGTATTTGGACAATTACAATAGGATTTTTTTCACCTTGTTTTTATTAGGTTTTAGAAGTCCACTTTTATTCATCTTCCCCTTAAACACAAGAATTTATTTTTATTGTCATTGTTGTAGACTTCAGCTTTGAGGAAATGATTAGTGGTTGAAGAACTTGCTCAAAGAACTTGCTAGTGGAATACTTTTAGAATGCAAAGAAGAGTAAAATGTACTCACTATCTACAGTGTGGTGTCTTTAATTTTGTAATGAAAAATAAATGGACTAAAACAGTGTTTCTTTTCCTTTACAGAGATGCATCCTTTGGAACATGTTCATACAACCTTTCTCTAATGGATGTTTTAAATGGCCTTTACAAGGTACAAGAGCAATTTAACTTGCCTTTGATATTGGTATTGGCAATGAGAGTGTAATGTGAAAACCAGTGATAATACCTGCTAGTTATTTGCATTTTTTTTTTTTTGGTCAAAATCTTTAATATCACGAACATGTTTCAGTACATGGCTTGAATCAAACAATATGACAAGCCAGGTGACCTTGTGTAGAGTAATTGTTTATTGTTTTTATTAATGCAGGGATTACAAAATGGGTTTTTTAACTTTGAAACTTTTGATGTAGAAGAGTATGAACATTATGAGGTGAGATGTTTGAATTTGACAATTTTAGTTAAAATTTTTTGATCAATTTTTACCTCTTAGCTATAAGTCGATTTTATTATAGTTTTCTGTTATTATAATTGTAGTTTTTTTAATATATCACGTCTTTCTGTTTTTATCAGTCTTACTAGTATTTATATTTTTTTGGCACATGTAAAAATTGTAACAGAGATTTGCATGTTTCAAATATTTTATTGTTATAATGTAATTTTTATCTACATGGTTATTCTTAACATTGTTATTTTTGTTATCATTGATTATAACATGCTAATGTTATCTCTGCGATACATTTTCTTTCTTGCAGAGAATTGAAAATGGGGATTTCAACTGGCTGTTACCAGGTTAGAAAAATTGATAACTTGGCAGTTGATTAAATGAGATGGCTGCAAAAATTAGTGTCAATGAATAACAACTTGAAGAAATATTCTTCATTTGTGAAAAATTTTACCATTTACAAGTTTACTATGTTTAATTTGCAGAGTGACCTGTTAACAAAGATTCCTAACTCAGTTTGTGTGGTAAACTATTTTTCAGATAAATTTTTGGCATTCAGTGGACCTCACAATAAAAGTAGAATTGAGAATGGTAAGCATTTTTGGCTGACTTTAGATTAAAATACCAGGGCTGGATTATCTCTGATCATAAAAACTATCACAAAATTCTTGAGTGTAATTGGTTATAAGTCGTCAAATTTGAGCACAATGCATATATAGGTAACATATTTGTAGCAGTACAGAACAATAGGACAGTTTACACTTCATGCCTCTGTAATTGTACAGCATTCAGCATTGGCGCTGACTGTTGAATAAACCACTGGGTCAATATTCTTATGGAGAAAGTCATTTGTTATGTTTTGATTGGCAATAAGATTTTGTGGTGGTAAACCTGTCTGTAGTCATGCTTGTGATTAACCAATCTGACTCCTGCTTCATGGTGGTCCAATCCTCTCAACTGTTTTACTGCCAAGAATCTGATTGTTAATTCTCCCCACTAGCTGCTACACATTTCCTTGTAAATTAGTAGCAACAGTTTGGTGTTAGATCAAGATCAACTTCTACCTGTTAATTTTGAGTATTCTCAATACCTCTGTATTTGATAATGTATGGAATTTGTAGAGAGAAATTACATGTTAATCACCTCTGGGGGTTAAAGGATTAATCACTTGTGTAATTATTTGAGGAGTTGAGTTCTTCTTATTATTATTCACAGTAATTTGATTATATTGAGGCAGTGTAGCTTACAATAGATATTTTACATTCTTACAGGTTATCCTCTGCATGCCCCAGAAGCCTACATCCCTTACTTCAAAAAGCACAATATTACAGCAGTTGTAAGACTCAATAAGAAATTCTATGATGCAAAGAGGTTTACAGATCATGGTATTGAACATTTTGACCTGTTCTTTGTGGACGGCAGTGTGCCAAGTGATATGATTGTTAGGTTGGTTATTTTGTTGTTTTTGTTGCTTTTTTATTATTATTAACATCTACATGTATGCAGGATGCTTTTTGCTTCATAAAACAGAAAGGGGAGAAATTTGTGTTGATTGTGCTAATATGAGTGAGAATGTAGGCAGACAGAGGATATGCTTGAGGAGCTTATGACAGGAAAAGAAGGAGTCCTGAAAAAATGCAGATTTTCTCTCACCTTCCCTCCGATTAATTTCACTGAGCCTGGCAAAGACTGATTGGACAGGAAAATCTAGGGATTGATGCACTCTCAGTTTGAACAAAGTCATGTTACATGATTGTAAACTTTGTTTATAGGGGAAGTTGAGTTTTACCAAGTCCTTACTTTTGGGTGTTCATACATCTCCACTAAAGAAACATTTTCTCCCATACTGACATGAAATATCTTGCTCATCAGGCGTTTCTTGACAATAGCAGAAAATGCCAAAGGAACTGTTGCAGTTCACTGCAAAGGTAAGGGTTCACAATTCTCCAAGGGCTGCGGTGGCCAAGTCTAACATGTTATGCTTAGTGAGCAAGTCTTCTATATGTAAGTTTGTGACTGAAAATGGTAGATACTCTAAATTTGCGGCTCCCTTGCCCACTTTAGTGGGAACTTAACCTTTTTTTTTTAACCATTTTTAGATACGAGTGACTGGTATCTAATTTCTCCTCACATTTTTTTACTCTTAAATCAAACACAAGAGTTATGAGAATTAAGGACATGATCATCAACTTATTAACCTCTTGATTGTTAAACAACAACAACAACAAATGGAGAATATGCGTACTGATGTTAAAGTGTTAAGTGTTAATTGAATGCCTATTGGTTTACATGCGTTTGACTCTCGACTTAACTGCTTTATTTTCCTGCTTTCAGCTGGTCTTGGTAGAACTGGGACGTTAATAGCGTGTTACTTGATCAAGCACTACAGATTCACTGCTGCAGAAGCTATTGCCTGGTTAAGGTAAGAAGTGATATTACTATATCGTTGGCAGTGCCCGTGGGCAATATGAAGCGAGACCTGTGTTCTGACTGGCCCATCTTGCCTGCTCTGATCCCGACTTCGTCTCGGTCCATAAAAACGCAAAAAAGAGAACTTGGCCAATATCCAGCCATCTTGACCTCAAGCTTGGTCGATAACGCATATTTTACTGCTCGCAAAAATCACCAGCATTTAAATTCTATTTTTTTTTTCCTACTCGCAGAATTTGCCGTCCTGGATCAGTTATTGGACCTCAGCAGAACTTTTTGGAAGAGTAAGTGCACCGGTTCATATGTTTTCTCCATTTATCTACAGATATAAAGACTAACTGGTACTCTTAGCTGGGAGGAAAGTCACAAAACCCCAACCAAATACATTTGTAGCTTTCCTTAAGCCAATCGAAAGTGTAAATCTGGGTCCTTCATTTTGAATACTAGTGTTATATAATGATTTGAAACCTTTGAACTTGTTCTACAATGTACATGTATTTATTTGTTTTTTTGTAGAAAACAAGCCAGCTTGTGGATACAAGGGGACATTTTTAGAACGAGAGAAAAAGAGAAGGCTGAAAAAGGTTTGTTAACAGATAGTGTTTATATTAATTTTGATACAATTCTCTGAATAATACCGCAAACTGATCAATTGAACAACTTTGTAACTAAGGTTTCTATCAATTTTTGTTTTGTAAAAAGCAGTGGATCGCTGTGGAGTGAGTCGGCTTATTAGTGGAGTGGACACCATCAAGATTGAAGATTCTGTCAATACAAGGCCCAGTAAACTGTACAAGGTAACATCATTCTCAAGCAACTCATTGAAGAAGCTTTAACCAAATGTTTTGAAGTTTCGTTGTGCCTTAGAAAGATACCAGCAACCTGATGTAGACCAAGAGATAACGCATAAAATGTCAGTTTTAAAAAGTCTCTAGGGTGGCAGATTTACATAATTCGACTCAGTTAAAAAAAAAAAACCAAGCTACCTTATGAAATACGAGTTCGAAACAAGTCTTTAACCTTTTAACCACTAAGAGTGACTGGTCTCTAATTTCTCTTTACCATATCACCCCTGAATCAAACATTGGAGCTGATCACGGACTAAAGATCACGGACTAAAGCAACTCTTGATTGTTGGACAAATTCTCCATGTCGGTGTCATAGGAAATGTTAAGAGAACAGTGTGGAGAATATGCATACCGATGTTAGGGTGTAGAGGGTTAAAACTTAACGATAGCCTCTTTTACACTTGAAAGTCTCTTATTTTACTCTATTTTTTTTCCCAAGGATCTTACGCCCATGTTACGTGCTACACCCACTTCAGGCGCGTCTTTGCTCAGTGAACGTAGCAGCATCCTTGCCTCCAAAGAGATAACGGTCAGTAAAGATTCTAATGACAATGAGGAACCAACACAAGGAGATGAACTGAGGCGATTGAAGACCAGCCGTTCATTGCGTCATCCGCGATCGGCAACAACGGGTGCTTTAAAGTAAGCTTAGTTTATCACATTTGTTTGTAAAACAGGACTTATGAAATAAGCGCTTTGTAGTTTTGATGAAATACATTACAGACATTCGGCATCCATCTTTAGGTGGAACCACTTTGTATAGCGTAATAAGTGGTACAAAATGGAAGTAAATGCTCAGTAGCCTTGATCTAAATACTCACACCCAGGGATTTCATCCACAGACTCAGAAGTTAGAACCACCTTGTACAGCATGATAAAGATTACCACGTGAAAGAACTGCCTAGGAGCTTTCATGCGAATTGTTGCATAAACTGAAAAGTCAGATTCGCGTTGTGAGGCCTCATCAATAACAAATAGAACCTTGTCATCGTATGAATTAAAATTTATTTTAGAGTTTTCCTTTTGTCTCTCAGACTGGAGGATGGTAGATTAGGTCACACTCGCTCCACGACTGGACAATCGTTGAAGTAAGTGTAACGTAGTTAAGTAAAACATACGACAATCTTTCACTTAGATATCGGATAGAAAAATTCTGTTTTACTCACTCTGTGTGCTCAATTGTAAAAATATATTAGCTAGGTAAATGCTAAAGAGGCAATAACAAACCAACAAGGAAAAGGATGAAGAAAATTTACTCGCATTGAAAATAACCACAAAAATATCACTTTGCTAAGATAGAAAAATACAAAAGGAGAAAGAAGGATGGTTTGAGATGGAGAAGATTATAACGAATTGGAAGTGACAAAGCTTGACATATTAGACACGTCACGTAGCGTCTAGAAGGCTTTTGAAATTTTACAGTAAACTTTTACGAAGGAAGAAATAAAAAAGTTAAAAGCTCTGAAAAAGAAAGGATTTGTTATTATTAAGAACACTTGCAGTGATCAGCAGGATTGTAATGTTTCTTAAACATTTTTACAGGCTTGCGAACGCGTCGACAATGCAGTCAGTAATGTCACCGCTGAAAACATCCAAAGTTTCTGCTCTACCGAGAAGAACAACAAGGACCTCGTCCCACATGTTACGAAGGTAATGACAGACAAATTAATATTTTACTCCAGAATGGGTGAAGCGTTGATCAAGTATTTACTGTGTTGGACTTAAGGTTGATAGCTCAGGATTCAATTGGTGTCCAGGTCACTGTGTTTTGTTCTTGTGTAAGACGCTTTACGCTCGCAGTGCCTCTGTCCACCCAGGATTATTTATATGTACCAGTAAAATGTCAGAGAAAGATGATTTAATACTGAGGCGAGAGAGAGAGGGTTGGGGAGGGGGGTAACCAGCTGGAGATGTAATACATCTAGGTTTCGTCATAGTGTATACCTTACCAGACGAACACCTCGTCATTGTGGCAGCCAAAAGGATTTCCTTCTCTATAATGCGCTGTTTTCGGTTTTTACCAACAAAACCCAGACTAACTGCTAGAAATACTTATTCTACAAATTGGCCAGTTTTCTTCAAGCTCAAATCTGACCACTCGATTAAAAAAAAAGGAAGTAAGTAAATATTACTCAACTATATCATACGTTCTTTCTAATTGAAGCATTTTTTAACATTTTTATTAATTCATTTTTCAGTCGTATGACATCATCACGTGTGAGCAGTAGAGCACTGAACTTGGCAGCCCTTGCCAAAACATAACCAACTACTAAATACTCAGCGGGTCCTTTTAATGTTAGCTTACTGAACTGATTCAAGTAACGATGAAATACTGCTGAGCATCGGCTTCAACAGACGACGAGTTCAGTCTGTTGTGAAAAACCCTTCCCGGTTGTTGAAGGCAGATCAGTGTGGCTAGTTCAGTAGAGGTATCAGTAAGTATTTTGTGGAATAGTATGCCAATTAAGAAGGATGCCCCCATCAAGAGTTATAGAAAGTGTAATTAGGTTATTGTGGGATATGGAGCGATTGTAGAGCGAGTGATTTGGTTTTACATTTTGATTTGAATAGTCGCAGGTTTTGAGTGATGGTCATGCTGTAAAATGGGAACTTTTTTTACTGTCTTTGTACAGATAAACAACTTGTCACGAATGCTAATTTATTATTAAGACATATTTCAGTATGATTAAGTTTTTAAGAAAGTAAGAGTATCGAGTGATCACTGAAATATATAAAGTTCTTCGTATATATATTTTTTTTGCGTTGTTGTACAACGCTGTGATGGTCACACAACGCGGTGAAGTTCACGCACTCTGTCTGTCACGCAGAGAGTGTAACGCGAGCTCAGTAGCTTTCAAGAAGTCTACCTGAAGGCTTCTGCTGTTTCCTTTGCTTTACTGGTAAAACTCAGGAAATAGTGGTGTCGTGGGAAGTTAGTTTTAGATTGAAGTGATTTTATAGAATATTGATGCATTGGATATGGTCCTTCATGTGTCCTGAAACAAGAGTGATGTGGTAGGATTATAAGGGCATAATTCATGATGCCCTGATTCGGCTCTTTGACAACGGTAAAACGAACGTTAGTTGTGAGGAAACCATAACATATTGATTTGGTTAAATAGACAAACAGCAATGTGGTATTCATAAACCATGAGCAAGGATGACCTAGCATGGAGAAGATTCGAACGGATTTTAAATGAAGAACTTGTAAACTTTTCTCCAATGTTTTTCAAGTTGCATAAACTTTGACGTACAGTATCCCCCTTCATCTGAGATATAATCTCAGTAGTACACTGAATGCGTTTAAATTTCGTTCATACTACGTCAAAATTGTAAGTTGTACGTTTACAGATGATGGTAGCGATGGAGTATTTTTCCTGTGGTTTAAAGAGTTTTTTCCAGAGCTGAAAGTGTTGAAATCCTCTTAAAGTGTGTACCAATAGAAGAAAAAAAAAGTAATTGTAAATTTTGCAAGAGAAATTATTTCAAACTCTGATTTGAAAATTCGAAGGGAACTTTGTGGTTGTATGTACAAATTACTGTCGCTGTAATCTGGTACGTTTGTATTATACATTATTTTTGTATGGACCATTTCCAATAAGAAATGCAATTTTAGGGGATTGTTTAAGAGGAAGTTAAGGTATTTAGCTACAGTTTGCAGATTTGATACACTTAACCGTGCGTGATTTTAACCGTACATGTTTAATGCTCTCAATCGCGATTTAGAATATTTGAATATGACAAATACTTACCAAAAACTCTATTAACTATTTTAGTTTTTATCAATTTTTGTTGTCATGCTGTTTATAGGATCATATACGCATTATATTGTTGAGACTATATAGTTTGCTATGGCAAAATCTCGAAACTCGTTCTGTCGTCAATTAATTTACTTTCTTTTGCAAGAATGCAAGGCATTCCTAGTTTTAAAAAAACGTTGGGTTCTATATATTGTGACTACCTCATAATTTTCCCAAAACTGTGTGAGGAAATTATACTAACTTTATTTTAAGCTTTCTTACTCTTTTATTATTGAGAGTAACGTGTTTATATGTATTAAAAGGTCATATATTGCCTTTCATAATAAAACGTTCAAAGATATATCTGATTGTTAATTTATTTGTTTTGTCTTTAATTAAATTCTTTATTTTATCAACCCTGAAGAATTCTCATTATAATGGATAAAATAAACTTGTGTATCAACCTCTCTAACATTATTATAAAAGTATTTATGGCAATTCTTTTTAGACAAACGAAGGAAAAAAAATTTTAACTCTCGACTGAAACGTGTCGTGAAGAGGATGTGTGTAACCGCTGACACAGGTTATTGCGTTAGCGTCTTTCCTCAGCAGGTACTAGTAAAACTGGTATGGTCATGTGTTGAGTGACGTAGTCGCTGACACTCCCTAAGATTGTTCGTCTGATGGTTCCCAGTCCTCTACTTCCTAAAATTATACATTCGGCTTTTTCTTCCTTTCCCACTGAGCAGATCACATGACCAATCGCTCCATAAGCAAAGAGAGTCTTGAAAGGAAGCTGGAAAATAGAAAAAAAAAAAGCGTTCCTTTTTCGTTTTTTGCCGAGTTATGCTGAGGAATGTAATATGGCCATGAAATACTTGCCTTCATTTCTTTGCATTTCTTCTCGTAGCCGCTCAGCATCTCTTCTGCCCGTCGTTCCGCTTTTTCCAACATTCGTTCCCATTCTTCTCGCGGTGGAATGCTCATACAATCTGTAACATAAAAGGTTCTTTATGACTGATTACACTTTTTTCCAAATACTGCAGCTTTTTTTCTCTTGTTGTTTCTGCATCGTCTATCAGACTAAATTTTGTCTGTCATTTCATTATATAACGTTACTATCTCCGCGTGACCCTGGGGAAAGTTCGTGTCGCACACGGAAATTCCCAATTTAATAAAATACGTTACCCTTTCAAGGGCCGCGATCGTTTTGGCCAGCAGTAAGAATCGAAGTTCGATCAGTATCCACTGAGTACACTGAATACCTTCCTGAGACGACAGTGGCATTTTGACCCCTATCTAAAGTGAACTTAGAACAATTGACACCTCCATATTGCATTTTTGGCCTAAAAGGTTCAGAGGCTCTTGCTACCAATCTCTATGTTTTCATGACGTCACGGTCAGGTCTGATAATGCTTAGGAGCTGTACTGCATAGAAATGATTGCTAAACACATTCTTACTTGCAAATGTTGGTGCTGGAGTCATAGGGGATTCGTAAACATGAACAAACACAACCTGATCTCTCTCCTGTCGGAATTTATCAGCGTACCCTGCAAGTAAAAAAAAACATATTAAATGGAAACATATGTGGCGGAAACATTATAATCCTTATATTCAAACTAACACTAACTCTCCTCCCAATTTTCCGATCCATTTTAGCCTTGGAACTTCTCCCAAGCTTCGTTAAAGCTTTGGTGCGAGGTCAGAAGCCGAAGTCTTCCCGACCACTCTCCGGTTACTTTACGAACACCTGCATCGGCTTGGAGCAGGTGCTCGCTACCTTGAAATGATAACAATAATTAACTGGCGTATGGCCGATACCAAAATGCTAATTCGCGCTAGGCTTGTGGTAAAACAAAACAAAACATTGCGTTTTTTCTATTCTTTCAACAAAAATAAAGCACCGTTTGAAAAGGACATCTTACAGCTAATAACTGGCAAATCAAACAGCTGATTTCTTTACGGTTAGTTTTTTCCCTGAGCAAATGAGTTGTTCAGGATAACGCCTTGACCGTGCCTTCACTTTCGTCGCTTTTACAAGATTGATGAATCTATCGGCTTTCAACGATTGGTATTCACTCTATATTCTGAAAAAAAGACTAGCTCTAAAATATTCTAGTTGAGGTAGTTTTTGATACCAGGAACTTTCGATAACGTGACGAGAATATTTAAAAATACAAAGGCCTGTTTTGATAAAAAATTCAATGTAGAATCAGTTCTTTAAATCGGCAGTTGTACATGCCTGATTGCGTTGCAGAGCTCCGCTAGATTGCTCTCCAGAATAGCGAGAACTCATGGAGAATGTTCTTTCTGGGGAAAGCTTACATTCATGCGCGTAAACGTACCGTAAACGTATCAAACACTTTTTACCTGCCTAGAAAATGATATCAGTTGAGCGGAATTTGCAACAAGGCAGCGTTAAACATCATGCCACAAGCTTATCATAGAGAGAAAAAATCTACGAAATTAGAGCTACGTAAAAATGTAAATCAGCTTTAAATTCGAAAATTTGATCCCACAGAATTGCAACCACATGCCAAAATTATCCCATTGGTTCAAGATTGCTAGATTTCGGCAGCAGTTTTAAAAAATATTTCGATCCTTTTTTACTCACATGCAAAGGCTCTCTCGCTGTAGACGCTTCCATCCACTGCTACTAAAATGTTTCTTGGGGATGTCGATGGCATTTTTTGTGACGGTTTCCTCCTATTGAAAAGTGATGCTTTGTGAACGATGATAGCAACGTGTTTGTATGAGAATCAAGATTGAAAACAAGATATTTTCATTTCGTAGCCCAATTGCTTCCTCTTATTTGGAAAATCCAAACAGTATACTCCAACGGGATTAATAATTAACAAAAACATTGATATAATGTTTTACTTTAGCAAGCTGGTACAAGAAACAGAAAGTGAAATTTATGCTGAACATGGGTTGATTGAAAATCGATTTAATTTTTTTGTTTTGCGCAACAGCTATCTTACAGTGGAACTGAAATTAGGGATTTTCAAGATAAGTTCAATGGTTCCAATTCAAACGACCCCGGCACACTACGTTGCTATTATACGAAGCACTATTTTAAAGGAAAGTTAAATATTTAAATTTTTTTAAATTCATAGGATGAAAATCGCTTTTTGGCGGGAGAGTGTACCCTGATGTAAGTTTTATTTGAATTCTTACCAATCATTTTTTTCCACGAGGTTATACGAAAAGGGCTTCCCGGGAGAACCCGTTATTACCAAAGGAAAGAGTACGAAATAGCAACGGAACCGATTTAAGGCGATTCAATAACAGCCGTTGTCTGGTCATGTCATGTAATACGTTCGTCACGCAACGGAATGTTTCGTGACGAGACAAAACATCGGCTTCCCAAGAGGTAGTGTTTATGTCTTAAGGGGCAAATCGAAAGTTGAGCGAAACAACAACTTAGTATGCGAAGAAAGTTTAGATAATAATGTTTATAAGGTTATTCACGACAACATAAAAGTATTAAACATTTTCAGAGTTCAACTTTGAAATAGGCTGTATTGTCTTACAGGAACTACGCAAATGAGGAGTCTAAGAATCCTGAATCGATAAAGGATATGTAGCAAAACATGTCCTTTGATGATGAAGGGCAGCGAGTGAACGAGACAAGTTTTTTTTAACCCATTTTTGGATTACATGGGACGTAAAGAAACTTAGTTACCCACAAATTACCAACAATTACCTCTATAGATTAACCCTTAAAATTCTAAGATCTCAATAGTAATTCTCCTTACTGTCTGAAATACAATTCTTATAATTTGGAGATTTTGGTATTGGATCAACTAATAATCCCTCATTGATATTCTACTTTATTCTCATCACTTCTATGCTTTATATTGTATTGATATCGTAAGGAGAAATTCTCTCTTGGTCACTCATAGAAGATAAAGGATTAAAACGATAATCTCTCTTCGGATTCGTTGTTAGATAATAAGACAGCAAAAAAATCCTCGTTAAAACTCTTTCAGTTTTTTTTTGTCGATTAACGAACATTCAGTTGCCGTAGAGTACTAATTTAATATCCTCAATAAGTTGTTACAAAATTAAGATCGCACTCTTTCGGAGAGGTGATAGACAAACTAACTTATAGTAGGCATTTCCGGGATTTTTTAAGCCTGAGTTTTTCATGTTTAAAATTGAATGTTACTTAATATTTATCCTCTTCGGTTCGTGATTATCCACCCCTAAAGTTTATTTTTTCCTTTCCTAATAAGCCATTATTTTTCAGAAATACATCTTTTCAACAGCCTTTCTACATCTGCACAATGAGTTAAATTAACGAACAAAGTTTTTTACAATCTCGGTACCAGACCTCTCAAGCTAGATTTCAATCGTTCGAGAAGGATCTGAGAACAAGTTTCATCCTCAGAAATGTGTTTTTGGGGGGACAAGTAAAACCGGAACCCGTGAATGATGAACCACGTGATCGCTGACACTTCCTAATATGGTCCTTCGGAAAGCACCGAGTCCCCGATTTCCAAGTACAATGCAGGTGACGTTTTCGTCTTTAGCCACTTTACAAATGGCGTCTCCCGGTGATCCGAGTTCAATTCTGGTTTTGAATGGTATCTGAAATGAACAAACGGTTGTTTTTAAATTGCGTTTTAATCTTAGAGGCTGTTGCGAAGGCTTCACGATTGGGTCAGGTTTATAAAGCTTGGTTACCTAGGCACTAGCATAGGAGCGAACGGAGGAGGGTCTTAATCTTTAGCGTGAGGTCCATTTTTCCTTCTTTAGGAACTAGAGTTTTGACTGACCTGAAGATGTTTACATTTCTGTTCAAATCCCTCTAGCATGCCTGAGGCTTGCGCATTTGCTGCCCTCAAAATGTTCTTCATTTCATCAACTTGAAGTTCTGAGGCATCTGATGTGAAAAAACGCAAATGACATATTTTTTCGCGTATTTGATCATATGCACATGTAAAATGCACGTTACAAATAATAAATATCATTGTTATTATTATTATTACTTTGATATGGTCACTTAATGACTAAATACCCACCGACTGCAGCGTGACAAGTCACACAACTTACCTTGTGAATCATCCTTGGAGTATTGTTTGACATGATCAAGTGAGCTGTAAACATGAAGTAAGATAATTTCCTGTTTTTCTTGTCCATAATTGTCTACGTACCCTGATGGAGAGAGGAACAATGTAAAACAAGAACTTTAGCGATTTTCGACCATACCTCATGAATGTTAGAGTAAGCGACTGGGAACGAGAAGACTACGAGTAGAGAAGAGCAGCAGCGGGTCATTTATTCCCTACCCCCTCCCCCCTTCACCTTCCCTTAGCCCCTCCTCCCCGCTCCATACCCGTTGTCAAGGCGTTTCAATTTTTGGTTATCTGTAGTTTCTCTTTAAACACTGTTTAACTCTGGAGTTAATTAGATTGCGAATAGGCCGACTCAGGTATGTCAACCTAATAAAACGGTAAATTTCGACCAACATTTACCTCAAATAAGTGAGCTGACAGGATAACAACATGTTTGTTTAGTATCAAATGGATGTTTGCCATCCATTGAAAACGCTTGACAGTATTCTGCTAGTTGAGCAGCTGCAATCTGCCATTATGTCATACCGCGGGTTGAAGAGAAAACGCTTGACATTTATCACTATTTTCACGACGGGAAAGGCAAACGAGATAAATTTCTCGCCTAGATCGAAAGATAATTTTAAAATGTGGTTAATAGCTGATTCTGATTCTTAAAATCGTCTGAAATTAAATTATGACGAATAAAATTTTCTCGTCGGCTTTTTTGAGTGTGTTACTACTGAAGTCTTAGTTCTATGCTTTCGCTTGTTTAGTATGGCAAACTAAGTTGTCAAAAAAAGTCTGTCAAAATTGAATAAGTGTGTGAGAGACAATGAGCTCTTCATTGAGAGCTAGAGATAAAACCTTTTCATTTCTTTAGGACCCTTCATCTCATGTCGGAAGAAGATTTTGAGCTCGATTATGTGCTAAAATCCCAATAAACTTTCTTTTAAAACCTTGACTTGTACATAAATCTAGTTTTATGCACGTCAATTTGGTGGGCAGCTTCAAATATGGACAAGAGAAATTCGTTTGTATTCTCCACGAGAAACAAAGCGTAAATATTAAAATTCAGGTTTCCAGATGACGCCAATTAAAATGAGTTTTTTCGCTCAGGATGAACATCGTATTTCTCGCTTGTTGTGTTTTCTTTTCTTTTTAAAAATTGCAAAAATTTTATAGTTATGACAGCAAGTGATGAATTTTACTCTACTTGTGGGTTTTCCTTTTGCTCAGGAAGTTACTCAAGTCAAACCGCATTCGTCAGTCAAATATTATTTGAAAACAAGCTAATAACATGAATTAGCGAGAGATCACGAGAAAAACTGTCAGCTTTTGCTGTAACGATGTGTCAGAATAAAAAATCGAAAAGTTTTCGAATTTTGCGAGGACTCGGAAACCTCGTATTTTGCACAGATCACTAGACGTTAGCCTTTTGATTGAACGAGGCGAATTTTGCAAGCGCAGAGAGAACATTTTGCATTTCATTTTGCATTAGAAAGGTAGACTTGGCAGACTGTCGTTCTTATCCACAAAATTATTGCTACCCCTTATACTTTCTTAAATTAGATCAACTGTTTAAAATACGGCTGAAATTTGGAAAGTTCATGGAAATTACTTTTCAACAATTTATTTGGCGTGAGCATGTTTTTTTTTTTACGGTCTCAAACCGGAGTAAACACTGTTGAAGAGATCAAGCCTTATGCTGGTTTTCATTGTTGCGTCAATTTATTCACGCAAACAAAGGAGCGTTCATTTTGCTGGCGGTTGATTTGCGTGCATATAAGAAAATAGAGACAATGTAAGGGGTCGGTCTTGCGTGCAAATCGGACATCAATAAGTTCTATCATCCAAAATAACGGGATCGCGCAAAATATTTTGCTCGTGCAAGATATACTTACAGTCAAAAGCTCTGACACAATGTTCCTTTTCGTCGATCGGTACAAGAATCCGTTTCGTATTAGCCATCTCTGTAGCGCAGGAAGTTTTTGATTCCAAATTGTTGTGCGATTAACAAGCGAAGAAGCCGTGTCCTTCACAAATACAGTAAAATTATAAAATATTCATGAACACTGAATAAATGAATATTACATGACGGGATAAAAAGAAAAACACAAACTCATCCGCAAAAATGTCTCAATGATTTTGACATTTACAACTGCGAGAATCATCCCATTAACATTTAATATAAATTGAATTATTAGACATATTTTGTCCTTACCTATCGGTCCGTGTAATTTTTTCAAGGAGATAATTTTCTATTTTGGCGAGTTCCGAATTTGAAAGACGGAGCATCAGAAATCGGACGGAAAAATCCGAAATTGGACGGAAAAATCCGAAATTGAAAAGACGCATCTAAAATCAATCGGAACTCTAAAACAGGCGAGGCCGTCCGAAATTGGACGGAAGCGTCCGAAATCAGACAGAAGCGTCCGAAATCGGACGAAAGCTTTAAAATTGGTAAAAAGGGTCTGAAATCAGACTGTACCGTCCAAAATCGGGCAAATGCATCCATGTATGATGAAGCCATCCGGAATTGGGCAGATCTGATCGTAATGGTCCTCGCTCGGTATTCTATTTGAGATAATTGTAAGAGGACCTATATCTCCGAAAATGGAAATATGGGGCATCAGTTAAAACTGAAACGAACGCAGGAAGAAATGTTAAGAAAAATGAGTGACGTCTGAGCAGCAAATAGCTCCCCGTTTATACTCTGTTAGCAACGACTGTTCTCCTCTTAAAATCCTCTCCCCTCTCCCCCTCAGGTGATAGATAACGATTGATTGCTGAAGGATTTGGCCTTTTTAGCGAACTAAAAAGAAAATGGGAGGTCAACTTTATGAATCTTTTATTAATGCGGCAACTGATGTCGCACACAAAGTTAGAGTTATTGAAAACATTTTACATCAGGGTCGACCTCGTGCATTTTCAAACTCTTTAAAATCAAATCTACAGCACTGATGCTTTAATAATGAAATTCTACTTCTTCTTATAATTTGATGAAAAACGTGATTGATTACAACTTCATCAATCCATCAGTTAATGTGTTATGATCATTAATTATTTTCATCTTTGACCAAGTTTCCTCAGAAATGTTTTAGTCTAAAAAAACACCCCTCGTTTTCCCATATCTATAGTTACTTTGAAATGAGCTCAGTGGCGAAGAGTCTTACGCTCGAATGAGAGTGATGCCTTTTGAGATTCGATTTTGATGAGTGTCAGAGCCCACTTAAAATTTACAATAGAGCAAACTTTATAAACATACCTTTTTGCAAGCGATACTGTTTGAATTGTTAAAACTGTATTGTCAAAAATAATTAATTGCCCCCCTGGTGAAAAGACTGAGGCACTTGTTTCTTACTGTATTAGACTCATCAACCAATATGGAGCAGTACCACAATGTTACTTAATAAATGTCTAAGTGTTTACAAGCTGTCTTAATTGCAGCACATCAACATTACCACGTGTGGTATTATTATTTGTTAAGTTATTTGAAGGCTCCAGGATCTGGCCTCTCTTATGTAGGATTGAAACTATCTCGTTTGTTAGCTGGATGCTTTGCTGACTAACGAATAGAACCCATCTGAGTATCCACGTCAACGAGATTTGAGAAACAGCAGTGGCCAATACAGAACCCACTAGGGTATCAACGTGAAAAAGATTCGAGAAACATCACTAGTTATCTTTAGAGTCTTGATTGGGGGAAGGGGATCATAGAAAATATAAGTGATATACAACTTCCTTAACAGGGATTATCCAAGGAAAAGGCTTAGGAAAAATTGAAAAAAATAGAGGAAGCTTCCTTTATCACGGATTCAATCTCAACTTTTGTTCACCTCTTAAGTAACATTGTAATGTCATTATTTTACTAAAATGGTCAAGAAAAATTTTGAGTCCGAGGCACATTTGTCTAAACTGTGAAAACTTTCTAAACCTTAGTTGTAATTACAAATACATAGTTTCTTTGACATGATGAATTCTGCAACACTTCCAACTGGACTTATGATACGGTTGCCTCGATATTTTTCTTGAGAATCCAAAAATTATGATTTTTCATGAGCACGGGTTAGTATTTCCCTTTTTATATTTTAAATCTTCGTTTCTAGAAAGTCTTCACTACTTCTATCACTTGCAGACAAAATTGCCACGGTACAAGCTGCATTCCGTCTTTTCTTTGGCAGCTCCGGTGACTCATAACACGGATGAGTTGTTGTTCTATTTCGGTGGGCAGTCATATCTTCATCTAAATGTTTAAGACAGGGTCCATTACTAAAAATTGCCTTTTTCCCTGAGAAAGGTGACCCATTCTGCTTGGAAAAAATCTGCTTACGATCAGCCCTAAAAGTGTCAGATTTTAGTTCATTTTCATTATCTTCCTTTGAGGTTCCATTATAAGAGTCTCTATCATCTTGTGGCATTGCGCAGAGAAGAGAATCTGATAGAGATTTTCGTTTTTTAAGTGGAGTTTCCACAGAGGATAAGTAATTGCTATTTGACTCTTGCGAAGATCTATTTCCAGAGTCCACGGAAGGCCTTTTAATACATGAAGATTTAACATCCCCGTTTGCGATGATCTGGCCTCTTGAATCATCTTGTCGTGGTTTCCCAAAATTACCTCCCTCTAAAAACCACTTTGCTCGAATATTGTCTTCTCCAGAACCTATTACTGGAACCAATGGATCGAATTCCCTCTGTATTGTACTGTTAATTTGTTCGTCGCTGCTAAGGTGAGTGGGGGAATATCCCGAGCTCTCGGTATTGGGATGTGGGGAGGATTCCTGAGTTTGTTCCACCTCTAATGGTGTCAGTTGAGTGTTTTCTGGTACTTGACTATCATTACTACACCCACCATGCGCAGCACTCCTCTCAGCACGTGACAGTTTTTCGGATGTCTCATCTTGCTTCTGCATATCTCTGCTCTCTTCATCCGGGACAATGCTCACTTTTCGTGGCATAAGTGTCCCGGATGTTCGGCGAGGTCGCCTTCTAGGAAGACCTTGGAAATTTACTGCTTTGTTATTGTCTCCAAACCCTGGATTAGAAAACAAAGAAAGCATGCTGAAGCTAAGAAATTAACCTCTAATAATTGACAGACGGACCGAGGAACGGATCGACCAAAAGATTTATAGGTGATTCAGTGACACACTGAGTGACTGTTTGACGTGACTGACCGACCAAACACAACTGACCGACAACTGATTGACCTATCAACCTCAGCTGACTGACAACTGACGACCGACCAACCACAACTGACCGACCGCTAACTGACCTACCAACCCTAGCTGACCGTCAACTGACTGATCAACCACCCCCAACTGACCGTCAGCTGACTGACCAACCAACCCCACCTGACTGTCAACTGACTGACCAATCAACCCCACCCGACTGTCAGCTGACTAACCAACCAACCATAGCTGACCGTCAACTGATTGGACAACCAAACCCATCTAACAGTCAACTGACTGACCTACCAAACCCAGCTGGCTGTCAACTGACTGACTTACCAACCCCACTTGACTGACAGCTGACTGACCAATCAACACCAAATGACTGTCAGCGGACTGACCAATCAACCTCACCCGACTGTCAACTGACTGACCAACCAACCCCACCTGACTGTCAACTGACTGACCAACCAATCCCAGCTTGCCGTCAACTGACTGACCTACCAACCCCACCCGACTGTCAGCTGACTGACACGGTATTTACATAATCATTATTTTGTCCTTACCTCTCGGGTGCAGTTGGGGACTTGGCTTCAGTAATGGAGATGATACACTTCTCTCGTCTTCATCTGGTGTCAGAAGATCTACATCTGACTCATGTATAGTTCTAGCTGTGGCTCTGCGCAGCTCTAGGAGTGGGCTGTGGGGCATCGAGGATCTGAGCGATGTTCGCTCTGTCATACAGCTCATTTCCACATCCACGTGGTTCGGTAAAGCACAAGACTTCTTCTTTCTCCGCGAGCTCAGTTCCTGATGCTTTGTCAGTAGACCCGGGACGCCCCCAAGGACAAGTCGATGTTGCTTGACTGGAAGCTTGAGCCTCGCTTGTGCATGCGCGTAGTACAAGTTGAAGTTACTACCGATGACCGAAATCGGCAGGGCAACGATCAACACACCACAAACTGCGCAGGCGCCCCCGATGATTTTGCCCGGCCAGGTTTGCGGGGTGAGATCACCATATCCCACAGTTGTCATGGTAATAAGGCACCACCAAAAGGACTGTGGAACTGAGTTAAAGTGTGACTTTTTGTCCAGTATGATTTCAATATAGTACACGATGCTGGAGAACATGACCACTGGGATCAAGAGCATGAGAAGTAGAAGAACTAGTTCGTGGGAACTGGCCTTCAGAGTGTGGATCATAATTTGGAGACCATAAGACAGCTTTACAAATCTGCAATTAAACAGGTCAAATCAAATCACATCACCCGTATCTTAAGGAGTTTATTGATAAGGCAATGATATTATAGGTTGTCTCTGCTAAAGGGTACAAGGTTATTGACATACCTGAATAGTCGCATTACTCGAATGACCAAGAACATTTTCACTTTTTCGTCCTCCGTCAGAAACGAGACATAAAATGGCAAAATCGATATCAGATCAATCCAATTCATAGGTCTCTTGAAGAAAAAAAGCTTGGAGGGGCAAAATATGACTCTCATTAGAAACTCTAAAGTAAAAAAACTGCTGCAGACAATTTCGAGAACAGACAATCCATCACGTCTGCCTAAGATCTCATCGTCTAATCGAATTCCTGGTAATGTGGAGACACAGAATGCAGCAATTGACAAACTGATGAAGAAGCAGGAGAGATATGAGACGATCTGTTGAGAGAAAGTGGTAAAAATGGACATGAAAATTGAATATTTGCCATCATATTACAATATTTGTTGCTTTGTTGATCCTATTGAATTATCGCACTAGAGCAGCGATTCATTTCAGGATAAAATGAGCAACATGTGCTGCGCCGCGGATGATTATGTTTATCTCCGTACCATTTGATGCAGAGAAAAGTATAATTCACTCTCTGAGACAAAATGCAATAATTTTTCATCATAATGTCGTAAATTTTCAACCTCAATTGCACAAGAATTTTAGCACAAAATGTTTTATAACTTCGAAGCAAAAAATAACAAAATTTCGACGCTAAATGTGGTAAATTTTCAAAGTGAAACGTGGTGATTTTTATATAAAAAAAAATGAAGTAATTTTTTTGCACAAAATACAGGAAATTCCCAACTCAAAAATTGGGAAACGTTATATTGCAGAATGTGGCGACTGTTCCATTGAAATTGTGGAACATTTCAAACTCAAAATGTTGTATCTTTGCGGTACAGAAAGAAGTAGATTTTCAGAAGGAAACGTGGAACAAGGGATGTTTTTACTGACGCATAATGCAGCAAAACAGACGACATGCGACATTTATAATACCATGTTACGAGAAGCATGCTGGGCACCTGTACGCCCACGCGTTTACAGAAAGCATGCGCAATAGAGTTTCCCTAGTAGTGACATCATAAGTATATAATTCAATTTTTATAGCTTACACTACAGAATTCTTCCTTCAAAGTGGGTTTTAGGTACTAAACTCTTCTTTGCATGAATCTACTCTGTCTTTGCAGTTTTTGTCTATTTGTGGGTAGTAAAGAATCATTAGAAAAATCGATAGGGGAACACAGAAAATTTAAAAAGAAAACAATAGCTGTAAAAGCAGAAATTTTTGGTACTTTCTATGAAATTTGTTTTATTTGCGAGGTTTCTCTTTATGTTACTTAGAGGAAACTCGAAATTCTAGATCTGAGTGAAAATACAAGAAAGGCACTGAATCGAATTCTAAATATGCGTTTTCGGAATATGAAATGTTTCTGTATTTTTGTTCGCTGCCGTTTTCCCTTGAAACCATGGTTATCAGAATATCAATCAAAATTAAACAAACAAAAATTTAAGAAGAAACAGCATAATTTCCTTCCCTAAGAACACTGAATTTACGCTTTCTTAAAAGGAAGGACAAAAGATCGCTAAGCAATGTGTCAACAGTAAAAGAAAACCAGCATAATGCAATTAATAACCATGATTATTTCAGGTGACGTCATAAACACCTGTCAGTCATCGTGTTCTTATTGGTTGAAATAATTTCTCCAAATCATGAATTAATTACTGCTTGTTAGTTAGTGCGAAATGTAACCTGAAGTTAGGGTGTTTCGCGAAGTTCCCCTCTTTACAATATATTGTCCTAAATTTAACAACAAAGAAAAGTAGATGCGTAAACATATATTCGGACGATCGATAGGGGTTTGGTAGAGTTTATTTTTTATGATTTGTCCGAGCGCTTTTTTTGGTTGTTGTTGAGACAGTTTATTTTAGGCCGTTTCTCTCTCTTTATGCTATCTTACGAGTACAAAACATAGGTTGTTATTATATTTCTTGAGCATTTTTTTCTGACAATATAAAACGTAAGCTTTTGGAATGCCGATATCGTTTGCTTGAAAGAAAATATTTCTTTAATTTTCTCTCCTTTGCTTTATAATCCTAAAGTGTAAAAAAAATATTTATTCATTTCCACGGTGAAAGTGGCTTTTCGCGCGCTTAAGTGCCAGTCGATTTCCTTTCTTTGCTCTGCTGTAAATTACGCAAATATTGCTACACGGAAACGTTTCTATCACTTATGGTCATGAATTTTTTAGAACAAGCAAAAACGAAGAAGAAAGAAAAATTTTTGATGCATCAAGCCAGATTGACTGGTCAGGAAAAGACAATTAATAATCTTGCTCGTCGCTAGCAGTTTATGCATAAATAATAAAAAACTAAAAGTTCCAAAACAACATCGCCAATGGCTGTGTATGTTTTGTAATCTCGTTAACAAACTTTGTTCCTCTGGGGTCACTTTTAAAACAAAAGTAGCCTTGAAACTAGAAAATATCGGGCAAGAAATGAGTACAACTCAAAAAAAAAAGATTGTGTAACGATTCTAGAGAACCGATGTTGACCTTTCCCTAAAATAATGTGCAACAGCTATTAAATGAGGCAACCTGTCTCGCTGTAGTTTTTACAACACGAAGGCTGTATCTTGACAGACAAATTCAAACCCGAGTGATGGTTTCAATTGAATGTATCATGAACTACATGTTTTCATTTCCGAAAAGTCTGTAAGGTTTTATCAAAACTACTAAGTCAATTTTATTTTACCGAAAAGTCGCCGCTCCGTAACAACAGGTCATTAAAGAAATAAACTGCTAACACACTGAAAATCTTTTAAAATAATTATTTCATACCTTTGCCAGCTTAGATGAATGAGGTTCATCCAAAATATTCCAAATTTTAGGCTGTATTCTTTTCCAAAAGTTATCTTTCTTCTCATCGATGCCAGATATGTCAGAAGAGGATCTCTCAAGGTCATTACTTTTCAGGTGCTCGAAGTCGGGGCCAACAAAGGCTTTCAAATTTTCTTCAGCTTCTCGATGCTTTGTATATGTGGTCCAGCAACAAGGTTCCATTTGTTTTTCGTCAATTCCCCAAAAACAAAGTTCTTCTTCGAACATGGGTCCGCACATATCTGTTGGATAATGTAGTTTGCCGGTACGATAGTAATTCAAAATTTGCGTAAATGCACCCGGATGGCGATCATAAAAATATTCTCGTTTTCCAGAGCTTTCCGTATCATGATTCTCCGCTATCCAGTAAAGTCTGGTATCAGGAATATTCTTGAGTGTAGAGACATGAGTCTCGTGTCGAAATCCTCCGACGTTGATGAAAATTCGGGATCTGTCGGACCCGTCAAACTGCGAGCCTCCTCCAAAATCCATCTTGAAATACTGCTACGTTTAACAGTTCGCGGTTTCTAGCGATGTTGATGAAGTGGCTCAATTAAACAACGGATTTATTTCATAAATCAAAGATATTTTGTAGTTAATCAGTTGCGAAGATGATTTTCCGAGTCCTTGAGTTAAATCAGTCGAATACTAGAGTCGAGATGCCTTTTTCGAGCTAACACCCTGTAGGAGAACAGATTAAAAACATCACTTTCATGGCGGTTCTATTTGCACAAGCACACGGGCAGGTGATAGTAGCAAAGCACCAAAGTAGATCCTCACGTTGATAATTTCATTAGCGATGAGAGATTTGGGGAGGAAGTTATGAATTTATCAAGCAACTTCCAGAAATCTTTTTGCCATAGCCTAACAAAAAGGTCAAACAACGACGGGGTATTTTGATCATCTCGATTGTACCTTTTTCTGCTAAACGCAACATTTCAAATGAGTTCACAGCCAAGCAAATATTGGGTCGAAGAAATGGTGTTTAGACAATGGATTGTTTACAAATTGCTACTATAGAATCAAAACCAGTTGAAATCTCCGACTGTTCGTGCTATTAGCGAAGATAAAATAGAGACGCGAAGGCCAGCCGAGTTTAGTACCTAGAACCTTCAAACACAGTAAATAAGTTCCGCAACAATAAGACAAAGTCTAGTCGCTGACACTTTTACGATACCTTCTTAACCTTGCGGTGCGTTTTGAAAATTTCCTTTCAAAACGTAATTCGCTCGATGTTGGTCGTTCTACCCTTTATCTGCCACTGCCTGCAACGCGAAGCCCGATAGCTGTTAGAAAAACAAATTCTGTGGACATTTCTCGGAGGGCGTGAAGACGTCTGTAAACTAAATATCTCAATGAACGAAAATCCCTTCGGCTTTAGCACTGCATGAAAGGCAACAATGAATTTCTCAACCACGTTAATTAAGGCGTACACCTGACCAAAAGTACTAAAACTATTGAACTAAAAACTTGTAATAGCTACCCGTGCTTTCAACGCATAAATTTTATTTTTACTCGCTTTTAGCTTGAATGTAATGTAGCAAAAAGACCTTTCTATGCACTGACACATTTTCTCGGTTTATTTACCTAAAATGCGAAGAAAAATTAATTAGATATATTCATCCCTTTATAAAACTGCCTAAATTGGCGCAAATTGCGTTGGCAAGGGACTTTAGACACAAAGCCACGAAGATGAAAAGTTTGACAGTACATTAAAAATTCTCCCCTAATTATGGGACAGCTAAAAGTACATCTCCTGTACATGCACCATTTCGATAATTAAAAAACCTCATTAAGTTTCAAGAACATTTACGGACAATTTGAGGTCCAAACTGTCATACAGTGGGAAATGTAAAACCATATTAGGCCCACACTACAGCTTTAGAACCGCGACAAATGACAATGATAATTTTTAGAGTTTATACAATTATGTAATTGCAAAACTCACTTTAGCTTTCAGGTAATAAGACAAAACAAAAACAAAAAAGAAAACAAAATGACTCTCTATTTAGATTAAAAAAAATTCACAGTTTTATGAATTCAAGTTTGAACCGGCGCATTCGCTTTGCTTCCATAAGGGACGAGCAGGCAGCTTGTTCAAAAGAAGGCTATGTTTACCTAATGAATATAGTGGCGTAGAGAGAATGACAATATAATTGAATGCTCCACACATGATCACGTATTACGGGATTTTTCTTAGCTTTGTAGCGGATCAGGCTGATATCTGCTCATCTCACTCTGATATCATATATTATATTATATTCTCATATTTTATCGTATAAAATGTGTAGAATGGTGAACCCCTGCTGAGATGCAAGTTGTAGCCCTCAAGCTCAATAAACATAAAAAACAACAACAAAAAGCGAATTCTGCCTTTTTTTTAGAAAAATATGAATCCTCACTTTTTCCCGATCGAGGCGAAAATTCAACCAAAAAACAGTCACTTACATTTTCGCCAGTTTCCCTTGAGGCAAATTTAAAAGTATTCCGTGCATAAAGTAATAATTCCTCAAGACACATCATTGATTTAAATGTAGAATAAAGATGCTTTGTTTGTCATCTGTGTTTTAGACATACGACTCAAACTGTGTCTGTTTGTTGTTCTTAATTTTCATAAAAGTGTAACCGAAACGTGATCACGCGTGATCTCGTTAACGTATCCAACAGGAAATAGATGACGTCAGATGATTAAAACATATCAATTTCTTTGAGCCACTGGTTTATCTTCCTTTGCTAAAATTTTATTGGCTACCTTAAGTAACCAAATCCTTAAGTGACGTTGTTTATTTTGAAGACTTCGGTAAGCGTCAAACTGACAACAATAGTTCTTATCAGCAAATTCGTGCCTGAAAAAAACAACCGATTGGCCATTGATATTTTGAAATGTGTTCGAAACTTCCTACTTCAAAGTCACAGAATAACTTTTAAACATGGATGGTTCGTGAGTACATTTCTTCGAAAAACTTCAAGGATTTGAACGAAGATAAACATCATGACTTTCTTCAAGAATGAGGAGTCAAAATCAAGCTCTTGAACACTTGTCCATGTGTTAGTTCTTTCAATTTCTTATGAGATATATCTTATTACATTTGAGTCGGGTACTTCCCTTCGTGAAAAACACTTTCTTCAATTAAAATAGTATGAACGAAGTAAACAAATTTGTGGTCGTGCCGATTGAAAGTTTATGTACATATCCTATTACATTTGATAAATGGTATTGCAAGAACTAAACAGCTCACCTAGAAATAGGATTATTAAATTTTTTAAAGAACAGTTAAAACTACTATATCCTATCAAAACACTCGATTCAAACATCCTTTTATGTGTTAGAGATTTGAAAATAGAAAAGTTAACATGCTGCTTATCAAATTTTACACTCCTACCCAGACCGCTCACGGCCCAACAGTTCTCCGTTTTCGAAACGACAGAGACTAGTTGGTACCTTCAAAGTGATAACCAAAAAAGGCAATTAGCCGCTCTATAGCAGCTTTAGACATTTGAGAAAGTTTCTCAGTATTAAATGAATGAGATCTGTTTCGCAGTGGAGTTCCTCAGCTCCCTAGTTCCACAGTTCCTCAGTTACACCTTCAAGGAACGACACAGAAACAATTTAAAACTCTATGCAGGCTGCAGGAAGGTTTTTGAGGCGCCTAAATAGCCTACGCTTAAGGTAGTGTATCTACAAAATATCAGATATGCTTTATAAAGAGTCATGCTTATGGGCATTTTTAAATGTGTATTCAAAATACGTTTTCATAAAATTTTTTAGACCCGTTACCAACATGAATATGGGAATAAGATATGACTTTTCCTTTAGTTAATGATAATACTGAGTTTTTAACAGTTCCTACCAAAGTGAACTACTTTATCAAGGAATGAATTATTTAGGCATTCATGCTGTATGACATACGTCAGGGAACATTATTTCTGCTTTGAACAGAAAAATCTATAAACAGAATCTTAAACTTTAAACGGCCTTCATACTAGTAAGTCGGCATCAATTTTTACGAAATGCCCCGCGCTCTGATGAAAACTTTTAAATGGTTAGTCTGGCCTGTTTTCATTGAAAATTTTTTTCATCGTGTGTTTTCGGCACACACAGTCAGAAAAGGCAATCTATAATTTCGAAATTTTTAAACGATGCTCCTGCGCCCAGACATATTTTTTCCGCCGAGTCTAGATTTATAATCTAGCCATTATGCAAAAAAAGGTGCTACACATTTTGAAAACACTTTCATTGTTTTGACATTTAAGAGCTTTTAAAAACAACAGCTACCTTTTTATGTAAATTTCTGTTTGCCCTGACCTTCGCATATAAAATTTTTAAACTGTTTCCAAATTATAATATTCTTTTTCGGAGGAAAGCACATTTATCCTTATTCATGTCGTGTGCAGTCTTTTTTATGTGCTTTGTTAAGATTCATATTTCATAGAGCAAAGAAAAAATAGATTGGTTAAAGAAATCGGTGAATTAAACGAAAAAACTAAATTATCTGACGTTTCCTAACAGTTGCACTGTAAACGATTTAAGTAACTCAATGATTGCCTATGAACGCTTTATGCATGTAGCTTTGTAGACAGGCGTTTTCTACATTTACTGAGGGTAATATATTTTGGGGCGTGTAATGTAATTGCAAGACCTTAAGACTTAAGCCTGCAATTTTAAGTGCAGAGAATCTGCTCGAGGTGTTTTGAATAAAACTTCATTTCCACTCTAAGTTTCCGTCGTTTATAAACTCACAATTTAAAGTATGCTCTTATTTTGGCTCCGGTTTTGCCATCGATGTTGATAAAAACACGTTAGTAATTGATATGAATTTTTTCTTTCTTAGCAGAATTTGAAGACAGTTTCTATTAAATTTCTACGTACAGTTCAATTCGAGAAACTTAATCGTAAGCGACCCTCTGCCTCATCTAATGGTTAAATACATGGAGGGTTTTTTTTGAAAAAGGGACTATAGCCGATGAGAACGAGTTTTAATGCAGCATCGCGAAAAGCCTTCCATAATAAACAAACTTACCACTTTTCCGCAATCGATACTATGTCAGCTCACAGTTATCGTTCGATTTGGAACAGGATGCAACAGATATTACAAAACATCGACGATATTGGACAGGAAAGTTAACAACTTACCATGGAAATAAAAAAAGCAATCAGTTTACTTCACGAAACAAGAATTACTCTCGTGTCGGCGAGGTGGCTTAGGCGACGGGCAACACACAGAGATCATTTGAATTTGAATAGAAAGGTTTCTACGTAAATTGATCGCCAATATTTTTTTCAGTAAGGCCATAAGGCATTCTTGATACTCTCATTGCAAAAACAATGGAAAAAAGACATCAAAAGAGGCGCTCACCTTTAATTGAAAACGAATGTATTAGATACACTAAAAATAAAGTCATGTTTGAATTTACGATTAAAAATGCTCACGATACAATATTGTTTCAGCATTGTCTTGACATTAGCTAATATAAAATTCGGCTTTTATTCC